GATGTGGGGGCTTCGCGTCCGTTCATGTCGGTTCGGGCGGCCTCCATGTGACAATGTGACAGCGAAGGAAACCAGCAAAGAAGAACCCGCTTTCAGAGCATCCCTGCTTCCCAGCCTTTTCCCCGTTTCTCTGGCTGGCTCTGTGGCTGACCCCGTCCCCACCCAAACCCCTCTCCCATGCGCCTCCTCCTCCTCCTCCTCCTCTTCCTACTCCCCCCCGCAGCCTACCAGCCCCTACGTCTCCCCCGGCACTGCCGACCCCGACAGCAGCCTGCCTCCCTCTCCCTCCCGAGGCTCCCCTCCCGACCCCGCCACCACCTCCACCGCCTTCCCTCCGCTCCAAGGCTCCCTCCCGCTCCCGCCGCTGCCTCCCGATGCTGCGGAGGGCCCCTCAGCCGACCCCTACCCCCACATGACCGTCCTAGAGCGGCACCAGGCGGCCGGGCTGTATGCGGACATGGTGCTGTTGCCGGTGCCCCGGGGCCGGGGCGGGCTGGCAGCGGGTGGGGGTATGTACGACATGGCGACGGTGGTGCCCCGGTACGGCAGCTTGGACGGATCGTACGGAGCCGAGGTGTTGCAGGTGGGTTGGGGTTGGGGAGTGGGGAGTGGGGAGTGGGGACTGGGTGGAGAAGGATATCCCGTCGGTTGGTGGGTGGATGTGGATGTGGATGTGGGTGGTAACCGGGAGTGGTCGGGGGCAGGGGGTCAGGTGGTTGGAAGCTGTGGGCGGAGGGAAATCAATACCGGTAGAGGCACATGTTAGGCGCCCTGCGGCTCATGATGACTACCTGCAGCTCTCACCAAGGGCTCGCAATAATCCCCTCCCTCCCCGCTGCCTCCCTCCACCACCCCTGTTTGGTTTACCTGCCTCTCCGCTGCTGTCCCCCCCTCCCTCCCCCACCAGGTTCACCCGCCGCACCCCGACTCCTTCACCTATGCCGACACCGACCCCACCTCGGCAGCTGGCGGCGCCTGGGGCCACCCGGACGCTGCTGCTGCTGCTGGCAGCGATGGCGGTGGCGGCGTTTCAGGGCCGGTCGGGGACCCCTGCGCCGCCAACCCCGAGCTGCAGGTGACGCCCGCCGCCATTGAGGTGCTGCACATGGCGGAGGTGGTGGCGGAGGTGGCGGAGGCGCTGGGGAACCAGGTGGGAGGGAGGGAGGGGGCTAGGAACTGAAAATAAGGAGAAACTAATAGGCAAATAACGAGGGAGGGAGGGAGGGTTAGGAGAAGCCTCATGCGGCAACAAGAAGTGTATACCGGTTGTTGACATGGGTGCGTGGGGCTTGGAGGCAGGTTACACGCGCGCGGTGGTTGCATGGTTCATGTGTAGTTGTGTACCAATCGATACGGGTGTAGGTCTGGGCTTGGGACTCTAGGGTCGGAACCTCTCCTCTCCAGTGTCGCCTCCTCCAATACCTGAGAGGGGCAACCAACCCAACTACCCCAGCAGGTATCACCCAACTTGCTGCCAACCAGCCCAGTGCTATAACCCGCCGCACCAAACTGACCACCAACTACCCATCATGACATCATGTCGACCCAAACCCTAACCTCACCCCCAACCACAAACCCTAACCCACGGTACCCACCCCCCACCTCCCCCAGGGTCGTGACGACCGCTACTTCCTGGACAACACGGCGCGCATCAACAAGCTGGTCTACACGGAGGAGAGGTTCGCACGGCACAGACAGCTCATGAGCAAACTCATGCTGACGCAGGTGTGTGTTGTTGGCCGCGGGGTGTGCTGCAGCGACTGAGCAGGACGTGGGTGTGTGTGGGGGGGAGCGCGGGGGCGACATGCGGGGACATCGGGGCACGCCAGAGGGTCTTTAAAGCAGCAGCTGTTGTGTTAAAATAACTGGCCGCTGTTGTGTTCCGCGCTGCAGGTTGCGGTGAGGTACGGTAGCCCCCGTGTACTCCATCCCCCTTTGAGTCCTACCGACCTGCCGGGTTTTTAACCTCCTCCTCCCCTTCTTCCCTCCTCTCCTATCCTCTCCGCATGTGTCTTCTCTCATGCGCATGTTTCGGGATATGGGATTGGGACTTTAGTTGTTTGCATTTCTTATATAATTTTTCCCCTCCCTGCCTGCCTGCCTGCCAGGTCATCGGCCGGCAGACCGCGGTGGGTCACGTGCAGGCGCCCAACTACAGCCCGCTCAGCTCGCGCGCCATGGGGCAGATCGTGACGGAGATGCGGCGGGTGTACACGGGGGAGGCGGCGGAGCTGGTGGCGGCCATGAGGGAGAACCACAGGTGCGGGGAGGTGAGGGGAAGAGGAGGAGGAGAAGGGGAGGAGGGAGGGGCCCGGCCTGTGGGAAGCCTCACACCACGGGCGGAGAGGAGTGAGGATCCCAGGGGTGAGGGAGGGGGGGGGGTTCCGGAGAGGGGGGAGCGGGCTGGTTTTTGGTGAGGAGGGACGAACCGGTAGCGGTTGTAGTTCAACTCGTCGCTTGTATACTTGACGCAACAGCTGCAGCTCCGCCAGCAACGCACGCTCCTGGTGGATACTTGTGGTGGCAGCCCAACTGAAGTCCAACCGCGGTTACCGCTACGGTGCCCTATGTCGTACCAAACTGCTGACGTGTGTGTGCCACGTCATGTCGTACATACCCACACCAAACCCACCACCACCGCCGCCGCCACAGGGAGGCCATGGTTATTGTTCAAGACGAGCTGAACTCCACAGCTCGCCTCATCGCAGCCACCAGCAGCCTCCAAGCCGCCGTTGTGGATTCGGAACTCGCTCGGGCAGAACGGGAGCGGAGCCGCGCGCTGAAGGCGCGGGTCACGCGGGCCGCCATTCGGGCCCTGCGCCGGGAGCGAGCGGCGCAGGACCGGGCTTTTGCGGCGGCGTTTGGTCGGCAGGTAGCGGGCGCAGGCAAGCAGATCCTGCGCAGTGAGATCCGGGCGAGGGACGCCGTACTGGCGGCGGAGGCGGCGGCACATGGAGCGGTACGACGGCAGGTGGACCAGACGATAAAGGTGAGGTGGTGAGGGTAGGGGTGAGAGGCTGGTTGGCTGGCGGTTGTGCGTTTGCGAATCGGAGGTCCTTGGAATTGAGCCTGTTGGGGGTTAGGTGGGCAGTCAGGCCAGTCACACAATCCCTACGGCCCCGAATCAACTCTCACCTCCACTCCTTCCCCTCCCTCCCGCCCCCAACGCGCCTCCCCCCACAGGACCACATCGCACTAGCGGAGGAGGAGCTAGCGGAGGCCAACCGGGCCAAGGCGGGCGCCGTACGAGCAGAGGGCTGGACGGAGGAGGTGGCGCAGCACTACGCGCTGCTCGACCAGTGGCAGTCCGACCTGGTGGCCCTGCGGAGGGACGAGAACTACGCACGCATGCGCCGCGTGGGGCCCGCCGGCGGTGTGTGGGGCAGCGGCAGGCCGCGGGAGCTGCTGCGCGCGCCGCTGCCGCTGACCAGTGTGGTCTCCGCAGCCGCTGCGGCGGCACGGGCGGAACGAGCGGAACGGAATGTCGTGTCGGCGTCTGCTGCTGATGGTGGCCGACGGAGAGCCGGTGGCATGGCCGGCGGCGGCGGTGGCGGCGGAGGGAGTACGGCGGGTGCGTCTTCGTCCGCCGCCGCCGCGCCGCCGACGTCGGGTGTGAACCTGGAGTCTTCTAGTTGGCGCAGTTTGAGTGTGGGCGGCACCACTCACACCGCCGTGGGTGGGGCGGAGGAGAGCGCTGGGGAGGACGGGGCGGGCGGCAGCGGCTCGGATGAAGGGGGTGCGTTTGCCTTCCCGACGAGCACGGGCGGCCGCAGCAGCTTCAGCAGCGCTTGGCCGCTATTCGATGGCGACAACGGCAGCATGGCGACCAGCAGTGCACCGCCGTCAGCGCTGCCGTCGCGGCGGGTGCTACCGCAGCCGCAGCCGCTGCCGGAGGGGTATGTGCCCGGCGGGGCAGGAGCTGGGGTGGCGGGGGGTGCGGGGGCTGCGGCAGGAGGGCCGCCTCCGCTGGTGGAGGATGTGAGTGAGGCGGTGTCGGAGGGGCCGCAGCTCAGGCCGGGAGGGGGCGATGGAGCCGGGAAAGGGGTGGCGCAGAAGGAGAAGGGTAGAGAGAGGGAGAAGGAGCAGGGGAAGAAGCCTGGGAAAGGACAGGTGAAGGGGAAGGAGGGGAAAGGGCAGAGAGCCTCCTCCACTTCCTTGTCCTCTACAGCGCCCTCTGTATCTGTGGCGTCCGCGTCACCGGTTCCTGGTACGCGTGAGGGCGGGGGCAAGGGGCCGGCTGGCTCCTCCCGCCAGTCGTCTCGAGGGCGCCAAGCGGAGGTGTCCAAGTCCTCAACGCCGCGCAGCCAGCTGGAGGACTACCTGCCCGAGTTCCAGGCTGTCAGGCCCTTCGGAAGCCGGCAGGGGCAGGCGAATGGGCCAGTGCGGCCGGTGGGGATTGTAGTGTCGCGTTACTAAAAGGTGCTTTTGTGTAGGCTGTTGTGTTTAGAGGGTGCGATTGGACCTGAGGACTGACGGATTGTCAAACGCATTTGCATGCAGACCGGTTTTAGGGTGGGCATATACATACTGCACTATATGGTGGTTGAGATGGTTGGACGGCACATGTAGTTTGATGTACTGCAGGTGCAAGACATGGGTGTGGCAGGAGTTCGTTACCGCAGGATTACTTTGCTGCTGCATTAGTGACGATAGGACGCATGTAGACGTTACGGATTTTGTTTAGACTGGCTTAGGGACCAACACTGAGTGTTGTAGGCAATGAGCTGGTAACGACATGGAACTATGCAGCCGAATGCATCTATTGGAATACTGGAAAGCAGCCGATTGCCGTTTACACGACTTCTCGGCTTTCAAGGGCCTGGCAGGGCAGTGGGCCGAAACCCGCCCGCCAACCCGCCCTGAACTCCAGCACAACTGCCGTTGTTAGCCCGGTACCCAACTGATTGAGTCCATGTTTCCATGTTGCCAAGCTCATGGGCTGTTATAAGCCACGCACGCAAACTGCGCATCACTGGGACAGCTGACGTGGCCAGTTACGGCCCAGATAAAGGGCGCCCGATTGCACGACAGCCTAGTCCCATAGGCCGCCACCACAACCGACGTCCCCTTGCCTGCCGGTAAACAGCAACACGACGTTCGCACATCACTGTCCACCACACGTCACAGCTCTTCCCACCACCACACACACCATCCCTTCACTCCACCGCTACCGCTGCGATATCCGCAGCCTCCGTCACCGCCACTGCACTCCTCCCACCACCACCAGCATACACCACATGACCAAACTCATGACCGCTGGCCGCAGTAGAGGACCACAGGGCGTCCGCTGAGATCCGTCCTTGACAGGCATCCGTGTCGTCGTACAAGAAGCAGCAGGAGCGCCCCGCGCTTACAGCTTCTTGACCACCTTGGCCAGCGGGCCCGCCAGCTTGTGGTGGTTGAACTCGCCCACGTACACGGTCGACAGGATGGAGAACACACCCGACTGCAGCACAGCCACCAGGTACTCCAGACCCACCAGAGCCGACAGCAGGCAGGCCACGGCAAAGGTGGCGGGCACCATGGCGAAGAAGGACAGGGAGAAGGGCAGAGCCAGAGCCATACCTGTGAGCAGGGGAAAGTGGGAGGGGGGAATGTTAAGAGGGGTGTGAGCAGGGTGTGTAGGGCTCGGAATTGGAAAGCGGGCGAGCAGCAATTGGGTGCCAAGTAGCAGCGGGTACTGTGTAGTTTTCTTTTCGTGTCAAGAGACCTAGAACTCCAGTACAAAACTACAATGGGAACGTCGCTGTTAGTTTACAAGCGCCCACGCGTCCAGTACATGGTATTGCAAAAGCCAGGTAGGATGTATGACCCGTGCAAACTACGCACAGTTGGCGCTAGCGAGTATTGTCGTGCCTGCTGCAAGCCAACCCATATACCCCATTTTCACGGCTTACGCAACCCCATGCACCGCTCCCCCACCATCCCCCGCCGCGCGGCTCACCCGTCAGAATGTGCAGCAGCGTGTGTCCGGCAAGCATGTTAACCCACAGACGGACACCCAGAGAGACGGCGCGGAAAGTGTACGAGATGGTCTCCAGGGGCACGAAGATGAAGGCCATGGGCCAGGGGGTGCCGCCTGCGGTGAGAGATGGGGAGGATATGTTAACAGCCATCAAATCCATGCAGGAGGTGCTCCGCGCGCCCGTCATACCTGCCCGTGTCAGGCGGTCTTCTCCAAACAGGGTGTGGACAGAACAACGTTTCGGATACGAAACGACAGAAGCGGGATGAACGACAAGCCTGGCCATCCGTACCCCACGCAAAACACGCATTCGGTAATGCCGCCCTGTATCACCCTCTTCCCGTTGCCATCCGGCGCCCAATACCCTCCCTGCACAACACCCACCAGGAATGAAGTGGCCGGGGAAGGAGAAGCCCAGCTTGTACAGGCCCAGCGCCGTGGCGGTGGCCCACACGCTCACACCCAGGCCGGTGGCGAAGCCCAGGCCCGAGGTGGGAGCCTCGTTGGTGGGCACCAGACCCAGCAAGTTGGAGGCCAGGATGGTGCAGAACAGGGCGGTGGCCCAGCTGTGAGGGGCAGCAAGGTCAACGTGTAAGGGTTAGAAGGGCCTGTGTCGGCGTGTATCCTTGGTTTCTGGCCCGTCAGCTCCAAACCCGATGGCCCGCATGCTGTTAGCATGTAACACAGTTGCGGCCCCCGTTAAATAAAATGGAACGCGTGGGACAGCATGGGACCGCAAGGTATGCGTGCTGGTGTCTCCTTGGATAGCGTTCCAAGGGCTAAGCTCGGCCCATGCGCGCTGGGGAAATCGTGCTTACGTGCCGATGGCGGCGCGGTTGTCGCTGGCATCGACGATGGCGGGCAGCATGCGGTCATCCACGGGAGCGTGGGGCTTCTCCATGGGGGCCTGGCTGCGCCAGAAGCGGTAGATGCCGATCAGCGCCGAGTTCAGCGCCGAGCCGGACTGCACCTGAGCAGCTGCGGGTGGGAAAAAACAGGTACGAGAGCGTGTTTGGAGGCGGGGAGGAGAGCGCGAAGCATAGGCTGACAGGAGAGAAAGCAGTTTGGTATAACGACGAATAGCCCTCGTTGCAAAAACAATATTTGGTAAGATATTTCCCATGTTTGTATCAGCATCCTCTGCGGGTAAGCGGCTCACCGGTGGACATGTTCATCGCCTGCTGGGCCGCGAACGGCACCATGGGGGAGCGCACGCCGGAGCGAGACTTGCTCAGCAGCATGCCACCAGCCATGCCAGGGAGCTTCATGCCAGCGACAGCCTGCATTAAAAGGCGATAATTTAGTCCAGAGCCCGACACGCTCCGACATCGCCTGCGGCGGCCTGCTAAACTGCGAATCCCACACCTTGCTGCTGGCACCCTTATCCTCCTCTTGGCTGACGGTGCTAAACGCCTGCGATTACGAGGCGACCCGGGTAAGAGTCTGGTCACATCAAGAGCAGTAATCTCGGGCGCCAGAACGCTGCAGTTCACGCCGCACCTGAGCGTGGACATGGTCCTCAATGCTCTGCAGCGTGCCTGCATGCAGGAATTACGGAGAAAGCCGGGTGTCGCCTTGTTGCCGAAAGCAAAAGCGGCGTGATGCGAGAGCAGTCGCCGGACAAATAGTATGGCTGGCTTATCATTTCGGTCCCTAATAGCTTCCGCACCGTTAAAGCCCTGGCCCTTGAAGGAGCTGCTGCTTCCCAGGACGCCCTGCCCAAGAGCAACGGGAGCCCGCCCCAAGAAGGAGCCGAACACCCGCGGCACTGCTGTTTGCAGCGACATTGTGACTCACTACTCGCTCGGGCGACAGGCAGACAATGGACCAAAAAAGTATATGAGTTCTTGCCAAGCAGCCAGATGGGCCCGATATTTGCTCTTCGCATTTTCTTGTAGCATGGGAACCTACCGTACTACATGTTATTTAGAGTTTTGTTTACTTACCTCATATCCAAACAGCTGCTTACAAGTTGGTCCCGGCTGGGGGTGGTCGATGCGCGACATGGTGTGGCAATTGTCACTGTTCTGTCAGGTCCTGTAGTGATTTCTTCTCAAACCTACTCACTGTCTCCATGTGCATACCAAGACCTCAAAAGCACAGTGCACATTACGAAAGCGTGTAGCACTCCCCCCAACTCATACACCAAGTACATACCGTCCCTTTCCCCTTCCCTAATCCTGCTTGGGTACCCCGGGCCTGCCCATGAACCCCATACTCCCCAACCGGCCTACCGCTCCACGGATTGGGCGCTCTTAATGGCAATTGTTCTGGCGCTGTACGTCCGGAATCCTCAACGCTGGAAACCTTGACGCCATGCCCACGGCTCCCCCAGGCCCAACAGCTCCCCGAGGAGAACCCGCCTACCCAACAGACTCGCCTGTCAAACAGTACGAGACTAAGCAGGAAGAGTATCCGAGACAAAAAGGGGTGCTTCCCCCAACTCCGCCTATGCATAGGTTGTGGTTTTCTATGGTCTCCAGCTGCGCTGAAAAGAAAGGCATGGAAGGAGGGCACGTGCACCTTCATATGTGTTTTTTCTGGTTGCCGCAATGTGTCGTTGACAGCGGTAGTGCAGGGCTTTCAGGCCATGCACGACAAAGCATCTGCGCCGAAAATGAGCAGGGAGCAACAAAGTACCGGTAGCTCTCATTGGGACATGCATCCCTTTGCGTGTGCCGGATTTGCCATCCTGCGCTCCTTGGTGGACGATGCGTTCCCTGGCTTGGAAGTGGTGTGTCAAAGCAAGTATGCATGGCAAGCGGCTCGCGCACATCTGGCCATCCCGACGGGGGGGTTGCATCTTACGGCGTCGAGCTAAAGCGCAAAAGAGCCGGGGTAAGCACCCTTAACCTTGCGTCACTATTATTGAGCCATGCGGTTAAGGTGTATGTCCCCTTCGCTATCCCACGAGTTTAGGCATCGTATCCAGCCCCATGATTCCCCCAGGACTCGCAAGCAAAAGGGCGGTATAAGCGAAACAAAGCGAAATAACTAGAAGCGTGTACCTAACCCGCTCAGGACGCGTTCTGGTCTGCGAACAGATCTGATGTATGATCACTCCCTAGCGAGGGTAGCGACCAACTTCATTGGACGAGCATTGCCAACTGGCGTACATTAGCAGAACGATTAGAGCATCAAGCGGCGTTTCGGCTTTATCCAGCTTTGGTGTTCTGAAAACTTCCAAAAGCCCTCCTGTCTGCGGCACACATCGCTCTTAGCTTTACAAGAGGCTAGACTCTTCGGGTTCTACAGTTCTGCGCAAACATGTCGGGGTGGCGCATCGTCGTTAACTGGTTCCTGCCACCGCCACTAGTGCTCACAATCCTGCTGATCTTGCCCATGCCGGGGTAGGTGTTGCTGACGGTTGCACTGACCCTGCTCGCTTGCTGGCCTCCCGCTTGGCAGTTACCTTACTTCATAACACATTAGTAATATATTACATATCGTTTAGCCTGGTCTCGCGAACGCCTGGAGGCTTCTCAGTCATAAACTTAGGGCGGGAATAGCCGAGGGAGGAAGCCATGGCTTCGTTTGCGCTCTGCCTTACAAGTCTTTGGGCTATAGGCCCTGTCAACGCACCTAAATTTGACATGAGCATACCGGTAATCATAGCACGATACGACCTTCGGCTTGCTTCGCCTACATGCTTCGTCAGCAGATAACATGTCGAATAGCTGGGTTCCTTGCTCCCAGTCTAATACGGACCAAGGAGCATGATGCCAGATAAACCGCGAGGGTGTAACTTTCTTGCATGCCGTGATATCCCACTTGACAGACTTGACAGACCCCTGGGTCGTTTGCGCTGTTGCAGGGTCGTCAAGAAGGGCCTCCTCACCTTCACCCGCAAGTTCCTTTTCATTAACATCGGTAGGTCTGGCCTCCTGCTGTGGGATCCGGGCCCCACGGCAGGAGCCTTGGTGTGTGGCGGCAGCTGGCAGCAGGGGCAGTGGTGGGGGGGGGGGGGAATAGCTGCCAGCCCTGTACTTGACCCGTTGACCGCTATATGCACTCATCAGTTCCAGCCCTGTACTTTCCACCGCTATACACTTCTCAAGCCCACCCCCCGCCGCTGATCCCGCAGGCCACGTCCGGCTGGTCCACTTGGCCCTCCTCATCACCGGGGCGGCGTTCGCAGGTGCGACCTACAAGGCCACCCAATCCGCATGCACGCTCATAGGTAGTAGCGGCCCACCCCCGCGCTGGTTAGCAGCGGCCGCCTTCCCATCCCTCCCGGGCCGAGCATGCGCCGACTCTTGCTTTCTCTCTTTCTGGCTTCTCCTCTCGTCTTCCCGTTGTTCAATGTTTCCCCCCCTCCCCCCCCCGCCCAGCCGCCAGCGTGCACACCGTCCGGCTGTCCAAGGAGCCCCTGCCCGAGATCCTCACACCCAACCAGAAGACCGCAATCCTGGCAAGAAGGTGGCGTGAGGTAAGGGCGGCGGGACTGGGGTGCCGGGTGCAGGTGGTGCGGGGTTGCTGCGTCGACGGGCGCCCGGCGGCCCCGGCTGCGCTGAAACCCCCACCACCTGCACCCAAACCTGGCACATCGCTATTACCGGCATATGTCTGTGCCTGATCTGTGCCTAATCTGTGCCTGATCCTACTCCGCCCGTATCTAATCTGGACATGGAGATGCATTTATGTGCCCGCGTCCGTGCCTACTACATGTGCCGTCCGCAGGAACGGAACTTCTGGATCGCCACACTCACATTCCTGCTGTGGGGGTAAGTAGGCGGGCTGGCAGCGCCTTCTTTATGGCCTCTTTGTGTGGCCCCCTGCCTTGCCGCTTTCGCCCTCGTTTCGGTGCACAACTACGTTAGCAGGGCCCCGTGGTGCTGGCCCTGTGATGCCTCCGCCCCCATCTCACCGTCACCGCCTCTCGCCATCCCTCATCACACCAAGAGCCTTACTGGTTCATTATTCGTACAAACGTGTGCGCCCCTGGTCCCTCCTCGTTCCTCCCTTCATGCCCCCCGCCCTCAGCCTCTTGTACCGCTTCTATCAGCTCACTCTAGACCATATGGCGCTCCGAGACCGGGTACGGCAACTCGAGCTGGGGGCGGTGGGCGGTGGGAGCCTCGCGGGGGGGCTGGTAGCCGCCCAGCGGGCTGCGTCGCTGGGGAGCGGCAAGGGGGCGGTGGATCCGTCCGCGCCGCCCGCCCCGGCTGAGATGATGGCCGGGGAGGGTAAGGAGCATAAGAAGACCAAGTGAGGGCGGAGCGGGGCCGCGGGGTTGGGAGCCGAGTGCGGGGGTGCATGAGGAGGGTGGGGGTTGGGGGTTGTTGAAGGATGAGATTGATGGACGGCGGCGGGTGCTGGTGGCCTGGGATGGCGGGAGGTTGTAGCAAAGGGAGTAAAGGCCTGGTTTGGCTGGTTGCTCGTTCGATGGGAGTACCGGTCAGGGCAGTGGCTGCTATGGGGCGTGTGCGTGTGTGTGTTTTAGTGCTGCAGAGAGGAGTGACTGGCTGGCGGGAACACGAAGAATGTTGTTCCAGGTGGGCGGCTGGCAGGTCAGCCTTCCGGGGTTGCATGCACATGCATGGCACGCTCTTCCAGCACGACTCGCCTTGGAGGCTGTTGCGCGGAACTTCCCGAAGGCTGTTGCACAGGGCCAGGCAGGCATGTGACGCTTCAAGGCTGTTTGAAGGTGGTTGGGGGGTTCTCCTTGATACGGCCTTCGTCACGAGGGGTTTGTATGGAAGAGAAGTGAAGGAACGACGTTTTCACTCGGCACACGGCAGAACACGTTCATGCATGCACAGAACCCAGGCATGCCGTGTAAAACAACCGTCCCACAAGCATGGTTCTTTCTTGCCGGCCATGCAGCAGCAGCAGCAGTCTCCGTTGTTAACCTACATGCCGTTGTCAACAACCATTGCCGTGTGTTTACACTGGTTTACAGGTCATATGCTCATATTAGCGATTCGGCCGCCTGCTGCCAACCACAGGCACAGGGCAGAGCACCTTTCGGCTTCTCGTTCTTGGAATTCTCGCGCCGGTTGCGGCACACACCTCGTCCTAGCTACTGCACGGTTCACACCCCATTCGTCCTTTATCTGAGAACCAGAGTCACTCATCGAGAACTTGTCTGCGTTACGGCAGAAGCAGGAATCCCAGATGTCGTCATGTCGTGTGAAGACCTCATGACGCGCAACAACCGGAACAAACACCGTACACATGCGACCGTCGAACTGCCCTAAAGCGTTTAATAAAGAGCTTCCCGTCCCAAACCAACATAGTACATGTATAGACGTCATTCCGCGGAAAAAAGGGACATGCACCTCACCCAAGACTTTGCACAACAACTAAAGGAGGGCCGTGTGTACTGCTGTGCATTGGTGCTACTGCTGCCCCCTAAACCCGGGCCCCTCCTCTTCCAGACCTCCCTTCCCAATGCACCTGGGAAACCACCCTTGACAACTCCCGACTCCTCCACCCTCCCTTTAACGCGTGTAACTGAGCCAATTCGGCCAAGCGGCGGCTTCCTTCCTGTCAGGATGCCCCACCCCATCAGTTCCCAAAGCCACCACCTTCGTTCCCTTTGATACCGGTACCTATTGCTTGTGATGGCTTGAAATACCAAAATTAGGCCACTATGCATTCAACGACACTGAGCTATGCTTCTCGCCAGCAGCAGCTTGACCGCCCTCGGCCCTCAAAGCCCCCTGGGTCACGCTCCGCGCGCGCTTCTCCCGCCGCCACCGCGCCCCACGCGAGCGCCCACCCCCCCATTCCAACATGATAAGCACTTCACCCTATGGCAGCCTCGCCTTTGCCTCGTTTCAAAGCTGCACGGCCATAACACCTTATTCAAAAGTAAAACGTCCAACGCCCCAGACGATGACATGAACCATACACGCCACGGCGAGCCCATGTCCCTTCCATCAAACTCCTCCTCTCCCCGTTCCACTCCCCCTGTCCCACTCTCCTAATCCAAACCGGGAGGCAAGGGTCCACGGTTCACCTGCCCAGCTGCGCCCGACTGCGCCCCCGCCGCACCGCCGCCGGAAAGCGATGAGCCCGACACCGCTGCCGTCCCTTGCAGCGGCGGATACTGCTTGTACTGCTGGTACTGCTCCATGAGTTGCGGCGACTGCTGCCGGTGCTGCTGGAGAAGCTGCTGGGCGGCTACTGCCGCCGCAGCCGCCGCGACTAGCGCCCCCGCATCGTGGTTGGGGAGATACGTGCTGGGAGGCAGCAGGTGTGGGTGCTGCTGCTGCTGTATGGGTGGGGAGGCTTGCCGTTGAAACTGCTGCGCATGATAGCTTAGCTGGCCAGGAGGCATGTGGATGTTTTTTTGCAGCGCAGCTAGCTGCTCGTGGAATGACTGGTCCAGGACGGATGAGGGCCAAGAAGACGGTTGCTGGGAGGGCTGTTGGGAGTGCTGCGGCTGCTGCTGTTGGTGGTAGTGTGGGTGCTGCTGCTGCTGGAGGTGCTGCTGCTGCTGCTCGGCCCATGCTGCCTGGTAGGATGAAGATGGGTGCGGCTGCTGCTGTTGAGCAACGGCAGCCGTGGGGTAAGGTGACGACGTGTGCGGGTTGTAGTGCGGGTGGTGGTGGTAATGTTCTGCCGCAACTGCCGCCACCTGCTGCTGCTGCTGCTGCGCATGCGGGTGGTAGTGCATGCCCGCATGCGGCTCAGGATGCGGGTACGGAGACCGTGACACGCGCGGCGCAGCATAGGGCCCCGCCGCCTCCCAATCTTGGCCACTGCCGGCGCCTCCGCCGCTGCCGTCAGCCTCCCCTAGCTGGCTGCCCCGCCTGCTGCTCTGCGGATAGCCAGACCCCGCCCCTGCAGCCGGGTGCTGTGCTTGCAGCGGCTGCAAGTGTATGTGTTCGGGTGACTGCGTGGCGGATGCCCGCCTGCTGCCGCCGCCGCCCCCGCCTACGTTGGTCGGGTAGCGGGGCGGCAACTGCTGCGGGTGGTCTTGGTGCGACGGCCACCCTCCTGCTTCCTGCTGGGGGTGCTGGTAATGCTGCTGCTGGTGGTGCGGGCGCTGCTGATACTCGTGCGGGTGGAGGTATTGGGAGGGCTGGTGCTGCTGTTGCTGCTGCTGGGACTGAGGCTGCAGCTGTTGTTGCTGCTGGGGGCCAGGCCAGCTGTTCAGCGCCGAACCCGGGGGTGCGGAGGGAGCCACTCCGGCCATGCCACCACCGCTGCCACTCACCCCGCCCAACTGCGAATTGCGACGCGAGTTGGGGTAGCTGCCCGCATACCCGCCCGGCTGGTGTTGTTGCTGCTGTTGCTGTTGGTGTTGTTGCTGCTGTTGTTGCTGCTGCTGCTGGTACTGTTCCAACGCCCATTTGTACGTGGCGGCAGCGGCCTCGTCCGCCGATGCTGCGTCCGCGCCGCTTGCGTCCATTTCAGCTGCCACTGCGTCCACCTCCGCCATTAACAGCGACTGGTAGGATTGATGCTGTGAAGGTGGTTGGAGCGGGGGTTCGGAGGGAAGCTCTCCAGGCGCCGTCAGCGGCGGTACGCCGTTCGCAAGCGCGTAATGAGGCGGAGGCGTGGGTGAATGGCGCTGCGGATGTGGGAAGCCCGCATGCGATGCCGGGATTCCTACCGCTCCGCCATCCGAGCTGCGCGCCTGCGGACCCAACTGGCCGCCGTACGCTGATTGCATGTACGACAAGTGGGCCGGCACTGGCTGGTGCTGCTGCTGTTGTTGTTGTTGCTGGTGCTGCTGTTTGGCCGCTGCCGCTGCAGCAGCCGCGGCAGCCGCTGCTGCCGCCACCATGGCCCCCTGAAGCGGGCCCATGTGCCGGGCAGTGGCCGCCATGTCGAGGGGCGCCGCCATGCCGCCATTAGCGGCTGCATGCCCGGCACCAACCATGTGACCCGCTGCTGCCTCCGCTTCCGCGCCGCCATACCCATGCCAGCCCTCCTCCGCTCCGCCCTCCTCCTCCTCCTCTTCATCTCCCTCGTCCCCCTCCTCCTCTCCCTCCTCGCCACCCCCGTGCTCCGCCAGCTCTCCCATTTGCTCATGCTGCTCCGCTCCCTCCTCCCCAGCCTCTCCCTCCTCGCCTCCACCCATATCCATGTCCATCTCATCATCCGTTTCCGTGCTCGCCTTGCGGCCCCGGCCCCGGCCTCGCCCCCTGCCACGACCTCTCCCTCGGCCACGCCCCCTGCCGCGGCCCCGGGCACCCCAGCGGCCCCTGCCCCTGCCTCGGCCGCGACCACGTCCCCTGCCGCCCCAGCGACCCCGCCCACGGCCCCTGCCGCGGCCCCTAGCGGGCGCCGCATCGTCGGATGGAGACCAAAGGTCCATGTCATAGCCGTCCATGCCGGCGGAGCCCTCCTCGTCCTCAGGGTCGGCGTAGACCGTCGCCATGTCCATCTGCGCGTCGTGGGGGTAACCGTCAACCGCCATCGCAGCCGCGCCAGGGCCAGCGTAGCCCATAGCGGCTGCAGCTGCAGCGACAGCTGCAGCGGAGGAGCGGCCCCTGCCCCGGCCTCGCCCCCTGCCGCGGCCTGTCGGCGGCGGTGACGCCAAGTACGACGGCATCCCCATCGGTTGCGCCGCCATGTGCATGGCCGAGTGTACGGACATGCCGTACATTTCCGCATGCATGGACACCGTCGCCGCCCCACTCATGTCCACGTCCATGGCGCCCGCAGCAAAGCCCATACCCAGCGCATCCCCAGCCGTCGCCGCCGCCACGGCCATGCTCCGCGCGCCCCAACGCCCGCGCCCCCTGCCACGTCCACGTCCCCGTCCACCTCCCTCTATCCCAGCCGCCGCCGCGGCAGCGGCGGCGGCCGCTGCCGCCTCCTCCATCGCCCTGTACACCCTCGCCTCACTCTCCTGGATCTCAGCTTGGCTGTTGCGCCGTGCTTCCCCAATGGCTGCTGCGAAGGCGCTTACAAAGTCCGGGTCGGCCGCCTGGTGTGCGGACTGCAGCTGCTGGGAGTCGTGTTCGGGCACCCGAATGAGCGGGCGGACCAGCACGCTGGTGTGCGGGAAGATGATCATGCGGTGCTCGCCGCGCGCCACCCGCACGGAGCCCTCGTCCAGGTCCTCGAAGGCCAGCTGGCGCCAGGCAGGCAGCTGTGGGATGGTAGGACATGGGCAGCGACTTGAGAAGGAGAAATTGGATAGAATACCTGTAGTGGTAGACTCCAAGACTGGGCACAAAGATTGGCAGCTCTAACCCGCTCAAGCCACCACCGTACCCATGCCCCCCCAGCCCCCGACCCATCCAGCTCACCGCATCCGCCGTCGCCGGCAGCACCAGCGCCCGCACCCCCAGTGCGATCAGCCGGTGCCGCAGTCCCTCCACCAGCGCCCGCAGGTGCCCCTGCCGCCGGCAGTCGAAGCGCGTGGCCACCAGCGGCATCTCAGCCATGCTGGAGCCCAGCACGCGGATCAGCGCCGACAGCACCGGCCGCCCGCGAGCCTCCTTGTCGGCGCCCCTGTTGTAGGGTGCGGAGTACATCCGTACGTGAAAGGTGCAGGGCTCGAGGAAAAGGGACGGACTTCTGCAGGCTTCTAAGCTTCTTTGTCGATCAACAAGGCCCCAGTTCACAGCATTCCCACCTAGTGGTCATTCAGCAGCGAGTGTTTGCAATCCCGCGCGCCCCGCTGTCACGTACCTGTAGCGCAGCAGTACGGCATACACGCCCTGGAAGTCGTAGTCCCCCGCGGACTCCGCATACACCATGCGAGGCAGCAGGTCCTCCCCGCTGCCCGTGTCGATGATGGGGTCGAAGGACTCCTGGGGGGCAGCAGGTGGGAGGGTGGCAGGGCGAGATAGATAGTGAGATACCGGCCACTAAGAAGGTTGGGGTAACGATAATGAGAGCAGAGGTGAAGGGTACCCCCACACCTCATACCTCTCAACCCCACACTTCTGACCTCCCATCCCCACATCCCAGACCTCGCACCTGCAGGATCTCCAGTACCGTCGACAGCGCGCGCGAGGTTCCCTTGGTGCCGTCCTTGCCGCGGATGAACTGCCAGCGGTAGGCGGGGTTGCCGGGCATCAGGCCCTCGCCCGCCGCCACGTCCGCACTAAGGGCCTGGCGTATGCCCACGCACTCGTCACTGCAGAACCACTCGCCCTCGGGAACGGCCTGTGGGGCACACGAAATACACGAAAAGTGAAGCAACGGAGTAGGGTAGGGTAGCGGGTTGCGGTGGCTGCTGTTGTCGGGTGCAGGCGGCATGCACCTCTCCCCGGCGCTGCATACCACACGGTCTGTGCCGCCGAAACCCTCATCACACCATTACAGCATCCTCGAGCAGCCTTCTCCCCATTCATTTTTCGCCGACCCACGGGTCACTGCCTCCCCCAGCCACCCACCTGCATGTCCACCATCTTGTGCTCCCTCAGGCAGCCGATGTGGAACTCCTTCTCGCACTGGTCGCAGATGAGCACCGTCTGGTCGCTGAAGCCCTCGCGGTCGAACTCCGGCTGGTGGCACAGCACGCAGCTGCTGGCGAGGTCGGCGGCGAGCGCCTCGGAGCTGCGGGTTGAGGGGCGGAGAGAGGTGTGTAGGCATGGAGGGCGCGCGGGGCGGCCTTGGGGAAGGACCAAGGAACGCAAGGGTTTGACCTGGTTCCGCAACCGCGCCAAATACAAGCCTCGGGGGGGACTGGGGGTATCGTAACGTATCTGTGACTTACCCGCCTTCTCCCTCGTGCGCTTCAGCCTCCGCATGGCCCATGCCCGCGCCATCCTCGCCCTCATGTGCCCCATGCTCCTCCATCTCCCCGTTTGGAGCCGCTGTAGTCCTAGCAACCGCGTGCTCTCCACCCTCACCCGCACCAGCTGCAGCTGCGGCCGCAGCGGTAGTGGGTGTGTGCTTATGGTGGCCGCCGCCGCAGCAAGCAGCAGCAGCCGCCGCAGCCGCCTTGCCACGCGGCTTGGAAGGCGACTTGGCCGGGGCCGGCGCGCCATCCGCAGCCGCAGGGTCTGACGGCATGATACGCTCCGCTATGCGTTTGAGAGTGGTGCCGTTTTCCGTGAGGATGGACTCGTAGGGGTTGCGGCGGTGCTTGTGGCCTGCGGAACGTGGCGGTTGTGCAAACGGGCGGACGGGCGAAGCACATGCAGGGTTATCCGTTTGTACGGCACTGGCCGTGCAGCACATGAAGAAGAAACGCACATGCCGTACATGCGCAGTGGAGAAGGGTTATCTGCATGCGAGGTGACCGCAAAAGCGCCCGGCTTGCCGTACGGCTGTAACCTCGAGTACACCACGTGTACGGGTACTGGTATCGCCTACCTGCATGCGCCTCAAAGGCCGAGGCGCTGATGACCTTGCTGCAGCACTCGCAGCGGATGCCGCTGGTGCCGCCTGGCACGATCACCACCGTGCCGCTCAGCAGCCGCTTGCCCTGGATGGTGTAGTGCACACGGTCTCCGTCCTGGGGGCGGAGGCGGAAGGAGGAGAAGGGCATGGAAGGGCGGAAGGAGGAGGGCGAAGGAAGGGCATGGAAGGGCGAGGGCGCAGGGTGGGAGGGGGTAAAACTAGGGGCAGGGAGTAAGGATGCAGTGAGAAGCGCGCACGGCACGTGCATGACATGATTAACACCGCAAAATCCCGCGGGAAAAGTCCCGCGGAAGCACACGGCAGTCACCCGCACCCACCTGCAAGCCGCCTGGCCCGCCGTCAAACAGCGTCCTGCTGCGCACTATCCGCCGCGGCGCCCGGGGCCCGGCCCCACGCATCGCAACCGGTAGCGACATCTGAATGCGGCCACCGGCAGCCGGCCCGCGCGCATGCGGCGGCGGCGCCATGGCAAGATGCAGCTTGGGCGGGGCTGCAGCCTTCTGCCTCTTCCGTCTCCGGCCGTTAAACTCATAGTCCTCATCATCCGAGTCCTTGTCCTCATCGTCCTCATCCTCGTCTTCATCCGCTGGGTAGTCCGCCGCTGCCGCCGCCGCCGCATCGGCGCCCCAGGCATCCGCGCCAGCAGGCGGCTGCCTCTGCGACTCCTCGCCAGCTGGCGCAGCTCCCGCCTCGCCTCCCTCCTCACCCTCGCCTCCTCCACACGCAGCCGCCGTTCCCTCCGCAACCACCGCACTAGCGATGCACGACACTCCGTCACCACCCTTGGCCATCACCGCCCTCGCCTGGCTGAACAACGCCTCGGCCATCTGCGCCTGGTTCAGGGCGGCCGCGGAGCCCCGGCCCCGGCCTCTTCCACGGCCCCGGCCGCGCCCGCGGCCTCTTCCTCGGCCCGTCTGCGCGGTTTCTATGTCTAGGAATGCGGTGTTAGGGCGCTTGATGCGCTTGCCGCTGGAGGCCTGGACGCAGATGGGGCACTGCCAGGGGTCGGAGCCGTTGGGCAGGTTGTAGGGACCAACGCAGGATGCATGGCAGTGGCCGCTGCAGGAGGGGCAGCCCAAGACCTGTGGAGCGGGGCAGCGAGGCAGCAGTGGGGCGCAATTTATATAGGTATGAGGTATCTGCACCCAAGCCGCTGAAAACACCATAACAACATCGCCTGTCGCCCTTGCCATAAGATTTATTACATACAGAATAGTGTACAGAGGTGGAATTATTGCTCTGCGGAACACGCACCTGAGACGAGGGCCCGTTGGTCGCCTGCTCCTTGTAGTTTAGCGGCAGTGCACGCCGGCACACGGTACAGCAGCCCTCCGGAACCACGGGTCGCTCCAGTGCCGGAACCAGGTGCGCCGGGGCGCTGCCCGGCCCCGTCCCCGCTTCCTCGTCACCTGCAGCCGTCTCGGTGGACACCGTCTCCGTCACGGTTTCCGTATCTGCGGACGCCGTTTCTGTCGTCGCCGTGGAGGTGGTTGGCCCTGCCGCAACCACCGCGGCCCCTGCCTGCGGACCTGGCCGCGGGCTGCTGCTTACCGTGGCGGTGGTGGCCGCCGTGGCCGCCACCGCAGCGGCCCCGGCGCCGCGCTGTGACGCCGGCCCGCTCGCCTGCGCCGCCGGGCTCCCCGGCGTCTGCGCCACAGCCTCCCCAGCGGGCGCCAACGCCGACGCCAAGCCCAAGCAGCGGCACGCCATGATGCCCAGGTCGCGCAGGTTCAACTGGATGTCAGCCAGGTAGGTGTGCTCCGCGGGCTTCTTGTGCGAGCCGCCGCAGTGCACCTCGAACTCGGTGAGCGAGAAGCGCCGCTCGCCTTTACACTCGTTGCAGCCGCAAGCCACCGCGCCTCGCTCCATGATGGTGGCGGAGTGCACCGGAAGGTAGCGGCCCACGTTGTCGCGCTGGGCGGGGGCGGGGGACGGAGCCAGGTAAGCGAAAGCGGAGCAGTGTGATATATGGCATGCCCAATTCGCATCAGGCTGGGGGAGGGAGGAAACACGTCGGAAACACCAGCAGGTTGGTGCCCGCTGGCATGTCAGCAAGGTACCCCCCTTCCACCCTCTCGCTACCGGCCTACGCACCTTCCGGTACTCCACCCGCTTGCCACACATGCCCTGACACCGCATCAGCGACTTGGCGTTCTGCGGCGGCGCCTCCCGAGCCCTCACGATCTGACGGCACAAGTCCCGCACAAAGTCCGCCTGCGCTTCGTTCAGCTTGATGGGACCATCCAGCCAGGTGGGCTCTTCCACAAACTCGTTGACTGCGGTGCCATCATCGCCTCCAGCACCGGCGCGTGCCGCCGCCGGCCTCCTGCCCCTACGCTTAGGGGTTACGGCGCAGGCCGCCGCGCCAGGCGTGCCGGAGGCTTTCCGCTCCGGCTCACCGCCTGGACCGTCCTCCAGAGCTCCGGCAGGCGACTTGGCGGCGACGGGCTTTCCAGCCCCGTCGGCCGAACGTTTGCCGCCCACAGGCGCCGCTGCTGCTGCAGCTGCCGTTTCGCTGGCGCTTTCTTGCCCCGCTGCAGCAGCAGCAGCGGCTGCCGCTGCCGCCGCGCGTCCCCGTAAAGGCCGCTTAGAGGCCGAGCCGTCGGAAGGCCCACTTGAAGCTGCTGACACCCCGGAGGCTCCCTGCCCCGCTGCCCCCGCCGCCGCAGTAGAACCCTCCTCCGCAGCGTTTTCAGCAGCATCAGCAGCCGCTCCCCGCTCCTGCCTGGCGCGCTTCGCCGGCGGCAGGCCGTCCGCACTGCTGGTCCCCGCGGCACCACTGTCATCAGCATCCGCGCCCACGCTTTGACGGCGCCCTGCCGACGTCTGCTGCGAGGCCTGTCGCTGCTGCTGCTGCTCAGCAGGCCAAAGGTCGTACATGACCGCCCCAATGACTTGCGAGCGGTTAGGACCCATCAGCGCAATAGCAAAGTTGGCATTGGCTGCTGCGGCGCGCTGTGGCCGGCGCGACGGCGGCGCCGCGGCCTGGGCCTTGCTGGGCGGCTCAGCCTGCTGTTGTTGTTGTTGCTGCTGCTGCCTGCGCTGACCGGGCGTCCTGCGTTGCGGCTGCTGGCTGCCAGCCGGCAGCTGCGGCTCCTTAGCAGCCTCGGGCTCCCGCTCCTCTAGGACCTCGGGGGCGGATGGCTGCTCGGGAGGCTGGCCGGCGGCCGGTGGGGGCTGCTCCGAAGGCGTCGTGTGGGGCTGTTCAGCAGCTGCAGTTGCGGAAGGATCGCGCTCAGCTGCGGTGCCCTCATCAGGCACCTTGTCGAGAAGGGCGACAGGGGGCAGCTCTCCTGTGGGCTGCTCGTCTGCAGGTTGCTGCTGCTGCTCCTGCGCCGCAGCTTCCGAAGGCGTGGGGATAAGCTGTGCCGGCGGCTGCTCCCCCTCTTCCATTGCCGTGGGCTGGAGCTGCTGCTGTTCAAGTGGGGCGGGGACAGGCTGTGGAGCGACCTCCTCGGGCTGCTGGGAGGGCGGTTCGGTGCTGGTGGGCATCTCGGCCTGCGGCTGAGCGATAACAGCTTCCTGCATTTCCACAAGTGTTGCCTCTGATGTGGGTTCGCATTGTGAAGGTAGCGTTTCCGGGACCGAAGAAGGTTCTTGAGCCGCTGGCACCTCGTTACCGCCGGCGTGACCAGCGCATGGCTCCATTTTGGCGGCATTGTCCTGTCGAAGGAAATAAGGAAACTTATGTAAGGTTACTATGCAATCTGTAACATCGGCTCGCATTTGATGCCTGGCAACCGCAAAACTATCAACGGTAGTGGGCGGCCAGCGATATGACTAACGCACTTTTTCAGCGCGCTAGAATGCCCTTCCCGGTTCACAAGAATGGGCATCAGCACATGTAAAAGCACACAATGTGGCGCAAATTCAATCCCGGTTCCGCTATTGGCAGCGGTGTCAGCGGCTGGCGTGCTACGTAGGAGTGTTGCACGTAAGCACAGAACACCGCCCTGTAGCCGACGCGTCATCTAAACTAAAGACGTGAACGTTAAGGAAGATATTCACTTAGGGTTACAGAGATCGCCGTGGCCGTAGTTAAGACCGGTCTCGCTTGCGACACACAGCGTGCTAGTTTGCGTGCTCGTTCGCCGCTGTCAACAATGAGCATGTTATATCTACATGTGCTTAGCAGTTCGTAAGAGCGCTACTCCGCCCAGCGAAGCGCCACGCATCCGGACCCGCATACTACCGACGCGTACCTGGCTGTTAGAAGGCTGACCGTCGGGGTCGCCTGCAACACTCGCGGCCTCTCCAGTATCCATGTCTCCACACTCTGATTAGACAGCGTCTAACTGCTCACTCATCAATTGCAGCACGGGTCGCTCGGCCGCTGAAAGGACGCATGGCCGTGAGATACAATGCCAGTAGACCAGCTGACCACCGCCTGCCGCCAGGACAAAAAGGAGGCACAGCAAATACAAATACGTGTGCGTTAAGCATTATAGACGGGATGTCTTCGCTAAGTGCAGTGGACGAGGCGCAGGCTTTCTCGGCCAAGGCCTTGGCCTTCCCAGCGGCGGCTTTAGGAGGATGGAGCATTTATTAAGATGTTTAAAGACGTTCTGCCAACAACGCCAATCCTCCTTTATAACGCTGACCTGCCGCCGTGGAGGAAGCCAAAATGACCTCGGTTTGACGACCACCTTCCGCACACAAATCCAAGCTAGGCCTGCAGCTTATAAGCACTAAATAGACACGGTTCTTCGGCTATAATAAACAGCAGCGGTCGTGGCAAACGAGGGAAACCAAGACCAGACCCTATGAAATACTAAACGGTAAGAGCGCAGCAGCTTTGCTAAATTTCAAATTGCTTTATTCTCCTCCAAGCAAGAATGGTGAAGTCAGGAGGTCGTACTGTGTACTGTACCCGGTGGACTACCATGTCGCGATCAGTCAATTATGCCGATACAGAGCTATGCAACAAAGCTACATTTCAACGTGATAACATTAGAAAGAAGGAGCACTGTTAGGTTCTGCCGCCCCTGGATGTCGGTGGCACTGTTGTTAGCTTCAGAAGCAGGGGAAAATGTGCGGCGCAGAACGTGCGCTTCCCTAGCTTCTCAAACTGTGTTGCGGCACAAATGCATTCGAGCTTCCTTCACGGCAACGGCGAACCCACCATGGAACGTGTCCTTGGGACTCGGCCAAAACTGCACAACTGTAGACAACCGCGCTATGCGGCTTGAGCATTACGAAAATGGTTCGTTTGATGGGTATTGGTCTGCACAGCTCGGATGGAGCCAGTATGACAGCGTACGGCATGTGGGCTTACACGCATGCGGCAATAGGGCCGCGTCGCGGATCGGACGGCGAGGGCTTCCGTACATAGGGCGTCGACGGCTGGCACAAAACACCGGAATCGCTGCACATATTTACATACATGTCCGCCACATGCGCATGCCAGCTTGGGCGCTCTACATTTTAAGGTCCTGTCCTCGCGCAGGCAAGTTGCCTGTACCTGGTCACAGTTTTCCGAGTGCTTCAGCCCATAAGCTATCGGCATAACAATTGTACACTACTTAAATAGCAGTTCCAATGAAACTGAGCGCACCATGTCTTTTGGCAGCCAAGGCCGCCGTAGGTACGGTAACCTGCATGGAAACCTGCGTGCCTGCAGTGTTGGCTACGGTACCGGAATGCGAAAAATACATGTACAGATTTTAGCGTTGTCTGCTTACCACATCTGCGACAGGCCATGGTGTGCTACTGTACGTTGTAGTACGTCAGTATTGCCAGTATTGTCAGTATTGCACCTGCAGCATATCCTTAATCACATACGCTGAGCCTTTGCGATGGCTAAAGCCTTGCGAATAGTCCGTCGAAATTTATTTGGCACGGATGGGCAGTACAGGTAAACCGCTGTATCCATCAGCTCACACTCAGCGCAGAGCGCTGAGCTTTACACAATTTGCCCTCTTGTCGTCAACCTATCTCAGCTAGCGTTTAGAACAGAAGCGGAGCGGGCCAGTAACCTGTTAAGGCATTCCGCCTGCCTGCTGTCCGCACGCGGCCGTTTCCAAGCAGCCGCCTGAGTAACACGGCTAATCAGTTGCATCTTTTGTGATGGCAATTCTAGAATGCGACATGGAAAGCCCCATGCGCTCATTCTATGCGCGGCACGAGAGCCCCATCCGCTTATCCTGATTTTCCTCGCTAGGACGACCATGTGGTCCCACGCTTGCGTTGGCCAGTGGCATAAGCGCGACGAATCGGGCCTGGCATGTCTATGCCGCGACACGACTGGTAAGGCTAGCTATGGAAAGGAAGGAAGGAACATTACCTGCAATTAGGGACGTAATGAATTCACAGGTGCTGCGCCTGCTGCCCCAAAGGCAAGAACACCGCCCAGCAAGCCAGGTCAAGGAGCTCCCGTTCGCAGCGGTCGGCTTTGTCCACCCAAGCCATCGTCGTCGACTACCCATCCATGGGTTGTCGCTGACGCCACGCGCCCCTGTGCATGCAACTGATCAAACCCATGCCACCAGGCACGCATGTTGATTTGTTGAGAGGCCACGTACAGGAGGCCATGTACCTTACCGGTATCCAAATGTGCACCTTTCATGGGCGGGAGAGGCACACACCCCCCACCCTAACCCTGCTCAATTTCTTGGTCCAAACGCAATGCCCTCAGTCCATTCCAAGCGTGTCCAGTTATCCAAGTCCTGGTCCAAGTCCGTTCGTATCGAAACCCAAACTACAAACCGTGTGAAGGTTCTTAGCCAGAACACGCACCGGCAGCAACATGAGCACTGCAGCAGCAGCAGCCCCAATCGCATTTCATCAAGTTGCCCCATGCCACTGTAGGTGCAAGCGGCTAAATGGTGCCCCAAGGCGAATTGCGTAGTTGAAGCAGTATTCCAGGCAAGGCCCAGGCGTGCATTTTGGCAGACCTCGTCCCGACCTCTACCCTTATGGCGATTATGACCCATGGGCCATGCACGGCAAGCAACAGGGTACACAGGCCTACCCAAACAGATCATCTTTCTAAACCGCAAAGACAAACGAGTCTTCTTCTACGCACACCATGTTGTGCGACGTGTACGCTATGCCCTTGCGCCAAGCCTTTGCAAACCCCCTGCCCTTACGAAGGTTGCGACAGGATGCGCCAAGAGGAATCAGACGTCATACTCACAAGTGTGAAACAACAATACCTTAGCCAGAAAACTACCATGACAGGTCATTTCCACGTGCCATGTTAATAAGCAAGCCAGTCCACAGCTCACGGGGCGTCTCAATCTTGAAGTGTCAATATCCGTTTCGGGAATAATGGGTCCAAGTATGTTTCAACGCTGCCGCTTTGATACGTTACGTACCGGTATGTAGCTGCACTTTAAAGCCAATTAGTTAGATATGTCTGCCATGGGATAACCCAGGTAATTACTACCACCACGTCCACACTTAAACAGGGAAACACGTCCACCTGCATGCATTATAATATATATCTATAATATACTAGACACAATTCCACACAGCGTACGTAGACACGGTATCTTCCTGAAGGAAGCTGCATGGTTACCCTTCACCCATTTACCCTACCAAGTCACGTGTTCCCTCCCCTTTGGCTCGCCCCACAACGGATGGATCACAGGCCACAGCCATCTTCTATCACCCTGCACGACCCGCCGTAGCATTCCGTAATTCATACCCGATAGCCGCACCAACATGCGATTTAAGCGATAACGGCCTTTGCAATAATAACATGCATTCTACACGAGTTAGTTCAAGGTTCCTTTGGCAGCGTTGCGGCGCATAACACAAGCAAGGCCTTCTTCTGGCGCCAACTGGCTTTCTGGGCACGAAGCAGAAGCCATTGCATGCCGCCCCATCTTCATCCTAAGTTCCAGTGCTGCTGTCACTCTGCGTGTGCCGATCGTGCAGGCGGCACGCTGGTAGCAGTTGCCGTCGACGTCGCCGGCGGCAGTAGTTCTGGTGTTGCGTTCGCGCTTTCCACGTCGCGCCAGTGGTGGTAGTTGGCCTGGAAGCAGTGTAGCAGTGGGGTGGCTCCAGGGAACGCCCCCACGACGGCTTGCAGCAGCGGCAGGGCCACAAAGTCGTAGAAGCCAACCTGGCGCCGCATTGCGAAAGGGGGATGGATATGGAAATACTGACCGGCGAGCATGGGCTCTCCAGCTCGCTGGATATACCGGTATCGCCGAGTGTTACGGTAAAGAATACCGATACCGGTAAAGAAATCCCTGCCAAAGGACCCGTCCCGGCTGTCCGCATGCCACCCCTCCTGCCCCCACGCACCTGGCTCTTGCCGACGCCCTGCTTGGCCCGGTCAAACAGCGGGCTGATGGGCATCCCCAGCTGCCGCTCCCGGTCTCCCTGCCGGAAGAACTCCTCCTCCAACCCGGCCAGCCACCTGCACACAGCAGAAGGCGCAGCAGAGGGCGGTATGGAGGGCGGGAGGAAGGCGAGAGATGTTAGGTACCGGTACCGTAGCCAACTACCGGTAGTCATGTCATGGCCCCTGAGGGACAAAGCATGATGACGCGTTGAACGCCGTTGGCCCTCCCAACGGTATCCACCGCCACCCATTCCACCCGATGCCAAGAAAGCACTACTCACCTCTTGTGCGTTTCCAGCCGAGCCCCCAGGTGCCCCAGGTCTGCTACCTTGAGCGCCATCTGTGGTTGCCAGGTAGGGAGGTACGGCACGGTACATCGGACAACATCGCATAACACAGGTTGAAACACATGTGTGACGGCGCAACAGCCCAACAGGTTATTGTACAACGCGGAAGTGGAACGTGCAGGAAGGAACGGGATGCATGGCCCGTTCCAGCTGTTGAGCAAAGCCACCCTCCAAGCACGAACATGCACTCCAAATGTTAATTGCAGTAGGCCCGGAAGCCCGGCACTTGCAAAACACACCTCACTCCGCACGCCCCTCTTACAATTCTTACACTCAAGCCTTTCAAGCAACACCTACTACCGGTACCCCTGAAACGCCCGGCACGAACCTGCAGACTCAGCAGCCTCTCCGCCTCGTCCACGGGTACTGGGGCGAGCGCACAGGCAGGGCCGTCAAGGGAGGGCACGTGCAGATGGCGGCGGTGGTTGAAACTGCTGCCTTGCGAAGGCCCAACGGTGCTGGCGGTTGCAAGGCGGTGTACGGTGTTAAATTGGGCGATTACGGCAAAGTGCTGCTTCATGTCTGTGGCCATAACCATCTCAATCATCTGCGCGAATGGGCAAGAGAAGGACACAGAATGTGACGTTAGTAATTGTCGCATGGAACGACACTGCGACAGCGCGTACCGCCTCTTCTCCCTCTAAGCACGGCCCTACACTGCTCGGCCCCTACTGCATGCATGCTGCGTCATCGACCGCCCCCAGCCCCTGTCCAACCTCCGTCCTCACCTGTTTGCGCAACGCTGTCCGTTCCGACGCACTGAGCCCACTCAACACGTCCAGCCGGGTCGCTTGTGACCCATGGGTCTGCACCTCCTTCGGGGGCAGCATCAGGCTGAAGGCGGCGGCGCAGTGGTGGCTTTCCAGCGGCGAGCGGTCGTTGTATCGCAGGGCCAGGGGGTGGCTGGTGGCGATGAGGAAGTCGTTGGTTAGCCCGGGGTGCCCATAGTCGTGGATAATCTGGAGGTGGGGACGAGGGAGGAAGGCAGTTAGGAAGAAGCAGATACGAGTGCACTAGAAGCTTAATGGCGGTGCCCCATCCTTCTTGAGCCCATCCATCGTCTTTCTCCACGCCCGCCACGCCCAGGCCGCGACCCCACATACAGGTGCGCTCCGAATTGCCCGCCAGTGCAGGACCTACTTGCCGTACCTGTGTAAGACCGTAAGAACATGCGCATGAACCAAGGTACCTAACACTAGCCCCCACACCTCCAGCCCATGCCCACTCACCGCAGCCAGGTACGCCGCCAGCAGCCCCACGTGATCCAGGTAGTGATCCGTCAGGCCGGCGCCGTGCAGCAGCACGTGCAATGTACGGAGCACGTCGGCGGCATGTACGGCGTTGTGGTAGGGGTTGGACGCCTGATAGCCGGCCTCGATAGTGCGGAGCAGCCTGCGGACAAGCCGACCGGGTAAATGCCGTTAGGCAGGGAGCCGGGTCGTGTCATGGGCGCCCCCGGGGGCGTGACTGCAAGTCGACAGGGCACCCGCATCTGCCGGTGCCACATGCTCCGGGGTCCGGGCCCCTTTCCTGCCCCATTTGACAGGCCCCCTGACAGCATCCCACAGCCACCTGTTGGTCCCATGTTTGTTCATGACCGGTACCGGTATCCTTGTTCACCGTGCAAATGCGTCCGCAAGGAACCCTTAGGGTAGTGAAGCCCCTCCTTTCCCCACCTCGCCAGCTTGAGCGGCTCCATGTGGCACCGCTCCAGCAGCCCCGCCTGCTGGATGAGGAAGAAGCCCATCACCGACAGCGCGTGCCCCCCGCTGGCCTGCTGCAGCGACCACATGTCGTACTGCCACTCTCCACTGATGGAAAGCAGCCTCTCAACCTGGGGACAGCAGGGCCGTGGCCAGGAAGCGGTGAGGAGGTTGTTAGGAATACGGTAGGAACCGAACGAGCTAAAGAGGTACCGGTAGCAGGGACTAGTTTGGCCAGCAAGGAACAATAGAGGAGTGCTCCTTGCTCGCAGCAGATGCGACCACGACCCATGGGTCAGCATACCCTACCAAAACGGCCTGTCGCCCACATACCCGCAGTCCCCCAACCGCCCACCTCATCTAGTAGCGACTTGGCTGGGGCGGGCACCGCTAGCGCCCTATCCGTCGCCTCCGCCACCGCTCCCGCCGCCACCCAAGCCACACCATTGCTGCCAACACCCTCGCCGCCACCGCCATCAACCCCATCCTCGCTGCACTCCTCACCCTCCAGCTTGGACGGCATGCTGCGGGCGGGCCTGGAGGGAGCCAGGTCGCCTCCGCGGCGCAGCAGCAGCAGCTGGGCCGCCCCCCTGCGCCCTGCTCGCGGCTGCTGGGACTGCTGCAGTGCTTGCTGCTGCTGGGGCTGCGGGGGCTGGTACTGCTGCATGCAAAGTGGCGTTCTTTGCAAGCGGTCAGATAGGGCCGAGGCCGGCCTGGAGGCGGCTCCAGCACTGGGACGCTCTGAGAACTGGCCTCGTCCCGTGATGACAGGTGCAGCTTCCGCTGAGGGGCGGTCTAAGAGGGAGGAACGCAGGACGTCCCCGGCAACACCAGGCACAGCACGGAGGGGTGTGCCGTTGGGCTGGCCGGAACCCTCAGTCCATTGGCAAGCAGAGCTGGGTCGTGCTGATAAGTCGGTTCGGATGGGGTTCCCAGCTGCTCCCACGGGCAAGGCGCTGCCCAGACGCCAGCCAAACAGGCTGACACCGGAGCTCCGGCGAGGGCTGAGACCCGCGGGTCGCTGCTGCTGGTCAGCAACTGCCAAGGATCCCGGGGCTGTCGGCGTCATTCGCAGCACAACCCCTGAGCTTGTGCCCCTATCCAAAGAGGGTGAGGCCTCCCTTGGTTGCAGCAGCTTACTGATTGGAATGTACGGAGAGGACGCAAAGATGTACTTGGCCTCGCAGACCGCACCCCTACCCTCGAATCCAAGCCCCGAGCGTGACCCCCTCCCTCGCGCTGCCTCAAGCTCCGCTTCTGTATCAAGCAAACTCATCCCCGGGACTGCAGAATCCAAGGAACGCCGCTTTTCTTGATGCGTCAAGTTGTCTTTCTGCTGCCTTTGCTGCTTCGTCTGCCTCCTGGAAACCCTCGCTTGCCGCACCTCCTCCTCCACCTCTTCTTCGTTCTTATCAAGCTCCATTGCGAGGATGACGCCCAGCGCGCCACGCAAGGTCCGGCACTCCGCCCGCAGCCTGCCCTCCCTCAGCTCCTCCGGAGACATCTCCTGCAGCTCCTGCTGGCCAGCAGACGGCAGCGTCTTTAGACCCAGCTCCTTCCCGCCGCATTCTCCTTCTTCTGCCGCCGGCAGCCGGGGGCTAGTCCGCCCCACTCCCTGGGTGCTGGACTCATTCCGCTCCGGGCAGCCGGGAACGGTGAAAGTGGAGCCCGGCTCGTCAGCTCGACCTCGCTCCGCACCCGGAGGAGCGCCACCTGCGTCAGGCCTGTCGTTCAGGTTCAGATCTTCACAGCTGCCAGATCTGGGGGTTCTCGGGGCGGTGATGGGGCTTCTGATGCTGGTGCTGGAGTCGGAGCTTGAGCTGTCCATCATGCCACCGAGCTGACGCATGAGGGAACGCGCAACGTCGGCCTGCATGCATGGGGCGGAGGGGCAGAGGGTTAGGACGGCATGCAAGAGTCAAGAAGCAGCAGGGGGCATGGCAGCTAGGGCAGCAGCGCGGAAGGGCCCAGCAGGGATCACGACGAGCAGCATGACCTTCATGTCTGCGATCCATGGCCTCATGAGGCTTGCAGGAGTCATGCCCCGCTCCTCTCACTGCCTCTCTTCCCGGCCGCGCCCTCTCACATCCAGATTTGCCCCCTTGATACGGGCCCGGAGGTCGAACGGGCGGTACACGTCATCACCGCGCTGCAGCACCGTTCGCAGCAGCACCACGTCGCGCAGCTCGGGCGCCTGGCCGGACAGCAGGCAGCCCAGCAGCGCAACGAGCAGGTCGGCAGGGCAGTCTGCAGGAGCAGGAGGAGGGGGAGCAGGAGCAGGGCATGGTTTGGTGGTGGATCGGAGGAACGGTCGTGGGGCAGCGGGAGGGATGGAATGAAAAGCAGAAGACAACACGTGCAGGCAACAAAAAGGGCAGCAGGGATGGTTCATTGATCTCGGAACAGGTGCAAGCAGATGCGGGTTGCGTGGAACGGCCAAGTGCCCGGTGAAAGAGGAGCACCGGAGGGGTTCAGGCAAGCGCTCTCCGTCTTCGCGACGCACCTGTTCCTGACCGGCGATCGGGCGCTGGCCCCATCGCATCCATATTTTCCGCATGCAGGTCACGAATCAGCTCCCGAGGCAGCAGCGACTCCAGCAGCAGCTGGTGGCGCCGCCTGCAGTCGGGGAGTCGGGGAGACAGGGAGAGCTTCGTGATGGGTAGGGAAGGTGGCTTGGGGGGGAGAGTGCGTGGTGAGGGGAGGGGTCCGGGGTGCATGCACCGGTAGCAGGGAGGCCGCGGAGAAGGAAAGGAAAGAGGGAATGGGCGTAAACGGGACCGATGCCGAGATGGTGTACGGGCACCGGTATGCATTGATCAACCTAAATCGATTGCATGCGTGACAAAGATTGCAGGCAGGGCTGCAGCATTGGCGGTCCCTTCCCGGTCCCATGCGCCCCGCCGTTACCCGGACCGCGCCCGACTTCCGACTCACCTCGACACCAGCAAGCCGAACAGCATCAGCGCCAGGGCCGTTGAGAGTACGACAACAACCGCCACCACGCCGCCGTACCAAGCGGGAGACCAGGAACCCTTTGCAGGGCCCACCAGAAGGCTCCACTGCAGCCACGACAGGTTATTACGGGAGTTGGAAACAACAGGCGGATGTGTAAACCGTAACGGCTTGTCGCGTCAAACGTGCCAACTCTTTCCCAAGCTACGGTACACCACAGCCGCACAAAGGACGTGCCCCTCCCCGTCTCTGCTCTCTCCCCTAGCACCATCCTGCACCGCCTCCAAGCCACCCCGCGCAGCACCAACCCTAGATCTCTGCGTGAGGCACACTCCCTGACCTTCCCCAATTCCCCTCACCTGCGCTCCATCCAGATCGATAATCGCCTCCACCGGGTCACGCGGGACCCCCTCGGCGCTCGATACAACCAACACACGTTCCGTACCGCTGCCCCCGCTGCTGCTGCCAGCAGCGGCAGCAGCGACCGGGTCGGGCGCGGTGAGGGAGTAGCGGTAGCCGTGCGAGGCCAGTGCTTTCAGCGGTGAGGCAGCCCCCTGTTGGCCTGCCATGAGGGTGCCGTCAGCCGCCAGGGTGATGAGCGCAGAGGCCTGCGGGGTGGCGTGAAGAAGAGCAGGAGCCATGCAGGGTTGGGTCGGGGGATGTAACGGGGGTCCTAAAAGGCCTCCCGAGATGTCGTGAGGTTTCCCTTCTAGGACTCTTGCACTACAGCCTTGCTACAGGGCAGGAGCGCGGATGAGAAGAGGGAAGGACGGGTTCTTTCCATCCCGGCAGCAGCACCCCTGCCAGCAGCCACAGCAACACAACAGCAGCAACCCTGCTGTTGGGTTGCTATGGCTGCTGGCAGGGGTGCTGCTGCCGGGATGGAAAGAAGCAGCAACCCTATGCACCCCCGAGCGCTACTCACAAATCCCCACAGCTTGGTACCGCTGGAGGTGTTGTAGGCACACGCCTCGCCACACAGCGCATTGGGCACGTCCGGGCGGCTAAACGTCTCATTTGGGCCGGCCACGGGCACGTGAATGGCCTCCCGCACGATCAGCATGGAGCCTGCGCCGGGCAGCTCAGGTAGCGGGAAGGGCCCGTCCACCGCTGTGCCCCCCTTGGCGGCGGCGCGAAGGACAGACAGCTGGACGCCGGGCCTGGAGGGATCTGTGCGGCAAGCGGGCGAAAGGAGTGGCAAGTGAGCGAGTAGTAGTTTTGCATGGTGCAGCTGCCAGCGTGTCAAGTGTGGTGCTGGGTTGCACCCAGTTGGACATGGTTCGAGGAGGAGTAAGGGAGCATGTGCAGACGGGCGTAGCATTCCTGGATGCATCCGTTCATGTGCAGTAGCCCCTTGCAGGTCGCGTGTCCGGCACGGCGCACACCACCAACCCACCTGACTTAAACAAGTCCAAGCCCAGAAAGGCCTGGTTGCCCGTTGTGGGATAGATCAGTCGTACGATACCCGAGGGTGACAGCCCTAGAGACTGCAGAGAGCCTCTCGGAACCTGCAGGTCAACACACGCATGCGAGCAGAGAGTAAATGTTTCTAGCTGTCGCGACCCAAATCAGGCCACACAGCGTCAGACCGGATCTCAGGACGGGGAATGTGGTAAGGCGAGGCAAGCTGCTGTGTGCTTGGTTTACTTGCCGCGGTTGCGAGGGCGCTGGCGGTGTCGTTAAAGCGGCTCCTGACGGCGTCGTACTGCGGGTCTTGAGCGACCATGGAGGCCAGCACATGCGTCAACGTTGAAGGAATGGAAAGCTGCTGCTGGTAGTTAAGGGCCGCAGCGCTGGCAAGCGATAAGGCTTGGACCTAGGGGCAAGAAAGCGGGAAACGCGTGGAAATTAGTCGCTGCGCACACGCCTGGTGAAGGCGTGCAGGCGACGACCATGCGCAAGCGTGCTCTTAAGCGACAGAGCTGCGTGGTGTTGGCGCCAGAAAACGGAACCCCTTCTTTGCAAGTATGATGCTAAGCCGAGCAACGATACCAAGGTTACCAACTGTCCTACCTTGGCACTGTGTGCGCTCAGCTGAGCCCCACGTGATACAGCCCAGACGCCGAAGCCAACAAAGATCACGAATGCCACAAGTGGCCATAGAAGCGTTGATGGGTAAGAGCGCAGGACAGTTTGGTAACCCTGGTGGCAAACAAAACACGCTTAGTAAGCAGCAGGTAGATGGCAGAGCGTGGTTTCTGCCATGGCACCCAAATGTGTCTTTGAAATTACCTTTGCGTATGATTTGGCACTGCTCCTCCACGACGCCGGGAGCAATGCGCAAATAAAGCCTAGCATTGCCAGACTTCACACGTTCAACAGTCACCTGCTAACTATCTTATTTTGATATGACGTACAGCTAAAATACAGCAACAGAGCCAGTATTGTTGAGTAAGCGGAGGTATAGCCCCGCATCAACCTTGTGAGGTAAAGGAACAGCGCTACCAACCGAAGGCCTGAAAGCAAAAGTCGAAAACGTCAGGCTGATATGCCTCCTGTCGTGATCCTTTTGCGTCAAAGCCCCTTTTCAGGTTTCGGTCGAAAGGTGACGGCAAAGTGCCATAGTAAGAACTCAGGTACGCTGGACCTGGGCGGACCCTAACAAAGCTTTCGCAGGGAAAGGGCAGAGGACCCACAGTATCAGAACCTTTGCGATTCGTTCCGTAAAGGGCTTCGGCTGTCAATTTATTGATGGAACCCAACAGAGTATATATCTGTCTTTATTACTGTTTTGTGCATGTGAGCAACTCCAAACACTCGAAGATTTAGAGCCCTGTCCTGCATTTGCAAGTGTATTTCGTGTATTTGTCATGCTATCGTACATAGGAGCCCAACAGCTTTGCAGTGGTTTGGCTTTTATACAACTTTTGCCGTCTATCCCTTCTAAACTCAAGTTGTTTTAGTCCGTGCGGTTCATGAGCCACATGACTCCCCTGTAATACTCGCAGTCTCATGGCTCGTCCGGGCCTTACGACAACTTGTAACAACTCACGCACTCAGTAACTTGGGTGCATTTCTTTACCAAGGCCTAACATCAAGATTTTAAGTGTATAACTCAAAGAAACTCTGCCCGATCGCCTCGCCGAATGTAACAGTAACCAAGGCCAGCAGACCGCAGTCAGTCTTTGCCGCAAAGAAAGTCTTACCGGAAAGGGAACTCTTACAAAACTCCTGCCTAACAGTGAAGCGGGTTTACTGCCTATTTGGTTCAGAATGCGAAGGTTACAAGGGGGACCGGAGCTCCTTAAAGCCTTTGGTTTACAAGCCTTTGGTTTGGCTTATGCTGAAGCACTTGTCCGGTAACAAGTTGCCCAATCAAAGCACCTTTTCTGGCCACACGCGTCTGACAGGTACCGTGTTCCATAGCTTGAGCGGCTCCATGTGGCACCTGCTGGATGAGGAAGAAGCCCATCACCGACAGCGCGTGCCCCCCGCAGGCCTGCTGCAGCGACCACATGTCGTACTTGCCGTTTAAAGACGACAGCCGGCCAGCCGCTCAAGATGCATGCGCTTGCACCTAAGTTAATCCGAACCCGCGAAAGGGCTTCTTCATGGTTGCTGTGGTTGCATATCGGTGCCTTGTACGAACAAGATCACTCGTCCTGCGCCACGACCCATGGGCCCGCATTCCCACACAGGTTGACCCTCTCCTGCGAACATCACGCGAAACCCCAACCCAAAATCGCCCCCGTGCCGCACCGCCTCCCTCTGCGGCTGCTTGGTACGTCAAGGTCCGGGTCAGGGTCCCCGCCGGCGCCAGATGCCACCTCGGGGCCTAAAGAAAGCAAGGAGATGGGGAACGAGAGGGGTATTTGCAATCCTTACAATTGCGGTTCAATTGTATACGTCTTCACCTGCAGGCATACAGGGTGCACTACGGTTTGTTCCGTTTCTTTTGCAATGTAGGGTTGGGTTCATCACCCGTGTTCCCTTTTAGGGCACCATTGTAACGGTCATTCAAAACTGCAAGAAGCTCAAACCCACCAGTGCAGGAGTAATGCCCATAACAATGATGAGCTATGTAATAACTCGACCTATTCTCTTCAGCATCTTGCAACACAGACGAAACAAACTCAGTTCTATCTCCTCCAATGCCCACATCCCGTAACTGGTGGGTGGGAATGAGGTATAAGCACGTACCTATTTACTAAGCCAAGATGCCCCAAGCTATGTACAAAAGCGATCCAACTTCCCGCACAGGCGTAGTGCAACACACAAAAAGCAACACCGCCCAATACCCTACCAACGCAGTACAATCCGTACAATATACTTTTGCCAAACATTGACTGGCTTCCGGATCACATGGCTGCATTGAAGTTTATTCCTTTATTCATTAGCAAACGACGAGTAATTTTATTCAAAAGCACACGACAAATCACGAGAGGTTAATGGGACCGACCATCCCCAAGTTTTCTATGCATGTGCCGTTCAACCACAGCACAGATAAGAGTCACATGATAGGCACGCTCACTACTCCCCTAATCCTCGCTCCAAACCCTGCAAGCCGAGTAAGCAGCCCTCGCTAGCCATATACCAGCAAGGCCAGCAGTCGAACGTGCAGCGCCAAGCTTCACGGATTGGGTTGATTTGTGATATCAACATGGCTCACTCATTTACTTTTCAGTGTCTTCTTTTCAGTGCCGAGATCAGTTCAGGACAGTGCAAGCAGCTTGAACCGCGGCAAAAACCACTTCGCACTTCCCATCTCACACCAAGTCCATGGAAATCAACACAGACTCCCACCCCTGCGCCCCCACCCCCTTACTCGACGCCCGAGTCGCCATCTCCCACGTCCCCACCATCTCCTCCGTCTGACCGCTGCTCAACAACCCGCTACTCCCCCTCGTGCTGAGGACAGCGCTCTTCAAAGGGATCGTGCTAGTCGGGGTGCCGGGCCCCTTCACGTCATCCTCCACATCCCTGACGACGGCGGTGAGGAGTCTGGTGACTGCAACCCCGGCGCTGCAACGTTCCGCTTCCCCCACCGCCAGCCCAGTGGTTACCGGTACCCTCCCCGTCGCCGCTCCCGTCATCATCCCGGTCATCGCCCTTCTCCCGCCACAAACCGGCTGCTGCTGTGGCTGCTGCTGTGGCTGCTGCTGTGGCTGCTGCTGCTGCTGCATCCCTTTGACCTGCTCCAGCCCCTGCCGCAACTGCTGCTGCTGCTGCTGTTCCTGCTGCTGCTCCGCGTCCTGCGGCTGCAGCTGCTGTTCTTGCTGTTGCTGCAGGGCCTCAGCTCGTATGTCCCGCTCAATCTGCACCAGACCCTCCACGATCGCAGCCATGTCAGGCCGGGCAGCGGGGTCGTGGCTGAGGCAGCGGCGGCCCAGGGAGATGAGGCCCGCGGTGAGGTCGGTGGGTTGCGGCCAGGGCAGCTGCAGGGAGCCGTCGGTAACCCCCATGACGACCGGGGCTGCGGGGAGTGGGGAACCAGGGGATGAGGGGGAAAAGGGTTAAGAGGCAGGGCGAGACAGCACAAGGTAGGGTTCACAGCTGCTTTTCCATGCAGCAGCTTTTCCATGCAGCAGCTTCCATTCAGAAGCCGGACTGCTGCCACATAACTTGGCATGTGCGCCAAAGTAAAGCATATGTTGGCTCCAGCAAGGGTAGGAGTCAATACCGGCTGAGCATGCAACTCCATGAACGGATGCATGCAAAGCTGTGAGCCCTCGTGTGAGCCCCGCACCCCTCTCCTGCCCCTGCCCCTCACCTTGCCGCATGCCCGCGTAGGGTCGCTTGCCCGTCATCATCTCCCACAGGCACACGCCAAAGGACCAGACGTCCGAGGCGCGACTGACCTTGCCGGAAAACGCCTCCTGCATGCATGCGACACCACCCCGCAACCGTTAGTACGTAGTAAGCCACGTGACCTCCAGCAAGTGCCATGAAAGTGCTCCAGTGTGCGACGACGCTATTGCCTGTTCCTAGACGTCATCTACCGGTGCGTCCCAGGCCTCCCACCTAGCCTCCCTGGCCCTGCCCCCGCCTGAACCCCGCATCCCCGGGCCCCCCTGCCTCACCGGTGCCATGTACGCCACAGAGCCCCACGTGTTGGTGAGGACGCTGGTGGCGGCTTGCGGCAGCACATGCGACAAACCAAAGTCAGCAACCTGCAGCAGCGGGGGGACACAGGACGTGTCAGTACGTTCGTTCCTACTCGCGGCCAGTTTTCTTGCACCACAGTTGCGGCGTCAGTACGGTCAGTACGTGTCTGCGTGTCTTCAAGTGAATTACAGAAGAAGTACAGGAGTAAGCCAGTTGCCCGGGGCTGCTGTGATGTCGCTTCCACATCGCCCCTCCCTGCTTCCCTGCTCCTGCCTGCTCCCCGCCCGTCCGCTTTCCCGCCGCCACCGCCTCCCCAGGTCCTGCCCTGATGTCTCCCCCCTCCCTACCGCAGCAGCAGCTCGTGTCTCACCTTGGCGGTGAAGCCCCGTCGGTCCTTTCGGGCGCTGCTGAGAAGCAGGTTGGCGGGCTGCGTGTTGGGGGGGGGGCCAGGTGAGGCGAGGGCAGGCGGATAAGCAGGGCAGCGGGTTAGCAAGCAGGAGCAGGGTTGCAAGCATCCCTTCCGAACGCCCATGGCTGCACCCCTCACCCGTCCTCCAAACCCGGCTTACACAGATACAAGGGAACAAGGCCCAACCCATGGTTTTCCAATCGCCACGTTATCCTTCCGTCCCGCGTCTCCCCCCTTACCTTGATGTCCCCATGCACCACCCCCGCGTCGTGCAGGTGCAGCAGTCCCCGCGCCACCTCCGCCGCGGTCCGCAGCAGCGCCCGAGCCGCCACCCGCTCCGTCCAGTGGCCCGCCACCGGCGCAAACACACCGTGCTGGATGGCGGAGGACAGGGTGGTCTTGTCACAGAACTCCTGCACCACCAGCACCAGCATCTGCCCCACCTTGGCCTGCAAAAGGGGGTGGCGAAGAGGTGCAAGGTAGGCACGAGTGGGTGAATGATGAGGGTGGGCCAAAAGGGTGCGTGCAACGAAAGGATGAGAAGATAGGAGGCAGGCAGGGAGGCAGGCAGGTAAGCGGGCAGGCATGGAAGGGAATGCAAGAGGCGAAAAGCGTCCAACACAGCCGGCCGGACCCAGCCCAAAAGCCAGACTGGCAATCTGTGGGATCCCCTTGCCGACACTTACCCGCAGCTCAAATAGGATCTGGTGCAGCACCAGCAGCGGGTCCATGCCACCGTCATCCCCGCCGGCTGGGTCGCCGAAGCCCTCGCCTGTATGTCATACGAGGTGGGGGATCAGTGGAATTAGTTAGGCAGGTGGTTCTCGATGCAATTTGACACGACGTTCTTTTCCCAGCAGTTGTGAAAACGTTGGACAAACATAGCGTGAATTTATTAACTGCAGTAGGGTCAGTTATTGGAGTGTGATGAAGGAGGGATTAGGGAAGGAGGGACGGTCGTAGCGGCCATACCGGCAGTGTGCTCACCTGAGAGGATGGGGACGGGTGCCAGCGCTCGGGGCCGCCTGGGGTCGCTGGGCTCGGCATGCCTGCAGCAGGGGGGCTCGGGGTAAAACACCTGCCGGACAGATAGACACTCGCACACGTGTGGACACAAGCTCAGCTGGCTGCGCACGCCTTACCTGTCCTCGCCCTCAAGGTAATCAAAGAACTCGTCCGTAATGTTTGCGCAGCGGCTGGTAAAGGCCTGCGACAGGAGCAACAATCAAGCTCGGATGTTGATACAAGGGCACCCAAATTAACATACAGATTAGCAGGCTGGTTTGAGCTTTTATTAAACTTACCGAAACGATGTTTGGGTGGACCAGGCTGGGAGCCAGAAGCAGTTCCCGCAGCGCGGCGCGGTCGAGGCCTTGCGACAGCATCACCTTTACCGCACAGGGCACGCCGCGGTAATGACCTGTACAAATTTGTACGCAAGGCGAAGTGTTAGGAAAATGTGGAAGGCGGCGCGATATGGGTAGCGATCGATGTGATGGCAGCGGCAATGCAACTGACCTGGGACGACAATTCCATATGTCCCACGTCCAAGCTCTTGCTGTGTAAGTCGTAAACCGTCCAAAATGTTACGCGCGTCACAGAGCCGAACGTTTTCGGACCCGACGGATACGCGAGATGCCTGAAGACCAGCTTTGCTGACGCTTGACGTTGTATGTACTGTTAAGGGCGCCTTTGTATCTAAAACCGCTTTTGTTATTGCCGGAGCTTCGCCTTGGGGCCGGGCTGACTCATTCAGGTCGCGTTCCACACGTCCAGCCAGCACCGTTGCGAGCGCAACAGTTTCTCGCTGCTCAGGCCGTAAGCTGCCCGCCACATGACCGTCTTCTGAAGCCTTACCGCCAAAGCAGGAGCGAAACGGGAAAGGGACTCGCATTCTTGCTAAGCCGCGAAATAGTTGTATCAGGCTTGATACCTATAAGTATACTACCAAGTGCGGTTTCTACGTATCCAATGGTGCGGAGTTGGCTTTTATATTTAGAGCCACCTGAATGACAAATCGTTGTACGACTGTCTTATGTAAGACGTCCGTATCTCTGATTCTCCGTAACTGGTCCCTACAATGTAATTGAGCCATTCAGACGAACTACTATAGATTTTCCTTTTTACTATATAGTTAGGACAAATATGTCTGTAAGCATTGTTTAGCTCCTGGAAAAGCGCCATGGCGGTCCATGACACCATGAGCCTTCTGGCTCGTCTGGGCACTGCAAGCCCCGAGCTTCTAGCAAATAATGCCAGCGTAAGAGTACCAAACACCTGCATCTATATTCCGAATGGGCATTGTAACATTGTTTCCAAGGCAAGGAGGCGTGATCAACCGCAGGGTCTCGGGCAAATTTGCAATTGAGGTATCTGTTGTTTCTTACCAGCGACGTGACCAACAAATTTGGTCGATTCCGGCCTCAGGTATTCTCGTCGTTGCTTTTGAGTAGAAGGTAGTTCCTTCGCGTCTTCGGCAGTGCCCATTCCATGATTCCACTCAGGACATCCACGGTGCACCACGGATGCCATCTCCATGTTCTTCTCAAGTACAGCCTTGTGCCTTGTGCTGCCGCAACAAACAATCGCTATAAGTGCCCTCTTGGCCGTTCCTTCGAAGCCAGACAGGCGCCACTTAGGACAGCCCTTCTGTGACGCTGGAGGGCAGGGGAGCCGGGGTTTCAATAATCGAGCGCACAGAAGACGGGATTAAGAAGATAGACAGGATTAAGAAGCTCTTTGAATGGACCCGCAGCTTGGGCTGATAACAGCCTGAGCAAGTCGCTGGTTCCAACTGCCGACAACCGGTGAAATGGGGCCGCCACTCCCAGCGGGACCAGCGCGCCCGTTAGTTCACATACCGCTGTGGTACGGCATTTAGCAAACCTCCTCCCCCAGTGCGAGTACGGCACCTGAAGCAACAGTCTCCAGTCACACAGGCCAGGCAGACACGTCGTTTAAAGCACCACACCGCAGAGGTACCCGCACACCCGCATATGTGTACACGGCAGTAGTAAAAACCAACCGCTCAAAACTGAACTCTTACCAGTTGATGCTGTGTGTCAACAGAGCCCCTGAACACGCTCGATTGCGCCAAGCGTCTTGACGGCTGTGTAGCAGCCACACACAAAAACGCGCTGGCAACCTAGCAACCTAGCAGCGACGAAACTGCTACTCACGTTAAAAGTACCATGCGCTGCGCCAGCTATGAGTTATACGCCTATGCCGTACCTCAAAACGTTGTACACAGGGACCGATGCATAGAGCCACCACTGAAGTAAGGAGGTCGCAACAGTCAAGAAAGAATGAGGGACCTATGACCCTTAAAGAATTGCAGGGACAGCTCCGACAGGATGCCTGCCCGCCTCTTTCAGTAACCGCCCACGCACCGTTAGGCGTTAACCACTCGTTCCTGTCCTCAACAGCTACAGAACACTCAAACCTGTACCCGGCACACCCTCCGCGCCCACCCTCGAGCCCAAGCACCACAGCTGGGCTCAACAGCGGGCGGCTCTCACTCCCGACACACCCAACTCTGTACCTCATCAGTTCACGCACAGGTTGCTAACCGCACCAAAGAGCCCCTCCCCTTCAACCGCCTCTGAATCCGCACTCCTAAAATGTCATGTCATCCACACACACTTCCAGTATGCCCATGTCACGTCACGGTGCCGTATCACAGTTCTGCAAGGGGCGTGGGGCCGCCAGGCAACCTTGCAACGTCGCCGCTAACTCCAAACCATCTCCAAAGGCTCTTGCTGGCAGGGCACAACCCTGAAGCGACGAGTCGGGAGCAACCTGGTAAAACACCTCCCGCCCCCACGCATCATCACGGCTCCTCCTCCTCCTCCATATCCCGCACCTCGTCATAGCAGCCACCTGACGTCGCCTCAGCTGCTGGCGCCGGCGCCTCCGCACCGGACACCCGACCCAGATCGCCCTTGCCGAACGACACAGAGGAAACGCCGTCGCCGTCGTCGCCCTCCGGCGTTTCCTGCTGCCGGTCCGCCCCCGTCCCACCGGCGCATTGCGTTTCGCCGCCGGGCGTGCCACCGCAGGAATCAGCAACAGCAGCAGCAGCTGCTGCTGATGCGTCGCCCTCGCCCTCGCAGGTGGCTGTGAGGAAGTCCACGAAGATGTTTTCAAAGTCCGGGATCTTGTCGACGCCGGGGAAATAGTTAATGTCCACCTGGGCGACGACAAGGCAGCATGTGTCGGCGGGTAATGGTCTAGTGGACGAACTGGTATACACTCATGTGGACGTACCGGTATGTTGGGTAACGCTCGAGTAGTGTGTCATGCCTTTTGCGGTCCATGCCAATGATGCTCATGATGCGTCCCGGGCCCATGAACCTTCTCACGCCACCACCACACACACCCCCGCGCCCATACCCACACCCACCACCCCCAGCAACCGTCTGCCGCCACCACTGCCTTCCACGCCCATAACCCATCACCCCCAGCACACCACCCACCACATAGTACAGCCGCTCGCGTGGCGACTTCTGCTCCGCCGGACAGATCATGTCGAAATTGAACAGCTGCAACCCCAGCTTGTCACGGAGGGTGCCAGCAAGCGCGCTGGTAACCCACTCCGGTGGCACTGCCGGCTGCTGCTGTTGCTGCTGCTGTTGTTGTGATAATGACCGCGGCGACGGCAATTGCGACTGTGATGTGTGCGACTGCGAGTGCTGTAGTGGCTGCTGCGGCGACTGTGCGCATCGAGCGCCGGTCGCTTGCGGCCTCGCTCGGCCATGCGACGTAACGCCAGCAGCAGCAGCAGCATCGCCCCCTGGTGCCGTCCCGCCGCCGGCCCCGCCTGCGCCAATACTGCTGCTGCTGCTGCTCCCATGCGCCAGGGCGAATTTGCCGTAGCTGGATTTGCAGGAGATGCGGGGTAGCGACAACACGCCTGCGTTGCGTGCCTCCTCCCCCAGGTATGAGTCACCCAGGGAGGGGCGCCGACACACCACCGTGCGCATGCCCAGCACGTACACCTGGGGGAGGTGGGAGGGTGGGGAGAGATGGAGGGAAAGGAGGATGAAAGGGGATGACGCATGGAGTGACGGAGGTTGCTAAGGAAAGCTTGGAGGCTTGGTGTGGAGTGAGGACTGGGATAGGGGACGGGTGGCCTGCTTTGGCTGCTACTGTAGATACAGCTGCTGGCTGGCGTGCCATAGTGGTAAGAGCACCTCGCAGTGTCTAGGTGTGTGCTTGCAGTGCGCTACTGCCGCTCCTCAGCATTGCGTCCGCCCGGCAAAGCTGGGATACCCCCCCCGCCTCACCACCCTGTACCTCCCCGCTGTCGGTCCACAGCTCCTCACCCAGCACATCACGGCTTCTGCTTTCCGTACCTCACCCCGAGACATCCCACACTCCAGCCCCTCTGCCTCACTACCCACCCACGGTTCGTTCCTTCCCCTTTACCGCCTCCTCCTCCTCCACCCCCCAACTTGTATCATTATCACACCACACATTGGAATTTCTCCCCCCCCCGCCTACCTTGAACAGCACGCCCCCGTGCTCCACGAACTGTTGCACCACCAGCGGCGGCTTCAGCGCGCTGCTCACATCGCCCCCCAGCACCCGCCCTAGCGCCGCCATGTCATGCAGCACCGCCAGGCCGTGGCTGCCCTCGCGCCCGTCCGTCCACAGCGGCTTGACCAGCAGCGGCGGACGCAGCCCCGCGCGCCGCAGCTGCGCCTGAGCCTCGGACAGGGAGGTGCCCTCCGCGATCTCCACCTGAGATACCGGTAATGGGGGAGGGGGTGCATGGGGTGTTTTAGAGCGGGCGGGTGTTTTAGGGTGAGGGGAGGGTGTTAACAGCCGGTACTGTGAGGCAACAGCAGCCGGTACTGCGCACATGTGATACCGGGGCATCACCGGCGCTAACAGCTTCGGGGTGGTTAGGGTTTGGTTGGGTGCTGCGGGGCGGAAGCGACGACCCTGGTGCCGTACGTACCTGGGTTGGGGACTGAATCCGGGCGCACATGCCTGGGCTCCCGCCGTTGCGTGCGCAGTCCGGCTTCTGTTCAAGGGAGTGAAGTAGTGACGGGGTGAAGGAGGAGATCACGGGAACACGGGTTAGGGACGGTTGTACATGACATCAGAGGGGGGGAGGGCTACGGGCTCGCTCACCTGCAGCTTGATTCCTTCCGGGCGTTCCCTCAATGGAAGCAGCATGGTGGAGCGGTTGTGCACTATCCGGATGCCCGCTAGGCTGTCGATCACTTTGACTCCCGGCCGCGCTTTAATGTATTCTTGGAGGTTGCGCTCCCAGTCTGCGAAATAGGGGGGCAAGGCCGTCGGTCGGTCAACCGCTCCATCCCTTGACAGTCGTGTCGTGTTGTTAACCCACCCTTATTGGGGCGGAGCTTGTGAACTATTGCATCGTATTCGCCTTGATCCAAAAGTGGTTTCGTGTGGTCCAGAAGGACGAGCTCGACGCCCCGGCTGCGTGCGACTTGCGCCATGGACGAAGTCAGGTACCTGCTCACCTGCGACAATGCACCTATACGCTCATGTTTCAATCAACTACATTGCCGCATTTATCAGTGCGCACCTTCTTCGGCAATAACGCGCAACCAACACGGAAATGTTTCGCTTCTCCGCGCCCACTTGTCCCAGGTTGCTCTCCGACATCCATATCTTCATGCTGAAATGGTTGCGGTCGCTCTCCGACCATTGTCTAGTCCTAAGGCCTTAAAGCAGTATCGGTCGTGGATAGGATGCAACCTACTCTTCAGGTTGATTCGAAGTTTTCCCTTTTCTACGGCAAGCGTGCATACTACTACACGATTGCATACGCAGGTAATTAACGCTGGTACAAGTGCGTGTAAGAAACGAGAACAGGCTACGCAGTTGACAAACTGAGTTGATACGCGCTTCTTTGCTAGTGTTGACAAAAGTATAAGGTACACAAACCCTTGAACTCCAAACCCTAAAGCTCGCCCTAGGCTAGAAGATACCGTTTTGTGTCGTACAGGTAGCGTGTGCTTGCGACAGTTGGTGCCAAAGGGTCGGCAAGATTCTTGATGCACGGCCGATTATGCTTGATATAAAGATTCGCAAATGTAGTGTTACAGCGAATATATCACCTAAATGCACACAAGGGCTAGCAGGTCAGCGCAGGTACAGTGTACGCAAAGACCGATGGATTCTGGGACTGAGCCAGAGCCCCAATAAACGCGCAACTACGGGAGCTACACGGATCCAACCCATTCAGCAGTACAGCGCAGGTGTAGCAGCGTTAGTCACATGTAGGCCCGTGCAGCTCTCCGTACCGGAGCGGCTGCTACTTGCTAGATAAACACGGCGACATGCGCAGCACCGTGACCGCAGTGGCACCAGTGTTTATTGCTTACGTATCAATAGCATAGACGCAGAGGGGTAGCATAGGTTGCAGCCTACGTGCTCTGCCGGATTTTGCCTGAAGAGCTGCAGCGGCTGCTGTTGCAGCCTGTTTGTCGGTAAAATGGAGGGATCGGGACTCGTTCAGCATTCTGACTTTACGAAAGCCGGCAAGGGTTGGGAAGGCTCATGTTCACGCCGTTTGCAAAGGCCCACCTCTCCGGATAGCCGTACTCATAACATTGCACAACCAGTTAAGATGCGATGCAGCTAGGACATAGCGCGCCGTTTTGACGTGCAATCATTAGAAATAGCTAGCTGTATCTAGCAGTGAGTGATGTTACCTTAGTTGCCAGTTTCAACCGTCCATGTCGCGGCCACTTAAAGCGCTGGTCCGACGGACGCTGCTAAGCGCCTTTGGATGGGTAGTAAGGAAGCTGTACAACTTCTTCTTCCTCCTTCGCCTCTATGTACTTGTCCTGGAGCGCGAAGCAGCCCGCTCTAATTGCCATGGAGATGATGACGAGCAGCGCCGCATAGACGACGGTGCGTATTGAGGTCTGACAAGTCAATTACTTCGCTCTTCCATCTGTCTTGCCATGCGTGACGCCTTCAACCCGTGCGACCATATGTCAAATTCCAAGATTCCAACCCACCCGGCCTGTCGTTACCCCACCTTGCCTCACAGCTCACACATTGTCCCACAACATAATTTCAATACTACACCCTCTATCCACACACTGCCGAGCCTAGACTAAGCCCCTCTCCCACATTCCCCGCGCCCCAGGCTCAGCCTGGCTTGATTTTTGCGATGGCCTCAAAGGCCTTGTTGACTTCATCGTAGAGCAGCCGACCTCCTCGGCCCCACCTCCGCAAGAGCCCCAACAACCACAACTTCAAGAGCTCCAGCAGCAGGGAACTACTGCGCTGCCCTCTTCGGAGGGGGCTGCTGCTGCTGCTGCACTGCTGCCCGGAGGTCGGGAGATCGCGGCAGGCGGCGGTGACACAGCAGGTGGCACGGTGGTGGATGCGCTAGACCGGCGTGAGGGGCTGCGCTACCTGACCCGGGTGCTGCGAGGGGGTAAGCGGGGGGGGGGAAGGGGTCAGCGGGGTTCAGGACAAGGGGTTCAGGAAGACGCCAAACTCCACACAAGTGAGGGCAAGATATTAGGGAGAGGAGGCGGCAGGGTGACACAGAACAAAGGGGGGTTAAAATTATAGATAAGGGGGGGTAGGGGTGAGCAGCTGGAGCCAGGTGCCAGGCGCATTCGACATAGACACTTGGTGCAGACTGCTGTCTACTGCAGCTGCTGTCTACTGCGATTCCTTAGGTGATCTCTCGTAGGTGTTACGTTGCTGCTGCCGCTGCTGCTGCTGTGGGTGTTCTCCTCTCCTGCTGCGAGGTGCCACTGTAGCACGCTGTGAAGCCTGACTGCGCATCCCTTGTATTGATTGCGTATCCCCCGGGACCCCCGCCCTCCCACATTCCCAACCAGCAGCCCCGCTCTCCCGCGCCACGTGCCCCCCCACCTCTTGTTGCAAACCATGATAACCCCTTATCACACGGTTCGTTAGTCGTTTCCTCTTTACCCACCTCCTCACCCTTGCCCACCTCTTCGCCCGCCAGCTCTGGAGGCCTTCGTGGACTGCTGGGACCCCGCCTGGCCCGTACTGCGACCCCTGCCGTACAACGTCAAACTGGGCGCCGATAACCCGGACAACCTCTACATGTACGGCACAGGTACGGCAGAGCCGCCTGCCTTGGAAGAGAAGGGGCAGTAGGCAAGCTATACCGGTTCACATGCGACTTTGGTCCTGGTTTCCTTTCTGCTACTTCCTTCCTCTTCCCTCTCATTCGTGTAGCGTGTATAGCGTGCGCTGCCACGGGGCTCCTGGATCCCTGTGTCCTTCCCATCGCTTCCTTCACGTTCCATCCTCCATCCTTTACTTACTTAATCCTCCCTGCCCTCCCCCCACACCTCCAATGAACCCCTCATGAATGTACGACATGTCCCCACCACCACCACCCCTGTCGCCAGTGTCGGGGCAGTACGAGTACCGCCTGTACGGCCACCGCGGCAGTGTGACCTACCTCAGCGTGGGGTGCTACACGGGCAGCCGGCCGGGGCAGGGCTCGGGGCGGGCCGCGCACCTGGACAGTTCGCAGCTGGTAACGCAGCCGGACGGGAGTTTTGAGGTATGGGGCGGTTGAAAATAAATGATAAATGCAGCAACGGAGTCACAATCCCAATCCCGTGGGGGTTTGGGTAAACAGAGCCGCAAGGAAACGCTGACCCTGACTGTAGTGTATTGGAGGATGGATGATGGCGTCTTAGAGCTTGAGGTGGGGGGTTGGGGAGTCCGCATACGGAAGACGGGAAAGCAGCGTACATGCTCGATGGTGTGAAAGGTACTGGACGTCTAAGCAGCACGACGCTTCTTCTCCCCTCTCCGCGCCCACGACGTCACCTCCTCAACCCTCCCTCCCTCCCTTCCCGCAGATCTTCCTGACCCCCCAGCCCCGCGGCGCCAACTGGCTGCCCCTGCCCACCGACGCCAGCCGCCTAGTGGTACGACAGACTTTCCTGGACCGATCCCGCGAGCAGCCGGCGCGAGTGGCCATAGAGAGACTGCCGCTGAGGGGAAGCGCGCCGTCACCGCCGCGACCGCTGGCACCGACCCATGGGTCATTTTCGACGGATGGCAAGGAGACGACGGGAGCGGCAAGACCTGCAAGCGCAGCAACAGGAGGAGCCCAAGTGGGTCAGCCCCAGGGCGCCTCAGGTGCAGCGAGTGAGATCTGGTACGACACGGGAGGGAGGGAGGTACGGCCGCCGCTGGCTGCGGGTCAAGTGGTGGCGGGGCTGGCGGGTGCGGCTGTGTTTGTGGCGGGAAGTGTACGGCAGTTCCAGATCTGGAGCCGTGGTTTCGCGGCGCGCCCCAACACCCTGGCGCCGCTGACGGGGGATGTGAATGCGAGCGCGTGGGCGGACCCCGCCATTCACTTCCTGCATGGATACTGGCGAGTGGGCCCCGGGGAGGCGTTGCTGCTGCAGGTGATGAGGGGTGATGAGGGCAGAGGGGCGGTAAAGAGGGAACAGTGGGAAAATTGGGGCCAGGTAGAAGCCCTAGTCGAGGGTGTATGGCGAGGGTGGGACTGCGATGTGTGTGTATGGGGACAGGAGCACTGGTTGGAGACCTGAAGAGAAGAAAGGGCTCGTGAACGCATTCCCTTGCGGTGCGAATCAGCTACCGCTGGTGGCCCTGCTCCGCCTCGGCGCTTGCATGCTGCCATGCCCCGCCACTACACCCTCACCACCCCACCCCACCCGCATGCCAAGGGATTATAGTGCCTCCCACTTCCCTAACCTCACCCTTTTTTTTCCTCGCGGATCAGTTTATCTACCCCCCCCCACCGCATCAGTTTGTTGTTTCCTCTTTACCCCCCCCCCGCATGTCGAGCCCAGGTCACGCCCCCCGCCTGCGTCTACTGGAACTTCCAGCTGGACAACTTGTGGCTGGAGTCCATGGACTCGGAGGCGCACCCGCTCAGCAACACCAACAAGGCGCGAGCAGCCTACATGCCGGACGGCTCCATCTGCCTGGTGGTGGCGCACAACGACCCACGGGTCAGCAGCAGCAGCAAGAGCAGCAGCGGGAAGGTGGTCGCGGGCAGAGACGCTGCGAAGGACGGCGTCAAGGGCGGCGTGACGGGGGAACGGGAATTAGGTAGCGGAGGAGAGGTATGCCGGGCAGAGGGAAGGGGAAGAGGAGCGGAGGTGGATGGAAAGGAGGAGGATGGTGGCGGAGCTAAGAGCCTGGCGGAGTTGTTGCCCCCGCAGCTGCTGGCGGGGGTGACCTGGGTGTCCACTGCACACCACGCGCACGGAACCATGGGTCTGCGGTGGGTGTTGGCGGAGGGCGGGCGGCACCCGGTGCCTCGCGTGCGGCTGCTGCGGCTGGGACGGCAGCTGGCGGAGGCGATTGAGGAGGGGTTGGCGTCGTAGAGGCTTGCGAGATGGGGGGGCTTATTGGGCGGCAGCTAAGGCCGTGCAAGCTAGGGGAAGGTTGCTTGTGGACGGCGACGTGCAGTGGCAGGGGTACCTGCGGTAGCATCGGTGGCGCTGCCGCCACAGCACACCACAGCAGATGCGCTTGCCTTGAAACGCCTTTTCTGGATCTTTTGACGGGTTAGGCGGATGGACAAAAAGAAGGCTAGCCTCGATAGTGATGCCCACAAACGATGTGTTAATTCAACTGAGGCACGTCGATGAGCTAATCATAGCAGGCAGTGGAGGCGCATTGACGGCTGCTTGCTGGGAAACTACTGGTGATGAGTAAAGTTGGAAGTAGCACACTACCCGTAAGCATGGTAATCGTTGGAGGATCGGTCTACGTGTGCAACCTATCTTAGCTTGCGCTGGTCCTTGACCTGTGGCAGCTGAAATGCGAGAAAATGGCAACTGTTAGGAAAAAGATGGAGGCTCGATTTGTCCAGAGCATTTTATTCTTTTACAGGAAGCACAACGATAAGCCATTTTAAACTATCCGGACGTCTGATTCAGGCCTTGCGGCTTTCATTACAAATACTGTACCCTGAACTTCGGAGCGACTCCTGTCTCTGATAGTCTGATTCACATCGCCTTTCCTCTAAGCACAATCAGAGCCAAAACTGTGCTTCACTCCAAATCATTAGTCGAGTATCCGTCTACCCGCGCTTCCATGTTCCATCCAGCACGTGAATCGGGCCAGAGCCTCAGCCGATGACTGCGGCTAACATTTTTCAATGCACAATGGATAGTCCCTATGTTCGCGCCACTACTCGGCTGGGAGCTTGCTTTGGTCGCACCTGCTCGTTAGCCACTTCCGATGGACAGTCACTATAGCTGTGGTTATTGTTAACAGCTTACAGGCAAGCAGTTGCCTAGCATGCAGCCTTGGCGCGCACCTGCTTCTTTGTCGACTGGCGTTACACGAACCCAGCCAAACCTACCTGGTGTCATGCCGAGGAACACCAGGTCGATGGCCCGGCGCTTATCTCAGGCAGCAAACTACGCCTGCGAAGGCTTTTCGACGGCAGTTTCAAACACTGTTCCACGGGCATGGTCCAACTCGATAACCGTAAACATCTTCGGCTTGGGGCATCCGGCATCCTTCACCCCGAACTCCAGCACCAGCAGCCGCGGTGACATCACGAGCAGCACATGTGCAAGTGCTGTTGCCAAAAGCACTTTATCTAGCGGAGACCTGGCGTCTTGGACCAAACCCATAGCACCCGGTTGGACCCGACATTCCAATCAACACTGCTGCCATCTGCCAGCGCGGCGGCAACCGCAGACCTTGTTGACCGCAATTCCTCAGTCGCCCGCCACCCTTACAGCTATCAGCACTTGCGCCGATGCCGCATCAGTCGGATCCGGGGCCCACACTCCGCTGCCACCCGCGACACCGCCTAGCAGCGCCGTTGGAACCGCGCCCGTTGCAGCTTCCTCAGCTGCTGCAGCTGCAGCTGCTGCTGCTGTAACGACCCCGTCCACAGCACCCGCCGCAACTCCCTTGCACCCCAGCACGCCTGCCGTACCGCAGCATGAGCGACAGTGGCAGCAGCAGGTGCAGCAGGAACAACAACAGCAGCAGCACCAGCAGCACCCGCGCCGCCTGCCGCCTCCCCACAGCGCGGTTGAGGCGCATGCCTGGCGTCCCGCCGCGCCCCCGCCCGCCCCGGGCCGCCTGCAGGTTTGGTGGTCGCCGCTGGACCAGGTGAGGGGCCGAGGAGAAGGCGGGAGGATGGGTAGCATGCAGCCCCGTTCCTAACAGCCTAACACAAGCGTATCGGCACAAGTACGGCACAGCCGATGGGGTACTGGCGCGGTGTCCTGTTGGGGTTTGAAAAAATTGTCATCCTCCAGCCTGCCTCCATCCCTACCCCTGCTGCTTGCTTACCTCCCCTGCTGCACTTCCCCACATGACCCGCGATCCGCAGGCCTCCACTTGCACCCCTGAGCGCACCTCGCGCTACCGCAGCTGCCTGCCACCCGCAGAGGCAGCTGAGGTGGCGGGCAGCGGCAAACAGCAGCAGCGGCCGCAGCAGCAGCAGGAGCCACCGCCCCAGCCGCAGCAGCAGCAGGAGCAATCGGTAGACGACGTGGCTGCTAAACGCATGGCAGCTCGGGCGCTTGCTCGCTGCGTGTTGGCACGGGCGGTGTCCGGGCAGGGGGAGAGTGGCGGTGGCAGCGGAGTGGGGGCGCAGGGTGGGAGCGACGATGGGAACGGCGTGAGGAGGGGTGAAGAGGTGGGAGGTGTCGGAGATGTTGCAGGTGGCGGAGGTGGAGACGGCAGCGGTGGAGGCGGCGCCAGCAGCGACGCAGGCTTGGCCGCTGTGCTGCCCCAGGTGGGTTGGAAAGGGGGTTCGGGTGGGCGGTCGGAGGTGTGGGGAAGGAGCAGCACATCCTGGGCGGTGGTGATGGTGGCAGTGGCGGTGTTGGCGCTGATGCTGGCGCTGGAGGTGGCGGCGCAGTGCATGAGAGCCCATGCGAGTCATATCCTTCCCTCCGCAACCCCCCCTGCCCCCTAGGACCTTGTGTTCCTGCGCAATCCGCACGGCAAGCCGCACCTTCTTCACCGCCCCGGCTGGCCGGCACTGGCGCACAACCTCACTCACACGCACGACCTGGCAGGTGGGGCCCGGCTGGGGGGTGGGGGGTGGGGGGTGTCTGAGGCGGGAGGAGGACCTGTAGGGACATGCAGGCTTCCTGAACTGGGGCGTGGATACCGGTACTTCCTTTTCTTTTCTTTTCTTTTCTTTTCTTTTCAAAATGTCGGTCCGAACATAAGGTACCGGTACTGTGGTGTGTGGACGTACGGTGGCAGCGGATTCCCTGCCTGCCTGCCGCTGCCCAGGTTTCCCTATCCTCAACATCTCTGTATGGGCCGCTCATCACACCTCCTCTCCGTTGCCCTCCTCCCCTCTCCCTACCCCAGGTGTGGCCCTACTCCGCCAGCCCCCGCCACCACCTAGCCACCACCTTCACCACCTCACGCCACCTACCCAAGCACCCTCAGACCCATCATCAGTCTCAGCACTGCTCCTCCCTACGTTGTCCCAGGCGGCGGGGGCAGGCGCCTCCTCGCAGTACGACGAGTACGGTGGCCCATCTGCCGTACATCAGCTCCCCTGGTCGTACAGTGTGGGTTTGGATGTGGAGCGGCTGGACAGGCTGCCTCGGGACCCGCTGGCGCTTGCACGCAGGCGGCTGGCGGCGGAGGAGGTGCGGGCGTTGGAAGGTACGGCGGGCGGGGGGGGGGTATATGCCGGCAGCAGGGAGAGCAGCATCCATGCCCCACCCCCTGCTCTACAACTCCTGCTCTCCTCACTCTTGTTCTGCCCGCCCCGACGCCCCGCCAGAGCTGTCGGGTGAGGAGCGAGCGCGGTACTTCATGTGGCTGTGGACACTCAAGGTGCGGACGGGCGGAGGGTTGCTGGGTCGCTGGGTGGCTGCGGGGTCTTCGGAGCTACCGGTAGTCGGGGCGTTAGGATGACGCCCGGCGGGATGGGATTAGATAAACTGAGCCGCGGAACACTGACCCTGACCGTAGATTACCGGAAATTGCTTGATGGTGTTCCAGACTTCGAAGTATTGTAATCAACGTCGTAAGTGAGTGAAAGCAGCTAGGAATGTAGTAGTCATGTAGTAGCAGTAAAAGAGAAAGTCTGTAGTGTATAAGTGGCTAGCCGTATCGTAAAGTGGGGAAGCAGTAACCGCAATAGAACCATGTAGGTAAGTAATGTCGGCTGTTACGTATCGTGTAGTAGTAATGTAGCTGTGTAGGCTGGAGCTGCCGCTGGACAGGTAGCAAAACAGGGGAACATGCGGAGACGTCGCAGTGCATGCGCGAGTAAAGCACGACAGGCAAAGCAAGTGCAAGACCACTATGTGCAAAAAATACCGTAGACTGACCTGCATAGCAGGGGGCACCAGCAGCCAGCAGCGAACACACCAGGCGTTAGTTCCGATGAAGGGGTCCGGAAACATGCAAGGGCGGATGGGAAAGACAGGGACACACGTGAACGCGGACGGAACTACCTAAAACCTAAAATGAATGACAAGGAAGGCAAACGCAAGAAATGAACATGCATGGGATGGTAGGCCGTACGGATGCAATGGAGGTGCAACAAGAGAAGGAGGAGGATGAGTGCCGGGGCTCACGCAGAGCTCCCCTCAACACCACACCCCGAGTGGGCGGCAGAGTGGTGCCCACCAGGAGTAGGTATGCAGGGGCATGAAGGGTATCGGGCACGGGGCCGTCCGCTACCCATGATAACACATATGAGCGAGCAAAGAAAGCAAGAACCCAGCCTAAACAAGACACACGTGCGGTGTGGGATGGGAGGAAGTCCAAAAAGCCCTCCCCTCACGCCCGCCGCTGCTAACTGCAATGCCATCCGTGTTCCCCTTGCCGCCTGCGCATGCCGGATTGTGTGTTTTAAGAAAACTGGCCGCGAGTAGGAACGATGCCGATGCCGATTGTGTGTGTGTGTTTTAATGCGCAGGAGGCGTACGTCAAGGCGCGAGGAACGGGTATCAGCGCACCTCCGGGGCTCAAGGGCTTTGCCATTGGTAAGCGCCTGAAAAGCGAGCAGAGCTTTTGAGGACGGACCAACCCCGCCTACCAACGGATGCTTTGGCACACCGCTTTAGCAGTGCTGCTTTAGCAGTTCGACACACCTTTGCTCGCCAGCACGCATCAAGAGTAGGGCGCTTTTGCTTGTCGAGCACTTACTGAGCCGCCGGCAATCTCGCTCACGCTCACGCTTTTCTCTCTCTCTCTCTCACTCTCCCTCACTCTCTCTCACTCTCTCTCACACTGTCTCACAAAACAGGTTTCGAGGACATGCCTGCGTCCCGGATTCGTGACCTAGCGGCCGCATGCAACAACAGCTGCCTCGTGTCGCCAACCGCAAAGACCATCACGCTACGACACACCGCCTGCCCTACTAGTAGCAGCAGCAGTGGCCACAGCAGCAGCAACGGTAGCAACGGTAGCAACGGTAGCAACGGTAGCAACAGCATGGTTTCGGAGCATCCGCACTCTTCCTTGCCCGGCGTTGTCAGCACTCGAGCGCACTTCAGTTTCGCGCTCTTCCAGCCAACTCCACTGCACGTGGCGGCGCTGTGTGTAGCCATGCAGCCGCCACCCGCCTCATCGCTGCTGCCTGCGGAGCCATTTCTCGGTACGCAACAACAGCAGCAGCAACAACAACAGCAACAGTCCTTACAACGAGCCTGCAGCGAGCACCCCCAACCAACGGTATTGCTGGAGGACCTGCAGCAGAAACGACAGCATGGGCAGCTGCAAGGACAGCAAGTGCATGCGCAGGTGCAAGCTCAGCAGCAGCAACTTCAGGTGCAGCAGTATGGGCAGGTGCAAGGTCAGCAACAGAGGGATCAGGTGCAGCAGCAGCAGCTGCTCCTCAGCAGCAGCAGCAGCGGTGGTGGTGGTGGCGCCTGTCCGCTGCTGCCCGCCTGGCTCGTGGAGCACTGGTGGTGTGTGCCGCTGGAGAGCGAGGGGCGGCTGGGGCCCTCGGAGGTAACCCTGTTGGGGGCATCGTGGACATGAAGTGCTGCGGTGTATTGGAGTGGTGGAGAGTGTTATGTAGGAATGTATGCTTTGTTTCTCGAGGTGGTGATGGTGATGGTGATGGTGGTGGTGGTGGCGTTGAGATCAAAGGTGTGTAGTAAGAAAACTGGCCGCGAGTCAAAGGCGTGTGTACCGGTATATCCACCCATGTGACGCACATGTTGAGCTTCTGATAGCGAAGGACTATTCGTCACGCCTCCCTCCGCGGCTTTTGGCGTGAGGTTGTTAGCAGGTAAGCTGCAAGTGAATGCAGGTGGGCAGCTGTGAGGAGGTCTGTGAGGGAGGCCATATGTATTTGTCATTACTGCCGCTCCATCTCTGCGCTACTGGTACTAGAAGACGCGCGTGAGCTAGCCGGTTAGACTGCAGGGGAACGAATGATCCGTCCTTTGCGGCGTTTCCGAACCGACAATAACTGCTGTAGTAGCGCTGTAGTACCAATGTACCATGGCTCCAGGTACCAGGGCTTTAGGAGACGTCTGGTGACGGAGTTGCTGTTATGCAGTACTCGGTATACGTTGTAGGACGAGCTGTTCAGTAGGTTCAGTAGGTCTTTTGCCCTGATTAGCCAGCAGAAGTTACACGTTACATAGCTTCTGGCACCCTCCCAAACACGCAACGTTACCCGGCACGACACATCTTTCAATGCCAGCGTTTAGTCACATTCGGTCGATAAGTGGCAAATCGCAGCAACCATTAAAAGCCCATATCAAATGCGTAACCGCTCATTCGTCTACAGGTTTAGGGGGAGGCAAGTTCCCCCTGCCCGAAGTGAACGAGCGTCCTCGACCGTTTCAAGCCCCTGGAACCACAGCCCTCCAAATCTTCATCATTAAAAACAGCCACACGTGAAGAGGTCATGCAGAGGTAGCAACATTCGGACGTCTTGCCTTGCCCCCAGGCGCCAAACCGCTCTGTACGGCATGCAAGGCGTGGAGATATCACAGTGGAATGGACGGCAGACGCAACCAAAAGTAAGCCCGATACCGGTATACAGTTTGGGCATGCGAAACCCGTGCATGAGTGCTTTCGGTGCCCGATGACGTTCCGACCGTACTCTTGTCTGCGAACAAAGGGATTCCCAAGGGGTTCCCAAAGACACACAACAAGCGACTCTTTTATTAAGGCACATGGCTTCTCCTCAATTCCAAAAAGAATACAAAACGGCACGGGAACAAAACCGCAAATGGACTCCAAACTCGCACTTTTCGAGCAGTTCCTCTTCTGGGAAGGGTATAACCACTGGCTTTACACCACGACGACGACGACAACATCCTACAACAAGGGTACAGACACATACACATTTTAACACACAATCTAAATGAGGCAGTCTGAGCATGTGGCCTAGACGAACAACCGAAAACGTAAACACCAAAATACCGTAAACAGGACACACCTTACTCAGCAAACCAAGCAACACCCCTACCGCCAATGCACCTAGCCCTCATGGGTTGCATCATCACCATCAGCATCGCCGACCCTCAATCAAAGAAAACAAGCAAACATGGCCGGTACCCGCCAATGCCGGAGGGTAAAGCCAGCCGCCTACAAAACCATCACACCACTAGCAGTGCACTGCAGACACTAATGGGTTGTTAAGCCAAGAACACAGCTGGTTTAGAGCTGTGCACTGCGTGTTGACGCGGACATCATGACAGCCACAACAAGGCGAGTGTCACACGTGCCGAAACTCGTATGCAACGTTTGCAGGAAGCCACCATCCCAAACCATCACCCTCCTTGCAGCAACCACGGAACACGCCGCCTTCCTTTCCTCCACCAACTTACCCAGCAGCTCCACGCAATGGTCCCAGACGCAACCGAAGCGGCTCACAAATGCTGGAGCCGAGCACTGCGCAGGTAAGGGAAACCCGCCTCAAGCGAGCCAAGTAAACTGATGGGGAGCCACCTCCTGTTGCTGCCACAGGGTCCTGCCCACGTGCCACAAAACACGGGACACGCACAAAGTGCCTCCGAAACATATCACCACAGCAATCAGCATCCATGCGACCGCTACCTTGCACCTCGCCCTCCCGAAAAGGCGCAAATCCCAAACCCCAACTGCAACTGTCGCGTTGTTGGTCTGGTTGCCTGATACCCTTACATGCGTTACCAAGGCGTAACCTAAGCACGGCCCCCCATGAGCAGGTCATCGAGGCCTTGCACAAGGGCATCATCATGCGCCACACCACCACCAGCAGCCCCCGCGGCCATGTACCAAAAACACGATTAAAATAATCGCAGGCTCGAGCGTGCAGCTATCGGCGAGAGCAATCAAACGGGGAGTTCAAAGGCTTCAATCGCGCGCTTGTTTGTGGGGAGCGATCTAACAGTTATCGTCAGGACGCAAAGGGCGCCAAAACAGGGAAGCAACAAGGGCTAAAGGGGCCCAAACATGTGTTATCATCATACGCCTCGATGCTACAAACATGCTAAAACACACACACCATTACAGGCACCGGAAGGTTAGTTTCGTGGATGTCACTTTCAGTTCTAGTTGGGGCCCAAAACAACAGGAACGCCTTGGCGTCAAGAACGGCATTGCACTTGACCACATGGGTCATTGGAAGGCCAACCAACGTCCTGGAAACGCCTTCCGCGTCCCCAAGCCCACCTGCCTCCCTAACATCCTCCGCACGAGGCATCCGCAAAAGGCACACAAAGCGATACTAAACAAAAGGAAACAAACAAAGAAACAAACTACTAAAATGGCAATTGCACGTGGGATGGTGCGACGATATAAACCCGACATACACAAACGTTAAACCGGGAATTGCGTCAGTACGGTCAAATCCGGTCAACGCACGGGTAGCGCAGGGATCGCTGCATGGCGCTTCCAAAGCAGCGGCGCTAGACCGCCGCTTTGGCTGCGCCAACGTGCCATACACTGTTGGGGTTCGGCAGCGGCTTCTTGGCTTGCAGGCGAGATCCCTGCCCACGAAGGCTGTTGTTGCGGGCTGTGGTATAACCCCATACAACCCCCTCCTACAGCAGTGCACCTACGCACCAACAGAAAATGTTTCTTTTTTATGTCAAACAAGCCAAACAAGGCGGAACTCGCACCAACAGCGGTGCTTGCCGCCGGAACGTTTACAGTCTTCAAAGACGGACGGACGGGCACCTCCAAACAAACAGACGAACCAACCAACAGGTACCTTTTCTTCCGGAAGACAGTGTCAGGGCTATCACAGTTCCCCGTCCGCAATATCGCAAACGCCGTCATCAGGGTACCCAAACGACCAAAACGTCTAAAAACCACTGGGTTGTTCCAAAACCGACAAGCGAATCATCAACCAACCAACCAACAACGGCAGTGCTGCTGCGGTCTGTGTGTTCAGTACGCGACCCTTACCCAATCCCAAAGAAAAAACAAAACATGAAGGCCGTGAAAAGGGGGCCATCATCCATCAAACCAAACCCAAAACAGGTTCACATTTGCCGCCACGGCATTAATAGCTGGCGCGGCAGGACCCGAGTGCTTCAAAAGGTTTCAGAGTTACTTGCAATGGGTCGGTTTCAAAGTGGACGAACATCAAGCCTCCCGCCCTCCCGCCCTCCCGCCCGAGGGATCAAGGCAACCCGAAGGCCCTATACCGTCGTACCCCACCTACATGAGTAGCGCGATGGCTTGGATGGCTCCAAAGAAACTGACGCGTCCTCACCTCGGCATACCTGCCCATGTACGCCCCCCTCCTGCACCGAAACACGCGCCGCCCACCCAAACTCCCAAAGCACCCTTCCAAACCGCTAGCATGCGCACATGCCATTATCCCATTGTTTGGTTACTTTGCTTAGGGATTTCTCCAATTAACAAGTCATACCCACATCTCAGCTTGGCAACGCACATCCAGCTTTTTCCTCGCCATGCCCTCAACCACGCCCACCGCCCCGCAACACCGCGCTGTTTACAAACTGACCTTTCACAGTCTACCATGCACCAGAACATCCAACATAAGGCCACCTGACCCACATGATCCCTCACAGACCCTGCGGGACGTAAGACTGCGGCGGCCGTCGACCCGTGGCCCCACTTCCCTGCCCCAGCGGCAACGACCAGGTTTCCCGCCGGGCCCGCTCTCGTGCCCGCATCTCGGCCGCGGCAGCAATCGCCCGTTCGTCAAAATACGACTGTTGTAGCTGTTGTTGTTGTTGCTGCTGCTGCTGCGATGGATCGACGATACCGTGCTCGTACAGCTGTTGTTGATGTTGCTGCAGCAGCTGTTGTTGTTGGTGGTGCTGTTGCTGGATGTTGAGGTGGTGATGCGGCTCCTCGGCGTCTTCACCGCCTGAACCGGCGCCGCCGGCGGCGGTTGTGGCGCGCTGCAGTGCGACCAGCTGACGTCGGAGGCACTTCTTGGGGGCGCTCTCGGTGCCGCATTTGCCTGCGGGGCGGATGTGCAGATGGGCAAGGGAGTGGGTCAGGAAAGCGCAACAGCAGGGAGATGGACGCGCACTGCGCTGCTCTTTAAGCGCCACCCAGTGCCTTTGCCACCACATCGACGTTGCGTTGACGTAGCCCCAGCCAAAAGCCGTAACTGCCGGACCCCTCAACTGCAACTGCTGCACGCCCACCCACCCTTGCGCTGAATGACGCAGACGGCGCAGCGACCCGTGTGACCAGCGCGACCCGTGGTTCCGCCCAGAAGCTCCGCCTCCACTTGGCGGCACCTGAAGAGGTGAGGATGGATACCAGCAGTGAGCAGGACGTGATCGATCAAGCCGCATGGGTACATGAACCGCGGGAGGATAGAAATGAAAAAACGCAAGGAAAGAGTGGCATGTGGTATGGTAGCAGCAGTCGGGAGGTGACGAGGCCGTCAGACAGAGCAGGCTGCACACTTACCCGCTTGTGGCAATCTTGGACAGTGCCAGGTCCGCCGACGGGTCGCCGCTGCTGGGAACGTAGGGGTTGTGCAGCAGCGGACGTGACGGCAACAGCCCCTCGATGTTCCTAGCAGCACGCGGCAGCACATGGGTCATCGCACCCTCCGGCGACATGCCCCCATGCAGCGAGGGCACCTCCTCATCACCACCGCTGCCACCGGCGCCTCCTCCTCCTCCTCGGTTCGGTTGACCGTTGGCGAGGTAACCGTTGTTGGCTGGGCGCGACCTGCCGCCGCCGCCACGACCCCCCTGGCCGCCGCCTACACCCGCTGCGAAGGGACTGCCCACCGAGCCCTCACCGCCGCCGAGCGCCTGTCCGGACGCGAACATCATGGCATGCATGGCGTCCGGACCCATCGCGCTTTGCTGCTGTTGCAGCTGCTGTTGCCAGAGGGCAAGCGCGGAAGCGTGTGAGAGGCCGCCGTTCGCAGCCTCAACCTCCACGTCCATCTCCGATGCGGCCAGGTACCCTGCCGGCATGCCGTTTACCGCCGCCAGCGCTTCTTGTTGTTGTTGTTGCTGCTGCTCATCTGCCGCTGCTGCCGCAACAGTAGCCGCCTCTTCCGCAGTCGCCTCCCGCCGCCGCTTCACCGCTCCTCCCAACTGGCTGCCAGTGAGTACGCCTGTGCCCTCGGAGCCAACCGACATCTCCACCTGGCCGCTGCTCGTACCCGCCGCGGCGGCTGCACTCGCGCCGCCGCTGTTGCCATACAGGCCCGCCAACGCAGCGGCCGTTCGCATCACGACACCTCCGCCAGCCGCCGCCACCGCGGCTTGGTGCTGCTCAAAGCCCTCACCCCACGCCGCCGCCGCCGCCACCTCAGCGACTCCGCCGTCAGCAACTCCGGCCTCATCCACCTCCCCGCGAGCCACGTGTACGGCACCACCCCGACCAGCACGGGGCGGCGGCATGGACGGCGCCGTCACCGCCGCCGCCGCCAAGGCGTCAGGCGGGCTTCGGAGCATCATGAGGGCGGGCAGGCCGCTGGCGTCACCAGCCGCCGGCCGCGCAACCGCCGCCGTCGGCGGGTGCAGTTCCACCCCTGGAGCAGATCGTGGAGGCGGCTGCACAACCCTCCGCCCAGCTGCCATCTGTAGCGACATAGGCAGTGCGACCTGAGGCATCTGCTGGTAGGAGCTGCCGCCGCCGCCGCCACCGCCAGAGACTGTCGTACCCGCAGTCGACTGAGTGAGCGCGTCCAGGGACGGAGCGGTACGCAGGCGCGAGACGGGCGGGCGGCAGTGGGGCTGGGAGGCGGCTGGATGCAGCGCGGCGGCGTTTCGGTGCTCAGGACACGCCATGGAGTAGGGCTCGGCCTGCAGACGGGAACACCGGACAGGAACCGGCAAACGGCTTAGCGGCTACCATGGACGAAGTTGGACGAAAGACCGAGAAAAGAACCATAACAAGTAACAGGCAGCAGCAAGGAGAGGACGGTTAAGACCCTGCGAAGAGGCGCTCCCTCTCTCTTACCACCAGCATGGCTCCCGCCTCCAGAGCGCAGGGCAGGTGGTAGACCCGGCTGCACTTGGCGCTGCAGCAGGTGAGGGTGGCGCCGGAGCGACCGCAGTGCGCACAGCGGCACACCCGGCCGCGCTTGACGACGGCCGTTACACCGTACTGCAGCCGCGGCAGGGAACAAGGCATCAGCGGCAGGGAGCAAGGCAAGTAAAAGGAAAACCGAGAAAAACAAGGCGCGCACCAGCACCCAGCAGCAAAAGCAGAAACAAGCAACACAGCCTTCACTTTTCAATAAGCTTCACTTCGCAACATCCCTTGGAAGAGACATGAGAGCAACAAACGCTCTCCCAAAGTTCCACGAACCTCCTTCACACGATATCCCGGAACCCGCTCACCATGCTTCCGCCAATCACAAACACGTCAGGCGACCACAGCGCACACTGGGAATGCACCAGAGTCGGCGCGCCGCCCTCAGAGCTGCCTGCGCCTCCGCCTCCTGCACCTCCGCGGACCTCCACCAGCGGCCCCAGCCCGCAACCCATCTGACGTGCCGTGCGGGATGCCTCAGCCGCCGCCGCTGCCGCCGCCGTCGTCACCACCAAGGGTGCAATTGGAACCGCCGCAGCAGCAGCAGCATCAGCAATACCAGCACCGGGGCCTTCAGCACCCGCACCGGGCTCTGAGGCCTCACCCTCCTCCTCGCTTCTCAAGACCTCCAACTTTACCAGATGAACCTCGGATACAGCCGCCGCCGCAGCAGCAGCGGGAGCCGTCGACGCAGCGGGTGCAGCGGGCAGCGAACCACCTTGCTCCAGGTCTTGGGAGGTCTTGGGTGCATCCAGGACAACAACAGCAGCAGCAGAAGCAGCCACACCCTCCTCGTGTTTGGCCTCCTCGCCTGTGCCGGCAACGAGGACCTCCCTTGGAAGGACAGCACCACGGCCGTCCTCATCCTCCTGCTCAACATCCACCTCCATGCCGCACCCGCCAGCGCTCCTTCCCTCCTCTCCGGCCACCTGCGCAACCACCTCTGCGGCTGCAGACGCCGAGCAAATCACGGCCACTGCCTCCGCATGTGCACCCTCCTGGAGATCAGACGGATGCTGCATGGGCTGCTCCGCCACCTCCACTGCTGCAGCTGCAGCCAACGGCGGCGGCGACGGAGAGCTCGGAGGCGGAGGCGGCTGCGATGCGGCCTCCAGCGGCCCCAGCGGCGTCGCCCCAGCCTCTCCCTCCGCCGCCGCACCCGGCTCCTGCTTAACCGCGGCGGTCATGGGGTGCGTGGGTGCCGTAGTCATGGTTGTAGTGGTGGCGGTGGTGGCGGTGGAGGTAGGGCCCTCCACCGCTGCCGCCGCCGCTGCTGCCACTGTAGGCTTCGACAGATCAACGGCCGCTGCCGCTGCTTCGGTGTCCATGAGAGCATCAGGGCCCAAGGCCGCCGTCGTACCCGTGGCCGTCATGCTGACAGGCTCCTGAAGCACGGCGTCAGCAGCTGCTGCTGTGGGTGCCGTCGTCGTCGGCTTTGCGAGCACAGCGACCGGCGCCACCACCGCCGTCTGTGCTGACAACGACGAGGAAGGAGGCGGAGGCGGCGGTGGTGGTAGCGGCGGCAGCGCGAGCAGGGGCACCTCGCAGCGACGGCACAGGGCGCAGCGAGGGCAGTCGGGAGGGAGGCCGTCGTCAAAGGGAGGTTCATCCTCCAGGGGGGCCGGCGGAGCGGCGGGGGCGTCGCCAGAGTCAGCTGCAAGCGGGAGGGCCGAGCCACTGCCTCCAACCTGTCGAGGAACGGAAGAGAACGGCGTCGGAAGGAATAAAGGTTATGCGTTTGCAGTGCTGGGGTGGAACAAAACATGGAACAAAGCGGAATGTGGGAGTTCCTGGGTGGCATCATTGCAGTACTGCCGTTCCTAGGAGAATGCTGGAGGGTCTTGCTAAGCGTCCTTAGGAGTCGCAGATATAGAAGCACGACGGAGGAGAGACACACCCGAGTTACCGCGTCTTCCACCGGTTACCGGTATTAAACAAATGCTCCGCGTGTCCTCACCTCCTGATCATTGGATGTCCCTCCCATCGGACCCGACGGTGTCCCCGTCGCCGCCGGCCCTGCCGCATGCACCCCCCTCCTCGAGGGTCCCAGCGGCGGCAACCCCCGTCCAGAAGCCGCCGTCGCCGCCGCCGCCGTCGCCGGCAAGGGAGCGCGAACCATCTTGCGGCCGCTGGCCGCCATGCTGCCATTGCTGTCGTTGTTGTTGCCGTAAGCTAGGGCTGCCGGCAGGGGCGGTCGACCCATGTTGGGCGGCGGCGGCTGCGGCGGCACGGACTGCTGCGGAGCCAGGAGGCCGGTGAAGGTGCGGCCGTTGATGGAGACGCTGATGAGGACCTAAAGGGGGAGCAGCGAGCAGGGAGCAGGGAGGAGTATAAGGAAAAGAGACATTGGGGAGTGGGTCAGCCGTCATGGTGAACTAGGCAAACAGAAACCTGACGGGCACATCCAAAACGCCCGCCATCTCATACGTCATACCAGCACAAAACCCAGAAGAGATCACCCGCGAGCTCCCCAGCTGGCCCCCACCACCCACCTGGTCCGACGCTGGTCCCGCCGAGGGGCCCAGGAAGCGCCATCCGCGGATCTGAGGCGTAGTGTCGTATATGGCCGCCAGCTCCTCAGCGCTGAGACCTCCGCCGCCGCCGCCACCGCGCGCGCCGCCGCCATTGACCGCGGCGTCGGCCCCGCCGCCACGAGTGCGCGCTCGCTTCACCACCGGCCCGATATCTTCTCCTGTGGAGTACTCGGGTGGCAGTCGCTTGGCGGCAGCCGCGTGGCGCATGGAGCGATCCTGGGAAGCATGAGGAACGGGGAGCAGGAAAGTGGGTTAGGTAGAAAGGTTGGGCGCGCGACCCACGGGTCGGCTCGGCGGGGAATCCGAGGAACAGTCCAACCTTGCCGCCTTCACCAGTAAACAACGTTTTCCAAGCCTTATTAAGCAACGACTGCCTGGGGCAGACTAAGTGGGGCAGACTACGTGCAATGTTGCGAAGCACAGCAAGCCCCCTCCCACACCGCGCGCGAGTCGGGCTGGCTCACTTGTTGCAAACCATGATGATACGCCTTATCACACGGTCAGCTACTTGTTTCCTCTTTACACCGCTTACCATGGGTTCCGCGGATCCCTCGCGGCCGCCCTGCCGTACCGCCGCCGCCGAGGCCGCCTGTCGCGAGGAGCGCCTGAAGCCCTGCAGGTCTGCTGAACCGTCTGCATGCGCGGGGGACCAGGAATGACGGGGAGGTCAGGAAAACCGATATGAGTGGGGTGACGTGCAACTGGCTTACGGCATCCCATGTTAAAGAGGGCGCATGCCAATTACCACTCCGCTATCCGGAAAAGGCACTTGCCCCCAACTTCCCGGCCGGCATCTGCTGCTTATCTTGGACCGCCAAGCCACCACCATGCAAGTGAGACCGACCACCGGGCCACAAACACACCCCCACTCACCATTCCTCCGCTCCGCCCCGCCGCCACCATGCACCATCACCGCCCTCCTCGAGTCGCCCCCGTCGCCGGTGCCGCTGCCGTCACCCTCCCCACTGCCACCTGACCCGTCCCGCCGCTTGCTGTCATCCGACGGCGGACTCCCCTCGCTGCTGCTGTGCTCTTGAACGCCGCCGCGCCGCCCGGATCCACCGCCGCCGCCGGCCCCATCCTCCTGGCCGCGGCGGCGTGCCTCCATGCCGCCAGCGCTCCTCCGTACAGTGCTCCCCACGCCGCCGCTGTTCAGCGGGCCCTGACGGCTGCGAGCACGAGCCAGCAGTGAGCGCCCGACGCCCCCGCCCGCCGCCCGGTCTAATGCAGCCGGCAGCCGGCCCATGCCGCGGCGGTTGTCCGGTCGTCCGCCCGCCACCCTGACGCCGCGCTGCGCCACAGCCCGACGTGACATGCGGCCGGAGGGCTCTCCGCGGCCCTCGGCTCCTCCGTCTCCGTCCTCGAACTCACCCTCCTCCCCGCCCATGCCGTCGTCATCCGCAGCAGCCACGTCCCCGTCCAGATCATGTTCGCCCGGGCCCATGCATGCAGCCTGATGCGCCGCCGCCGCCTCCTCCGCCTCGTACTCCTCCTCCTCCCCCATCACGTACTCGGATGCCGGGTAGCGACTGGGAGGCAGCGTGTTTCGCTGGCCCGGAAGCCCGGAAGACTGCTGCTGCTGGTGGTGATGATGATGACCCATGCTGTAGTAGCCATGACCGTGGCTGATGTCGTTGCCGGCGGAGGGTAAACCGTTAAGGTGGTTGTGATGGAACGAACCGGCGGCTTCAGGAGCTGCAGCCCCGCTGCCGTACAATGACGCTGCGCCTGGGGAGCCCAGCAGCGGTCCGCCGCCGCTGCATTTGGGTCGAGGAAGGATGTTGTGTTGTTCGAGCCACTTGCCGATGGTGATGGTGCCATCGCCCTGCAGCAGACGAATACTGTTGCGCCACTTTTTTGCGGTGAGCAGGCCGCTATGGCGTTCAAACTCCGTGGGGGTGATGGTGGTCGGCGGCTGCTGTGGTTGCTGGTCCTCACCGCCGCTGGCAGCGCTGCAGCGAGCGCAGTGACACTGCACGGTTTGTGAGGGCAGCAGGAAGGTCCCGTGTGTGCCGTTGCAGGTTACCTGCACCTCACGTTCGACCTGATGTCCAACGATGCCAGAGACATCGGCGTCCATGGCCGAGGGCGGTGGAGATAACCGGCCGCTGCTTGCGTTGCGTCTGGTTAGCGTCTGTGCCTCAATAGAGGGTCCTATTTGACCCGACGCGCTGCGATCAAGAGCTGGTTTCTGTGAGATGCTGCCTTGCGCAGCTGCTGGCGCTCCTAACGGAGCAGCAGCCGCGGCATCTGCAAGGCACGCTAAAAGGTCGTAGTCGCCTCCAGCAGGTTGCCCCGGCCGTGCGGCCCGTTGTCGGCCTGCTGTAACCATATGTCGAGCGGGATGCACGTCCATATGCTGGCACCCTTGGAAGGTGCTCCAACCAAGCGTAACAATGTCGCTGCTGGTATGCTTAATAAGCACGTAACACGAAAGCGCCTTTACAGAAACGCGGTCGCGTTTGGCGCTAGTTCCGACGTTCCGCGTCCACTGCGGGCACAAGAGACAGGTGTAGAATACTTTAGAAGGCATAATTTCAGCACTGAGATATACTCAGTAAGCGCTATTAATAAGCCGGACCTGGACTGGCGCCAACCCCCTGTGCACTTTCCGCTGTGCCCGAAATCGACAAGAAGGTTGGCGCTCAGCCACAGCAAACAAAACCCCCGCCAGCCTAACCCCCGTCATCCCAAAGCGATAAAGTATATCGCGCAAACTATATGGCACCTAGGGCGAACGCCACGAAAACATTCGTTCCGGGCGCCACATCTGCAGGCCGCGACAAGGGCGCGCAGTATGTCCGCTTGGCCGAAAAGCTGCTTAGTCGGCTTACCTAGTTTGTAACAAGAACAGAACAGTACTTGCCGCTGCCAGCATGCGGGCTTTCCAGAGTGAAGTCGCTGTTGTCGGTGTCGGGAAGCGCGCTGCTTGAAGGCATGCGCGGACAGATACAAGTCAATATAATGGACTGTGGTACAGCAAGCGCCCTGACTACCAGCCGAAGCGCCAAGCGGCTCTCATATGCCGCGCTGCAGGAGCATTGACAGTGGACCGGCCAGCACTTTACGGTCAAGCGCGCGCCTGCTGCTCACCAATATAGAGTTGTGCGGTCAGTAGTCGTCGTAGGCGGATGCTTACTATCGCTAGCGTGTCAACACGATTGGAAGTGGCAGGGCTATCGCGTAAGCCCGCAAACTGCTTTCTACACCGTTTGTTATTATTTTAAGACGGTTTGTCTCCGCATGTGTCCGCTATGTGGTCATGAAGTTTAGCGCCTATGCTCGACGGAAAGGGAAGGGCTGGATTCGCTCGGGAAATCTGCCGTACAGCACGTATCAATGTAATATCGCACTATGCTAAGGCATGCACGTGTTACTTGTGTTCGCTTTTGGAACAACTCTACGCAGGCGACAAGAAGTTGCCAAGCCATATCAAATCCAAGGTTCCTCCCTGTTGCATGGTGTCGGCAGGGTTCGCCTGGTAGCATGTTCAGCATATTGCATAAGCCCGGCGTATCATGAAGTTGGCAAACGATTGCTTTCAGTTGCGCTATCAGCCCTGGCAGGAGCGCTGCCCTTAGCGTAGCGAGCGATCCTGCTTTGGTTACAGGTACCTTAAAGCGTGTAACAATTGACGGTTATCTGTACTGTGCTTTTGGACATCTTGCGTTACAGAGGTTCGAAAAGCCCTAGGCAGAAAGGCTCAGCAAGCTAACAAGGGAGGCTTTCGGCCCGTCATCCATCCCTTCAATACCCTAGTGGTCAGATACAACGTTTGGGCCTTGCATGAATTCGATGCGGCAGTTTCAATGTCCGCGCCGGAGCATACCTCCATCCTGTGCTGGCTTGGCCCTGCTGCTGTACTTGGGTACGTTGCCCAAAGGCTCTGGACTGTGATGTTGCATATCCTTGGCTTTTGAGCAGCGTAAACACGGTCCACGCTTACAACGCTGCTATACACCTTGCCTACTTGAAACCTGGTGTCGTGCATTCTCTGGACACGGCGCCAGTCCTCATCACGATGGCAGTGTCCGGGCAAAGGAGCAACAGGTTGCTGCTGAAGCCTTGCCAGAAGCCGTGTGCATATAGCATAGCAATCGGCAAGCTTGCCCGGTATATGTGATGGGGATTGTCGTGCGCTGCAAGGGGCACACACCGTGAACAGTAGCAATCGGGTGGAAGCATGGTGCGTATGCCTCTACGCGCTGCAAAAGGTCTGTGTATCAGGTGGTTTGGAGTCCGGAGTGCGATGGTGACCAGATTTCGCTCGATCCGACAGCCCTCAACTACCGGATATTCAGGCACATTGTAGCTATTTAGTATGTTGGAACAGTGCTGAAAGCCAGCAGGCATGATGACCGACCACAACACGACTTCAGTGCTAAAGCGTTCAGTTCTCAGGTAAATTCTCTTGGTGGAATCATGTCTGCTGTTGATATGCATGCATGCGCCTGTCGAGAGGTGCAATGTAGTGTACCGGCAGTGTAGTGCAGTGCGGTGCAGTGCAGTGCAGAGAACCGCGGGTCCAAGCGAACAGTAAGGAGCAACCGAATGCAGTTCACAGCCATCCAATTCTGTGCGTAGTCAAGCGTTATAAAAACAACGCGGGGTAGCGCGTGCCGGCGCGGTGCCAGGGTTGGTTGCTTGGTTCCAGGAAAAAACGGCCACGACGTCAAATGGCAATCCCGTGCACGGATTGAATGCTGGCAACGCACTAACATTCAAGAAGTTGTAACTATGGCATTGATCTCCAGTAACGAATACCAGTATACACGATTCACCTGCAACGTCGCCTGAATTGTGCTTTGCGGAAAAGACAGCTCGAGGCTGAATTTTGTGGCAATATACAGACATATGGGCAATTTTTAGATTAACACGTAGCGTTTGCTGGTGCAAAAAGGATGTTAACAACGCCTTTCATCACTTTCCTTGCGTCGCTAGCATTTTTTCACTGCAGCGAATTCTTGTTGGCCTACGCCTTTATGCGTCACGAGCTTTCGCTGAGCTGTAAGTGAGATTATCGCACGTAAGTGCAGTATCTACACCGCATACATGGACGTACTACGGTGCTGCTTGCGTCCCCGCGCGTCCCGGTTATCAACCCGGCCGAGGAACTTAAGTGGGCCCGTGTAGCGCGTCAGCTGGGCATCTCTTAAGCATCATCGCCACGCCGGGGTCACCTTCACCCACGAGCACCTGTGCCCAAACTCCTTCCTTACCCACACCTCCCCGATGCCGCAGCCTGGCTGGTCAGCAAACCGTATGCCGTGGCTATGGCCTTCGCTTTGTTCGAGTATTGGTTGGAATCGTGGCTGCTGCCGGGCTGGAAGATAGGGAGCGGAGGCATGGTAGGCACATCGTCTGGGCCATGGTATGGGTTGCTTCTGCGTGATGTAAGCACCATGGATGATACATGAGGGGTCAGCTGCCGAATCCCGCTACCCCTCCATCCTTCCGTCCCGAGGCGTATGTAAACCGGCCTCTGTCTTGGCTGCCAGGTTGACCTGAGCATGAGCTTTCATGTTTTGCCCATTGACATGCTACCTTGCATGCATTGCATGGGAACTGACCGGCTGGTTTGGGTGGCCTAACGCGCTTACTGGGTCTTGTCGCTCATGCTTTGATGGACCTCCGCAGGGGTACCTTGCATGGAGTGGGCTGGCCCTCGTGCTGCTAGGCGAGGGGATACGCAAGCTGGGCATGGTAGGTGCGGGAAACGCAGAGCATCCTGCATGGATTCATGGCCGACTGCATTGCCTGCTTGTCGTGATGGGTGTGCAGATTCTGCAGAAGCCAAGCCGTGCAGTAGACGCAACACGCGCAAGGACCTGCGGGGTTCATTACATGAAGGCCCCGGCCTGGCTGTCTTAAAGCAGCCGACCAACCCTGCAGCCAGGCCTTACATGACCTTTACTACCGACCGACCAGCCAAATCCAAGGTCGGCTGCTTTGTCAACCGGGGCTTTCCATGCAAGCATGCGTGCACCATCGGCTTCCGAGTGCGCCACACTAATATGCTATGAATACATTCCACGACTGGGGGACTGATGCGTCCTAAGGAGATGCGTTGCACGCCGGACCGCACCGAGCATCAAAACGTGCGTGTGCGACCGCAAACTATTGGCAAGGACACGCATGCAACCATGCACCATTTCAAACCCGAGCTCCGAATACCCTTCTTACTGTCCAGCACTCCTCAGTAGAACCCCTTCCTTCGCACATTGCCGTGACCACGACACCACCCATGCAGCGCACATGATTGCCCCTCGCGCGTTTGTCGCACTTCCAAACCTCGTCACCTGGCACTTGCGCACCCATGCATGCATGCTTCTGTGTCCTGACCCGCCCCAGCCGCATGCACGCCCATCGCAGAGCGCATGCCGCATGCGGGTGGCCACACCTCGCCCCTCGCACCACACCACTTAGCCATTCACACATCGCAACAAATGAAGTGTGCGTTGCTTACCCCCCCCCCTGACCTACATCGCCCTGCCCCCGCAACCGCAGTTCACGGCCGGCGGTAACTTCACCCACAACATCCGAACGGAGCGACATCCCGCGCACTCGCTGGTCACGCGGGGGATATACAGGTGGGCCAGGGGCAGCCAGCTAGCCGGTAGCTCAACACGTAGGGAAACAGGGGGGAAACAGGATGTGAAGGGAACACCGCGTGATGTGGCAAGGGCTGGCGGACAGTGCGCCGAGGGTTTCCATACACCCGCCGACGCACGGTAGCTTGGCCCCGCTGGGACCAACCGCCAGCGGCGCCACCCTCCTTGGATCGTGTACCACCACGCCACACCGGATAACTAGATTAAACCACGTCACACCACGCCATGCCTAAACAGACAAACGACTCCGTATCTCTCAAGTCACATCCATCCACTCTCTGCTGCTGCCCAAGGGGTGTGGAAGACTCTCGGTACTACATTCACAACCCCCCAAACAAACAAACCCTCTCTCCCACACCACTCACAATCGCAGGTACATCCGCCACCCCGGCTACCTGGGTTGGTACATCTGGTGCATCGGGACGCAGGTACTGCTGGGAAACCCCGCCAGCTGCGTCGCCTTCGCAGTCGTGGTAAGCGGCTTGTCTTCTTGGTACACATCTCCACACCCTAGCTGGGAGCCACGACTCCTCCCACCTAGAGGAAATCACCGCATGGCCGGCCTGTCTTTCGAAACCCTTCAATAGTCGTACAACAGGAAAGTGCAGAAGCTTAAAAAGTACATTGACCCAAAGTACATCCACCCACGAACCCCCAACCCCACGCCAATCTAGAGGCGACATTCGCGTAACTCGATCACGTACGATGAACCCTCCGCGGGGTGACAAAACTGCCGGGTGGCAGGCATTCCGTTACGCGAATGCACCCGATTGCGTCATGCTGTGTATTGCTTGCTTGCTTGCGGTTGTTATTCGTTTGCCGTATCCTCGACATACAGTGACACGTGGAGTGCGCCAATGCAAAAAGGACGCTGCTGCTAGCCTATCTGCACAGCACAGCAAACGCAAACCTAACCGCACACGTCCAGTCAACTTGTAAAGAATATCAAAGTACTAAAACGTCACATCACCACCAAATTAACAACAGGGGCCAACTGGCAGCAGGTGGCCGTATGACCCACGGGTCAGTCCCATCGTCGCGGCCCTACCCTGTCACCAGCCCCGACTCTTAACGCCACACGTTTCTCCTCCCATTTGCAGGCCTGGCGCTTCTTCCGTCAACGGATACAATACGAGGAGCACTACTTACGCTGGTTCTTTGGTGCCGATTACGCAGCCTACGCCGCCCGCACACCCACTTGGATACCCCTCATCCCGTGAGCGCAACAACCAACCACCTTGAGGAGATCCCGCATGTGGCCGGGACCTGCAGTCGGGACGCCACCACCACCGGCACCACCACATGCATCCAAGAGCAAGATTCCTGTACCGCGCCCCACCCTCCACCCGACCCAGATGGCGAAACCGTATCAGGAGCCCGAGGCAACACGCCAAGAGCGCACCTCTGTGCACCCACAACATGCGCTCGAAACCCCCCTCCGTGTTGCTGCTGTAATAATGCCACGATCCCTAGCACGCTGTTGCTACCACTTGAGGCCTGTCCGTGCCAAAGGCACGCAACATGGCAAGTTGATGGCTTGCCAGGACCATGCTTCGATGCCCATGTCGAAGCATCATGGGTCCACAAGCCAGCATTACCCGCCCAGCCGCGTCCGTGTTCCTTACCACTGAGCTGCTAAGGCACCCCGCCAACATCGTTCTCTTCTCATGCAAACCTCCATCAATACACGTTACAGTGCTCCCCCTCCTGACAGCACGCGCACGCTGCTACCCTGCCTCCTGAAAGCAACGACCTGGGGTTACCGCCACAGGAGCGCCGCATGCAGCCAGACATATCGCCACCTGAAGGTCAAGCAGTCCTAAGCTACCCACAGACATGCTGCTGCACCCCACAATGCGCCCCAGCCGTGCTCCCGCAAGGCTGCTGGCTAGGCACAGCTACTTGCCGTACGACCCTCCTGCGTCACCTCCTGCTGCGGATAAGCAGGGGGCATAACGAGGGACAGGCGAGGAGATAAGCTCAAGGATTGCTCACTTCGTAAGAACAAATTAGACCAGAAGGGCGGAGGGCGGATAAGTGCAGTGCTGTTTGAAACAGCCCTACCGCACCTGGAGCTAGCCAGCCCTTGCCTCCGTCGCCTCCCCATCCTCCGAACAGACGTGTCAGCAAGCCCGGCTGCTTCCGCTCCTGCTGCTGCTGCTCCCGACCTCGCCGAATCAGCTCCAGTCCTGCAAATGCGGCACACAGGCGGGCAGGGGCTCCGTACTCGGTGCAGGAAGCGCCACACATCCTTAGCCACAATTGTACGACACCGGGCTTCAAGGCATGCCACCAAGCTGCGGGGCTGCTTAGCGTGGCATGGAACTACCGTTTGCAGAATTCGTAAAGGCTGGCAATCATGCGGGTGAAACCCGGGCTGAGGGGCGTACACGCTGGCGAGGCATGGCACCTCACAGAGGACAGTCGTCCAGGTTCGGGCGGTTGATGTGAAAACCAATGAGATGATGGCGCTATTCCAATGTATAATAGGACATGCTTTCCGGCTGGCCCCATGGATGCTGCAGGCATGGGGTCCGGAATGGGGCTGTGCAGCAGCAGATGACGTGCGGGACAGCAAAAACGATGTCTGTTATTTATACCAAGCGTCAGCAAACGCTTGCACACAGGCGCGCGCACGTGGGGTTGCATGCGTGCAGACAGCGGCTGTAAGAGCAACAAGGGTTTTGCTAAGCTACTAGCCAGAGGAGGATTCACCACATACCGTGTAGCGCAAGGTCCCGCTGCATCTCGTCTGCAAACATGATCAAGTCCTCATAAGCATGGCCTACTTGGGGCGTCAGCAGTGCAGCGCTGCTCCCAGCGCCCGGGCCGCGGCTGAGCCCATCATCCGCGCGAACGTCCCATGGAAGGTAAGCACGGCCTGAAGCAGAGGCCTGTTGCTGGTCTAAAGCGCGATCAAGGACCGGGTGCGAGGCAGGCGGAGCCGACGACTCAGCGCCAGAAGCCTCAATTCGCGATGAGACAGGCTCCCATCCGCGAGTGGCTACAAGCATGTGCCCATTAAGGAGCGGGTCCCTGGTTTCTATTTCTGTTGTCGAAAGTTGGTCAATAGTCGTCTGGCTCGCGTTGGTATGGTGCCTGTAACACAGAGGAGGCAAAGTTGCTGACGATGACGCTATGGTTGACAATCGGTGAAAAAACAAAGCTCGTCGTTTCTTCACCTCTCGGTACATAGCCTGAACTTGTCTCGTCGTTCATGACAATAGAGAACGTCGCGGCCAGTAAGTGCATCTTTCTCCACCCGACAGTCACGCTGGACGCGCGTATAATCTTGGCATCCTAACGGCTCAGGCGGATGAGGAACATCCGCGTGCGCATTGAAGGCAGACCAAATGCGCCTACAAGGACTGGTGCCTCCACGGGCCCCAGTCGTTGCGTTTGGGTGCCCGAGCCCCGCCTTGTCCTCCATTCTGCTGCTACCTTGTAATCAAAGGTTACAGCAAATAGCCTCCTTCGGCTGCTAGATTGTCAAACGATAAGAGACGTTAAGCAATGGAAGGTGTTGTGCGTGGCAAAGCAGGAACTAATGTAAGCAGTTTGCTAAGAAGAAAAGGGGAGAACAATGGCGGAATGCAACTATAGAACCTCCAATCGCCGAACAGCATCGGTCGAAAAGAATCGCCGTACTCTCGTCTCCTACTTAAAGACGCAAACGGCTAGCCGTAAACCTAAGTAGATTACGGATTACGCGCATTAGGGTTCTGGGGTAGCAGTATGAGCGCCCTTAGATGCCCAAAGCCAATGATGTCATGCAGCTGCGAACTACCTACAACTTTATGAGTCCTTGTGTTAAGCACGCAGCAGTCGGTTAAGAGAAATGCACCTCTCGTCAATCGTTTTCTCATGCGCAACCGTTCCAGCTTGTTTGGCCCTCGCGCTTGCACGCCGTTGGCAACCGCAACGCGAACCCTTGCGCGGCACATGCGTGCTAGCCCTGGGGTACTCGGCCTGCGTAGGTTACCTAGTTGCCCTGGCTGCAAGCAACCTAATGGCGCGCTCTAGCACAAAACTCTTGGGCAAGGTACGCTCCAACGTTGTAACATCATCATTTATAAATCCAACGCTGGTAGCTAAGCCGCGCATAACCCACCGAACCTCCACATGCCAGCCTCACACTCTCAAATCCCTCATCTCTCCTGCCCACCCGGGCCCGCTCAAGAACCCTATAGCTACATATTACCACCTCCCTCAACCACCGCCCGTGTGCAACCCCCTTCCCCTCACAGCGCCCCTGCGGCCTGCTGCACCCGCTCAGCTGGCTGCTGCTGCTGCCGTACCATCTGGGTCTGCGCGTCAAGCTGGCGGCGCAGCGGCTGGTCAGCTCCGAGCCGCTGTACAACCGGGTGCTGCCGGGCTGGTGGGTACGGCAGCGGCAGGGGGCCGGGCGGGTGGGCGGGTGCTGCCGGGGTGATTTGTACGGCAATGCCAGTGGCACGGAGGGCAGGGAGGGCGGGTTGGGCGGGTGGGCGGGTGCTGCCCGAATGGAGAGTGCTGCGCCGGTCCCCACCGATAGGGTATATGGGTATATCGGTACCTTTCCTTACCCTCCTCACCCCCGGCCCCCGCACCCAACCCAACCCACCGCACCCCACCCCCCACCATCCCTCCTCACGCACCTTAGGTACATCGGCGGCTGGCCCTGGGCCGGCCCCTCCGAGCTGCCGCCCGACTGCCCCTCCGTGCTGGACTGCACCTGCGAGCTGCCGCGGACCCACCGCAACAGATACATGTGCCTGGCCACCTGGGACACACAGGGTGGGTGGGTGGGTGGGTGCGTGGTGGCGGAGCGGGACAGGGCGGTTGGGGATGGGAGGGTCTGGCTGGGCACTTAGGAACTTCCCTCCCTCTTCCCTCCCTCGCATATGTGTTCCATCCGTCCCCCGCACACAAGGGGCTCCCAACCTGTCACCCAACCGCACCCACCTCACCGCCCCTTCCCCCGCCCCTCTCCCCCTCTCCCCCCCTCCCCCCCTCCCCAGCTCCCTCCGCCAGCCAGGTGGACCGCGGAGTGGCATTCGCCCTCTCGGAGCGCAGCCTGGGGCGGCCCGTGTACGTGCACTGGTGAGGGGGGTGGGGGTGGTGGGGAGGGAGCGGGGGCCGGGTGGGGAGACGCGGCAAGCGGAGAGGGGGGAGGGGGCGGGCGAGCCGGGGCGGGCGATGAAGCGAACCAGCTTGCCGACCACACCAAGCTTGACCCAAATCAGCCAAGCCATGGCAACCGGTGAACGTAAGCCGCGCGAACATGGTCAGGAAGGGAGATGAACTCCTTTCCCCCTCTTATGTGCTATGCCTATTGATCCCCCCCGCCTGCCCCTGCCCCTACCTACCTCGCAGCGCCCACGGTCACGGCCGCTCCGCGCTGTTGCTGATCGCCTGCCTGCTGGAGGCCGGTGCGGTGGGCAGCTGCGAGGAGGGGCTGGCGCTGCTGCAGGCGGTGAGGCCGCGGGTGCGGCTGAACGGCAGGTGCGGGGGCGGGGGGCGGGGGGCGGGGGGGGGGCGAGGGGTAAAGAGGAAACAACTAACTGACTGTGTGACCGGGTGAGGGAGGAGGGGGGAGCGGAATGGAAGAGGGGGTGTGGGGGTGTCGCTACGCCAGCAGCATGGCCTGGGAGACAAATAGAAAGGTGGGTGAGAGTCAAACTTGTTGTTAAAAAGTGGGCAAAAGTGGGCATGAGCTTGAGTGACGTTGGCGGCAGCTGTGTTTAAATGTAACGCTGCGTTAGGATTGGCGATTGGAAATCCAGGATAAGTAACCCGCTGCTAGTAACATGCTTCATGACGCTGCTGGGCCCTTCCCGTGTGCCCTGCCACCCCCAGGCAACGTCGAGCGCTGGAGGCCTGGGCACGCAGCCGCGGCAAGGGCGCTCTGCAGATGCAGGCACTGGGGGCGGCAGGGGTGGTTGCAGGAGAGACGGTTGGGGCGGTAGCTGGAGGGTTAGGCGGGGACGCAGGGGCGGCGGTGCTGGCATGCGGGGAGAGTGGGGGAGGGAGCTTGGGGGTGCTTCTGGAGCGGAGGAGCACCGGAGGGGGTGTGGGGGTGTTGGGAGGTGCGGGGGTGCATGTGGTGGCAGAAGCGGGCAGCGGAGGGGGCGTGAAGGTTAACTAGCATGGACGCTGAAGTAGCCAAGCGACTTCGTCATAACAAGGAGTGATCGGGAATAGCGGGCCGCACTCAACGGAGGCTTACAACGGCTGCATGGCCTTGCCGGTGTGTGCAAGGGGGTCGCTGTCGCTGTCTTGCTTTACTGCTGGGGGTAAGAAAGAGAGGACTCGCATGCTTAGGGTGTGAGCTGCTTGAGGGAAGGATGCTGAGAGGATGAGAAGGATGTGAGGGGAAGGGCGCAAGGACAGGGAGAGCGGCACCGTGAGGGTGCCTGTCGGGAGTCCGGGGAGCGGAGCGGGTATTTGTTCATTTAACCCCCGCTCCTCCTCAACTAACCTGTGAGCTGATGTAGTGGCGAGCCGTCAGCGCGGAAGTTGTGAGCCGTGCAAGAGAGGGAGTGATGGGTGTACCGGTAAATACTATCATGGCTGTCTCGCTGAAGTGGTGGCGTATAGGCAGCTGAATTCCTATCTAACACTGTGTGCTGTAATGCTGGGAGAGCGAGAGAGGTGTGTGTATGGCGGGACGTGATTGAGGGTGTATTCGTGCCTGTGTCCGTGCTGTGAGGAGGGGTGCTGTGAACCGTTCCTTACGCAGCAGATACGGGTGCTGGTCCGTCGTTCCAGTGCAATGTATCGTACTGTTATACCGTGACACGCCCTTGCATCAGTAGCGTCGCTAGTTGGACAGGCCTTTGAAGGAAGCGGCAGGGAGGATTCACGCACGGGGGCTACCATCCTACCATATATGGCTGTGTGTCTCCTGACAATGAGGGCTTCCGTACACTCATGCGGTTTTTGACAGCAACGTTGCGCATCTTCTTGGACTTGCTCGCACATGCCGTACGCTGCTGTGCATTTGTTAGTGCTTGCCGTACCGTCTTGCTTCGAAGCCAACTTTGGGGGTCTAAATGGCAGCGTAGCTTGTTTTCCTGGGCGCATGCAAATTTTGAGACTTGTCGCTCACTCACAACCAACCTCGTTACATAGGCAGCCGCGGCGAGGACACAGAGGCTGCGAGAATGGTTGGTCGCAGCCCAACCTTAGCGTAACGTAACGTGGGGCACATGTTCACCACCCACCCTCACGCTCTGTGTGAGGGTTTCTGGGAGGGCAAAGGATCGTTCACCCAGCTTCCGTCCTCACGCAGCGCATGACGCTGGAAGCTACTGAATACACAACGTCTGAATGTACGGCACTACAGTGCAGTACAGTGCAACGCCCAGCAAGGCATGCTGATACACCTGTGATGATGGCAATCCACGGACAGTCCAGCGGGGAGGACAGACACCCATGAAAGGAAGCATGCTGGGTTGGGTGCTTGGGCATGTGTACTTTGCCTACCCATGTCACTTTGTACAATCGACTACCGACTTTAGTGGGCACCATGGCAACAAGTAAAGGTTGGACAGGGGTAAACGCAAGCCACCTGACAACCTGACACTCAAGTGCTGCCGATTCCGCTGCCATGCCTTGTCGTATGCTCCTACTTTCATTTCGCATTGTACAGCGGTAGCCCAAGAGTCTCCATACCCTGTCTTCTGCACAAACAAAATGAGCCCCCAAAACCCCTCTTCCGCTTGGAACCGCGCCATGCCAGGCGTCCTTGGTCTTTGTGTGTTCTCGGGGGTCGTGGCCAACCCCTTGTGTGTCCTCCTCGCACTCCCTGTCCCGGCACCATGCCGTATCTCACCCAGCTATGCAACCATACCAGCAGCACCAGCTATGACCTCCATTGAACCCCGTTTGTGCTCCTTCTGTGATTTGCTTACCGGTACTGCCCGAACTTCAAGCCCTTTACAGCGTGCACGCACCCCCAAAATCCCGGTAGCCTCGTCCCTAACCCCCTCACGGTGCCACACTATTGAATCTCCCACGTCCTCGTCTCCTCACCACCTCATTAGGAACTATATCCACTGATGGTGTACCGCCAGCACCGCAAATAGCCCCAACGCCACCCCCACGTGCCACCACCGCGCCTGCAGCCCCCATGCGGACGAGGAGGCGGCTGGCGGGTCAGCAGTTGAGGACCTTGCGGTGGGGACACCGCTGCTGCTGCTGCTGCTAGTGCTGCTGCTAGTGCTGGTGGTGCTGGTGCTGCCGCTGCTCGGAAGTGAGGCAGGATGGGCGACAGAGCCACCGCCGCCGCTGCCCGTGCTGGTGCCACTAGTGCTGCTGCCGCTGCTAGTGCCACTGCTGCTGCTACCGATACTGCTAGATGAAGATGAGGCGGAGGATGACGCGACTGCACCCGTATTTAGCACGACACCCGGCATGTACAGCACACGTGCAGACCGAGAGTACGACAACGTAACCGCCTGCGAGCTGAGGGACGCCAGGAAGTACATCGCCTCCCCCGCAACCGCCGCCGGCAGCTGAGTCCGGAAGTAGCTGGTGTCCCCAACGCTCTCCCACTCGCCGCTCCATACCATATCCAATTGCCCGTCATCCATCTCCCCGTAGCTGCTGTCAACACCGCCGCCGCCTCCAAGCTCTGAAACCACGTGCACTCCAAAGCAACCCGGGCACGCTCGGTACAGCGGCATGCCATGGTAGGAATCGTGCAGGCAGCTAGTCAGGGCGGCCACGTCAGCACAGAATCCGGTGGCCAGGAAGACGCGTTGCGTGTCGGGCGAGTACCTTAGGGAGAAGCTGAGTCGTTCCGCACCCAGCACCAGGCGACTGATGGGGAACATGGAGGAGTCCAGGTTGCGGTAGCGGGTGGCGAGGGCTTGCCCGGGTTGCAGGCCGATGCTTGCGCCATTGAGGTTGCCTAGGCTGCGGGCGTGAAGAGGTTACCGGGAAACTACTAATTACCGGTGCTCAGGGGTTGCATATAGGTGCAGCAGGTGGGGTTAGGCGGGCACAGGAGGTGTAGGAGGCGGGCATGCGGGGTGTACGGACGAGGCGGGGACAAACCACGCAATACGCAGCCCCAACGTAGCTTCAAATGAAAGTCCCAAACGAAAGTCCAAGCTATGGTGTTGAGCACCCAAAGTCGCAGACGGCAAGAACTCACCCGCAGGTGTCCGACTGGGGGTTTTCAATGTCGCATTCCAGCACTTGCACGCGGGTGATGCCCGGGTAGGGCGGCAGGTGCGGGCAGTACATGGGCGGTGGAGAGGGCGGCATTGCCGGCGTCCAGGGAGGGTTGGGCGCCCAGGGCGGCAGGGTGGGCCAGAAGGGCACTGATGGTGGATCGGGCTCCTGCGGCCGGGCGGCGCATGGGTCCATGACCGCAGCCGCCGTGTCTGGCGATGATGACGAAGATAGTAAACCTGATAATGCGGGTGGTGATGAGGACGAAGGGGGCGAGGTGCTGCTTGGGGCAGCGGAGGAGGCAGCAGCTGTGGCTGCTGCGGCAGCGGCGGCTGCAGCATTAGGGTTGCTGCTCTCTTGGCAATGGGACAGCAGGCCGGCGGCTAGGAGGAGGAGAGCGTAGAGCGTGTAGGCATGCTGATGGGAGGGCGACGGCACGACGGGCCGTGCTAGCGGCGACAGCAGCTGCATGCTGGTTGCCCCGAGCGGGCAAGAGCAGTTATGGGAAGGGGTCTGTGCGTCATAGGGAGCGCGCGCGGCTGCGTTTGGTTGTCGCCGCGGCTGCTTTAAGTGGGGAGTGCGCAGCTGCTGCGCAACATGCACGATAGGCAAGCGACGGCTTAGCTAGTGAAAGCAACTGTCAGCAGGCAGCGGGCAAACGGCTGGGTCTCGCCCGCTGGGTCAATCTGGATACCCCTGGTCGCTGCAAGGTCGATGATGTTACGAAGCCGCGCAGGTAGGGCACAGCAGCTAGCAGGGCTGTGTGCGTAGCTAGTGGTATGTAGGTGGTAGCGCAGGAAGGGGCAGCAGCTTATTTCACCACGTTCTGTGTATCTAGACGAGCGCAACGTGAAGGGAGATCTAGCCACAACGCCTGTGGATGGGCTGCCTTCGTGAAGGAGTTGTAAGGGTTGGTCAAGGTTTACGAACACCCAGCAGCAACAAGTATGCGCATGGGAAGCCTGCCTCGGACGGATCATCAACCAACTGCCACATAGGGCCGACCCACAACGGCAAAGCCCACCGCAGCCACTACTCCAGCAGATTTCTACTTCAACTCATCTTGAATTGTCGGTGTGCCTAGGATCCGCCAACCGTTGCTCCTCTACGACGGTTGCACTACCTATATATGGAGAGGCTTGTGACGTACGGCGGTACATGCAACTGCAACATACAGCGGTAACACCCGATTTACAAGCAGTGACCAAAGTGACCAACGTTCACCTTGACATAACCAGCAGGTAGGGTGGAACTTTGACCTTTTGCTACTACACCATTTCATTTCATCCCCTCCGCAACCTCGCCCCTTGCCACCCTCGTGCTACCACCCGCACATCAACCACACAAGTACACTGAAGCAACGCTTTACTCTTGCATTGCCACGCATCAGTCGGTATATGAAACACACCGCGACACGCCCCCGCACGGCTGGGAATCATGCTAGAAAGGAAACACAATTCAGCAGCAGTAGGCCACAATGCCGCCGTACACACATGTAGACGGACCGTCTATCTTTATCCTGGCCCTTGATGTGCGTTTGGGCTACTACTCACTCCTAGGTGACAAACGGAGCAGCCGTGCCAAAACAGTGCCGCCCAGAGACCGGGTGGCAAACACGAGCAGCCAGAGTGCTGCCGCACGCACCACGCGCAAGGCCAGGACGCCCATGCGACCAACCGCACCCCAGCCCTCTCTCCTCCCGACCCCGCCAGCCGCGGGGCCCCGGGGAGGCGGGTGGGAAACTACACCTAAAGCCCTGACAGAAGGGCTAACAACACTCAAAGATGCTACAATAAAGACAGATGCCGAAAACGGTCAGCGAGCTGCCAATAAGAAGAGGCATGAAATGCCGTACAACTAACTAAATTGCACAACGGAACGACGCTAACGAATTCTTCTGTACATTTCTAACACCCTTTTGACAGTCATCTGGTTAGCCTGCCACCCAAGCAATAGTAATGGCGGACCCTTAGCTCGTATGTAAGGAAATTGCGGAACTGTTATGACTGTACGCAGGCGTACGTGCACGTGTACCAGGAATCATTAGGATGGTGATCACGAAACTGAATGTATTTTAACTTGCAAGAAATAAACCAGTGAATGTAGGCTGATGAAAAATGAGCGGAATCGATCGTGTCCGCATCCAAAACGGAACAAGATGGCGCACGAATACGTCAAGGCACGCACAAGACATGCTCAGAATCGGAACCTCTGTGCGATTTATGTAAATGATGATAATCACAAGCCCATACCCAATTACTATTTACCTTAAGGAATTCTTCGCTTCGTGCCTCATGAATACCTCGATATGCCTGTCGCATGTCATCTTCGGGTTGTGCTACACCCAACGGCAATCCCTAGCTACATCTAATTTGGCCTGCTCATCGTCTTCAAATTGCTGGCGCTGTCCCATCCGCTTGGGGGCTTGGGTAACACCTGCATGCATAAGGACCACGGATACATGCATGTGGGCAAACAAGAACTCTTACCCGGTGGAAGAGCCACCGTAGCGGGGTCACGACCCATGGGTCAGTAGCCTACCTCATGCCAGGTAACAATGGTTCATTGCTTCCCGGCCAGGACCTTGGGCCGTGCTTCTTATGGTTGCAAAATAAGGCGAAGGATCATGCATGCGTTTGACACTTCCATGCAGTCTCGAACTCAGCTTTGATATCGCCCAAGCACGAGACGCCAAGCAAGCCGCACGTTTCTACCTGCGGCCGCTTCTCTTCTCTTAACACACCGGCTGATGCACAGCACTCACCTGCCTGACGTCGTCTGCAGTCGCCACGCGTATCATCATGCCCGAAGCTGTGGCGCCCCGCCGTGCGGCCGCCGCACCTCGTCCGGGGCTGGAGAACCGGCTCTGCGGGCGGGTGGGCGGGAAAACAGTGGGTGAGTGGGTGCGGACTCATTAGCACCCAGGATGAGGAGTGGCCGCAACAGCCGGCAGAAGGCCATGCATGGCCGCATAAATAAACGGTAATTGCCGTAAGCCCGCTTCTTAGTCCGCACAGTTGGACCCATCGTCTAGGCCGATTCCAAAGCCTGGATACCCTGTAACCAACCTGCACATGTTGGTTACATGACCCGCATGTGTGGCCCCAGCAGCAACGTAACACAGCTTGCGCCCCTGCAATGCCACCCCACACACGCACACACACCACCTCGCTCACCTCCGTCTTTGTCCCGCCGCTGGTCCGCACGCCACAAATCGTACTCCGGCGTCGCGAGGTGAAGGCCGGGCCACCCGTCAGCAGCGCTTGGATGCGCTCCGAAACCGCGGAGCGGGGGCTGCCCGCCGCCAGACTCTCCAAGCGCACCTCCGCAGCCGTGAGAGCCAGGCGGCGCAGGTTGCGTGAGGAGGTGCCGCCGATCTGGTCGACCATGTGGGAGAAGCGGCCCTACGATACGCATGGGGTGCGTGTAGGAAGGAAGCGGAGGGTGCGGAGGCGGTTTGGAGGGATGAGAGCTGCGAGGGATACGGGCTCGCTTGGGCGCATGCATGGGAGGCCTTCGTTGTAGGTTATTTAGGTGACCTGGGTAGGGTGTAGGCGGCGGTGCGGGGTGGCATGTGAGTATTAGCATCACCAACCACCACACCTCATGCTGCCCCCGCCAAAACCTCCTGCCTCACCTCCGCTTCTCCCTCCCCCTTTCCCCAGCAGCCCCCTCTCTTCACCCACCTCCTGCATCTCCAGCAGCGCCGCCGGCTCCCCCTGCTCCACCACCCTGCCCGCCTCAAGCACCACCACTCGGTCCGCATCCACCACCGTCACCAGCCGGTGCGCTATGGCCAGGCAGGTGACGCCCCCGCTCCCGCTCCCTCCTCCGCCTCCGTAGTAGTGCCGCCGCAGCGCTCCCTGGATGTGCGCGTCCGTGTCGGGGTCTACACTGGCCGTGGCCTCGTCGAGCATGAGGATGCGGGACCTGGTGGTGAAGAAAGGGTGCGGGTGGCAGCAGCAGGTGGGGGTAATAAAGGGTGTTTAAGAGGTTGCAGCATGTGCTAATACCAGGCGGCCGGGCGTGGAACGGGGAAGGGAGGGAGGCTTGGGAGGGGAAGAGGAGCCAGGTAAGGGGGCACGCCGAGGGTAAGATGTGAGCCGAAACAGGTATGTTAGGTAGCGAAGAGCAGCACATACCGTATAAAGGGACCGATGCGGGACAGATTAAAGTGCTCCAGTCCCAGCCCCACCAGCTATAACCCATGCATGTCAGCCTGCTGCATACATCAGCCACCAGCCACGTCACTCACTTCCTCAGCATGGCTCGCGCCAGGCACACGAGCTGGCGCTGACCCAAGGAGAAGTTGGCGCCGCCGTCGGCCACAGAAGCCCCCAGCTTGCCCTCTAGTGAGGATACGGTGTCACGGAGTCCAACCGCATCTAGAGCCTGTGCGTATGAGTGCATGTTGATCGCGGAGGGCCACATACGGACAGGGAGGTGTTGAAGCGAGCAGGGCAAAGAGTAGGCAGGGGCTTTGGCGACCCGACCTCTGCTCCGAGCGAGGCGGGCGAGGCGACCGACAGTAGGTGGTGGTGGTGGCGATGGTGGTGTGCGAGTAGTGGTGGCGATAGTCCTCAACGGGCAACGCCTCCTTGTATGCATGCAAGTCCCGAGGGACCCCCTCCCTCCCGCTCATCACCTGCCACAGCTCCTCATCCGTGGCTTGTGAAAAGGGATCCAGGTTGTGCCGTACAGTTCCGCTGAACATGAAGGGGTCCTGCAAGCGGCGGGCAGGAATGCAGGCAACAGATAGGGTGTTGTACCGCTAGTCATCACCGCAGACATTACCTAAGGCGCTACTCCACCTTACTCGCAACATACCGGTAAACACACACCCAGAACAATGGGTAACTCCCCCTAAAGCCCGCAACCGCCCACCCCTGCCTATCTACGCATGCTACCTGCGGAATGATGCTCATCTTGGACCTCAGGTGCCGCAGCCCCAGTCGGGCGATGTCCACCCCGTCAATCCTGATGACCCCCGCCTCCGCCTCCACCAGCCGGAACAGCGCCAGCAGCAGGCTGCTCTTGCCGCTGCCAGTGCGCCCGACAATACCCACCTGCGGCACGCACACGGTGGGGCCAGCCAAAGGATAATGACATTAATGAGCGTGGGATGGTGATGCAATCATGCAAAGGTAAGGACAGAAATGAAGGGTAAGGGTGAGGGTTAGAGGTGATGCTTGCTCCCATGCAGTAGCGTACCTTCTCCCCCGCCTCCACCACGAAGCTGACCTCCTGCAGCACGAGCGGGGTTTCAGGTCGGTAGCGCACACTCAGAGCCTCCACGCTGATCGCGCCCGCGGAGGGCCAGTCGGGCGGCAGGGCGGCAAGCACCTCGGCAGGTGTGTCCGGGCGAGCCTCGGTCTCGGGAGTGAGGTACTGAAAGTGGAAATGGGGCAGAGGTTGAAGAGTCAGCAGGCAGGCAGCGTCCCATGGGTCATAGCTTGCCATTATTATTGTCACCCACCTGCACAATCCGCTCCACGGAATTGAAGTCCGCCTCACACTTGGCTGCCATGTAGGTTCCGTGCTTCAGGAAGCGAGTGAGGTCTAGCGCGTACACCAGCGCTAGACCGGCCAGGGAGGGGTCGATGCGGCCCTGGATGCACAGGGAACCTGGCGGGGGACAACGGGACATGCAGCGTGCATGGGCATGGGATGGAGCAGGAGTCACATGGAGGGAAAGGTGTTCGGAGGCGGGGCGGGGGCTTGGAAAGGAGCAACGAGGGAGGGATTACGACATAGCAGATCATGCAATGTATGCTTGCCTAGTACCTCCTCGTCTCCTCGCTTCACCATGTCAGTGCATCCCAACGCTAATACTACTGGTACACAGGCATCCAAACCCTGCTCCACCTCCTCACCGCACAACGCCAGCACCACCAACCCCAGCGCATCCAGCCTGCACGCCAGCCAGGCCGCAGCCAGCTTTTGAGTAATAAATGCGTGCGCATTACGCTCCATCAGCGCGTCGCTAGCTGCCGTGAAGTACGGCTCCAAGCGGTAGGCACGCAGCGTGGCCACACCCGCCAGCGTCTCGGCGAAACGGGAGAAGATGGGGGAGCGCGAGATGGCCTCGATACGCTGCAACTCCCGGGCGGTTGGGATGTAGTATCTGTAGGAGGTTGCAAGGCAAGCATGGCGAAAGGGGTAGACAGCAAGTCATGACGAAAGTGGCTCCACACGTGTTTACGGTACAAGCAGCATGCCTGGTCTGGCCTCACATCAATCACTTCCACGTTCCACCTACAGCTAGCTAGTCTCCACTACCCCGCCGCCTCCCATGCACTCATGCTTCAGCAACAACAGCCTGGGTTCCCGGCCTCCACACTCACTCACCGCTGGATGGTGACGTACGCAAGGGCCAGCGGTGCCAGCGCCACTCCGAACCAGTGGGTGGTGGCAGTGATGACGGCAAGGATGGCCAGGAAGGTGGCGGCGCTGCTGCCGCACTGCGCCAGCGAGGAGGGCAGCGTGGAGTCCATGATGTCCGTGTCGCGGGAGAAGCGGTTGAGGATGCGACCTGCAGGGTTGGGGCAGGCAAGCAAGGACGAACGGCAGGGAGGGCGCAGGGAAAAGTATGAGTTGTGCATGCGTCTGATGCATGAGTGGAATAATAGCAGCGTAGGACTAGCGTTCATAAACCGGTGTAGCAGCAAAGGTAGTGGCGGGGTTGGCGTACCCCGAATGAGTGATGACGCGTCTGCACGCACGCACCCACGCGTGCATGCTTACCCGCTGGGTTGGTATCGAAGAATGACTTGGGCAGCGCAAGCACACGGTCCAACAGCGCGTTGTGTACGGCGAGCCCGGCCCGCACGCAGAAGAACAGCACCGCAGTGCCGCGTGCCAGCGTCAGCAGGCCGTAGCTCAGGCCCAGCATGAAGTAGATGCCCAGATAGAAGCCGGTGGGCTTCTCGTACTTGTCTCCGAACCACTTACCCACCCAGGTGTCGGCGAGCACGCGAGCGGCCTGGCGGCGGAGGGCCGGGGCGAGTTAGTTGTTGGTTGTTGGAATTATGGTTGGTTGCTACTAGGCCGCTACCCATTGAGTGTTCCGGACAGCAGGCTTCCCTCCACACATACAGCTAGCCAGCAGGACCATTGTCCACATTTTATTATTAGCTGCTGGGGTTCCTCCTGCCCCCATGTATGTGCGCATGGCCTCGTCCCGTCTATAAAACAAACTCCACTACTGCTTCTCCTATATGCTGGACCTTTCCATCCCTCAAACCGGGCCCCACCTGCTCCAGGCCAAACAGCAGCAGCACCGGAGCGAAGTACGGCCAGCCACCGCCAGCCTGACGCGAAGGAACGGGAAGGGGTAGAATTCGAAGAATGGATTGCATGAACCTTTGGCTAATGCAGGTAACCGCCTATACACTAGGCCAGCTGAGGGTAGGCAGAAGGGTTTACAATGCACAGTATGTACTGATCCTTCGCAGCCTCTCGCTCTCCGTACCTTGAAGTACGTGCCGACCACTCGTCCGCTGATGCCTCCCGACTCGCGAGCCTCCACCCCCGTCAAGTTGCGGTGCGCTCCGGGCGGTGCATCACGCGCCAGCGTGATAGCGGCGGCCCGCCCACCGCCTTTCCCACCGCCATCGCCATCCCCGTCCAGCAGGATCACTACCTTGCTGCTGTCATCACTGATGATCTCAACAGTGTCGTCCTTATACGCAGCAGTTTTGGCACCACCACCCTCACTGCAAGGACGGCAACCTCCACCACCGCCGCCGCCGCCGCCGCCGCCGCCGCCGCCTCGAAGCACGGCCGGCTGCTTGTATGGGCCCAACACGGACGAAAGGGCCGGCGAATACTCCTTGCTGACCGAACTTCCGCTACCATCGGTGAGCGTGCCTTGCGCCGTGAAGGTGTTGCCGCTTCCCCGGTCCTGCTGCTCTGTTCCACTGTCCGTGGCGTCATCCAAGTCTTCCAGGGTGATCCCTGCCGCTTCCACGCACAGAAGGCTCTCCCGCCGCGGCAGCTGCTGCTGCGGCTGCTCGTGCTGCGGTAGGTTCTTTCCCCCTTGGACGTCATGCTGCTGCTGCTGTGGCTGCTGCTGCTGCTGTTGTTGCAGCAGAGCGACCTCCTCGTCCTGGCAGATGTCCGCGATGTTGAGACCTGCGGGAAGCAATGCATGCATGGTGGGGTGGTGACAGTCGGGCACGCAGACGATTGGGGCCGCACGGCTGTTTAGGAGGTGGTGAGGTAGGAAGCGACCGTATGCATGCATGCAGGGTTTGCGCGCGTAAACCAAGACCTCAGAGGCCCATACCGCACCCCTTCCACGTCCGCGCATCTTTCCATGTGGCACCATGTGCACGCATGGCGCCCGCAGAACCTAACAGCATGGACGTCCCAAGTAAGCATCCGCACACGACTACTTTCTTATTATCCATCCCGCACCTCTAGGTCGGGCCCCTCAACCCACCTGCTTCCAGCAGCTGCGTGTAGCTGCCCGCCGCGCGCACCCGCCCGCCCTCCAGCCACATGATGCAGTCCGCATACGGCAGGTACTGCAGCGCGTTGGTGACCAGCAGCACCGTACGGTCCCTCAGCATGCCACGAATGACCCGCTCGAACAGCGCGCGGCCCACGTGGCTGTCCAGTGCGCTGAGGGGGTCGTCCAGCAGGTACACATCGGCGTCGGCGTAGCTGATTGTGTGTGGGGGGTTTGGCAAAGGAGGGTGGAACAAGGAAGGGATGGAGAAGAAGCGATGATAAGCACATAGATAGATGGCAAAATGGTTAGTAAATAACGGGCATGGAGCACCCTTGTTCAAGCAAACGAAGGAAACGACCGCCAGAACGGCGGAGGTACCTAGCATGACCCATGGGTCCACAGCAGCCACCTGTACCACTTTAGCTCTCCAGCCACGCACCCACTCACATGGCCCGGGCAATGGATACCCGCTGCTTCTGTCCCCCGCTGAGTGTCACTCCGCGGTCGCCAATCTCCGTGAGGTCCCCCGCGGGCAGCAGCGCCAGGTCGGGGCCCAGCTGGGAGGCATCCAGAGCTGCACGGTAGCGGGCGGGGTCCAGCGGAGCGCCCATCAGCACGTTTTCCTGCGGTGGGGAGTAGTGAAGGTGACAAGAAACAAAGGTCAGGGCAGTAACGGTTCAGGTGAGTGCCATTCTGGGATTGGATTTAAAGAGCGGTGGGGGTTGCTCGCGTGCCTTCTCATGCTTCGCTGTCTCAGGCTTATCCATGCGGCCTGTCCGACACCTACATTCCATACATGTCCACACCCGGCCGTCATTGTTCCCACGCACCTGGAGGGTATCATTGATAATCCAAGCGGACTGCGCCACATAAGCGATGCGCCCGCACACCTCCACCTCGCCACTGAGCTTCTCAATCTGTCCTATCAGCGCTGCCAGCAGCGAGCTCTTGCCGGAGCCCACGCCGCCCACGATCATCGTCAGCGACCCACGGGTCACCGGACCCAGCTGAATGGACTCCAGGGTGGGCTGCTGTTCGGCGGCGCAGCTGCCGCTGTTGCTGTTATCGGCGGCGGCGGTGGTGGTCGTGGTGGTGGTGCTGCTGCTGCTGCTGGTATTGGCGGTGTCGGTGTCCCAGGAGAAGGTCCCGTCGTGAATGCAGACGTAGCCAGCGGGAGTCTTGACAGGGTCCCACTGACATGGATGGAGCCAAGCGACATGCGGATGGCGGTGGGAGATTAAGTTACCAGATGCCAGGAACGGGGCGGAAGATCGAAAAGGGATTCACGGAAAACAATGTAGGCAACGGGCAAACGATGTTGCATATAATCGCAGATACTCGGGCATTGCAGCTACACACCCCTAGGTATTGACAGTCGAATACCGCCGCCCCCATACATTGATAGCCTATGCATGCAGCAGGCTGCGCCCTTCATGCCACCCCGTCGCGTGAGTGGCCATTCTATAGCTACATCGGCTCCTGGTTGACGGTCTCTGGGTCTCACCGGGTGCAGTGCCGCTTCATCACGCTGCAGGAAAGCCCCGATGCGCCGCGTGGCGATGAGGGCATTTACCAGCATGTTTACCACCTGGCAGCAGCAGGTGGGGCGGTGAGGAAGTAAGGGAGAGCGAGGGACGAGTTGGCAGGCTTGGTTGGAGTGGTTGGGCGGGTAATGGTACCGGTATGCGTGCACGTATGCATGCCGGGGTGTTTTGGCAGGTGGGAAGGTACGTGAAAGTGCACACGGAGAGGCTGCTGCAAGTAAGGGTTAGTGCGGTCCAGCGGACGCATCTCCCTCCCATGCCTCCTACCATTGGCAGGAAGGACAGCGGAAACCGCAGCAGCGAGAAGAGGGACAGTGCGGTGTAGGCTTTTGCGGGGCTGAGCGGCTGGCCAGCTAGCGCAAAGGCCCCGAACGTAAACAGCGCCACTGCTACCGGGCCGTAGAAGAGCAGGAGGTAGAAGATGCCCTACAGCAACAGCGGTGGATGGGACCACAAGCAAGGTAACATGCCGTTCGGTGATGATGTGACTGGATTGATCACATGGACTAGGAGTGTTGTGTTTGCTTGTAGTTGCCCCTGCTGGGTGGCCTACACAATGCTTGGACCCTCCGAGGCCATGTCAGCCTGCGGTCGAGGTGGTGAGGTGCGTAGTGACTTGCACGCGGCTGCTCATGGCTGTACGGCGCCGTGCGTTTATTCGTACTTCCGGTAGCTGCCCTTGAGCGAAAACCCTAGCCACAACGACTTGCCGCAGCTGCCCATCCGTACAATTGCCATGGCCACTGATGACACTATATGGCGGATGTGTGAATGGGCACTTCCGCGGCTCAGATTGGGCTTTCACACACCGACCTGCAGGACGGCCGCACGACGCAGGATCTTGGCCTCCTGACCGCGGCACTCCGCAACAGCGGCTCGGAAGGACTCCTCCCATGCGTAAAATTTGATCATCTGCGTGCACGCAGCAGCATGAGAACAAGTTGGGAATCGATGATCCCTACAAATAGAGAGGAGTTCCCTCAAAGATACTCCCTGTTTCCCTCAAAGATACTCCCTGCCTCACACCCCAAGTAAGCCCCTCTGTCCCCTGCTGTATGTCTGCTGACCTGCATGCCGCTGATCAGTTCGTTCATGCGGCTGACACGCTTGTCAGTCCACTGCATCAGCTGCCGCCGCTGTCCACCAAGCTTGGAAGCGATGAGGCCTGTGAGGGGTGCGGATGGAGGGTACACGGTGCAATTGAACATGCCTCTCCTCCTGGCCTTTTCTACCCCAATATCACAGAATGACCGGGCAGAACGGCGCATGTAAGCGTGGTCATAACACTACTGCCAAGGCACCACCCCATCAACCACCAGTCAACAAGCAAGCGCTATGTTGTACCGGTATTCAATGCATGCAACCGTTGTTAGCAGTCCCTCTCGCTGCCATATTTCCTAATTGAGGAGCTACAGGAGCCTGCTGCATGGTAACGCACACCGAAGCGCCCTTCCAGCAGCCCCCCGTACCGGTACCTCCCGCCCGCCCACCTCACCTCCCAGCGGCACCATCAGCAGCATCACCCCAAGCCCTACGAAGGTCGCCCAGCCGACTTCGAACCACAGCAGCACCAGCACCGCAATGATGTAGAGCGGGCTGCCCCACACGGCGTGGATGGCAAAGTGCGCGTCCTGTAGGGATTGGTTTGGATTGGAATTAGAAGCGGAGGACTGGAGGGAAGCAAGGAAAGCGGCGACAAGAGCAATTGTTATGGGATGGGTTGCTTGTGAATAGGGCGCGGACGGCTGTGAATTTGGGCTAGGCCGCGTTGCCAAACCCAGCCAATCAGGAACATGTAAGGAACATACCTTGAGCAAGCAAGGATTGCGGTCGCGAGGGACCAACCCCGCACATACGCACCTGCAGCTTTTGCGCGTCGTTGCTCATCAGGGTTACTACCTTGCCCACACTCTCCGCCTATGTGAGGAGACGAACAGGCAGCCGGACGGGTAAGATGAATAGTATTGATGGGTAGCACCTAAAGCTACAATTAGCGACCAGTTCCCGCAAACAACTTCATCCCGGCTTGTGCTAAAACAGAACGGCCTGACTGAAGATGCCATCAAGCAGGCAGGAGCAGGGAAACAGAATCTGTACATGCGTGCAGCCGATAACAGTTAACAGCAACACTTAAGCAATAGACGTACCTGCAGCGCTTTGTTGCTGAGCCGCAAGCACTTGCGGTAGATGGCAGCCATTAGCGCGTTGCGCATGCGAGTACCAGTGAGGTACAGCAGGTAGTTTTGCTGGTTCTCGCAAAGAGACTGAATGGCTGGGGCCAAAATAAGGCCGAAGACATAACTGCCGGGAGCATAGGCGACACATCGGATTGCGAGGGGTTAATGGTCCCGACAGTTATTACTGTACGCGCAAGCAACTGGGTATGATCAAAGTAAATTATATAGTATCCTGGTTGATACTCCTATATCACAAGGGGCTTGCAAAGTAGCAAGAGGTGCAGGTCGCACTACTACTCGGGGTAACAAATCGCCAAACCGCGATTCGAGATAACGGCAAGATGGTAGCGGTATTTAGCAGAACAACATTTCGTTCGTCAGTTGGCTGGTGAAGGGAATATTCCAACTACTCCCAACAAGCGATCGAGCAGGCGCAACGAGTCGAGTCCCACAGTTACTAGCAACAAGGCGGCAATCGCTACTACGCATCAGATCGTATTGATCGCAGCGCTAATTGCTCCCAATCGGCACGTACTAGTAGAGGTGGCTGCTCGGTTCGCAGCCATCAGTAGTCACCGAGTCTTTTTGCTGAGATGCCAGGCATTGAAGTCCCAGAACAATGCGTCGAAGAAGCAATGGCCCGGCAAGAGAGCAGGCCTGGGCAACGGCGTACAGAACGCCAGTAACAGCGAGGTAGCCGACATTGCCGCGGATTAACGCCCGCTTCAGGTCCGGTTTGGCCTCCTTCAGCTGATCCTCCCAGGCGTGTTCCAGGACCTCTACAAGCTTCGCCGTTTTGACGGCTGGATCTTCCGACATATGCTCTGGCTCCAGCTTCGTGGAGTAGCCCAGACGGAGGAGACCATCAACATCGATGAAGAACAGGCGTGCAAGCCAGCTCGGGTTGACAGGATACCGCCATGACGAGGTTTGCGTGTGTGGCACTGAATGCTGCTTGTAACACGCGTCCGCCTTCTCGCTTGGCGTATTCGCCCTGCTGGCCATCGCTTTGTCGCTACTGGTAGTGACGCTGGCGAGCGGCGTTTTGCTGCTTAAATAGTTATGCGCTGCACAGGACTAGCAAGAACGTAGATCGGAGCTTCTTATGTTGCATTCCGACTGTCCGACAAAAGGGTGGTGTGGTAGTTCAACCGAGTGCGATCAGGTGTTCTGTTGAGCGCAAAACGGGGCTTACAGATTAAAAACATGATGTAAGCGATCCATTGTTCTTGTGCCGTATCCGTCTTTTTCGGGGACGATAGCAACTTGTTGGCGCTGTATCGTACCTGTAACTCCACGCGCCTTTCTCTTGACGTTTCTCCTCAAGTTATTTGTGCATAAGCTTGGCTTCAGATCGAACGCTCTGGATTAGGACGGAGAGAAATATTGAACTTCCTCCCATGGTAACCGCTGCAACCGCGGATAACGGTAACACCAAGCAAAAAAACAAAGTTAAAACGCAAGCCTTTTCAGATCAGTAACAAATCAGACGCAGCTACTATCTCGTCGCAAACACAAAGAACTTAGACGAGCGTCCTGGCTCATGGGCGAAGGCCCTTCGCAGCTTTATGTGCCGGCAGTGATGAAGCAGAAGCTAATTGCAATACATGAGGCATGTACAAAGGGAGGTCGAGAACAGGTTGTCAAACGCGTGTGCTAGCATTCGGTGATGAGGTAGGAGCAGTGGAAGAGTCGCGTGGAGCAAGGCCGCTTTGCTGAATGCAGTTTGTAAAAATTGAAGAGAAGGCTAATACATCTTCACGGCAATGCCTTGATACTCCGCACCTAGCATCGTTTTAAAGGGTGCGTTGCTTTGCTTTCCATATATATAAAGCGTACGCACATACCAAAAGGCTTTACAGTATCCAATAGTATGTTCGCACTTAGTAAAGACCCATTGCGTTGACGAAATTGCCATAAAGACATGAGCATTGCACTGGAGGACCACACATTAGCCGTAGTGTGCTGGTACTGTACAATCAATGTGCTGCGCGGCTACGCTTTCGTCCAGTGTATCAATTGGCTTGACGCTCGCTCGACTGCATCCTTCACTTCGACAAGCGCAGTCGGGTTTACGCATCGCGCTGCCAGTAGCCTCCGTCCATGGATAGATGCAGAGAAAATGGCATATGCCAGTAGCGACCAAGGTAATTGGCAGCCGGCCCGCCCCGGATCCGCCAGCAGTCATAACCGCAGAAACCCGCTCAACAGCCGAGCAGCATCGACTCTTACATTGTGGGGCCGCCGGCCATGCTGCACCGCTGCCCGTGTCCAAACCAAGCACCACCTACACTCCATCACCTGTCAATAATCACAAACGTTGACAGCTATGCCAAGCACCTGCCCTTTGGAACGTTGCACCAGTTAAACTCTTGCGCCAGTGCACACCACTACCCATGGAACCTGCAGAAAGCAGAGCCACGGCCCCAAACCCCTCACCTCCAGCCAATGCACAAAACACGCACATGCTCCCACCAGCTCCAGTGCACCCCACGACTCCCCACAACACACCGCAGCTATTTTTGTCAGCACACCCCAAACCACAAAAGCCCATCCCTCCTTTAACACTCCAAAGCCCCCCTGTGCAAACGCCTTTCCACATTTCCAACATCAAAGCCTCCAAAGCACGTTCACCACAGGCCCCCCAACCCCCACAGCAGCACTAGCCCCCCCTCCTCAAATGACTTTCATGCCCACCCTCCGTACATGCTTCATGCTAAAGTACTGCACCACCGCCACGACGCCGCCCACAGCGCCAAAGTAGCGCAACGCCGGCTCGTCGCACATGGCAAGTGGCAGCAGGCACACGGGCGCGGACAGCAACAGCAGCAGCCCCCAGGCGCGCGTCTTGAAGGTCCACAGGTAGTGCAGGAAGAGCAGGTGGTGCGGGATGGCAAGCGCTGCGACGGGAGATAAGTGGGGAGTCAAGGACCATACCGAAGTGTAGGAAAGTTAGGAATCCGCACGTTAGGGCAAAGCAATGGGTATGGGTGGCCAGGGGTAACGGCTTACACTTAAAGGCGTGAGGTGCACAGCTGTATGGCGGTGTGGGTTGTGTAGAGCTCAACCGCACTGCAGGACTAATACTGCAGCTGGGCGATGGGAAAGCATTGATCCCAAAGCCCACCCATTCCAGCAACAACAGCCAATATACATACCTTCCACGGCCTCCCTCCCTCCCTCCAAGAAAGCCCCCCTATGCTCCGCACCCAAGCTCCCATCAGCCTCCCCAGTCAGTTAGTTGTTTCCTCTTTACCCCCCCCTCAGGGCCCTCACCTGCCAGCCCAAGCTCCTTCACCAAGTGCAGCCCAGGCGGCAACCCAGCCGCTCCCGCCGCCCCGCCCTCCTCCCCGCCAACCCGCCCCGCCAGCACATCCGCCACCGCCGCCACCACGCCGGCCGCCAGCAAGTAGCCACTGATGGCCAGCTGGGGCGGCGCGTAGCGCTGCCGCTCACTCAGCCCGGGCAGCACCAGCGGGTCCTGACTCAGCAGCAGCAGCAGCGGAGCCAGCATGAAGATCGCCTCGGGTGCTCCCACTCCGCCTCCTGCGGAAGCCGACGAGGCCAGGCCGCCGCTGCCCCCGTTGAGGAAGGCGTTGAGGGCGATGCCCAGGGCAACCGCGGTGAGGGTGAGCAGGTTGCCGATGGTGGGCACCCAGGCGAGGCCCTCCGAGGCCAGGCGCTGCAGAGCCATGGCGGCTGGGGAGGAGCCCTCCAGCCGCAGCATGGCGCAGTAGTTGTTGAAGACGGCGGAGGGAGCGAGGCCGCAGAGCAGGTCGGAGGGGGAGAGGGAGAAGGAGGCGGAGGGCGCAGAGGAGGTGGAGGAGGGGTGGCTGCCGAAGGCGGGCGGGGTGGGCATGCCCGCGCCGTTGGATTGGTCTGCATGCATGCATGCAGCCAGGGAGGGGGGTTGTCAGGTCAGATCGGGACATACAGGGGCATGTCGCGCGTGCGTAGGATGAGGCGGTGGTGTCATTGCAGCTGGTAGGTAACCGCGTGCAAAGGGGGCCCGACGAGAACCCGTGTACGGTACTACCGGTAAGCATCAACACGTGCTCTGGCCACATGCTCGCTAGCGTTCGTCCTCGAAAGAGCTACATATGCTTTTACCTGCGCGCCCCAGCCCCGCTGCCGCCCTGCGCCGCAGCGCTGACGTCATCTTGAGCTTCAGCGCAAACGCCATCAGCAGCGCATGCGCCGCCACCACCGCCAGCAGCGATGCCTTGGTGGCGCGGTAGATCTCCGCCTCAACCTGCAGCCGCGCGAGAGCGAAGGTGAAAGAGAGTCAGAAGAGTACCGAGTACCTTCTGACCGGTGACCTTCCGGTCTCCCTGACTTCCATCTTTGTTTTCCTCACCCCCACAAAAGCACCACCACCATGTCGTGCCCACTTCACTCTCCTCTCGTACCTCCCCCCGCGACTGCTCGAGCAGATGTGTGATATGGCACCGGTACGCTCACCTGCACCTTGCTGTCCGGGAAGAGGCGGCTGCTGGTGTGGTGCGCTCCCCGCCCGTCCAGCCGCACCGGAGTCTCCGCGTGCAGCAGCAGCGCCAGGCCGCAGCAGCAGCCCCACAGCAGTGCCAGCGCGGGGGCAGCCAGGGGGCCGCCGGCGCGGGGAAGCGACAGCAGCAGCACGAAACACACGGCGACCACGCTGGCACACACCACTAGGAACTGCGAGGGGAGGTGGGGCAGGACGGGGCATGGCAGGGCAGGACAGGGAGGTCCCTTCTTAGTCCAGGTGCCTTCCCTCGTCAGTCAGGACGCACTAGAGCCATCCACACCGACGTCCTCCACCAGGCCTTCAACAATACCCTCGCTCCCCATCCCCTGATTGCGGGCAACCCCATACCGTACACACACGACCGCACTCCCCCCCCGCACCCCCCCCCCCACCTGCAGTGCCGGCTGGTCCACCAGCAGCTCCAGCGCCGTGTAGCCGCCTAGCAGCAGCCCCGCGGCGGCCCCCAGCGCCAGCCGCCCCGCCACCAGCAGCCGCAGCCGGGCGGGCGAGGGGGAGCCGCCCACACCGCCCCCCACACCTGAGGCAGGAAGGAAGGAAACACATGGCAGCTCAGTTGGGTTACGACACTGACGAGAGGCATCGGCCAGTCGAGAGGCATCGGCCCGATGTGGAGGATAGGGCGTCGTCGTTGTGCGGAGGCCAGGTTTGGGGTGCCCATACCATCCATGCGTGTGCATGGGTAGTGGTGGACTGGTGGAGGAAGTAAGGGAAAAGCCTAACCGTGGAAGGAAGCAACTAACCGCGGAGGAGGGAGGGGTGTGCAGAGGCTCATGCGCTCGTCTCACCTGTCATGAGGATGCCTGCGGGCCCCACCCCGCCGCCCCCTCCCGGGCTGCTGCCGGTGGCCGCCAGCGCCGCACCCACCGCCGCAACCAGCAGCCAGCGGGGCCAGTGCTCCCTGGCAGGGGGGTTGAGAGACAGGGGGGGCAGGGGGGTTGAGAGACAAGTAAAAGTGAAGATCGTGTGGGCTTAGCGGCATGCATACATACACGAGTTTGAGTGCGTGTGCTCACGTATTTTCACTCCGCACGCAGGCCTCATGGACCCGCTCATGTGAAGCACAGCTGCTACGGAACCCCCGGCACCACACCAACAACCCTTTCCAAAACAACAGCAACCAGCAGAACCGTCGTACCTGCGGCTCAGCCCGCGGCCCCACACCTCCACATCCTCCGCCGAATGCATGGGCACGTGCCGCTCATCCCACAGCCGAGGGCACAGCGACAGCGGCAGCCGCGGGCACCTCGCGCCGCCCGCCAGCGGCAGCGGCGGCTGCAGCACACACAGCAGCAGCCCCATCAGCCCCAGCGCCACGCAACCGCGTGCCAGCGGCCCCTGCCCGCCGTAGCAGTGGCCAGCCAGCGGGCCCATGCAGGCCGCCGCAGTCAGCAGCAGCACGCCAAGTAGCAGCCCCTCGCTGGGCCGCGCCGAAACCAGGAACTGTACGACATCAAACACGGCAAACCGCGCCAGTGCGACGCAGATGAGGACGGAGAGGATGTGCAGGAGGCCCTTCCAAGGCGCAATGCGACGGCGACGGCGGCTGGCGGCGGCGGCGGAGCCGCCCAGGGCGCCGGCGCCGGAGGCGCCGGCGGCAGCACCAGCCGCGGGCACATTGAGCAGGGTTGAAGGTCCGTAGAGGAAGTACGGCGCCAGGGTTGCGGCTAGCAGCAGTGCGGCGGGTAGCACGAGGGCGGCCTCCGGGATGAGGAGCATGGCCGCCTTGGCTCCGTACAGGGAGTGCAGGAGCCAGGAGGCGAGCGGGGTGATGCGGGCGCGGGAGGTGAGCAGGCGGGCGGCGGCTAGGCCGAGCAGGGAGGTAGCCATCACCAACCAGCCTGGGAGGGAGGGGGAGGAGAGGGGTTAGGAGGGAGCAGCAGGAGTAGGAAGGGGGGGGTACAAGGGCGGTAAGCGGCATGCACGCCCTCATGCCCTCCATGTCCACATACGTCGTATCCCGGCAGCCGGGGACATCCGTGTGGCTCCACCCCCACACGGCCCTGACTGCTGGAGCCCAGTCATGGTGGTAACGTTTCCTCTTCACCAGTCCTCTTCCCCCCCGCAGCCCCCCAGTCCGGTCCTCCTCTTGCCGCCTACCCGGGTACATGACCTCCTGCGCCCCCTCCTACCCGGGTACATGACCTCCTGCGCCCCCTCCTACCCGGGTACATGACCTCCGGCGCCCCCTCCTCGTGCCCCGCCGCGTACATCCTCTCCTCCATCACGCACAGCAGCCCACCCTGCAGCACCAGCAGCCCGCCCACCAGGTGCGAGCTGGCCTGGGCGGGCCGATGAAAAGGGGCCGAGGAGGGGGTGGCAAGGGAGCGATGCGGGCCGAGGAGGGGGTGACAAGGGAGCGATGCGGGCCGAGGAGGGGGTGGCAAGGGCGCGATGCGGGCCGAGGAGGGGGTGACAAGGGAGCGATGCGGGCCGAGGAGGGGGTGACAAGGGAGCGATGCGGGCCGAGGAGGGGGTGACAAGGGAGCGATGAAAAGGGGCCGAGGAGGGGGTGGCAAGGGAGCGATGCGGGCCGAGGAGGGGGTGGCAAGGGAGCGATGCGGGCCGAGGAGGGGGTGGCAAGGGAGCGATGCGGGCCGAGGAGGGGGTGGCAAGGGAGCGATGCGGGCCGAGGAGGGGGTGACAAGGGAGCGATGCGGGCCGAGGAGGGGGTGGCAAGGGCGCGATGCGGGCCGAGGAGGGGGTGACAAGGGAGCGATGCGGGCCGAGGAGGGGGTGACAAGGGAGCGATGCGGGCCGAGGAGGGGGTGACAAGGGAGCGATGAAAAGGGGCCGAGGAGGGGGTGGCAAGGGAGCGATGCGGGCCGAGGAGGGGGTGGCAAGGGAGCGATGCGGGCCGAGGAGGGGGTGGCAAGGGAGCGATGCGGGCCGAGGAGGGGGTGGCAAGGGAGCGATGCGGGCCGAGGAGGGGGTGACAAGGGAGCGATGCGGGCCGAGGAGGGGGTGACAAGGGAGCGATGAAAAGGGGCCGAGGAGGGGGTGGCAAGGGAGCGATGCGGGCCGAGGAGGGGGTGACAAGGGAGCGATGCGGGCCGAGGAGGGGGTGACAAGGGAGCGATGAAAAGGGGCCGAGGAGGGGGTGGCAAGGGAGCGATGCGGGCCGAGGAGGGGGTGACAAGGGAGCGATGCGGGCCGAGGAGGGGGTGGCAAGGGAGCGATGCGGGCCGAGGAGGGGGTGACAAGGGAGCGATGCGGGCCGAGGAGGGGGTGACAAGGGAGCGATGCGGGCCGAGGAGGGGGTGACAAGGGAGCGATGAAAAGGGGCCGAGGAGGGGGTGGCAAGGGAGCGATGCGGGCCGAGGAGGGGGTGACAAGGGAGCGATGCGGGCCGAGGAGGGGGTGACAAGGGAGCGATGCGGGCCGAGGAGGGGGTGACAAGGGAGCGATGAAAAGGGGCCGAGGAGGGGGTGGCAAGGGAGCGATGCGGGCCGAGGAGGGGGTGACAAGGGAGCGATGCGGGCCGAGGAGGGGGTGACAAGGGAGCGATGCGGGCCGAGGAGGGGGTGGCAAGGGAGCGATGCGGGCCGAGGAGGGGGTGACAAGGGAGCGATGCGGGCCGAGGAGGGGGTGACAAGGGAGCGATGCGGGCCGAGGAGGGGGTGACAAGGGAGCGATGCGGGCCGAGGAGGGGGTAACGGGGCGGTGCGGTGGATGAGGGGGTGACAAGGGAGCGATGCGGGCCGAGGAGGGGGTAACGGGGCGGTGCGGTGGATGAGGGGGTGACAAGGGAGCGATGCGGGCCGAGGAGGGGGTAACGGGGCGGTGCGGTGGATGAGGGGGTGACAAGGGGGTGGTGCGGGAGTTATCCGTGAGAGGGGGTTAACCGGGTGGAGAGGAGGGTGAGAAGGAGGGAGCAGCAGCAACAGGGGAAACACACATGGTGGTGGATGCTGAATGCTAGTTGCCTTTGGTTGGGCCAGTCCCTTCAAACTCAAGCAGCATCGCATTTCAAGCCTGCTTAACCACCACCAACCAGACAGGCAACCCTCCACCCTTCTCCGCTGCTTCCCCCGCCTCAGTTGCCGTCTCTCTCTCTCACACACACACACAGACTCCTGCGGCGGTTCTGTGGGGACTTCATCTTCCGACATCCTAGTACGTTCCTACTCGCGGCCAGTTTTCTTAACACACAGACACACACCGCCCACACAGTGCGTCCCGAGTCGTGGCCAGATTTTTCAACACATCCCGCCCCGTCCTCCCCACTCACCCCCGCCACCACCAGCCCCGGTACCGTGAGCGCCGGCACCAGCGCCGCCAGCACCAGCTTCACCAGCGTGTGCAGCCGCATGCCCGACACGGGCAGCTCCAGGAACCAGTAGTGCTGCCGGATGAACCACACGCCTGGGGGGGGGCATAGGGGAGGAGGGGTGGGCGTGGAGGTGGGTGCCGTGTCGTCGATGAGAACCCTCGTCTGCTGGGCGTCGTTACACACTGGGCCGCAATGGTCAATGTTCCCCTCGACGTTCCCCTCCGCGTTAGCTACACCCTGAACCTCAGCACTCCTCTGCCATCGCACGGGCGTCCTCCTTCTCCCTCTACCCTAGCCCACTCCCGTTCCTCCCCGTCCTTCTCCCCCTCGTCAACCCCGCCCCCCCTCACTTGTTGCGAAGGCCCCCACCACAAACACCAGGTACTCCCGCAGGCTGCGGCTCTCGTAGAACAGCGACAGCCCGCACGCCGCCAGCAGCGGGGCGGGCAGCCACAGGAACGGCACGCCGGCAGCCAGCGCGCCTGGGAGTGGAGGGCGGCAAGGGGCGTGAGGGTGAGCTTAACAGGTAAGGACGTCGACGGAAGTTGCATGCATGCATGACTGTTGGTTGCTCATCCCTCGTATCATGAGGAGGTTTCTTTGAATTCGCACGCCCACCCTCCCGCCCTCCCCACTCATGGTCCTTCCCGCCCTCCCGCCCTCCCCGCACTCACCCGCCGTGGTGCACAGCAGCAGGAAGGAGCCCGCCACCGTCACGTCCACCCCCTGCTCCCCCAGCGCGCCCGTCACATGCGCCAGCCCCACACCCGCGCACCCAAACAGCGCAAACGTCACCGCCAGCCAGTTCCAGGGCGACGGCAGCTGGATGTACTGCCCGAACCCGTGGAACACCACCCGCCCCTCGAACCCAACCAACGCCACCAGCAGCGCCCCCGCCAACACCACTCGGCGCAGGAAGCCCGCCAGGCCGCGGGAGGGAGTGGAGATGTACGGCGTGTTGCCGTACGTGGCGGCGGCGGCGGCAGCGCTGCGTTGACCGCCGGATGCAGTTGCGTTGACCGGCGGCGGCACCGCCGGCGCCAGCCACCACATGCCGCCGGGCATGAGGGCGAGTGCGAGCGGCATGCCGCCGAGCAGCAGCAGCATGGCATAGAGGTGCAGCGGGAAGAAGAGTACGACAGAGTGCACGGCAGCGTAGGTGGCGGCGGGCAGTACGGCAACCAGGGCGGCCATGAGCGCGCCGTCGGCACGTGTCTGTACGACGGCTTCGGGACCCACAGCGGGACCGCCGCCTAGCGCTGCTGGGCCTGCCTTGACCTGAGGGGCGTGGGAGGCGGGTGGGGGACCAGGGGTGTGACATGTTAGGTGCTGGCTGAGAACGGGAAGGAACTGCTTGGCAGCGGCGTCCTGGGCTCCACGGCTGTTGAGCCCGTCCCAGGGTGCAGTCTTTAGCATGTCCGACTGCGTTGAAGCCCATCCGAACGCCCAATTCCAGCCCCTTCTAGAACCCATAACGTCTCTTCCTTTCCCACATGCCAACGAGAGCGTCGCCCGAAAACGACGCAGCACCCCGCCCGCAGCCTCGCCCTTGGGCTCTTAGCGCGGTCCCCTTCCCATTTATCCCACAAGGACTAAACCCACATTATAAAAGGATGACATGAGCGGCCGGCCCAGCAAGTAGTACAGCGCCACCAGTAGTACGGCAAGGTAGTACGGCACATCCGAGTACGGCACGAATGTGGCCAGGCCCAGCGTGTGCAGGACTGCCGCCAGCGGCAGGGATGCTGTGAGCACGCAGCGTTCAAAGTAGATGGCTGCTGCCGGGTACTGCATCTGTAGCCATTTGAATTGTAATGATGCCCACATGCCCGTGAGCGCTGAAAGGAACAGCGTCGCGAAGATCATGAAGAGTTGTAGCAGCACCGGGGCATCTGAGCTAGAGAGGAGCGAGAAGGTGAATGCCACGTCGGCGCAGAGCAATGTCAGCCATGCACATGAGAATGCGCCTTCTCGATACTGCAAGGCGTCCATTAGATAGACCACCATGGCACCGATGGTGAGGCATGATAGTACACTTGCACCGCCGATGGTGGCCATGGTCAGCAGGCAAGGCAGCAGTGCCAATGCCACGCGGCCATTGTACTTGAAATCGGCAGGCGTGAAGCGGCTGGTGGCTGAGCCCGCTGAGCCTCCACCAGGCATGGGGTAGATGGCGGACGAGGAGGAGTACATGGTGACCGTAGGAGGCTGTTCTGGCTGTGATGAGTAGGCTTGAAGGTTGGAAAGGGGGCAATGGGTTGGTGTTGGTGCAAGGCAGGCGAGCGGTCCGGTGATGAAATGACTACGGCACGCGACGTGTTCTCAAGGTACCTACTGTGGTGTCTAAAGCAGCTTCGTAAACGCCAACACGGAGGAGCTTAGCAGGCAGAGGCCGGACGAGCGAATGGTGATCTCCGACTGGTCAGCACCAGTATGCACAACCCCTCCTTTACACTAGTGTAAGTTGGTCACAAACGTTGTACTAAGCGGCGAGATCAGCTGTACCGAGACAACAGTCTACTGAAAAACTGGACTGTTACAAGCGGAACTCAATTGCCGGTTTCACAGCCCTATTCACATGTAAACCTAAGGCCATGGTCCTAAAGCCGCAACAAAAGCGGCCTTGTTGGAGCTAGCTCAGTTGAACACCGAATACCAACATGAACGCTGAAGGAGCTTTAGGACAGTTAGGAGGCACCCATAGGCATCCACGTTTTTCTACCCTATGCGCCGAGTCAAAGTGCACGTGTGGCACAGTTGGCCTAGGCAGCGCAGGTCTGGTTCTGTACGGTAAATGCAGTCCAGGAGCGAGGAGCCAGGACTTGATGCCGCGCTCGCAGTAAATGAGGCCGTTTCAATGGTATAAAAGCTCGTAATCTTGGAACTCCACAAACTAACGTTCCTGATAATAACCCCATCAAGACATCCGTCGGCTGTCTCTAGTGCTACTTGCTGCATAACTTTCTTTTTGGTTCTTGAAAAGATACTAGTAGTAAAAAGCTGGTGTAGCTGCCGCTCGTAGCGCCATAGTCGAGGGCCGGTCGGCGTCAAGTTGCCGTCGCGCCGACCGGGCGGTAAACGCTGCTCGCCCGAGCGTTAGTTTCTAGCCGCAGCAAGGATGTCGTCCGATAAGGAATGGATGTTTTGCCCCACGTCGGGGTATCTCCTCAGTCTGGACTCCAAGCGTCAAGTGGCAGCATGCCCTGTGTCTGGCTACGAGCGCAGCCTGGCAGGTGGGTGCCTGTGACGCTTGCTTGCAGTATGCGGGTGTGTGGGCTTATGGAATCCGGGCGGGAAGTACAGCGCCTGTCGGATTACGTGGCCGTACGGCAAGGCTGCGCAGCAGGCCATTCGCAACACAAGCTCGCCTCCCAGAAACCTCTTCCGCAGCCATCCAGCCTCCCGCTGCATGCACGACCCAGTTCACAGTGCTTCACCGCCTCTTCCTCCGTGCTCACTTCCCTGTCCGCGGCTCAGTTTATCTAATCCCTGTCAAACACTCCTCCCTACGCAACCCAAAGCTGCTCTACACTGCCCCCTGTACAGTCCATCTGACAAGCACCAGCATCTCTTCCTCATTCCCTCCTCCCCTTTCCCTTCTCCCTTCCCTCCCCGCACCCCAGAGCTCTCCTCCGTCAAGGTGGTGCTGCGCACCGACATGGAGGACTACCGCCGCCGCTTCGCGCTGGAGCCGCTGGTGAAGAGCATCGAGGAGCAGGAGCTGCTCAAGGGGCGCAAGCGAGCCACGGTGAGGGGGTTAGTAGGGTACATATTCCCAGCCGGTGAGGGAACCGGGCGGGCGGGCGGGTGTAAACTGGGGTATGGAGGAAAGGATGCAGTAAAGGGTGGGCCGGGAAGGAGGTGGTAGGAAGGAAGGAGTATGGCGGGCAGCCGGGAGCGAGCAGGAGGGCAGGTGCAGTGAAGAGATGGGAGGGAGAAGACCGTGGGAAGAGCGCTTGCGGGGGCGGGTAACCAGAGTCCTGGGGCATTCCCCTCACCTGCTGCTGCCACCCCTCCTTACGCCCTCCTCCCTGCCTCCTTCCCTCGCTACCTCCCTCCTCCCTCGCCCCCACCACCTAAGGTGGACGAGCCCTGCCCCAAGTGCAACCACCGCCAGCTGGAGTACTACACCATGCAGCTGCGCTCCGCAGATGAGGGGCAGACGGTCTTCTACGAGTGCAGGAACTGCGGGTGCGTCGGGAATACTGGGGGGGCGCCCGGGTCAGGGGGTAAAATTGTACATAAATGCAACAACGCAATCCCAATCCCGAATCCCGAATCCCGGGTCAGGGGGTGGGTTGATAAGAGGGAGAGGGATGGGGCGCTTGCGGCACTTATGGCTTTCGCTGGGTTGACTTTCGTTGTCATGTGTGATGGCTATAGCTGCCTGAACGGCTGCATACGTAGAGGGGCGGTTTGATGGTTTAGTTACATGCGGGCATGGAGCACAGCAAAGCTTCCGGATGTGTAGAACAGCTCCTGTGAGCACACAGCGCGTGGGTATGTCATCAAGTGGCCACCCTTCCCATTCCTTCCCTCTTCCCTTGCTCGCCTTGTTCACCGCTCGTAGGCACAAGTACTCGCAAAACACGTAATGCAGCAAGGGACAGCCCCTTCCCCTTTCGCGCCATGGGGTACCTGCGGCGGTGGAGGCGGCGGTTATGGTGGGCAGCGCGCGCACCCTCCGCCGTACGTCAGATGGAAACGGAGGCGGAGGCTGCAGAGAGGGCTGCATGGCCCGAATGCGTTCATTGAAGTGCGCGGATGGAGGCAGGAGGATTTGGGAAGGATCGTTGGGCCGGCTAAGCACCGGCGCGCCGGCGGGAGCAGACCTGCATGGTGTGAGGCACGTTTGGTGGCGGGGCCGCAGGGGTTCCGCAGAAAGGAGGAAAAGCGGCCTGTTGAGAGTCCAGGTTCATGTGGACAAAGGGTGGCTGTATTTTACGGACGCAGCTATAGCTAGCACGAGATGGGGCGTGTCTGGAGTAACGAACTTTGGGCTGAGGGTTTCTTTCTTATACGTAGTTACGGCAGGGAAGCAAGTGCAATGTAGACTCCTCTACCACAGCATGGGCTTGCTTAGGACTGTCAATAGCGATGGTAGTCGGAAGGCTGTAATGGCTCATGCAGGCGCTAATCCTGCCAGCAGTTGTCTTCCTATGCCAACTTGCGGAGGTCGCAGGCGTGTTAGTCATGATCCCTGCCGCTAATGCCCCTTGGGCCTGTTGTTCAAGCAAACAACAGTGGGCTATAAAGAGTATGGTTATAATTAAGGGTAACCGTTTTGACGTCCCAGAACGGCTTTATTAAAATTACGCCGTGGGACAATCTGTCGAGGCGTGCAAGCCATGAACCATACCAAGTGAACCATACTAGCAAGCAATGCTAAAAGCAAGCCATCTTGCTTCCGACTCTAAAGAGTATGTACTAAGTCTCGCAGCTGTATAAGAAGTTAGGCTGCCTAGGCTTACTCGCAAGTTGCAGACAAGTTATGATTCACACCGAAGTCCTTACCAAGGAGCACGGTCCTTCCTTATTACGCTTATATACCTGCGTATCATAGCACCGGTTCGCGTTATTACTCTGGCGCATGGACAACCCCGATGCCGTAAGTCCGTACAGAGGGGAAAGGCTCTCCGTGTCCTTCTATTGTTGGAAGCTCTTAAGCAACTGGTATTACGAAGGCACAAATCTATTGAGGCTATTAGCTTAAGCACTGTTTTGCACAAGGCAAAGTAGACGTTAGCTGCGGCGCAGCAAGAGGCTCCTAAGTCACGAGGAGCAAGCACCCTACTGATGGACTGGACACAAGACTGGTCAGGCTTAAAGTGCGATGGCAAACGCACGGTTACAAGGTCAGTGGCCCTTGATGGCATCACCACTCGTTAACGAGAGAAGGGCCTAGATTTGGCGTGATTACAGTACCAATTTACAGTCCATTGCCGGCTGAGGCCTTACCAAGGCGAAAAATGCGTTTTCGGGGATGCCAGCTGGGACCTGGCCGTCGCAATGAAGCATCTCGCCCCTTGAACGGGGGCCCCGCAGAGCCGTATCGCCGGCCCATTCAATAGAGATTATACTTCCTGGCCTAGAATGTCGGTCGTATGGGTCCATCACGGTGAAAGGGCAAGGGTTGGGGTAGAGCCGCGACCCAAGGTGGTTGCGGAGACGAAGCGCGGGAATGCGCATTCCAGCGCCTACACCCTGCAATTCTTCCAGACGAACAGCACAACTTCAAGCAGTATATTTGCAGTAGATACTTGCGGATTTGCAAGAGCAATCGACCATCCTCGGAAGAGAAAATAGGCGTCGTCTCGCCCCTACCAACGAACACCCAGGGCAGCGACCCGGATAGTGAGCGCTTTCCAGCCGGCTTGCGCCGCGTCCACTTTGCTTGAAACATACTCTAGACATTATGGGCTAACCTTTGTGCGCTTTTCCGGGCAATTCGAGCATGTTTGACGCCTGTTCTGCCAATTTTTCCGAGCCCCAAAAATCGGCCTTAACCGTCGCGACTTTGCCCCCTTCGTTTCGCCCCCAGGCGCCGCGTCGACCTGGATTCTCTGCCACCAGAAATTCTAGAAGTCATATTGTCCGAGTTACTCGCGACAGATCCGCTGTTTGCGCGCTTCTTGAGAAGGGTCGACCAAGCCTGGGCCGCCCTCGCAAACCGACTGGTGACGAGCCTGCTAGTCCCACCCTGGCCAGCACCCTTCGACCTCGCAACACGCCTACCAAACATCCAATTCATATCCATCAATATTTCCGACATCCAGATAACCTGCAGCGCCCAACTCGCCGCGCTTTTCGCTCAGCTCGCGGAGCTGCCTTCCCTGCTCTCGCTGGCGGCTTGCGGCGCGGGCTCGGACGCCGCCGCCTCCTTCTCCTGCCTCTCCCGCCTCAGCCGCCTCACCGCCCTCGACCTCTCCCACAGCGAACTACCCGAACTGCCCTCCACACTCTCCTCTCTCACCGCCCTGCAAGTCTTACGCGCATATGACTGCGGTCTCACACGCCTCGCCCCAGATACCTCCACCGCTGCTCCCTCCACGGCCTCCGCCGAGGCCAGCCCTCCTCCCGCCCCGCTGCTGCCCCCCGGACTGCGCTCCCTGGAGTTGGGTGGCAATCGGCTGTCCTCGCTGCCCGATTGGGTGTCCCGGCTGAGCTGCCTGCGCTGCCTGCAGCTGGGAGACAACTGTCTAGCAGGGGCGGGGGCTCTAGAAGCGGTGCTAGTGGCGGCGGGGGAGCGGCTGCGAGAACTGGATGTGAGCGGCAACAGCCTGGGGTCGCCCCCCGGGGGCCTGGCCTGCGCCGCCCGCCTCACCAAACTGGACCTGGCGGACTGCGACCTGGCTTCGTTGGAGGGCTGGGACGTGGGAGCGATGAAAGGTACGACAAGCTGGAGAGCGGGGCTGCCGTACTTGTACGACATGTACGATAGTGCCGTACATGTGCAAATCGAGTGCTTCTCTTTTCCGTCTTTCTCATACCGCAAGTTGTTGTTCATTCTATCTTTTAGAACCTCATGTTACCTCCCCTTTCATTCCTTTTACCCCTTTCTTCCCTTCATCACTTTCATCCCTTCGCCCCACAGAGCTGAGTCAGCTGAACCTGAGCGGCAACTGGCGTCTGGCTCACTGCCCCGCCGCCCTCACCGCTCTCACCGCACTCACGCAGCTCGACCTATCCGGCTGCGGCCTGACCTGCCTGCCCGCCTGCCTTGGCGACTGCTCCCAGCTGCAGCTACTCCACCTCTCCGCCAACGACCTGCACTGTCTGCCCGCCTGCGTGAGCCGCCTGAGCTCCCTGCGCCAGCTACACCTTGACTACAACAGTCTCACAGCGCTTCCCTCCTGGCTTGCTGCCCTCTCCGCACTCACCTGCCTAGACGCTGCCGGAAACGCACTTCGGGAGCTTCCCCGGGAACTGGGACGCCTAACCGCTGTACGGCATCTGGCGTTAGGCAGCAACCGACTGGCAGCGCTGCCGGCCTGTCTGTACGACATGAGTGGGCTACAGGAGCTAGATCTGTCGTGCAACCGCCTCGCCGCGCTTCCCGGCTGCCTGTGCTCCCGCCTGCCGCGGTTGGATTTCCTGTCTCTGTACGGCAATCAGTTGAGCCGCCTGCCGCCGCAGCTGACCCGCCTGCGCCGGCTGGCTTGGCTGGATGCGGCTGACAACCGGCTGCAGGACGTGCCGCCGCAGCTGACCCGCATGACGGCGCTACAGGTGCTGAAGCTGAGGGGGAACCAGCTGGTCGCGCCCAGGCCGCCGGCGTTCAAGGCATGGGTAAGGGCACTGCGGAGGAGGGCGGCGGGTGGGGCGGCGGGTGGGGCTGTGGGTGCTTCGGGTGGCGTGCACCGCACCGGCCCGCCCTGCTCTTCCTCAGCAAGTGCGGGTCAAAGCAGCCGCCGGTTCAGAGTGGCGACGACGACGACGGCGGCGAGTGCTGCTGGGGAGCTGTCTAGTGATGGCGAGTACGACACAGATGGGGGCGAGCAGGGTGGGGAGGAGGGGGAGGTTGAGGAGGAGGTGGAGGTGGTAGAGGTGGAGGAGGAGGCGGAGGTGGGAGGTATGGATGTGGGAGTTGCTGGGGGTGCAGTTGTCGACGGGGAAGAGGAGGTGGAGGTGGATGGGGGTGACAGCGATGGCGGCAGCAGTAGTGGGGACGATGAGGAGGTGGAGGAAGTGGAGGAGGAGGCTGGGTCGGAAGCAGGAGATGTCGACAGCGGCAGCGAGGCTGAGGATCCCGGGGAAGGTGAGGAAGAGGTGGGAGGTGGGGAGGCGGAGGGCGGGGAGGCCCCCGAAGGTGATGAGGCGGGGGCAGGGCAGGGAGGAAGCTGTGTTGATGAGGAGGGTGATGATGGCGATTGGTGGCCTTGGCGAGGGTGGGAGGAGGTGGCGCTGGGGGATGGGTGACTGGGTGGGAGGAAGAAGAAGAGGTACCGCATGGTGGGAGGTGGGGATGGGGGGGCGGTATGCATAGGCGTTGACAGTCCGGGTGTGGGCTGGGGTGGGGTGGGGTGGGGTGGGGTGGGGTGGGGTGGGGTCCCGCAGGTAAACCAACGGAGGCACATAGCAGGTTTGGTTGGCTTTTGATGGGAGACTGTTAGGTCGTAGTAGCATCGTAGGTCGTAGACACATTCTTCATTTAGTCATGGTGCAGAGGTGTGCATGCAGTTTTCGCAGTCGTGGAAACATCGTCGTCGTAGAGCAGGAGACCGGCATAACATCATATCGCAGCAGGCAATAGGTAGCTAGCAAGGTGTGGATAATACCGGTAAGCAGGACGTATAACACAACATAACCGTTTGCGTTGGGTTGGTGTTTGGATAACTGTTTTGCGTAAACGTTGGCAGGCGTGAGATGTGTGCGCATAAGCGGCGCATGCTTACTGGGGCAGGAGGATGGTGGGGTGCAGTAACAGAAGCTGGGTTGGGTCGCTTTGGGCCGTGACTTAAAGTAATATTAATCATGAAGCGGTTGTGACAGTTGTGGGTTCGTGGGTGCAGGTTGCGGGTTTGGGAGCACCGGTTGAGTGTAACCGCAACGGAACAGCCACGTGACAGGTGATTGTGCCGGCTGTTGTGTTGCGGTACGAAAACTTGAAGACGGACATGCAACGACAATTTGATTACGTCTGGCGGGGGTGGCGACTCGTTTGAGGGACATGTACTTTTTGGCGCCGAGCCGTCTGGCGAGCGTGCTGTGTTTTTTTACGCACAATTTGACCAAGGTTTGACTAATGTTTGACTAATGTTTGACCAACGCTGACGTGTACCGCATGTGAGCTGCCCGGACGTGGAGTGCTGCGTTCTGTGAATAGCTTGACGTACGTCTCACTTCAAGTCGCTCCGATCACTTGATGAATAACTAACCTTGCATTTTTGCCGTACAAGCGTTTAACCTGGACCTGACTATCTAGCTTCTCGGTCCTCAGTTGCGTGTGTTAAGAAAATTTGTGTGTTAAGGAAACTGGTGCAAGCATTGAAAAAAGGGAAGCAGGCTCTCGACATGTCTGCACCCTTGGCGCTTGGGGCGGAGCCATACAAGGGGCAATGCTCCCGGCAAGTTGTTGAGCATCAGTGGCAAAGTAAGGTCGGCGAGCCCCCCACGTAAGGCTGCCCTGATTGTCCCCAAACGGACCCAACCGTGGTGGTGAGGACTGTAACCGCTACCTGTAAATGTGTACCATAGAATATGATGATATCCCTGGGCCCGATACCGATTTACGCCGCTCTACCGCAGTAACAAGTATCGGTTAAGCCTTGCCACCGACTTGGGTAACTACTGTCCGGGACGCGTACGACGGACCGTAAAATGCAAACATGTGATTCCTGTCAGGGTCGCCCTCCTTGGCGCTCCAGCACGATGCGGTGCGTTCACACGCACAGTGTATCCGTCGGCAGATACGGTGACATGGGCGGCGGCAACATACGAACAACAGCAAGGAAGTTGGTCGGCAACGTGTCGATGCATGTGTATTGACTACCGGTATACGATTAGTACGTAGCAATATCAACCAGCCGGTCCGCAAGGCCCACAGCAGCACACGTCTCCGTGCTGATTGGCAAGAGCAGGACTGTGGCGGCTTAATGCCACAACTTCGCAGCTCACAACCGACATCCAACAGCCAACAGCCAACACAATGCTCCTTTCTTCCACACTTCTCCTTCTTCTCATTTCTTCATTTCTCCCCCCACACCCCCACCACACACACGTTCCCCTCCCCCTCCCTCGGCTCACACACTTACTTCTCCCTCTCTACCCCCCTTCCTCTCAGTTGCAATCAAGGTGCCCTCTATCCCCCTTCACAAGCCGCATGATAAGCTCTTCTTCTTCTTCTTTTGCCCTTCACGCCCCCGCCCCTCACGCCCCTCCTCACAACCCCCTCACGCCCCCCCCTTCGTTTTCTTACTTTTACCCCCTCATGCCCCCGCCGCCTTGCTGGCCTGCAGCGCCATGCGCCTCGCGTTCGCGTACGCGCCCACCCGCTCCCCGCTGGGGTGGAAGAACACCGCCTCCACCGTGTTGCCCTTGGTGCGCAGCTCCACGGTCCAGCCGGGCTGCAGGGTGGGGGAGAGGAGGAAGGGGCGGGTAGGATACTGATGTGAGGGCCAGCCGGGAGCTGAGGGCTGGGAGCTGGGAGGCAGACGTGCGGTTGCTAGCCTTACCACCCCACTAGGCAACTGCCCCTTCGAAGCTGATCTCGATCCTACCCACCCACATGCGAACCTCTGTCCCATCCAGTCAACCCCACCCATGCAAACCCCCACTCCCACTCCCTCCCTCCCTCCCTCCCACAGCCCACCCACCCTCCCACCTGCAATGCATCCAGTTCCGCGAACCGCTCCCTCCTTGACGCATGCTCCTCAGGTAACCCAGCCACCGGGCCGCGAGCATACAAAACCTGCTGCCCGCCCGCACCCGTACCCGCACCCGCAGCCTCGCCTGCCCCCCCTCGCCGTGACCCATGGGTCGCTCCTGCTGCCGGCGCCGCCATCCCGCCTCCTCCACTTCCTTCTACCCCTCCTGCTGCAGCCGATCTCCCCGAGGTACTCGCCTCCCCCGCTGCGCTAGTCCCCTCCGCTCCCGCCCCCGCCGGCGCCACTTGCCGTACCGTCGCCGCCGCACTCGCCGCCACCCCCCAGTTCGCAAACTCCTCCACCGTGGCTCCCTCCGCCATCACCGCTAGCGCCAGCACCTCCAGCCGCCCCGCGCCCCGGCATGCGTCGCTTTGCATGAAGCCGTGGAGCTCACGAAACACACCCGGCTCAACCTGGGAAGGGGGGGGGGGGTCAAAGACCATACCAGCCCATACCAGCCCACAGGTTAGGGCAAAGCAAAGGGGATGGGAGACGGCAGAACCTGAAGGGGGGAGAGGTGAGGTAGGCATGCGCACGTAGCCGTGTAATGGTGTCAACCCCACGTGCACGTTCCCGGCAGTGCGCCGGTGTCGTACCCACACACACGCACCCCGCACCCCCCTCCCTTCCCACCCCACCTGTGTACTCCCCCCCTCCCATCTACGACCCCCCCTCCCTGCCCCCCCACCCCACCTGTGCCACCACGCTGCACCCTCCCCCCGGCCCCACGTCCATCGCCTGCACCTCGCCCCCCTCCCGCCGCAGCAGCTGCTCCAGCTCCTGCTGCGCCTCAGCGGGCACCCACAGCCTCAGACGCATGCGGGCGCGCTCGATGGGGAACTGCGCCTGCAGCAGCGGGAGAGCCTGGGGGGGGGGAGCAGGGGGCAGGGGTGAGGGAAAGGGGCGGGAGGTAAGGAGGGAAAGTGGCCAGCCACCTCAATGCTTCACCATGGGTTGCTTCATGGGGCAGTGCGGGGGCCCAAACCCTCAGCATCGACCACTTACCCACCCATCTCAACCCATCCACCACCGTTGACCCACCCAGCTTCTTCCTTCTTATCCCCCCCATCCCCCCCCATGAGTCGGGATATGGGATTGGGACTCGTTGTTTCACATATTTTATTTTCCCTCCTTAACCCATCGCCACCAACACCCAGGCCCCAGGGCCCCCTATCACCTCCAGCGCCTGCTGCTTTGCGCTCTTCTTGGGGTCCAGGTTGAAGTGTATGTCCCGCAGCGCCCGCTCGATCATGGAGGCGGTGTAGGGGCGGTTGGTGGCGGGGTTGACGCACTTCTCCACCAGCACGCCCGCCACGTCCTTGAACAGGTGCTCAAACTCCAGCTTGCGCTCCTTGTCGGAAACCTGGAGGGGGGGGAAGGAGGGGGAAGGGGGGAATAAATGAGAAGTGAAGCAACGGAAGAGGGGGGGAAAGAGGGGGGAGCGGGAGGGAGCAGGGGGGGAGAAAGAAGAAGAAGAACCATGCGTTGGATGATGTTGGCGACACTACGCTTGGAGGAGGGAGGGGGAAAAGAAGAAGTGAGAAGAAGGGGGTTAGGAGTCCGCCTAAACCCTCCTTGTCCCTTCCCCAACTCTCTCCCCAACGCTCCCCAACCCTGCACCCCCTGTGGGTTTGGCTCCTCTCTGCCGTTACCCAGCCCCGCAGTCCCTCCCTCCCCTCCCCGTCCGTTTCCTCTTTGCTCCCTCCCTCCCTCACCCCCTTTCCCCCCACCTGCAGCTCCCCCCGCGCCAGGATCTCCAGGCAAATGGTCTTCCGCTCCGTGGTTCCGAACGCCACCTGCAGCTCCCGGTCCTTGGCCACCACCCCCTTGCCCACGTTGTGGAAGATGGCGGTGGTCTGCAGCACCTCGTCAAGGTCCTTCTCGCTGTGGGTGTGTGTGTGGTTGTGTGTAGTGGAGGGGGGCAGGAGGTTAGGGATGGTGAGGGGAACTGAAAGAATGGGCAGGAGGTTACGGATGGGGGGTGGAGTGGGGAAGCGGGAGAGGCAAAGGGGAAGACGCTGCTCAACCGTGTGACAAGGCTCAACCACGGGTTGCATGGGCATGAGGGGAAGGGGGGAAGACGGGGCAGGGAAGGGTGTAGGAGGTATAGGGTAGACCCGGCCCCTGCAAAGCCGCGCTCCCTGCCCCAACCCTGTCCCCCCAATCGGCCTCTCGGCCCCTGCAGCCCCTCGGCCCCTCACCCCCCCCTCCCCTGCTGGAATGGCCATTGGAATTTCTTTTTTTCCCCTCTCCCCTGCTGCCTCACATGCCGCTGCGCCAGTCCCCCACTTTGTTCTTGTAGCAGGCTATTTCGAAGCGCTCGCCGCCCTTCTTGAGCCGCACCACTGCGATGTTGGTCAGCCGCTTCTGGCCTGATGGCAGGAGAGGGAGGAGAGCGGGAGATGTGGGATGAGTAGGGTGGCAAAACAGGAGAGGTGGGAGCGCAGAGTAGAGTTGCAATATGCTGTCATGGGTTCGTGTGGGCTAGGCTGCAACGAACGGGGGGATTTGGTAAGCAACGTCGCACGAGTGCCATGGGAGCTACGAGAAGCATCGCCGTCGGTTGCTGGGATAGGACAATCCTGGCAGCAGTTTTCTGATAGGCGGAATACCCAAATCGTTAGAGTGACTCCGCACGTCAACTGGGCAGGTGCCGCAGTCGCCGCTCACACGCCCAACCATCGGCCGCGACTCACCGACGGGCTGGAACACTCGCGACATGGCCTCCTGCTCCTTAGTTTCAAACTATGTTATTGCAACTGTCTCGATAAATGTAATGCCACCGATAACTTTTAGTTCCAGGTAATCTCAAAAGAACGCATGTCGTTATCAGTAACGAAAGGATTAAATGACAGGCTTAAAGACATGTAGAACATCTCCGGACGCGATATGCAAGGCCATCAACTCCCGTACGGAAATTGGCGGGTGACCGGCATCAAGTTCGATGAAGGGAGCACCGCCTGCTTCCGCACACAGCGGCGTCTCTCTCTTATCGGTTTATGTCGTATGCGGCATATGTGATCACGCCTTTAGGATTAGCCGCTGCTTAACAGCTGTGCATTTTAAGCTGTTTCTGTCGACAGCCGTCTGAAGCCGAGCTTACGCATCCTGAGAAACCCAGCACAACCACGCTTCAGTAATGGCTCAAACTGCCGGCTCAGTCCAGTTGGCGGGCCTGGAGCAAGCCTTCGCAAAGAAGAAGTACAAACTTGGCGACCCTGGTCTCGTGGCGCGAGCCCAGCAGCTGTCGCAGCAGCTGCACATCAGTCCAGATGCATTTGCCAACCACTATGACAGCTATGCTCTCTGCAAGTATGTCAAATGGCGAAAACTTCAGAAAGAAATCTGGTGCAATGCCCCCGTTAGCTACACGCATACATCGGTTATCTTGCATTCTCTACCCTGGCTGGAATAGTTTTAAGGCTCTTACATTCCTCCATCTACTTGCGTGTCACCTGGTTGCCGTCCCTGCAGCGACTGGAGCATGGACGTCACAGCACATCGGCTCAAGGTGGTCGCGGACTACCTTGAAGCCGAGCAGCGCAAGGAGAACGCTCGGCCACGTGCCGTGCCTACCGGTGGTGTAAACATGAAGGGCATGCCACAGGCGGCCCGCCCCACCTGGGAGGAGTAAGTCTCCGAGCGTAGGGGCAGCCACCCCTTCCTCTCATCTTCTCATGCCCCTAACCCTTATGCACAACGGACTCACAGCCTCTATTCCAAAACCTCCATGTTCCCTGGCCCTCCTGGCCCATCCCTCCCTCTCTTACCCTCATCCAGCCCCTGTCCTCCCTCCTCCATTCCTCTCCTCTTCTCTCCACCCTTCCTCCCCCCCTCCCTCCTCCCCACCCGCTCCCCAGCGTCCCCGACAAGGTCGACTACCTCACCCCCAGCGCCAAGCGCCAGGCCCTGGACCCCGCAGCAGTGAACCCTGGAACCGGCTCCAGAACCGGCGGGCCCCCGGGCACCGCTCCCAAACCCACCGCAGCCTCTGCAGCAGCAGCAGCGGCCGGTCGCAGCCCCTTTGGCAATGGCATGGGTGCAATGGCAGGCACCCCACAGCAGCAGCAGTCCCAGCGGGGGCAGGGAGGGGTGCTGACGCCGGGGGGTCTGGCGGGTGCGGGCGCCAGGACGCCCACCACGGCGCCTCCGAGTGCCTTCACGCTGCGGACAAACGTAGGTGCTGCGCCGCTGAACCCGTAATGAAGCATAGGGCGGTTGGTTGCTGCTTTCGGTTCTGGTTAACTCAACTTACACTGTATTCGCAACACCTACCCCTTATCCCACCCCCTCCTCTTCCCTCCCTCTCCCCTCCGCAGCGGGGCCAGGTGGTGGCAGTGCTACACGAGCACCTGCCCGCAGCACCCCCCGCAGCAGGAGCAGCCTCGCTGTCCCGGCGGGTCGGGGTCCCGGTGGTGCGGCCGCTGGGTGAGCCGCCGCTGGAGGCGGGGGGGCACTTGTTCATGATGGAGCTGCTGGAGGGGAAGGTAGGGGGCGGGGGGTGAAGGTGAAAAGAGGAAACTAGCGAGCTGTGTGACGAGGCTTCACCATGGAGGGGAGTGGCAACGGGCAAGGAAGCCCTGCGTCAGCCTGCGTAGGCGAAAAAGGGTACGCAAGTGCGAGCGCTTATTGGGTCGGTTATTGCACTCCATGCCTTGGTTCATTCATGCACTCACCAACACGCTGCCTCCCTCCTTGCCTCCCTTCCTTCCTATCTCAGGTTAACGCCCTGGACGAGCGCATCCTCGACTTTGCGGACGCCCTCACCGCCGCCACACGCAACCTCACAAACCCCCAGCAGCAACAGCAACCCGCCGTACCCTCAACCAACCCCGCCGCGGGCACCCCCGGACCCGCGCCTCCTCCTCCCACCTCCTCCACGCCCCCTCCCCACACGCCCCTTCCCACTCCGGGCGGTCCCGGCGGGCCCCTCCACACCCCCGGCACCGCTGCCGCCACGCCCGGCGGCCCCTCCTCCGCCCACGACCTGGAGTCGGGTCCCGCCCAGCCGCTGCTTCACTCCGTTGCGGAGGTGGCTCAGCAACCTGTGTGGGTGGCGGGCAGGATTCTGCCAGAGGCCGAGGGCGCACCGCTGAACCCGGAGAGCCTGCTGCTGGAGGGCTGCAGGGAGGCCAGCGGAGGCGCGCGGGTGCGGCTGGACGTGTCGTGCCTGCCTGGGTTCAGGGTGTTCCCGGGGCAGTCGGTGTGCGTGTACGGACTGAATCCGACGGGATCCAAGTTTATCGCGCAGCGACTGGTGACGCATGTGCCGCCGCCGGCTCCCGGGGCTTCGGTGCTTGCTGCGGGCGAGAGCAGCAGCGGTAATGCCGCAGAGGTGGCAGCGGCGGTTCGGAGTAGCGGCATGTCGATGGTGGTGGCGGCGGGGCCGTACTGCCTGACGGAGGACTTGTCGTACTCACCGCTGGAGGAGCTGCTGTCGTACTGCTCAGGTGGGAGTGTGCGCGTAGTTCCGTTCCCCTTTTGAATCCATCGAAGAGCAGGCAATGCGGCAGGTATGTATAGGGTCAGCCCTGAGTAGCAAAGGCAAACAAGTCACGTACATACAAGAGAAATCATTAGTCCTGGAGCCGCAGACATGACAAGCCTCCCTCCTCCCTGCGACTTCCGGCCCCTCGTTCAACGCTATTCCGCTCCCCCCGCTCCTTCTGCTCCCCCTCCTCCTCAGCCCACCCGCCTGACGTGCTGCTGCTGCTGGGCCCTTTCGTGGACAGCGAGCATCCCTCGCTGGCCGCCGGCAGCGCCTGCCGCACCGCGGAGGAGCTGATGCGGGAGGAGGTGCTCCGGCGCCTGGCTGCATGGAGGCAGCAGCAGCAACAGCAGGGGGATGCAGGTGCTGCGGGCAACACGACTACGATTGCGCTGATGCCGGCGGTGCGGGACATGACGGCGCTGCCGGTGATGCCGCAGCCGCCGCTGAGCAGCGCAGCGGCAGCGGTGGGGCCGCCGGATACGGTAGGGCAGAAGGGGAGGGGGAGTTGGGTCTGGGTTCGGGAAGTAGCGGTACGGAGTGGTCGCGCCGGGTGGGCGAGGTGTGTGTTTGGGATGACGGGTATGGCTCCTTCTTCAATTCCGCCCTTGATGCGCCTCTGACCGCAGCCCTCCTGACTCCTTGTACTACTGACCTACGGTACCTTGCCCTGCACACCATGCCACCATGCAGTCATAACCCAAATACCCACAACACCACTCCGCGCGCCTCCGCCTCCCCCTCCGCCCGGAGGCGCCATAGGCCCTCCGTAAGCCGCGTCATGCAGCTCGTTAGTTGCCCCCTTTTACCCCCTCCCCTCCGTCCAGGTTGTTGCGCTGCAGAACCCCTGCACCGCGCTGCTGGGTCCGCTGGTGGTGTCGGGTGGCTCCTCCGACCTGCTCAAGGCGCTGAGTGCGGCGGAGCTGAGCCGCGTGCGGCCGGGAGCGCAGGTTGAGCGGCTGCCCGCACTGGCGAGCCATGTGCTGGGGCAGCGCAGGTGAGGGGGAGGGCGGGGTGGCGGTGGACGTGGGGTTGGGTGCCGGGAGATTGTTGGGTGAGCGTGCGGGGTATGGCCCTTGCTGGATAAGCACCTTGACGAACACCTCTCCCCTCCTCGCCACCCCCTTCCCCCGCAGCTTGTACCCGCTGTACCCCGCCCCTCCGGGCACCTGCCTGGACACCTCCCACTACACCCAGCTGCAGCTCCCCGTGGCACCCGACCTGCTGCTGCTGCCCTCCGACCTAGCGCCCTTTGCAAAGGTGCTCGCCCCCCCTGCATGGGAGGCGGGCGCACCGCCGGGGCTCAATAACAACAACCCGGCTGCGGGTGCGGGTGCAGGGGCCGGCAGCAGCAGCAGTGCTGCGCCGGTGGTGGTGTTGAACCCGGGGCGACTGTCGCGGGGGGGAGCGGGCGGCACCTTTGCGCATGTGGTTGTGGTGCCTGGGGCGGGGCCGGTGGTGGAGCGGACGCGGGTGGAGGTGAAGAGGGTGTGACGTGGAGGGTGGGAGGGAGGCAGAGAGGGCGGGAGCGGCAGGGACTGAGGGTAGGGGTTTAAAGGTTGTGAGGGTTAGGGAGGAGAGGGGTAGAGCGTCATGGTAGGGATGGTATGAGGATGGTAAGAGCAGATGCGGCAACGGCGCGGGGGTGAAGGGACCAGGGGTGACGAGGAGGGACGGGAGAAAGGAACTGACGAGCTGACGTATGGGGGGGCTGAAAGATCGGAATGGGGCCGGGTTGCGCGGCTACGAGGACCCAACGTCGTACGGTGGTAAGCAGCGGAGGAGGTAAGATCCTTGGAGATATTTCGAAGGTCTCGTTTAAAAGGTTTGGAAAGAGGACTGGGTTGCTGCTGCGGTGAGACTAGGTGAACCCTTTTGGACTGCGTCTTAAACGGGACTGGGAAGGGGTGAGGCTCGTTAACACTGGGGTGGAATGGGGAACGGCTAGCCTTCGTGTGTCAGCCCGAAAGCCGATGAGAGGGTGCCTTGTATGCAGGCCTGGACATATTTAGTGCTGAATGCCGGGACAAGGAATTCTGTTGCGTATAGGTACTGTAGACATATCATTCGTGACTTGGTGCGTGAAGGCGTCAGCTGGAGACGTTGTAAGTGCAAGCAGCAGCTGTGGCGGGCTGTTGATGCCATTACCGGTATGCCAAGGCGTTGCATCATGGTCCCCAAACCATGTGGCGTGCGGAGGAGGCCACCTAGAGCTGTCCAGGAAGCAATCAGCAGGCTGCGAAACCACGCGCCGCTTGAGAGGGACATCTTGAAAGTAGGGACTACATGAAGGCGACGCCTAACAAGTGACATGCTTGCGCTTGTGTATATTTAAATGGTATGTTCTGGTGTATTCAATGGCTTATTCCTGGTAACAATTAGGGGGCTCCGGAAGGTATGGCCCGGGGTACGAAGTATACCGGTAGCTGAAAAGGCTAGAAGGAAAGCGATGGTAGAAAGTCTGCATGAATCTTACTTAACACCAAGAAGCGACAGTCCCACCGCCCGTAAACAGCACTTTTGCCGTGGCGGGCGGAAAAGTCCACGAATCGATAACCGTACGGTTAACCGCCATCCGGGTAAGCTGCTCCTACTAGAAATTACAAACGGTCGGCGTGGTCGCTAATACGCTTACCACACGACGTTGACCGCGGTCCCTTGTTGACTTGCGGCGAACCGGTCTACAGCCGCTGACCCTTTTATCGGACTCCTCCTATGATTGCCCCTTTATGAGGTAGATCACATAACACTTGCATTGAAGGAAGTTAACCCAGCCCCTATGAACCACAGTTAGACTTCGACCTTTTCCCAATTCTACTTCAGCTGCCTGTCAGCACCGGCCGGTGGTAGCTGTCTTTTGCCGTGACAGGGAATAAGGCAAGTCGTGTCTCAAGATTGTGAATGCATTTTAATGTATGTGTCCCCTCTGACTCGGTACCGGCTTGCATCATTCAAAGAAGCTGTGCGGTAGTAAGGACGGCTAACGCCGCCCGTCGCACCGCAACTATGCGCTCATACGTGGCTTCATCGCTAAGCCATGTTGAGCTTCCTATAGTTCCGATACTCAGCTCCACCTTGGTGGGCTCAACACGTGCCCTTACACCCAGCGTTCCTGCTGCACCTGCATTGCCACCCCTTTCATGCCTACTTCCCCCCTTCTACTACCGCTCCTGTACACAGGCCTGGTACACAACGGTCCTTCCCTGTCGTTCAACCCAGCTGCGGACCACTCCATTTCACAATCTTGGAGCGCCGCAATCTCATCCCTCGCCGCCGACACCCTTGTTGGAGAGCCCCAGCCAGCTTCTTCCTTCCCGCCCAGGCCTCCGCAGCACCAACATCAGCAACATCACCCCACCCAATACCTGACCTCAAATCCCATCACCACCAGCCCTACCGCACCCCCATCCAATACCACCAGCAGCAGCCGTCATCATGCCCGGCCCCCTCACCTCACGTCATAATGCCCACCGCCCCTCCCTCCTCCTAGCCCTGGCCCTCGCCCTCTGCCTAGCCTCCCTTCATCCCCACCGCAACCCGCTCCTGGCAGCAGCCAACCAGGACCATCTGTACCTTGACTTTGGCCTCGTTGGCGACGCTGGACCGCCTGTCTGCAACCCCGGCCCCATCTGCTTCAACGGCCTGGTCGAAGGCACCAACGCAAGCGTCAAGGGCTACACCTACGACGCCGGCTTGTTCGAATGGATGACCGACGCGGCCACGCGACAAGCCGGTCAAACCATCCGCGGGGACCGAACCCGACTGCTTGCAGCCATGCAGCGCTTCAGAGACGGCGGTAACCTGAGCATTGCGGTGATTGGCGGAAGCATTGCGGCGGGACAGGGCGCGGTGGACGCGCCGGCCTTCCCCAGCTGGGCTCGTTGGGTGTTGACCGCGCAACTGCCCGGCGGCCCGGCGCGCTTCAAGCTGCGGAACGGCGCGGTTCCGGGGACCAGTAGCCAGTACATGAGCGCATGCCACAACGTGCATGTGCCGCAAGATGTGGATATTGTGGTTGTGGAGTATGCGGTGAACGATGAGGAGATGCCCATGCCGCACATGAACAACCAGGTGGGTGGTTAGGGTGGTGGTTAGGATCGGGTGTGCGGTCTACTACCGTCTACTTCCCTACCTCTCTTTATCCTTCTCTCCATCACCCCACCTCTCGCTCCCCACCTACCTCCCCACTTCTTACCCTTTCTTACCGTTCCGGCTTCCAGGTCCGACGCCCCTACGAGCGGCTCATCCGAAAGCTGCTGGGCTACCCCAACCGCCCCGCCGTGATCCTCATGCACGCCTTCCGCTGGTTCATGAACCCGCCCGACCTGTCTGGGCAGTACTGGGCGAGCGGAGAGCGGCAGCAGATGGAGTTTGGGTTGTACTACGGCCTGCCCCAGCTGTCCGTGAAGGCGTGCTGCTACCACCACATGGCGGCTGGTAAGGGGTTGCTGGAGGGGGAGTGACGGCGCTGTTGTTGCAATAACAGTCCTGGGTCCAGTTCATCCGCCTGTTCCCCCGTACACCGCGGCGTACACCGTACGCCACTTCCTTCCTCCACACGTGGCACGTCGCCTTACAGCAATCACAGATGCGTTCTGACTCGCGGCCATTTTGTTAGCATGTCGTCCTGTACCGGTTACTAAACCCCGGCTCAGTTTCCTCACGTCTCAGTTCACCTTAACCCTGCAACCCCCCCACCCCCCAGGCAAGAAGGGTTTCGAGGTGAAGCGCCCTCGCGCCGACCAGCATGGCCGCATCCAGCACGAGGGCTTCGTGGACGCGCAGCTCAAGGGCCACGCCTTTTACTTTGATGCCGTGCACCCGGATGGCTTCACGGGGCACCGAGTGATGGGGGAGCTGGTGGCGCAGATGGTGCTGGACGCCTGGGCGGAGGTGGGGTTTGTGTGCGTGACGCAGCCGCCTCACCCACCCCCGCAGGTCCCCACCCACTGCCGCCCCCTTCCCTCGCCCCTTCCCTCTCCCGGTCCCGTCACGTGTCTTGTGGCACCCCGCCGCCTCCTACCCGGTATCCCAATTGCCATGGCGTGTGGTATCCTTTCGTTTTGTTTGGTCCCCTCACGCTCTCTGCTCCCCTCACTCCCTTTCCAGGTTGCCTCGGGTGCCACCCTGACCCCGGAGGAGCTAGCTCGCATCCAGACCCCGCTGCCCAAGCCCATGTTGCCTGACAACTGGGAGTCCAAGACGGATCGCTGCTTCATAGGGCCCGCGTTCCAGCAGACGGTGAGGCGGGGGGTGCTGCTGTTGCTGCTGAAGCTGTGCTGGGTTAGGGCGCAGGGGTGCAGCTGGGAGGGGGTGCGCTGCTGCTGCAGGCCTGGGGTCGCTGCTGCAGCGCTGGTGATGAAGAAGAGAAACCAACCAGTGATGACGATTGGGGGCAAGCCAACCCAGAATACCCACCCAGCCCGACCCAACGGCTGCAGGGGGCTGGGTCTGTGTTGCTATTGTGTTTGGTCATCCCGGCCCGCTGCTGCCCATGCTACTGACCTCCCCTCCCTCCCGGTCAGTTAAGTTGTTTCCTCTTTTCCCCTCCCTCAGGTCATCCCAACGGACGACTTCGCCTGGGTGAACGAGGGCAAGACGCCGCTGCTGCCCAAGTGGGGTTTCGTGGCGGACGTGCCCGGCAAGGAAGTCAAGTTCCGAATCAACACCAAGGGAACCAGCGCACACGCAAACGAGGTGCGGCCGGGGCGGAGGGCGGACGGGAGGGGGAAGGCCCTAACTGCTGCTGTGACGTAGGAGGAAGGGGAGTCTACCGGTATAGGATGTTGGGAAGGAAGAAAGGCAGAAGAGAACCGTACCGTTGGAAATGCCTGCTGCCTCTCTTGCCTACTGCACGACTTCTACCTGTGGTGGGCCGCCCCCACCACACTCGCACACGGTTACGTTTCCTCTCGCAGCCAGTTTTCTTAAAACACGGTTACGTTTCAGCTCGCGACCAGCTTCCTCAACACACGGTTTTCTTAGCATAGGGTTTCCTTGACACATGGTTGCAGGTGACTGTGGAGTTGGGCTACCTGCGCTCCTACGAGAACATGGGTCGCGGCAGTGTGCAGTGCGAGGGCGGCTGCAGCTGCGAGCCGTGGCTGCTGGAGGGGCACCAGGAGGCGCGCAACAGCCAGACCTTCCTGCAGGCCTTCAAGGTGTCGCAGGCGGAGGAGTGCATCATCAGCGTCAAGGTGCTTGAGGTGAGTGGGACTGTTACCATGACCAATGCAAAGGACGGATGGATGGGTGGGAGGGGCAGGGAGGGGCGGTGGAGGCAGCATGGGGCAGGGATGGAAGGTGGGAGGGAGGACGAGAGGGAAACCGTGTCATGGTGCTGAGGCTATGGTGGATGGAAGGTCTGGCTGGGGAAGCGAGCTGTGTGGGCTCGGGGCAAACCATCATGCCCATCCCTGACCCGCATGCACCCCCGCATGCACCACCCTATGGGGCCATGGGATTAGGAGCGAATCCAGTGCTTCACTCCTCCTCCTGTCACCCGCACCCGCAACCCACCGGACCCCACCCCCCACATCACCCCCGCAGGCCACCAGCAGCGGCAAACACAAGGTGAAGCTGACGGGTCTCATGGTGAGCGAGGAACCTGACTCGCAGGGGTTCCAGAACTATGCGGCGTGGGATTGGGTGGGCGCCGCAGCCTCCAAGGATAAGGCGGGCGTGTTTGAGGTTGGCAACGCCGCCCGGAGGCAGTTGATGGCAACGCATCTGGCGTCCTCAGCGGCGGTTAACCGGCGGTATTACGAGCAGTTGGCGGCGGCGGCGGTTGCGGCGGTTGGGCCGTCCGCGTCGTCGGCGCCAGCGGCGGCGAGTGGGGGAGCGGCGGAAGGGCTATAGCTGAGGCAGGAGGAGGAGGAGGAGGGGTTTAGGGGATTAGGAGGGTAGGAGGCGTACGGCAAGAACTGCAAAGGTCGGCAACGAATCTTACCCAATGTCAGGCAGGTCTGTCAGCTACGGTATGTTCGTATCATTGCTAATCCTGTGATCGGAGGCGTTCCTGCGTTACAAAGGTTGTCGAGGTATTAAGGATGAGCATGACTCGGCCACGCGCGTTCTTCACCACTTAAAACCTATGGCCACTATTGTCATGTAACCAGGGGCCAAGTATTGCGGTAGGAAGCGTGCTAGCACCCGAGGGAAGCTCTTCAGTACCAGGGAGGGGCGATGGTGATCAGCTTTTGGGAATGTGTATGCGCCAGTTGCTGCTGCCAACATCCAATTTTCGGCGTTGCCGTTGTCGGTTGGCTATTGCGAGCATCGGTGTTTAGATCTTCGTGTAAAATTATTAGTGGCTGGACCTCGCATGTCGTGACGTGCCCTTCCAACTTAGAAACGTGAGCTGTCACGAATAAGTGTTTTTATGGCCCGAAGGAACTCCCTTACCGATCACGGTAGATTCCCTACAGATTTTAGACAACCAATGGCAGGCAGTAGCTGCCGTACAGTTTGTTACTGAGCTTACCGTACCATGTATCAATGTTACTTACGAGCTGTCTACAGGTTTATGCAGTTTACTACTTAGATTTTACAATTAAGGACGAATGCGTTCTTGCATAAGCACGTCGCATTCGACTTCGGCAAGCAAGCAAGCCGCTGCGACCAGCAGCAGACATCCACTTTGCTCGCACAGGTTACATGTCGCAAGATTTACATCAAATTCTTTACTCAGATCTAACACGGCGCATGCTTTCAAGGAAAACCAAGTCGTCAACAGCAGCAAGCAAGTTCAAGGTCGCGACCAAAAAAGCGACATCTCCGCACTTCTAGGGCTCGTACAATGGGCCATCGCGAATAAAATCCAATTTACAGGATGTAGACCTGACATAAAAAGCGGCGTGAGAGGCGTTTACGCGACCAGCGCCTGTCGCGCGGGTGACTTGCTAGTCGCGGTTCCGCTGCAAGCAGCGCTGTTCGTGCGACCTGGAGAGCGCTGCCCCTTTCCAGACTTCATCCCACAAGTAAGCGCTTTTATTACTTAGCGTACTTAGCCTTAATTATTACCTTGCCTCTGGGTTCCATTGTCGTTCAACGAACTGGTCACACTACCCATATATACCTCACCTTTACACCCCTAATCCTAAACCCCTTCCCTCACCCGCCCCGCCCCAACATCACACCGGCCCCCAGCCCATCTGGGCCAAGCTGCCCTGGTTCGCCCAGCTAGCATGTAAACTGTTGCATGAACAGTCCCACGGGTCGGCCTCGCGCTTTGCGGATTACCTGCCTGCCCTACCCACCCGAGTGGACCTGCCGGCGCTGTGGCCTGCCGAGCATGTGACTCACCTGCAGTACCCATACCTCGAGGAAAAGGTGGGGGAAAGAAGCATACCCATTGTGTTGTGGAAAAAGTGGGGCCGGAAGAGGTGTCATGCTGTCGACACGGTAGTGCGTAGCCTGCGTGCTGGTGAGGGAGGGGCACGACGCGGGAGAGAGGGGACGCTGCTGAAGGAAGCAAGGGGATGCGAGTAGGGGGAAAGGATTCTGGAGTTCTGGAATTCATTTATCGGTACCCTTTTAACCTCCGATTGGTTGTGTCGTTCACTGCCGTACGCAACTTTGACGCACAATCCGCACGCAACGCACCAACAGATCCTAGCCGAGGAGCGGGAGTGGGCCCAACTGTACGACACCCTCGCGCCCCACCTGGCCAGTCGCCGCCTGAGTCGCCAGGACTTGTTTTGGGCGCTCGCATGCGTCCGCAGCCGCACCTTTGCCGGGCCCCACCTGCCCACACCGCCAGCCGTCAAGCTAGCAGCTGGTGCCGTAGCAGCCCTGGTTGTAGCAAGTACGGTAGCGGGGTTGGCACAGGGGGTGGATGTAGCTGCTGGTGGTGGCAGTACGGCGACAGTGGCAGTAGCGGCGGCGGCAGCGGTGGCGGCTGGGTTGGGTGTGCCGGTTGCATGGCAGGGTGCGGAGGTTCGGCGAGCGCAGGAGGGTGGAGTGGGTACTGAGCTCTTTGCGATGTGTCCCTTCATCGACATGTTCAACCATGACAGCAGGTCAAAGGTATGTGCGATTTGGGGGAGGGTGTGTCAGGGCGAAGATGTAGGTTGGCAGTGTGCTTGGGCTTGGGGGGGAGGCGTCCTCCTCGGCTACATGCTTTCCGGAGCTGGCCTAGCTACCTTAGGCTGCCTTTGCACTGCGCCCCGCCATCTCCTTTCACCTATTCCAAGCAACGCTGCTTGCGCCGCCCTGCTTGCTTCCGACCCTAAGTCCCCATGTTGGCCCCTCTCCTACACTCCTTTACCTCCATTGCGTTGCTGCCCAGAGCGAATGTGTGTTCGACCCATGGCGCCTGCAATTCGTAGTTGCGGCTGCTCCCGTCGCCGCTGCTGCCGCTGATGGCAACACCAACACACACAGCAAAGGCAACGACGCTGTTGCAGCTAAAGCAGCCGCCGCAGCAGCATGTGGCGAGATCCGTCCCGGACAGCAACTCCTCCTAAACTACGGCAGCCAGTCCAATGACGCGCTGCTGCAGCGGTACGGGTTCGTACAGCCCATGGACGACAATCCGTACGACAGGTGCGAGGGTCGTACTGCAGCTTTCCCAGGCGGCCGGGGGGATTCCAATAAGGGAAATTTTGTACGGTACCTACCCATTTTGTGCCTTGGGACCAGATCTGCTCTGGCCAGCTTTCGACAACACGACATCTTGTGAAGCCGTGCCCGTCCCTTCTGGTGTCCTCGATCCATGTTCTTCCTCTTGCCTTCTGGCTGCAGGTACGTGCTGCAGGGCTTTACGTCCAAGCTGGAACGTGTGCTGCTTGCAATGGTTGCGGTTGAGCTGAAAGCGGTGGAGACGGAGGAGGAGGGGGCGGGCAAGGCGGCTCATATGGTGTACGACACAGCTCAGGCATCGCAAGCAGCGGTTGAGATACGGGCTGCAGTGCAGAAGCTGCGAGAAGATCTGCAAGGGGAGGGCCTCCTTGGAGACCAGGTGAGCGATTTCAGAGGCCTTCATGAGGCAACGAACGCCCTTAACCCCTCATGCAGTATGGGCAGCTAGGGGCAGCTGTGGCACCCAGCGTGGCAGCCCATGCACTCATGGTTTGAGCGTTGTATGTGTTTAGCGAAATGGTAGCATGCATGCATGCAGCATAACGTAAAGAGGTACGTACGGCAGGAACGTGCATGCAGCTTGCATGTGCCCCTCACCGATGCCCTGGGTATGGAAACAGCTCTTCCGCTCCCTTCGCTAATCCTACCCGGTACGTATTTCATTCCACATGTATGGAGCATGCATATCTCCTCGTCACGTGCCCCATAAGACATGGTTTACACGTGCTCCCCTTTCCGCCCTCCTCACAGGTCATGATCACGGCTTCCGGCTTCCCACCGCCCATCACCCAAGCCGTAGCCTCCCTGCGGGTAGGCCTCCTGGCCCGCTGCAAGTCCGGCACCTCACCTCTCGGTCAGCACAGCCCTCAACAGCACGACAGAGCCGTGTCAAACATCACACCAGAAGCCGTACTGGCTCGCGTGTGCGCGGAGGAGCTGGGAGCCACCGCCACGACACTTGAGGAGGACGAGGCGGCACTAGCACAGCTGGAGGCGTGGGAAGCGGCAGCATCAGCAGCGGAGGACGAGGCGAAAACAAGGACAACGTCGGCAGCAGCAGCGGCAGAGGCTAAGGTGGAAACAGCGGACAAAGAGGCGAGCCGCCCCGGTGTCATGGAGGACGCGGCAACGCTTTCTTCGACGCTGGGGGAACCTGCAGTGGAGCACCGGGCAACCATTGCGTTGGCTACTGCAGCTGCACTCGGGAACAACAATGACAGCGTGAACAGTAGCGGCAGTAGCAGCAGCAGTAGCTGCATCATGACGGTAACCGAGGCGACGGGGGTCAGGGAGGCTTCCCTGGAGCTCACTCCTCTTCCCCCTCCTTGTTCTGAGTCTCACATCGGAAGCTCTGCGGCTCCTTCCGGTACATCCTTGGTAGATCCCCCGTCCGCAGCTGAGGAGTGCTGCCCCACAGCTCCCCCGGGGCTCCAGGTGGTGGCAGTCGAAGAGCCGGTGGAGCTGCAGCCCCCTGCAGAGCTGGGAGGGGAGGTGGAGAAGTTGCGAACGGTACTCGCGTTCCGGATAGCCAAGAAGCGACTGTTGCGGAAGCTGGTGGCAACAGGAGCGGAGGAGGGGTGCTCCTGACTTGGCGAAGGAACGCAGCCCCAGACCCAGGCTTGGTGTTGGGTGTTGGAATGGTGCTTAGGTCAAACTCATACTAGAGAAGGAGGGCAGGTTGCTGTTATGGCTGGGAAAGGCAAATCCACGCGCACTGTGCACACGTGAAGGAGGGGGGCCCTGTGAAATACAGGGCCCCCCTGAGATTCACGGTAACTCAATACCAAGGGCGGACGGGAAACATTGTATCCTGTTACAAGCAAAAGCCTGTATAGCCAACAGTTGCCCCTCCCCCGTAACAAGCCGGGTGTGGAGCTGTGGCCATGCAACACTCGTCAAAACGTGCAAAGCAGGAGAAACCCTCACGAACGTGCCCCTCCAACCACCCTCCTCGATTTTTGTAACTCTTGATGTCTTTTGCCTTGCACACGCGCCGCGTGCACTTGGAACACACCAGCATCTCACCACCTCCCATGGCACATCTCTCTCTGAACGGTGTCTCAAAATACTACGCAGATGGTGCAACTACGAACGCGTTGGGAAGCAGCTGAAAGTCATCGGATAACCACTAAAAGCGCCACAAGCCAACGCTGTGTTGCTGGAAGTATGACATCACCACCTCAACGTCCCCAAGAGTAAACAGCGGCTGTGTAAATCCGGTTCCTGCAACAACCAAAATCGGAGCCAGACGCAAACCGCATTCTCTTGCCCAACCTGTTGCCCAACCCCAAAGACCGCTAGCAGAACTTGCCAGCGCCTGAAACCCCTCCACAGCGATGCATTCCCTAGCAACATGTTATACGTCGCCGTCTCCTCCACCGGGCAGCAACACCCAGCGGCCGGCCTACTATGCACACAGCGTGCCTCGTCGCAGGCATCCACGAGCCCCTGCCCCTGCCATGCTCAGCTGCACCCAGGAGCACCCCCAGCTCGTGCCCGGCGCAAGGCAAAGCAGGAGAGCAGCACAGGGTAGCGGACGCTGGCCAGGGTTCGCCGAAGCTGGCGCCAGTCCAAACAAGTTAGTTCCTGTGCGGAGGGCGAGGTCAGGTGGCGAGCCGACATTTGTTTTGATAAGATGGTAGTAAGCATGCAATGACGTGCTTAACCTTTCGTGAAGGAGGAGGTGTAATGTACAGTTGCGCATGTGCGGGGTGCATATGCAAGCTCCACACCTATCTGCCTGTCCCTGCCATGAACCCCGCCAGCCCCTGAGATGATGTTACCGCCAAGTCCATTGGTTAAGCGCCAAGCGTCAGAACAGTACCAAGCAGTAGAACCCCCATAGAAGTGATCGCCTCCCCTTATCGCCCCCATTGATAATTAACAAAGGTAATGAACAGGAACAATTTTCTCAGCGGATGCCATCCCCCGAGCTATCCCACCACATCAGCAGTCGCTCACATGTATCCTCCCTGCCACGTGCTAGCGTTGCCATCCACGTATCCGCCCTGTGCGCTGGTGTTGTCCCACACTTGCTCGCCAGTGCCAAACGTGCCAAGGAAGTCATCGTTACCAGCGGCCATGCCATCGAAAGGACCATCAGGATCATCCTTATCACGAATGTTGAAGAAGTCGTCAAAAGGATGGTCGAAGATAGGGTGAGGAACCTCGTCAAAGGTCGGCTCAACAAATCCAGCCTTGCGCAGCTCCACGCGCTCCCGGAAGCGACGCTTATACTCCTCGATCTTGGTCTCCTTGGTCCTCCGAGCGCGCAGCTTCTCCAGCACCCGGCTTTGCATTACAAGCTTCATGTAGCGGCGCACAGTCACGTCCTCGGGCTCATCATCGGCAATATTGTCAACCTCAACCATGTAAGCGCTATTGCGTGCCATTTGGCAAACTTGGGAAATGCGCGGGGCCACGCGCGGGCGTGCACTGCCGAACGCCCGGCATCCCGCAGAAGCCTTAGCGTGGGATAAAGATGTCAACATTATGACTATGGTGTCTAGGAAACCCTGGTTCTGGGGCTTGAGCTGATTGATGACTTTGCGCCTCAAGTGACTATACGGCATAAGATAAGGCCTGTCCATGTTCCAGCATACCGTATAGCTTTTCCACCAGGCACCATACAACGCGTAGTGACATTTTAATCTTGCCAGGCATGTTTCCGAATACTGTGTCTCAGATGGCTGCAACCCACCCCTCGCACACTCACTGGCAGTTGGAAAGTGATAATACGTTTGCTGGGCGCACTATCAACTGCATTTTCCGCGGAGGGATAAAATGGAAAGATCAGCACACCTTAAGAGCAACCCATGCAGTGTTGTGATCTTGTGAAGCAGTAATGAGGCACCTAAGTGCCCATGTTCCCGTGCTAACTGGAACGCTTTGTCAGATATTTTGTCTCCCTGCTTAGGGCATGTTCAGCGGGAACGAATTGCCACGCTCACGCGTCTGGCGCTGGCATTTGTTGGGTTGGCGCTGGGATGGGCTTCCGGATGGCACGCCGAATTCTATAGATGCAGCTCCATGCACTTTCGCGGGGCTGTTTAGAATTCTTCCTCCCTGGTGTCCATGCCTGAACATTGGCGGCAGTCATGCAAGCCACGTCTGAACTGAGGATGTCCGCTTTCAGCATCGCCAGTTACCCTCCGGAGATTTCCTCCAGAGCTCAGCAGTCTTCCACGCCCACGTGTGCATGCCCACGCGGCCGCCCCCAAGAGCATGCGCTGTCCACCTGTACACTGGACACTTTGGACAAAGCGTAGGAGACCCTGTTGGTATCGTACCACGTCGGAAGAACTGGCAAGGTATGGACTATTAGCAATGCCGCTGGAATGGAACGGTGTTGGAGTAAGCACAGGAAGCTGCAGAAAGAATGCGATAGTTTACAATTAGGTGTGAGAGTACAAGTACGGTGCCATGTGCGAACGTCTAGCCGTGTAGCCGGCAGCAGGTAGGGGCTTGCCTGGTCTTACCTTGATGCATACCTGAGCTTGCCAAGCTAGTTAATATTTGTACACGTGCCTCGATGGTTCCTGATCCGTTAAGTTGCAAGCTTGTGGGGAACATGGCCGCGGGTTACGGCCAGGTTACGCATATTGCAGCAAGAATTAGCAGACAAAGAGAGCCAGTACTTTTCCCATAGAATACCGTTCCAGATGATGCATACTATGGCACAGTGAAATGCTCGGAATAGCGCCCAGCACGTAAGCTAGATCGCGATTTCCAACGTCTGCACGACACTGTTAGTAAACCTTGCTGCAAACGTTTTTGTTCTCTGACATTGTATGGAATATACTTCGATGGTCTGAACACTATAGGCACGCAGGGGACGTCTACGCGCCGCGATGAAGCATGACGACTTCGTGAAGTATTTAGCGGAGCTTCGCTCGCTGCCGCCCGAGGTTCCATTAGAACCCGAACTCAAACCACAACGCATTAAGCTTGACAGGCGTATAAGGTCCGGGGAAGATTCCAGACGGAACCGCTGCTCCAATGGAGTCCCCTTCCAACCTAATAGTCTAGCCTGTCGCTGATCTGTCAGTTATCAAGTTATCTATAGCAAGTTTGGTCTGTCGTCTGCTTGCAAAATGAAACGACGCGCGAACTCGTACGTCATGCTTGCAGGGAGGAGCAGGCGCTTGCAGCTGGTGCGGTGCTGTCAGCCGTCTTAGAAAAAGGCGAGCGTGGACCTTCACCCAAAGAGGGCGACTTGGTAAGCTTACACCTATAACCTCGACGTCAACTCATCGGGTCTTCCGAGGGAATGGCGCACAGCAGAGCCATGCTGGCATACCGCTGCCTCTACTCCCGTGGCCCTGTTTACGGGAGTGCAATGCAACCTAACCAGTAATTCTTCTTGGTTGACCGGAACCATTGCGCAAACATAGCCAAAAACGTACCTGCCTTGCTCCCCATAGACTCCCCCGTCACACCCGTCCGCGCGCGCCTAGTGCCACACCTCCTGCCTCTACCCGCCCCTCCCTCCTCCCCCTTCCCCCTTCGCAGCCCCTCTGCGCCCACCCTCCTTTCACGCTTCCTTCAACACACACCCCACCACGCTTGCTTGCGCGCTTCACCTCTTGCATGGTGCTCACGTCTTCTTCCCACTTCTTACGCCCGTGCCCTCCCCCCCTCCTCCCCCGCAGGTGTACATCCACTACAGCATTCGCGACACCCAGGATGAGCTGCTGTTCAGCACCCGCAGCGAGGAAGGCGGCGCGGGGCAGGCCTTCGCATTCCTGCTGGAGAAGGGCGTGCGGGTGCCGCGAGGGTGGGAGATAGCGATCCGAGGTGCGAAAGGGTGGAGGCGGCGGCAGGGAGGGAGGGAGGGAGGTGGGGGGAATTGCGGAGGGAATGGTGTCCGTCGCTAGCGCTTGCCATGCTCCTTCTGTTAGGCCACAAGCTCACCGCTGTCCCTGCCCTGCCCTGCCACCTCTCCCTCTCCCTCCCTCCTCATCTTCGGGTTGTACCTGCCCTTACCGACTTGGCCTCATGCTTGCTGCCTTCCCCCCTCCCGCCTCTCACCGCTACCCTCCTCGGCCCCCCCCTCGCCCTCCCCTCGCGCCGCTTTTCCTCCTGTCCCCCTCCCCCCTCCCCCCTGCCCCCAGACATGACCCGCGGCCAGCGCAGTGTGCTGCAGGTGCAGCCGGGCTTCGGCTTCCGGCACCCGGAGTGTGGCATGCGGCCACCGGCCTGCAGGGGCCTGCGAACAGACCAGGTGGGGAGGGAGGAGGGGGCCAGAGGGGGCAGCTGAAGAATACCCGCTGTAGGGAGGAGATGGTAATAGAGACCAGGTGGGGGCAGGGAGGGCTGGGAGCCTCCTTCGAGACTCCCCTCAGAGTACCGGTAAGCTTTAGGGTAAGGGTGAATGCGGAGCTAGACGTCCACCCCACCTCACCACACCCCACCTCCCCTTACCCACCTCACCCTCACTGCCCCACCCCCCAGGTCCTCCGTTTCGACCTCACGCTGCTGGACTGGTACCCCGCCGCCTCCGTGCACGCGTACGGCTCCTCCTCCTCCTCCTCCGACTCCACCCTGCTCAAGCGCAGCATCCGGGAGGGCAGTAGCTGGGAGAGCCCCAGGCCGCCCTTCGAGGTGGGGGGGGGTCAATTTTTGGACCAATTAAAACCAAAGAAAAACCAAAAAAAAAGCAGGCATTCACAAGGCAGGTGGGGGGGGTATTCGACACGGGAGAGCATACACACCTGTCGTATACCTGAAGCTTGTGGGCAAAACACACGGGGTGTTTCGTAGCTGCTCAAGCGTTCCCTGCACAGTACCGCTAGTAGACGCACACCCGCTAACCTCCTCCCCCTACCCCTCCTCATTCAACGCATTGGGAATCTTCTTTACCCAATCCCTCCTCCCCCTGCCCCCCCCCAAGGTAACGCTGCACCTGACGGCCTGCTGCCCCGCCTACGACGGCCGCCAGCTGACCGGGCAGCGGCTGTTCAGCAGCCGGGGCCGCCAGCCGCTGACGCTGCAGCTGGGCAGAGGGCTGCTGCCTCAAGGTGGGTGTTTAACGAAGACTGTGTGTGAGAGTTAAAAATGTTGGGTTAGTGAACCAAAGGTAAAGTGAACCAAACCATAGGTAACCACAGATTAGGGCGAACTCAGGTAGGAGGTGGCGGTTAGGGGGGCTGGGCTTCGTCTTCCTCCTTGAACTCGTGTAACCGGACCTCCGCTGACCCACGGGTCAACCCGCCCGCCCGCCCGCCCCAGGTGTTGAGGACGCGCTGTCGTACATGTCCAAGGGCGAGCTTGCGGCTTTCGTAGTGCCTGCCAGCAGCATGCGGCCTGACACAGCCGGGGGGAGGGGGAGAGGGACGGCCAGGGAGGGGAAAGGAGGAGCAGCAGCGGCGGGGGAGGCAGGGCCCCGTGACAGGTGGGATGAGGAGGAGAGCAGCAGCAGCGAAGATGACGAGGATGAGGAAGAGGAGGAGGAGGAGGGCGGGGTTCAGGGCCGGACAGGCAGCCATGGCGCAGCTAGCGGTAGCGGCCGAGGTGGTGGCGGTGGGGGTGGCGGGAGCAGCAGCTCCCCCACTCCCAGTTGCTGCCTGGTGCCGCCCGCACCCCCCCGCTGCCAGCAGGTGGAGCTGGAGGTGGAGCTGCTGGGGATGGTGCAGGTGGGGGGGAGGGAGGGCTTCCACGGTGTTTGGGGGGGGTCAGGTTGCGGCAGAGGGAGCGGACATATGCGCACGTGCCGACTATTCCCGGCCGCCTTACCTCGTTAACCCGATCAATCCTTGTTCCATTACTCATCCCTACATTCTCGAACCCGCGGCTCCCCCCACCCCCCTCCCAACCCCCCAGGTCCGCGACATGACGGGCACGGGCGAGGTGACCAAGAAGCGCGTCCGAGAGGGCTCGGGCGAGTTTCCCATCGACTGCCCGCTGCACGACACCACCGTACGCATGCACTACAAGGCGCGACCCGCGCGACCCATGGGTCTGCAGCTCCCTGCAGCGGAAGCGGCGGCTCAGGCGGATGGTGGCGGTGGCGGCGGCGAGGGAGGGCAGGGAGGAGGAGAGGGAGAGGGTGATGACGGTGGTTGGGTGTACGACTCCCGACGCGTGCAGTCGGAGCCGCTGATGGTGGATACAGGTGAGTTGGGGTGGGGTGGAGTGGGGTGGAGTGGGGTGGAGCGGGTTGGTTTGGTTTGGTTTGGAGTGTGTTGGATATGGTGGTGGCGAAGACGGGAGCAGGCTTTTGCGCACCATGTGTTCATGTCATTATGTCAACTGCTGGGATCCGCTACGTAACACCCGGAGGCCCCTCCCTACCAGGTTGCGGCGAGCTGCCCGAGGCTGTGGAGATGGCTCTCAAGCTGATGGTGCCGGGCGAGGTGGCGCGGGTGCTGGCGGCGCCGCGCTACGCCTACGCGGGCCGGCCGGCTGAGGAGTGTCCCGTGGGTCGGTTGCCTGGCGGCGCTGCGGTGGAGTGGCAGGGCGCTGAGGTGGAGTTCGAGGTGGAGTTGCTGGACTTCGAGCGGGAGGGGCACTGGCAGGTGGGGGGGTGGGGGTTTGAGGGAGGGAGGGAGGGGATAATAAATGGAAAGTAAAGCACCAGAGTCCCAATCAGGGACGGGCTGTCCCTGCCCAACCTGCCATGGCCTCATCAGCCTATTTCCCCACTCCTATCTTAACTTTTGTACGATTATACCAATTTGCACCTACCTCCCCCATCTCCGGGCCCTCCCCCAGAACCTTACGTTCGAGGAGCGCTACACGCTGGCGGAGCGGCTGAAGGCCAAGGGCAACGAGCTGTTCCGCAAGCAGCAGTTCAAGCACGCGAAGGCCAGGTGGGCGAGTGGGCTTGCTTAAGAGGGTGGGGTAGGGTTGGGTGGTTGGGCGGAGCGCGACAAGGCGGCTTTACGGGTTTCCGTCTTTTCGGCCTTTTCACCGGCCCTCCCACCTCCCGCCCCGCTGCCTCCTTCCACGCCTTGTTCCACCGCCTTCCACCCCTTTTCCCTCCTCTTCTTTCCAAACCCCTCCCCCCCGCCCCCAGGTACGACCGGCTGTTGCGACTGCTGGAGTCCACCCGCGACTACGAGGAGCAGCAGCAGGTGGAGCGCATTGAGGCCTACAAGGTGGCGGCGCTGGGCAACATGGCGCTGTGTGCCGTACAGATGGGAGAGTTCGCGGCGGCGGTGGCGGCGTGTGACAAGGCGCTCGAGTGAGAGGAGGGGTTGGGGTGGGGGTTGGGGTTGGGAGGGGGGAAGTTGGGGCGGCGGGGAAGGGTTAGCGAGCGGGGGGACTTGAGCTTTAGAGGGGTTCTTGGCTTGCAGGGCCTCACAGTACGAGGTATTGGTCTCGTAAGAAGCATCTTACCTCGCAAAAGTGCATTTTGGGAAGTGTTTATATTGTGTAAGGGGCGGCCCCGGGACGCGCACGCACGCGCAGGTACGAGCCGGAGAATGCCAAGATGTTCTTCCGCAAGGGCCGGGCGCTGAGCCTGAAGGGGGATTACGAGGAGGCTGCCGAGGCGCTGAAGCTGTAAGTGTGCTTGCAGGCTGTGGCGCTCTTAGCCATGTGAAGTAATAGGTTGGGCAGCCGGGTTATCGAGGTTACGAGCTGGATAGGCGTGGGCCTGGTTGGGTATAGCGCACGAGCATCTATCCCAATGCGAGGTCCACTGCGGGTATGTTTCTTTCCCGCCGTTATGACGTCTGACATATTCTCCGTATTGACTTTGTCTTTCGGGCGTCGGACACCAACCCCGCAGTGCCCTGGAGTATGACCCAAGTTCGGAGAAGGACATCAACGCTGAGCTAGCTGCCAATGCCGAACGGCATAAAGCTGCTGTGCGAAAGCAGAAGCGTGACCTTGGTAACTTCTTGAAGGCCGGGAAGCGATGAGATCGAATGAGCGACCCTCTTCTGCCTCTTGAGGGTTGATGTGTCGGTCAACAAACGGTCTACTGCCGTACGGACTGAGCTGCAAGCGGCAATCTGTCGCTTGTGCCGCGTGGATTTTTAGCTAACCCGGCGTCCTTTTGTACTTGTGTATGGGATGGGTGAGATGGATTTCGACGGAAGGATGTAAGAGTACTATGCAATCACAGCATGTTTTCGCATCCCCTACTGAAGCTCGAAGAGGCCAGAAGGGAATCTGACCAGCTAAAGGAGCTAAGAAAGAAACGACTGCAGGCGTTTCAGCATGATCTGCACGTTGGTAGAGCTAGAGGCCTATCCGACAGCTCGGCCGTCCGATTCTGGGAGGCTGGACCTTTATCCGACAGGCTTGGCAGTCATTTAAACCAGAATGCTAAGTTCGCCTCTGGAGAGCTGGGCGCTGTCCTACAGGCTGCCCTTCGAATACGTGCATTCCTTTTGCGGTCAAGGGCTGGAGATGGACTACTGCAGGACTGCTTGCTACTGCTGCGCTTCGTGAATTTGCACATTCGGCAAGGGTCATCTGCTTTAAGGCATCAGTCGGGGGGCAGCTTTGACTTCTCTTTGTTTGGCGAGACCAGATGCCGTGGAGGCAAGCCGCCCTTGAACCGCAAGCGCAACCCCCCGACAGAATCTACAGTTGCGGAGGCCAAAGCACCATTCCGCCCACCTACTGTCGGCAGCAGCCCTGCTCGCAACGCTGGAGCTGAAACGCTTGAGCACCAGGCCAGCTGCGGACCTCCGGCCGCACGAACTGCTGCAAGACGCCACAGCACCACCAGTGACACCTGCACGGACCGCAGCACCTCAAGCAGCAGCATCTGGCAAAGCATAGGCCCAGGACGTCAGCAGCCTAATGCATCTGCGCGCAACGATACTGAGAGCCGTCAGCGACGCAGGCGTCGGCGACAACGCCGCTCCGTTGATGCCACTCAAGGCAACAGCGACAGCAGCTGTAGCATCAGCGGAGGCACAGCGAGTTTCGGCGAATATGGCAGCGTCGCTTTTGGCGGAACTGCCGGCGATGCAGTAGCTGCTGGTGCTGGCGGCTGCAGCGTCAGCAATGCCAGCTTAATCGCGGCATCCCTCGGCGATTGGGGCGCCAGAGCGTCACCCAACAAAAAGTCCAAGCACCGCTCCCAGTCCAACCGCTCTCCATACGACTCGCACTCCACACAGCAGCAGCCTTCCTCACTACCCGGTCGCTCGCCTCCTCGGGAACAGGCCAGGGACGCAGAAAGCCCGCATCGCAGCCACCAAGAGGCGGCCATCCAATCACGAACCCACTCGCCACACCAGGCGCCACCTAAGGCCGGCGCAGGGGCGCATGGTGCCATGGGCGGCAGTGGCGACAGGCAGGGTCGCAGCGGAGGCCGTTCATCCGGGTCACATTCCGTACGACAGCACGGGGCCAGTGACAGCGACAATGGCTCTGCTGCTGTGGCGGCGGCGGGTGTTACGGCAGGGCATCACGCCCAACGTGATGGGCATGGCAGCAGCGTTGACGGCCGACATGCAGTGCCGCCTTCGCCGCCACTGCCTAAACAACGACAGCAGCAGCATGAACAGCAGCAGCAGCAGGAGGGCCAGCAGCCACGTCAAGTGCACTGGGATGCAGCCCATTCCGTCCTGCAACAACCGCCGCCGCCTCATGTCACCCCGGCCAGTAGCGCTCATCCGACGGCGCCATGGCCTCCCGTGGCTTGGGGCCATCCCGCTCCTGCTGCTGCTCCTGCTACTGCGGCGGTGCCTCCCTGGGCTGCGTCTGCTGCTACAGCCATCGCTGCAGCAGCACCACCAGCGCCGTTGCGACCAGGGTATGACGCTCCGGAGCAGCCCCGTGTCACGGCTGAGGCGAGGAACTCGTTTCCCGCTACCTGCTTCTTCAACAACCCGACCTTCGAGCCCGACTCGGATGTCGCAAGCGAAGGGGCCCCGTGGCCCGCCTCCGGTTCTCGCTGCCCAGTCCCTCCGTTACGGCTGCCCAGCCAGGTGCCCATGCCGGGGCCTGCAGCTGCTGCTGCACCTGGCGGCTGGGCTCCTGCGGCTCAGACGCAGCCGGGGCAGCGTGTGCAGCAGGGGAGCTGGCAGGAAGGCGGGTGGCCGCCGCAGCATCGGCCAGGGCAGCAGCATGCGTGGGTGGGCCAGCCGCAGCGCATCCCGCAACCGCAACCTCGGCACCACCAACAGCAGCAGCAGGCGCAACACTACCAGCAGCACATGCACATGCAAGGCCCCCATCAGCAGCAGGCTTTCCAGCCACCGCCGTTCCAGCACCCCCAGCAGCAGCAGCCCCCTCGGCACCAGCAACCCGAGCTGTATCCCCAGCAACAGCAACTGCCACAGCAGCGGCTGCAGCAGCAGCAGCAACCACACCAGCCCCCACAGCAGCAACAGCAACCCCGGCGGCCGCACCAATCGCCCCCGCAACAGCAACTGCAACAGCCCTACCAACACCTACCGTACCGACAGTCCCCCATGGGCTCGCGCTCTACCACTACAGACGGCGAGGAGCTCGAGACCTGGTCCCCGGCTATGCGACGGGCAGCTGCGGCTGCAGACGCAGCGTCCGCCGCTGTGTCCGCAGCCGCCCTAGCTCTGGGCTGGGCGGTTGCACCGGGCTCAGCCGGCTCATCGGGCTCCGGGGAGCTGACGGCTCAGCATGCTTTCGCACAAGGCCTCAAGCCAGGTTCGCTGATTCCACCGCAAGGTGCTGCATGTCCGGAAGCTCAAGGCCACCTGCGGCGCCACAGCAGCACATCAAGCTCTAAACCGCATCTGTCGGCCCCGAACGGGGCTTATGCGCCGACGATTAGCCCTGTTGTAAGTGCCCCTAGGGAGGCGACCGGCAGCGGCAGCAGCCGGGCATCTTCACTGCATGACGGCCAATCAAGCAGCAGCATGGCTGGTTGGCCCTGGGAGGGCCCTCCGCAGGATATTGCTCGGCGAGAAATGGAGGCATCGCTTGGAGGCCTGGGGGCTGCCGCCTCGGCTGCGGCGGAGGCGGTGGCTGCTGCCGCGGCTGCGGCGGCACGGCTGGCCCGCCGTACCGAGAGCAGTGCCGGCGCGGGGGCAAGTGGCTGCTTTGGAAGCCAACGCGAGCATGGGAGCTCTGGTGAGGAGAGTGGCGGCAGCGATGCTGCGCATGCGCCGCTGGCACGGCCGCCGGAGGGCGGCAAGGGGGCAGCTGCTGGTCCCGGCTGGCGCCGTAGCGGCAGCAACGGCAGCTGCAGTGAGGTTAACGGGGATGCCGTTAGCGTGGAATCGCGGACGGCATCGGGAGTGTACGGCGATCGATGGGGACCTCAGGCGGAGCGTGAAGCGGAGTTGGCAGCGGCCGCGGCGTCTTGGCGGCCAGGGGCGAAGCTGTCGCGTCCGGCGATTCTGGTGGGCAGCGGTGGCGGCTTCTTGAAGCTCGAATCGGCGCCCGCGGCGGCAGTGGTGGCAGCAACGCCTGCAGCTGGTAGGCTCCTATCACACGTTGGGGGATTCCTATCCTGACGTCTGTAAAAATGCCTTGCATCCTTGACCTTTCGATCCTGCTTCGGTACTGCGGTCAAGCTGACACTGATGATACTCCCGTATTCCTGCTTCCCTCCACAGGCCCCAACCCGGAGCCCGCTCCTATGAAAGCCCCTGCAAGCGCCCCAGCCGCCTCCACCTCTGCTCCGCCCCAGCCTCGTCCCCAACCCCGAGTCGCCTTCCCAGACGGCCTCGATCTGGGTCGTCTCGCCGCCGTCTCCGCTCCTCCCCCTGAGCTCCGCACCGTCCGTAGCCCCCTCCGCGCACCCGCACCTGCCATTGCGGCCTGCTCCTCCTCCGAACCTCCCTCGCCTGTGAGACCCATTGTGGCTGGGAGGACCACCGCTGCACCCGACACGTCGTCGGCCTCGCTTGCAGCCCGCGAGTCGGTGCAGATGCCTCCGAGCGACGGAGGCTTCAGCAGCGGCCGCTCGACCAATGAGACGCCCATTCCGCCGGTGCGCGTGTCGCCCCTGGCTGAGCTGAGCCGTGACAACGTCGCGTCCATTCCGCATGACTTGGCTGCATGTCGTGAGCCCGAGGCCTCTCCTCGCAGCCCGAGTGCGAGTGCAACCGCCAGCGCAATTGACAGCCGCAGCCGTGCCGCCTCGTCCGCGCCGCGGCAGTCGCCGTCCCATGGGTCAACGCCGCTCCGGCCGCCATCACCGCTATCAATCCGGCTTCCTGAGATGCTCCCTGAAGCTGGCGGCAGCAGCCCCTGCACTGCTGATCGCGGTTCACCGTGCGTTGCCGCGCGTTCTCCAACCGCTGCCGTGTCGCCATCTGGCCGCAGCAGCTTATCCAAGCTGCCGCCGCCGCCCTCGGTCACATCGCCACAGCAGCAAGGACGGGAAGCCTCTGCCAGTCCACGCGACGGCGGCAGTCCTTCGCCACGACCCGGCTCATCTCGCATTCCGCCGCCGCCAGGGCTGCTGCAGCCGCCGCCGCCGCCTCAGCAGCCTCCTCCCGGCATGCGCACCCGGGTTCGGAGCGCAGACGGCGTCATGCTGGGTAACCGTACGGCATCGGGTCGGCGAGAAAGGCTCTGCAGCGGCGGTAGTGCTGTCCCCTGGGTGAGCAGCACTCGGAAAGTGAGCAGTGCCAGTGGGCAGCAAGCCGAGCCGGCGACGCGAGCTGGCTTTGCGGGCAGGCGAGTAGCATCTGACAGCCGGGCTAACATGGCAGCAGCAGCGACCTCGACACCCAGTCGGTCGCCTTCCCCAGTGGCTGCTGGTGCACGAAGTCCCCCGCTTCGCACCACGGCAGATCGCACTGCTCCGGCCACTGCTACAACACCGGCGCCCGCCAGCCCCAAGCCCGCCTCTCCAAAGGCCGCTCCCCGGGCTGCTACAGCCGTTGTGCCGAGTCTCAGGCTGGCTGCAACGGCCAATGCAACCGCCGGGGCTGCCGTACTAGTAAGTCCCCGGGACGAGCAGCAGCAGCAACGGCATGATTTGGCGGTGGCTGCAATGTGGGGCAAGGCTGCAGCTACAGCAGCCGCAGCGGGGGGCTCGGCCGCTGGGAGGTACCGCTCGTCCGGCGATGGCGACAGCAGCCGCGATGGGAGCAGCGGCAGCGGCGTTGGCGGCAGTTTCCGTGGCAGCAATGGCAGCCGGGGGGTCGGCGGCAGCCTGGAAGGCAGCAACGGCAGTAGTGGGAGCAACAACGGTCGGGCAGGCAGCGTCGGCAAGGACGCTGCCCGCGTCAGGTGGGAGGGCGGTCCTCCTGCGCAGCAGCAGCATGCATCCTCAGCCTCCATCCGCAGCCGCAGCATCGGTGATGTGAGCAGCATGGGCAACGGCGCCTACGGCAATGCCGGCGGCAGTCACCGTAGCAGCGGCAACAACGCCAGCGGTGGAGTTGCTGGCAGCGGCGGAGCAGGCGGCAACGGCCCCGGCGGGGCTGGCGGCCATGGTGGCGGCGTGGAGCCAGAGCCCTCCTGGAGTCGCTCCTCAGTGAGTTGGGGCAGGCTGCGGGAGGATGCGGACCAGGCTGCCATAGCGCTGCTGACGCCCACTGCCGTACCCGGGCCCGACGGTGGCGGCGGCAACAGCTACTTTAGCGGTGGCGGTGGCGGTGCTCGAGAGGCTGCGGAACGGCAAGCGTACGAGGTGGCGGGAAGGGAAGCGGAAGCCGCCTACCTGCGAGAGGCGCCGTCGCCGGTGCAGCAGCGGCGGCAGTGGCAGAAGCAGGAGCAGGACTCGCCTCTGAGAGACGTCGCAGTAAGAGGAGGAGGAGGAGCCGACGGTGGCAGTCGCATGCATGTCGGCCTTACCGTCGCCACCAACAGCATCTCCCAGGCTCCCTCCTCTCCGCCCTCCTGGATGTCACCCTCCGCTGGCTTCGGCATGGCCACAGACGCCAGCCAGCTGACCGGCTCCTCCTTCTCGGACTTCCTGGGCTGCACCTCCCCGCTGCAGCTCTGCCCCTCGCCGTTCCCGGCCGGCACCCCAGACTCCACCGCCACCGGCGCCGCCGGGCCGCTCCGCAGCCGGGGCAGCTTGACACCCCGCGGCAGCGTCCGCGCCGCTGCCACCGGCGCCAGCAGCCCCGCTGGATCCACCTGCACCTCCGCCTACTTCCTCAACTCCCCGGGGTATCCAACCACGGCTGCTGCTGCTTCCCGTTACCAGCGCAGCCCCAGCGCGCATCACGGGCCAGGCCATGCAGGCAGCTTGGCCCCCAGCCACAGCCTCGCCTCGCCTTCCGCCACATCGTCTGCACCGTACCCTCGCTTGGAGGCCAGCCACAGCGTGGGCACGCCGGCGGTGGGCACCAAGCGCAGAACAACGAATCCGCAACCGCCGTACGAGCAGCAGCAGATGATGCGCATGCGCAGTCCGGCTGCTAGCGGGGCCTCTAGCATGTACCCCGCAGGAACTGCCAGTGGTAGTGGTGGCGGCGGCGGGCAGGGTGCGCCCTTTGTCTTCCGGGGCGCCGAGGGTTCAGCCGAATTGCGACCTGCGCTCTCAGGCGCTAGTTCCATTTCCACTGTGGTTGCCACACCGTCAGGCCGCACCGACAGGAGGCAACGCTCGGGCTCCGCTGCTGCCGGTGCTGGTACTGGTGCTGCCACTGCTGTGGCCACTACCACCGCCTCACCAGCACCTGGCGCCTCATCCTCACCCTTCAGCCTGGGTCTAGACCTCGGTTTCGGCGCCAGCCCGCCGTTGCTGTCTCCGAGGAGCATGCACTCGGGCGGCGACTGGCCGCCGCTCGGGGACACCGCCAGCGGCGGCGGTGCACCCCGCAACAGCGGCAGCACCACCCCCAGCTGGCTGCAGGGGCGGCCCTCCTCTCTGCCCTGGGCGCTGCCGTCACCACTGGGCTCGCCTGCCCCGTCTGCGAGCGGCGGGGACACCAGCCGGCTCCGGAGCCCGCGGGGCGGATCTGGGCTCATGCTGGGTGCGGATTTCTGGGCGCATGCAGCGGCAGCAACAACGACGACGGCGACCACAACGGATGCACCGCCGCCAGCGACGACCGAGTCAACAGGGGGGTACTACCAGCCAATGCCCTTTGAGAGCAGCTACCCGGGTATGGCGGCGGTGGCTCCAGGAGTTGCAGCTTACCCGGGGGGCAGCCCATCGCTGCTGGCCGCGGTGTTTGACAGCTACAGCCCGCCTCAGAGCAGCATTGGCGGCGAGGGTTACGAGTTGGGAGGTGGCGGTGGGGATGCGAGCGTGGGGTGGAGCGGCGGGGCGTGGGGAGGGGGCGCATTCCCGGGTGAGGAGGGAGGGGAAGGCGGGGAGGGCAGTGCGAGGCGTTCGACTTGGAGTTATGCGGCGGAGGAGCAGGCGGGCGGCTGGTCCTGGGGGTTTGGTGGCGGCGCCGGAGAGGGTGGGCAGGGGTTTAGGTAGGCAAAGAGCTGGGGCTTGCGTTGTTGGAGGTTAGGAGGTTTACGGCGCCAGACCACTTGACTGTGTGCGGGGTAGCAGGCTACGGTAGCCGTTACGTAGACGCAACTGTGCATTCCGTGTGGCTGTGACGGGCAATGACCTGTGACTCCCTTATGGACCCTAGACATCAGTACTGCTTGGTAGTTGGCACTATCTTTGCGTTGAGCCGAGCTCTGGTCATCAACCTGACGAACTCGGCGAATATTAAGAAGCACTGATTCTGGTAGTTCCGGTATGAGTTATATCTTATACGGGGCAAGCTTTAGATGTGATATTTTGGTCGAGGATTGCAGCTTTAGTCACAGCCTAGAGAACCGCTGACTTGACTGCACCTTAGCGTAGCCATGAATGTGACAGTTGTGATTGTAGTTAAGAATGCTGAGGTCTTCAGCTTCTTGCGTGTTAGTACAGGGGTTCGCCCTGTCTGGTGGCTGGACGCCCATGCTCGGCAAACCTAGAAGTGCAAGCCCCATAAGATATGCAACCGCATTAGAGGTAATGCGTATCCACTGCTACGGTCGTGCCTTAGTGGCGGCATCATACCGGCAACGATTGTTGGTGGTGGAAGGAGAAGTGACGTTGCACATGCAAGTGCACGAGCCTGGTCTGGCGAGCTGAGAACAGGACGGGACGCATGCGTGTATCATCCTGTGACGCGGGCTGGTCGCCAATACTGACGCCTGTTGGGGCAAGCGACCTGTTGCTGCCTGGACATGTCTCCTTTTGAAATATGCACCCCGCCAACCGGGGTTGTATTACACAAAGTCGGCGCTGTGGGGCCCATGCTTCATGCAACCGGTCCAGGAAAGCCGAGACAGCAGCAGTCATTGCATGCATCCGACCATGTTAGAAGGATCCGGATTTTGCACTACTGCACTTCGTTAGAACGCGAAAGGTGAAGGGTTCATTTCGCAAGCAATTTGCCTTGAACACGTCTTAGGTTGCGAGAATCCTGGCATGCGATGCCGTACGATCCTCGACGAGCGAAGCAGGTTTCAGCGTTAAGCCCTGCAGCATTTTGCCAAATGGACGCACTGCTACGTACTTTAAATTGTGGTACTTGCTTTGACAGAGCAGCAGCACATTGACACAGGACATGAGTAAGGACGATGACCGAGCTGAAAGCCCTTTCACGCTGTGCACTATCCCAACACCAGGCGTCTTACGTTCGAAGCGAGCCTACCTCGAACAGCTGGCAACTGTTGTCCCTCTGGAACAGTTTCGAGTTGCCGCGCTCTCGTCAGGTGCGACGTTTCAGCTCACAGCTCTGGGATGCCCGTTATGTAACCGTCCCCTAAACATATCTCTCCTTTTACTTCCCAATTTGCAGCTGTAAAGGCGAAGGTTTCGGTTGCGGCCTCAACGATGAAATTGCAGCGTCCATTGCCCACTCCTATGGCGCGAATTGCGCCACCGTTGTATGGGAGCCCCAGCACCACCAGTTCGGGAAGCAGCATCAACATTTCGCCAGCCACAGCTACCGTCTTGGCGAAATACGGCCCTGGCAGGGCCGGTCTGGGTGCCGGCCAGCCAGCCAGCCCCTTTGGCTACGCTTTTGTTGGCCAGCAAGCCCCAGCGCCTACCCAGCGCGAGCTTCCCTTGCAGCCAAATTTGGCAAGTGCCTCTCTCAAGACGCCGGGCACTTCCTCGGTGGCTGCTGCGGGAGAACGGTGGCTGCGGCGAGAGAAAGAGAACAGCGGCGAGCAGCAGCAGCAGCCGCAGGCAGAACCGCAGCCTCCGCCGTCCAACCAGGCGGCCCTGCAACGCCCCTCCTTGACATCGCCCCTCTCCATGACGTCGCCCCCCTCCTTGGCGTCGCCCGACGCCTTCACACGGCGCCTGCAGGGCTGCCTAGCGGACAGGCTGAACACGCTGGGGGAGGGTGCGGAGGGAAAGCCTGCCAAGCAACAGCAGCAACCACGTAAGCTGCAGCAGCAGCAGCAGCCGCAGCAGCACCAGCACGTGCCGGAGGCGCCCAAGCCGTCAAGCCCGTTTGTTCCGACGTCGCCAGAGGGCCTCCGCCCCACGCTGAACTGCCTACGGGGGCTGAAGCTGGGTAGCTACGAGGAAGCGAGCGAGGATGAGGGCTAGAGCAGCTCGTTGGGTTTCGTCCTGTGCGCGCGTCGGGTGGTCTGCAAACAAGTACCTGATCATACGTTTTGTTGTCCTGTTTATTCATTGGAGGCTACGGGTTACGGGCTTTGGGGAAGTGCTTGTGGGAAGTGCTGCGAGGGCTCGCAGGGGACGTGTTGTGGGGGAGCTGAGGAAGGGTCATGGGTGGAGAGGGGCGGGGACGAAGGGGTTGTTCATTTTCTGAGCGCCGAATGCGACTGATGAACCACCGCGACGCAACTGAATTTGCACTGATGTGTATATATAGCCGGTACATAACTGGGGAAACGCTTGGCGCATAATTGGTGCAAAAGCCGCCCGTACGTGCGAAAAAAATGACAACGGAACGACTGTGTACGTGTATATTGCATTTGTACGGCTTTTTTGCACAGCCGTTACAGTAACATTTGCCAGGGGCAAGGGATAACCCGATCTAACGTGTATGTGCCTCAGCAAGGCGCATTGCATATATGACTCCTAATCTGCTCGCCCCTCTCCGACTTATTGCTTGGCACCCATGGCAGCATCGATTGATAACACCGCGCCAAATACACAGGGGGTCACAGCCGACGTCATATTTTAAAAGTCCTCGCCAATACCACGTTAGACACGATGTCTAGCTCACAACCGCACCGCCTGCTCTTCCCCAGTTTTGTGCACAGTTTGCTGCGAGCTGCCGTAACATACAGTAACACTAGCACACAACCGAAAGCCAAGGCCGCCACAGCCCCTGTAACAGCCGCCATGCCGCCGCCCTGCCGCCGACCGGTGATAGCGGCAGCCAATTTTGGTCACAAATGCAACGGTCATCGCAACGCCGCCGATTCATTTTTGTCCTCAACCACATGGAATGCAGTATATCATAACAACGGCGGCCGCTGCCGCCGCCGCTGCTGCCGGTGCCTCAGCCGCCGCCGCTTCCTCCTCCTCCTCTTCCCCCATCCAGGTAGGGTGGCAGCCACTGCTGCAGCGAGCGACCCAGTCGTGGCCCCAACTGGCTGTCCTCGTCAGCCGCCCGCACAGCGAGCAACTCCGACATGCACTGCACATGGGGGGGGGGGCATGAGCGGGGGGCATGAGGGGGCCAAGGGGAAAAAGAAGCCACGCTTTTCGATGAATGCGGCATGCGCGGGCCATGTGGGAGGATAGAGGAGGAGGCAGGAACGGGACAGCAGGGAAAGAGGGAGGGTGGTGGTTGTGAGGGTTTGAGGGCGAGGAAGACGCCGTTTGGCGCGGGCGTCTGTTGTTTGAGGGTGAGAGCCGGGCGGACGGGCAGAGTGGGACGTGGGTGGGATCATTTTCGGGACGCGGGTACTGAGGGGCGATGTGATGCGCTCTGTCGACGGCACAACGGTGGATTTTCGACAGGGCAGGTGGGTGAGTGACGAACAACTGCTGTTATGTGCCAATTTGACATATTCCCCTAGTTGCTAAATAAGCCCCGCCCGGCCCTCAGGTTATCGTACCTGCGTCACCGTGCTCTTTACTCCGTCGTACAACTCTTGCACCTGCAGCAGCGGGAACCGGTACGACATTCCAGTTACAATCGGAAGCCGTACACGATCATACGCGTCCGTACACGTCCGCCCAGCAGGTGTGGTACTGCCAGTTCGGTACCAACTACCCCTGCACCGTCTGTCGTACAATCGTACGTGTCGTACCTGCTGCGGGTTATCAATGTCGGTTCCCAGGGCCCGCGGGTCCACGGGGGGTGCGAAGCGGAAGTAGAGGCGCTGCAGGTTGGGTACGGGGATGGGCGTGGGCAGTCCCACCACTGCTCCGGGAGGGGGGGTTGGGGGGAGGGAAGGGAAGGGCAGGGGCCGCATTACCAGGAGGTGCTGTCAGCAGTCACAGCTGTTCAGGAGCAGGGTGCAGTCAACTGGAGCAAAGCAACACATGAACCTACCGCACATACCGTACACACCAACACAGGTGCACTGTTTGCCTGCACCTCTGCGATTCTGCAACACCCACTGCCCCCTACCCGGCAGTCTGGTGATTGGGAACACGGACTCGCGCGGATCCAGCGAGTCGCTCAGTCGCCGCAGCAGCCCCCGCGACAGCGGCCCCAGCAGCGGGTGCGACAACACCTCCTCCGTGTCCATCAGGACCTGCATGCGTGCATGCATGCATGCATGCATGCATGCAGGCAGGCAGCCATGCAGGCATGCAGGCGTGTTTGAGGTGAGACGTTGAGGTAGGGGAGGGGGTTAGAGGAGGAGGGTAGCAAGAGTGTTGTTAGGTGGAGTGCTGGTGGCATTTGGGTGCGTAAAGCGAGGCGCTGCACATATGCATGTACCGAATGCGTCCTACGTTCCCACATCTCCATTTCTTTCTATCTCCCTCCATGCCACTGTAAGCACGGCATGTCCACTCCCCACACATCCCAAGTACCCGTACGGCAACTCACATCGTACGCATCATCCGCACCCACCGCCGCGAAGGGCACAATGAGCGCGTCGCAGCGGGCAGCCAGACGAACAAAGTCGGGACTGTCCTTCCAAAGCAGGGTGTACTCCTGACCCCGCCGCTTCACAACCTCCCTGGAGGGAAGCGGGAAGGGGAGCAGGTGGAAGAGGTGGTGGCGGCGGGACCGCGATGAGGGGTGCGATTAGGGTGAGGCCAGGCTAGGGGTATTGGGTTTGCGAGGATTCGCAGTAAGACGGGTAATCTGCACTAGTCGCACCTCTTGACAGACCATTATTCTCTTGACAGACCAAAGTTCGCACCATCAAGGGAGCCCCTCGCAGCATCGCTTTGGCCCCCTCTTGACCTTACGGTAGTCTCTCCCATGTTCCCCCTCCTCCTCCTCCTCCTCCTCCTCCTCCTCACCACCACCACCACCACCACCCCCACCTGGCTCCCCCCGGGAACAGCAGCACCTTCTCCCCGCCCCGCAGCAACCGGAATGCCGCCAGGGGGGAGGCCTTGACGGTGCCGAAGCTCTCGAACCAGCGACCCACGGGTCCGGCCCAATGCCCCGGGTGAGCCAGGCCTCGCACCCTGCAGCGGGGGAGAGCGGTAGCAGCACCGCCGCCATGCCACCTTAGAACACCCGGTACTACCATGAAGATATGATATATGAGGTGACTTGATGAGGTGATGCAACGGGGTAGTTGCCAGCTTGGCACCAAACTATGAGATGCTCAATGCATGTGGGTGACTTCATCCACACGCATTGAGCATGCGGGTGGGGCTCTGGGTGATGAATGTTTGGGGCATGCGGGTTCTGGGTCGTGCTATTGAAGTAGGGCTCCATGAAAGGCGAGAGACGGGTGCTCTACATGATCTACTGCTCGTTGCTGTCCGCATGATCTACACGTTATCGCTAGTTTTTGGAACGTTGTAACTTGTAAGACACTTAGCAAGGCAAGTTGTACTGCCCTCCACCGTACCTATAACCCCTGACGTACAGTTCGTACACCAGGAGAGGAGTGTCGTAGAACCCCATCTTCTGGTGGTTGCCAACGAACAGCATGGGTCGGGAGAAGGCGGGTGACCCAGGGGTCGGCAGGTTCTCGAAACCCAGCACCATCGGGGAGATCAGGTCCTGGGGGCGGGGGAGCCGTTGAGCCGCACGAAAGAGTCATGTAAGAGGAGCGTGGTGGGGAGGAATTGCAAGAGGAGGGAGCGGGCAACAAATTTGCCCTTATACACATAATAGGACATCGAGACAGGATAGGACAAATGCCATCCTATTGATGCGATGTGAGCAAGGGATCCAGCTAAGGGAGGCGCTACAGAGGCAGCGGCTTCGGAATGCAGCAAAACTTTGTTCGTTCGGACGGGAGTGTGTGCCGTGTAACAGTGCGGCTCAGAGTCCTGCATTGCTCTCGTCAGCTGGTCCCCACGCGGGACACGCAAATGTGCGTGGGGTCAGAGCCCTTGCGCAATGGCCACCGCCTTCAGTTCGATAAAGGCTGCCGGTATATTAAATGCTCCTTCCTCGTTTGCTGCTGTGCCGATCCGGGGCATGCTTGTGCGCCCTGGCAATGTCCCATGCTCTGCAACGTGCTATGCTGTTGCAATGCCCTATAGGCGTCCTCTCTCCCGTCCCCAGCCCCCAGCCCCCAGCAACCCCTCACAGGCCCTTCCACTCACCCTCCAAGGCGCCAGGTTCTGACACCACTCGTCGAACGCGCTTTCGGTGTCACCTCCGCTTCTTTCACCTACACCTGCACCTCTACCTCCGCCTCTCCCCGCTTCTGCTTTCCCTTCTGCTCCTCTCTCTCCATCTCCTCCGGGCCGGCCCTGACGCCTCCTCCCCCTTGTAGCTGCACTCGCACTGACGCCTCCGCTGCCTTCTCTGCTATTGCTACTGCTGCTGCTGCTGCTACTGCTGCTGCTGCTGCTGCTGCTGCTACTGCTGCTACTGCTGCTACTGCTGCTGCTGCCTCTATCGCCTTCTTGGTTGCCAGGCGCAGCAGCGACGGCTGGAAGGGAGGACGAGGAGGCAGGGAAGGAGGCGGAAGTGATGGATGATGATGAGGAGGAGGAGGAGGAGGCCTGCCGCGTACCCGAGCTGACCTCACCAGGAGCAGCAGGAGCGGGCAGCCCTGCGGAAGCAGCAGCGACGGAAGAGGGCTGTGCTGACGTGTTGACCCCTGCTTCCGGGGCCTGAGGAGGAGGAGGAGGGGAAGCGAGCGGCGAGGGAGGTGACCTCGCACTCGCTGGCAGCCCCCCTTCCTCCCTTTTTAAGACCACAACCGCCGCTGACGGCGATGATGACGTTCGCTGCGCCACCCTTCGCTGCTGCTGCTGCGGTGCCCGCCCCCGCTGCCCCTGCTGCCCCCCATGCTGCTGCCCCTCCTCCCCCCCCGTCACGAACCCCGCCTCCCTCATGATGCTCCCCAGCTGCACCCCCCGCTCCAGCAGCGCTGCATGGCCGCTGTCCGGCAGCAGGGTGCGGCGGGCGGAGGGCAGCAGCCGCTGCAGGCGGGCGCCTGGGTCAGGGAGGAGAGGGGAGGAGGAGAGGAAGAGGAAGGTGGGGCAGGGATGGGGCAGGGAATGGGGACGGGTGGGATAACCGTAGTAGGTGGAATGCTAGGGCAATCTGCTCATCACAAACATGAGGCCCATGACCCAGTCCCTCCCTTCCCCCACATCCAGGCTATCCCCTCAACAGCATGTGTCCCTCTCCTCCTCTTCCTCCCTTCCTTCCTCCCCTCCCGCCTCGTTAGTTTCCTCCTTTCTACCCACCCTCCAGTATGGACGGCAGCAGGCGGTCCCTCGCCGAACACACCAGCAGCACCGGCACCCCCACTCGTCGCAGCACCTCCTCCCCCGGGTCGCCCTCGCGCAGCAGGTTGGCTCGGAAGTTGGCGGCAGCAGCCGGGGCGTAGTTGGAGGAGGAGGAGACGGAGGAGGTGGGGAACAGGGAGGTGCTGCTGCCGCTACCGCTGCCATTATAATTACCAATGAAAGCAGCAGCAGCAGCAGTAGCAGCGGGGCCGCTGTATCCGCTGAAGATACCATCGCCCCGTTGCACTCCCAGCTCCTCATTATCAGAACTATCACCACTTCCACCACCCCCAATCCCACCACCAACAGCGGCTCCGAAACCCAGCCCCAGGCTGCCGCTGGGCGGCTCCATGCGAACCATGGACTGCAGCAGCGCCCGGTGCTCTGGCTCCACTCGCCCGCTGTCGACTAGCAGGGGCAGGAAGGTAGCCTGGTTGGGAGGGGGGGAGGTTGCCGGGTCGGGGAGTGTTGCCGGTGCCGAGGGGGGTGCTGTTTTGGGAGCTGCTACAAGAGGACACCAAGTCCTCTGGTCTGGCAAGTGGCCACCCCCCACATGGATGGCCGACATGTGTCTGATGTTCTCACCCAGGCGGCGATTCCTCGCTACCCTCCCCATGTGCGCCACCACCCCCTAGTGCTCCTGCTCCTCCTCCAAGCCCCCGCAAACCCCCGCACGCCGCCAAACCCACCTGTGCCACCGCGTACCAGTCCCGAGGGAAGAGCGAGAGCAGGTTGGTGGCGGCGATGGAGGAGGAGAGGCCGCTGAGGGAGCGGTTGAAGGAGGTGGCGGGGTTGAGCAGGACCATCCTGCGCGGCGGAGGTAGGGGAGCAGGTGGGAGGGAGGGAGGGGAGCAGGGGGGGAAGAAGGGGTTAATGCTTATGATATGGACGTAGCGGCCGAGTGCAGAAGGGAACCGTGTAAGAAAATAGAAGTGGGGGAGGATGCAACGAAGGCAGGTGCGTAGGTGGGGCGTGAGGGGTCATTATACAGGGATCATGGATCCCACAAGGAATCCCCCCACGGGTTACAATCGTTACATCGGACAATCACCTACCTTTCAATCAGCTCGGGGCCCGCAGCGGTTGCCGCCAGTCGCAGCGCCAGGCAGCACCCGAACGACTCTGCAACCACTGTCACCCGCGCCGGCATCCGCACAGCCGCCGCCCCCGCCGCCGCCGCCGCAGCAGGCGGGGAAGCGGCAGCAGCGGCAGCGGCAAGGGCTGCACCCTCGCTGCGGTTCCTGGCTCCTGCGGCTCCTGCTGCTGCTGCTGCCCCTGCTGCTGCAGGGTCCTCCGGGTCCCTCTCTGCAGCCGCCCCTCCCCCTCCTGCCTGCCAGTGCTGCTGCAGCTGCCGCAACAGCATGGTGAGCTGCGTGGTTAGCTGCCCCCAGTCGGAGCGGTCGTCCGGGGGGATGTACAGACACCTGGGCGAGTGGGAAAGAACCCAAAGAAGAAGGAAGCGTGTAAAGGGAGGGGTAGGGGGGGAATGGGGCGGGGGCGGGGTATGGGATGGATGACGGTGTTGGGCAGTTGTTTGCTGCAGGGGTGAGCGGCAGTCGTATGTACGCAACAGCGCAAGGCAATGGCGCCTAAACACGCATGCACGCATGCATGCATAGTTGCATGCAAAGTACCCCCCGATTACAACCACCGCAAACGCGCTCTACAGAGTTGACTACCCAACACGTCCGATCAGGCAGCGCTCACCACACGTCAAATCCCAGTGCCCGGAGTCCTGGAAGCTGCGGCAGGATGGCTTGCCCGGTGCCATCCGTGCCTAATCCGCGCGACGGGGGGCAAGGGGGCATGGGGAAGAAGGATGAGAGCTGGCAAGCTGTGCGGCATGCCTAGCGCCCTAAACCCTACGTAGCGGGCAGCCGTCCAAAAAGGGAGAAAGGAAACAGGCGCAAAGGCAAGGCCCGCCTCAAAACCCTCCTCACCTGGTAGGTACACAAGCAGCTTATCACACGCCCCTGCATGCGCGCCTCCCGAGGGCCGAATCAGCCGGATCTACAGGAAAACAGGGCAAGAGGGTAAAGAAGGAACAACCAACTGACAATGGCAAGAGGGGGCAGATGCGCACATGGGGTGTTAGTTTGCCAGTGTGAGCAGAATCAGAGCGCACCGAGACAGTACGCACAAGACACGTGGGGGCTGTGCCCGGGTTGCTGCGTGCACCCAAGGCACGCACTGAAGGGGCCTGCTGGGAGCTTCTGTGTCAGAGAGTGAGGGGTGTTGCAGATGTTGGGTCCACCCTTGGGAGCGCGCCTTTCATCGCCTCCCTGGTTCTCCCTACCTTGAAGGTGCTGGGAGGTGAAGCGCGCGACGGTGTTTGGCGTCCGGGGGTAGGACCGCCGGTGTTTCCCGCTTTGGGGGTTGTCAGGACCGCCCGTGACGGCGTGCCTGGGCCACTTGCCGTGTGAAAGCGAGGGAATAAGCGTTGGAAAACTGGATGGGGTGTTTGCTGTGCATGTGAGATTGGCTGAGGTCGACTATCATCCGCGAAAAGCGACTTTGCAAAAGGCAGGCGCTGACGCCTGTTGTAGCTTAATTGTGTTGATCTATCTAAACCTAACATTGTTCGGATGTCTTTAGCTGGAATGGCGCGCTGCTGGTTATACGCGGAACGTCCGGCTGTAAAGCTTCCATCGCGGCTTCATGTTTGCAGCGCTAACACTATACTAGCGCTTAATACAATTATCGCACACAAGGAGCTGGGTACCGGTATATGGAATCCGAGGTGTATCTATCGCTGATCTTTGGCTTGATTTGCATTTAAATCATTAAAGCGCTTGTGATGGGATGCAAAACATAAGCTCAATCACAGATACATGCGTTGCATTTTGCACATAATTATTAGCCGTTCGACTGTATGCGGAAAGTCAAAAGGAGCAATCGTTGTACCGAGGGCCCCATGGGCCACGCGTGGTCACATGGGGCCCTCGGGCCGATTGTACACCCAAGCCCTTTAACCTTTCCTTAACCATGATGGCATTTGTGCAAGAGTTTCACATATGCCTTGATCCCATTCGGGTAGCACTCCGGTGAGGTTAATGAAGCCCGAGCGCCCGAACCGCCTTTGAAGGGTGCCGCAGTACAGAGCAAGCACATCCAAGTCACAATTTCTTCACCAGTCCGATCTCTCTCCCGGCGACAGTAGGGAACCAGCCCCGTCCTGCCGATACCTGCACTGCAAACACCGCCCCCTCAGTCCGACACATGCAAGCAGCACCTGCGCCTGCACCTCCCTCACCAGCAAACACGTCAGCAGCGCGCTACCGCCAGTCCGCCACCGCCACCTCCTACATATGTACAACACCCCGCGCAGCAAACTCTCCGCTAACCCACATTCCCTCGCGCTGCGGACAGGCGGCAACGGAAGCACCTCTTATACCCAGCTCAGAGTTTAAAAACGTTCCTCCCTGATGCATGCCTCCCGCCTCCCTCCTCACGCGGCCAGGCCAGCTGCCTCCGCGCGCGTCTTGTCCAGATACTCCACGGCGCCCGTGCGCATGGAGTTGAGGATGAGGGTGGCGCCTGGAGGGGGCCCAATTAGAACAAACCAGGGGGGGTATAACAGTCTTTGCCAAACCCCGACCCATAAGAAACCACAAAAGGGGAAATAATTGGGGAATGAGGCGGCGGCCTGGCGGGAGGGTGGTGTGGGTGGGCGCCAGGGGTGTTGGGGAGTGTGATGAGGAGGGAAGTCTCAAGTGTGGTGGTTTGGAGAAGGGTCGGAGGCCTCCGGTGTGAATGAGGGGCTAGAAGAAGGGGCCCTGCATGCGCTGCGCAACAGGGCAGCCATTCGAGTGCCCCAGTTAATCCTTTCCTTAACTCGTCGCCTGCAGCCACGACCCTAACGAGCCGGGATGAGTCCAAGGGCAATGCGTGCGCATGACGACTACCATGACAGAGTGCACAGGCCGTCCTACCCATGCCCCGCACTTACACACAATCCTGAGCATACGCGGCGAAAGGCCCTTCCAGAAGAGCGGAATGCCGCCCTCCTTGTAGATGGCGCCAAAGGTGGAGCGCAGGGTGCGGTACTCGGGCTTGTCGTACATGAACGCCTGCCTTACGGGGACAGCCGGGACCGGGAACAACCCGGGAACACCGGACACCAGGGTGTTACCAACCAGGGTTGTTACCACTGGTCTACTACCGGTGCCAACCAGCGTTGTCAAAAACAATTAGACGGGCGCTGACTGGGACCCAGAGGACTGCATAATACTGTTGACTCTTTTCCCTCATTGCACCGTCTGCATCACTCATCCGCAGCAGCAGCTACGAGGCAACGAGTGCCCCGCCCAGCCCCTCCACGCGCGGCCCCGCAGCCCCGCTAGCGCCCACCTGCATGCGCGTCTTGGCGGTGTCGAAGGGGTGCGAGCAGGCGGCTGCGAAGACCCCCCCCAGGATGCTGGCAGCCACCAGGGTGAGGCCGGAGGAGCCCTGGGGCAGCGGGGAGCGGGTGGGGCAGGGTACAGAGCGATGACAGGGTGTTGGGCGATGGGACCTGGTGAAACGTGGTAAGCTAGACGACTAGACCGAGGCGCGGTGGCGGGTGAGCACACGGGTATTTTCCATCTCTCGGAAGAACCTTTTCAGATGCGCGAAAATGAACATGGGAGCAACGTGTTCAGAGTCTACAGCAAAGTCAGCAATGTGGCCGCCCTGTCCCAGCGAAATGCGGCAAGGCAGGAGGGGCTCCCGTCCATGCATTCGAGATTGACAACGTCAACATAGTTGCACATTATCGAATGCGTCGCATGCATGCATGCATGCATGGACTTCAGGGAGGCTGCCAGCGCCGCACCGGCATCTTCTCGTCCAGCTCCTTCCGGATGATCGGGAAGAGGCCCAGGTAGCCCGCGGCGTACAGCGTCTCACGACCCATGGCCGGCAACTGCAAGAAACAGGAGAGGGCGAGGAAGGGGTTGGGACAACTGTGGCATGTACGCATGGCCCGTTGCTGAGATGCCCATGGCAACTGACGTATCCGCCGACACCGCACCGTGCGTGTGCAGTCCTAAGTATTTGGTTAACGGTAGCCCGCTTGGGGATGTGAGGAAAGGCCGCCAAGGACTGGCCCATGGGTCGCTCATGGATGCATGTAGCCCGACACGTACCCGCAAGCGGATATGTTAACTCACCAAGCCTCGTACAATGGCTGCCGATCCGTGTACTTTCATGAAGTGAGAAGCCTCAGCGCCCAGGGACCGCCCGCTTTTCTGCATAGCATAGAAGCCAGTCAAGAACGAAGCCATGTACTATGGACGCCCCATGCAGCAAAGCGTAACCAACAATGGAGCACGCACCTGCTGCTGAATGATAATTAGTTCCGAAGGGGAGGCAATGAACGCCGACACGGCTCCTGCTACAGAAGCACACCCAAACCTCTCCAACCCGGTCAACTCGTCTTCTGACTTGTTAAGGACCTTCGTCTGCATCAGGCGGTTCGTCCCAAACTGCGACGCTGTGATGGGCGCCATGCTCACGACGTTCATAAGCAGGCCACGGTACAAGTGCGCTGGGTGCCGTGGGATGGGCCGTCCCTCTTGTAGTGCGTTCTTGATGCCCACGAGCGGTTGCATAATGCATACTTCTACGGTGCCGCCTAGAGCTCCGATAGCGGTGTGCTCCAGAGGCGTGACCGTGCTTGGTGATGAAGACATTTCCGGTTTGCGTCAGGCTGTCGAGTCAGCAAGATGCGTTTTTTATGGTAGCCTCGGAACTATGGTAAACGATCTTCTACGTGTATGCAACAACGCTAGTCATAGATTATTAGCACTGTCCCCAGTCTCGCGCCGCCGTGTAGCCTGTCGGAATTCAAATAAAAATAGCTGGATGTCACTCTAGTAGGCACGTAACTAAAGGGGTTTTACCTTGCCGACATGCTTCAGGCATACTGGTCAACTGGCGCTTGTATGTACATACGGCACAAGCAACCGTAGGTTTCGGAGAGGTGAGGAACGCAGAATGCTAGGCCTGGCCTAATTTCGTTTATTTTGCAATCGCGAGGACTCAATACGTTTTTTAATTACCGCTTATCTTTTAACTTCTTGCCCTCCTGGCTGCACTCCTGAATCCTTGAACTGTGAATGTCACAGCAGCAAGGTCGCCAGCCACAGTATCCGTACTACTCTCCAACCGTTGCAGCGGCACCTAGCAAGGGTAGGCACTGTAGATCTGGGTGCCGTGCTTGGACAAGACCTGACCTAGAATTCTCCTTTTGGTCACGCAGCTCTGCACGCCGCGCAACAGCAGCCTTCCGCACAGCTTAAAGGCAAGGATTGGTAATACTACGTCATGGAAAGAACCACATGTCACATAGTTGCCCTTCACCCAACCGACCGCAGAACTTGTAGCAGCAAACGTTAACAAGCTCCGGGAGCTACGTTCCGCCCTCAAGAAAGACGAGTAAGCCATCCCCAAAACCGTTTCGTTGTCACGAATCCTGTTCCCCTCTCTGACTCTATCCCAAATCCCTGCAGTTGGTATTACGAGGCTCCTAGGCACACTCTTCGCTGAGCTCTCCCCCGAAAGCTCCCGCCCGAGGGTCCCTAGGCCTCCGAATCCACGCTTATGTCCGCAGCTGCTGCGGGGCCCGCTTCCAGCTACGTGCCCTACTCCAAACGGCCGGAATGGGCTGACGTGGTGCCGGTACTGCTCGAGCCCCAGCGTGTGGTGGCCATCCAGTATACGGCAGAACATGCGGATGCGTTCTCGTACTTTCGTGCCGTACTGCGCTCAAAGGAGCGCAGCGAGCGGGTGCTGCGGCTGACAACTGACCTGATCCGTTTTAATCAGGCAGACTACACGGCATGGAGGGTCAGGTGGGGGCTTTAGGGGAGGAAGAACAGGGTCAGGCGGGGGCTGGGACGAAGGGTTAAGCGCCTCCGTGCCCATTCCACTGCAACCTGCCCCCTCTCTGTCTTCTGGCTTTCTTTCCAGCTTACTGCGGAGTATCCATCCTCCTAATGTACTGTATTTATCCCCTGCCTTGTCCCTGTCCCTGTCCCTTGTCGCTAACCCTGCTTGGGCAGTGCTATGACTCACAGCCGTGAACCCATGCCTTCCCATGCAGTCAACAGTCCCTCGCTCCCCTGCCTTTGTCCCTGTCCTCGTCCTTCTCCCTGTCCCTGCTTGCCGCGCAGGTGGGAGTGTGTGGAGGCGCTGGGCCCCGCCGCGCTGGCGGGTGAGCTGGACTTCACGCACGCGGTGATGCTGGAGAGCGCCAAGAACTACCAACTGTGGAACCACCGTCGGCTGTGCGCGTTGAAGGTGGGGAGGGAGGAGGAAGACGGAACCAGACAGTTCAAAGGAGGGCAAGGCAGCAGGGAAAGAGTACCTGAGGAGTGCAGCAACTGGAGTCCCAACCCCATATCCCGGCTCATGCAGTGAGCGCATTTAGAGACGGTATTCTAAAACACGCAAGCCAGTGGGCAAGGCAGTAGGAAGGGGAGCAGGCAGGGGCCATGAAGGTGGCGGTAACCGGATTGCAGCTCCCATGACCCGCCTGCCAAACAGCGTCTTGGCCCGAGCAAGCCTCACCCTGCCTCCCCACCCCACCGGTAACCCCCTCGTTGCCGCTGCAGCTGGGTCCGAGCTCCGCGGACCGGGAGGAGGAGTTCACGCGGGAGGCCATCAACTTCGACGAGAAGAACTACCACGCCTGGGCGCACCGGCAGGCCATTGTCAAGGTAGGGCGGGGTGGACGTAACTGGACGTGGACACGCTCCACACACATCAGGGCACGGACAGCAACACCAAGTTACAACAGTGGACTGGGTAGGGGTGCACGGTGGCTGCTGGATCCTGTAGGGAGAAGTGTACCGTAAGCTCTCCTCAAGCTCCACCCAGATGGAAACCTATTGGGACACTTCTACCTCCTACGTCCTCGTTTCACTCCTGCGCTTCGTGCTGCTGCTCCCCCAGCACCCATCAGTATCTCCCCGCTTTTCAACCCTTCGCTGCCCACCCACCCAGATGACGGGCCGCTGGCAGGCGGAACTGGAGTTCGCTGCCGAGCTCATCTCCCGTGACGTGCGCAACAACAGCGCATGGAACCAGCGCATGTTTGTGCTGCAACACATGCCGCGACCGGGGACCGATGACGCCGCATGGCTGCGCAGGTGGGGCGCATTTCATTGTTAAATCCCTCCTCCGTGATCCTCCTTGAGCCCCCGTGTGCTGTGATGCGGCGGAAGTATGACACAGTCAGCCCCTTGCGCTTACCCAGCGTCAGTCCTGGCTCCTGGGCCTCACCATTCTCGTCTCGTTCCACCCTGACCACCCTGCCCGGCGCAACCGCAACACTGCATCCCAACCCGCCGCAGCACCCTCCCTGATGCAGTAATGCTGCATTGCTGCGCACGTTCCCGCACCTGGTTTCCTGCTCCCACCCTACCCACCCACCTCCGCCTCCGCAGCGAGCTGGAGTACGTAGCAACCGCCATCCACCGCGCCCCGCGCAACGAGTCCCCCTGGCGCTACCTCACCGGCCTCTTCGCCACGCTGCAGCCCTGGGCCTCGCAGCCCCGCGCGCTGTCGCGCTGCCCCGAGGTGCACACCATCTGCACCGAAGCCCTCAACGACTGCCCCTCCTGCTCCTTTGCGTTGGACGTGATGGCGCAGTACTATGAGGGGCTGGCGGCGCTGGGGGCGGCGCGGCTGGCGGCTGAGGTGCAGCGGGGGCAGGCGGCGGGGCCGGAGGCGGCGGCGGCGGTGGTGGAGGAGGTGGTGCCGGCGTTGGTGGGGGCGGTGCTACAGGCGTGTGAGGCGGCGCAGGTGGGCGGGGCCGAGGGAGGGAGGAGGGGGAAAGGGCCGTTTCTTGAGCAGAGCAGTAGGTTGGGCAACATGGGAGCTGCAGTTGGTTCTTTATTCGCATGCGAGCACTGTCTTGACCTCATGCGTTGTACAAACATGGCGTTCGATGTTGTTGTGGTGGTTCCCGTGTTTACTGCGCAGGCGGCTCTGGAAGAGGCTGGAGTGGCGGACCCTATGCGCGGACCCTACTGGTTCCATCGACAGCGTTCCGTGGCGCACATAGTTTCGGCCTCAACTTCTTTGCTGACGTGATGTGGATACGACGAAGGAAGGAAAAGGGAAGTGCTGGCGCTCGGGAGTCCTATGAAAGAGGAAGCGGTTGAGCGCCTGTGGTGGAAACCGCGCGAGGGAGACGCGGTTTCGGGGCTTTCTGGAATTGTAGGAAAGCAACGAAGGACTGTAAACCATAAGCTAACCGCAAGCTATTGTGTACTGTCTACATTGAATAAAAGTGCTCTAAAGCCTTACAACCTGCACCGGCGTTGTACTTTCTGAAAACATGTTGGCGAAATTCACCGCATCCCCCTGCAAGCCTATCCAAGTCGCCCGCGCCAGTCGCCGTGTAGTCGTCTGCCAAGCGTCCTCTAGAGCAGCAAACCAACTGAAGGCTGCAGCTGCAGCGGTTCTCTTGACAAGCGGTGCGCGCTACCAAGCAACTAGCAAGCAATAAGGGTCGCGAAAGGCCAATCGCATGCAAGAAGGGCGCATTCTCTCTCTTGTATACAGGCTTATCAGCTGGACCTGCTCTCGCTAATGGCGTTGCGTTTGCGAACATTGCGTCGGGTTCGACCGTTGCCTCGCCAGTCCACCTGGAATTTTCTGTGCAAGGACTTTCAGTGAAGCCAGCTGGTAAGCACTGGAGCTATGGCGCTCTATCGACCACAACTTTAAACTGGTGGCAAGCTTTCTCTTCACTGACATGGTCTCTTATCGCATGCATGCAAGGTCGCGCAGTATCCTAGCATTTGCGTGGCAGCTGCTACCGCACTCACCATGCCTGGCATATTAATGTACAGAATACACTATATTAAACCCTCGCCCCCCGGTCCTTTCTTTCCTACTCGCAGCCGAGGGTGTCATTCCAGGCACGGGCCATTACCACCTCATCATCGACGCCCCGGGAGTCGACGAAGGCACCGCCATTCCCTTTGACGACCTGCATAAGCATTATGGCAAGGGCCAGACCTCCGCCGAATTGGAGCTGCCTGCCGGCACGCACACCCTCACGCTTCAATTCGCCAACGCCGTGCACGAGTCCTACGGCCCAGCTTTCACCAGCACCATTACCCTCAACGTGCAGCAGTGACGACATGGCGCTGTGCGCTTGAAGTTGAAGGTGTTTGCAGGGGAGATGCCATGAGAGCGGGGTCGTCAGTCGAACAGGCGGTTTGTAACGGAGTACAGGCTTTACTCTGGAAGGGAAACTACAGTTGATAACTATGTGAGCACGGCTTGATGCATGGGTTGTCGTTGCTGGAGATTTACGTGCGTGCAGTAGGGGACAAGGGCCGTCATCTTCCTCAAAGCTTAAAAAGGATTGTTAAGGATGGGAACCCATGATGCCCATTGGAATGACGGGGCATGGTTACCTGTGAGCTGTGACCCCATGGCACCCGCTTAGCTGACATCCCTTGCCGGAGACGCTAACACCCGTGTTGGTATAGTCATGGCAGTTGTGTCGGTACGGGCATCGCTCCCTCGAGGCCCCGTCGCGACGGGGGCTCCGCCCCCAAAACCTTTAATTGGGCAGCTTGTTTAACTCTACCGTTTAACATGCGATGTATGACGACCAACTCGTTCGAAATCCGTCGGACACTCAAGCTGTCACGCACGATCCTGTGTACGCGCAGGCAACACGTTTGGCTCGAGTACGCCATGAATTTGGTTTTGCGTTCCTGGCCGTTCATTACCGGGTAATTTGCACTGGAAATGATGCAGCTCGGCGTGTTTTATAAACAGGAACGGGTGAGGACTTGGTGGCAAGATGGATGATAGGAGCCAACTGCTTCAGCGCACTGATGCGGCTGTCCGCATTACCATGCAGCAACGCTGTCCTCCTGGCATGTAGTATGCCAAATTGGGTTCCTCGTGTTCGGGTTTGTGGTCAGTCGGCTACACGCACTTTGCAAGCTTGCTCTGGCCGTACCTCATCATGGGGACATTTCCGCGGGACGATCCCCCTAAAATTACTTTTTTATTGACAAGCATATCTCGCCTTCCTTGTTGTAAACGGTTCATCATAAAGTGAACTCGTTGCCTCGGAGGAATCCGTACAGCTTGTACTGCCGAAGCCGCAGCTGATTGATAGAGTACAGGTCAGGATATATCTTGAGTCGTTCACGACTTGTTCAGTGTATAGTAGCAAAACGCTGGTGCTAAAGACTTTCTTGACCTTCTAGACGCTTTCCATCCTTTCACTTGCGGCAGTAAGCAACAAGATGGGCGGAGGCAACGGTCAAAAGTCTGCTATGCGCAGGGCAAAGAAGCTAGAGGAGCAGCAGGGAGCGAACAAAGGTGCGCATCCTTTTTGGCAGGGCTCAAACACTCTTTTGGGAGGAACCTTGCCCAGCTATTAGTCGCCCTTCGGACATCGTATTATATGGATTCGCCTCCCAGCAGTAGGGGGAAGTGTTGTAACGTTCGCCGCCGGTTGAGACTCTGTGCTTGGCGCCATGATTGTGCAGGCAGCCAACTCAAGTCCAACGCCGCCTCTATGACCCTAAAGGTAGGAATTTGGATTTTCTCGTTCCTTATGCGACCGAGTCGGCTATGGTTGTTCAAGTTGGTTTCGTTGGCGGTTTCCTCTCGCAACACCTCGTCTCCTCGTTCACCTGCAGTGCAACGTCTGCATGACTGCGTTTGTATGCACAACATCAGGTAAGCGTGAGCAGTGTTCTGGTCTGGCGGGATGCTCTGTTTAGGGCTCTTCTACATGGGGCTTCACAACATGGGATGTACGGTAACCCTATACCCGTTTGGTGACGCAGAGAAGCTATTGCGGGAGCACTGGGAAAACAAGCACCCTAAACAGCCCATCGAGGTAAGCCATCGTAGCGCCGGCTTAAGCACACCCTGTCCAAGCACTGTTTGTTAACATGTGTGCCGGTTCGCCCTTCAGGCCGCCTTCCCCCACCTGAAGAGCTAGCGTTGTGGCAGATTGCTGGATGGCGTAGGTTGGGCACTGGGCAGGTGAGCCAAGTTGGGACTTAACTGTCCGAAGCTTTTCTAGTGCTTGCGCACCCGCAACTTTTCCCCTGCCTATCCGTGTAGAGACTTCGCCTATCAAGCCTTCCAGGCTCGTCTTTGGGGTCCTACATACCTATTACCCATTCACCGTATCCTTCCCTACGTGTGGGCTCGCAGGCGTTACAACAGCTACCGCAGTTCGGTGTACCCTTGTGGGTAGATGCTAGGATGGAGCGCTGTAACGCGCTGCATGTAGCTAAACGTTAGAGGAGGATTTGGAGCTGGATGGGGCGGCAGGCTGTTATCAGCTGCAGGAGTACATACCGAGGTTTTTTTCAAGAGCGTGAGGTTTGGAGCAGAGGCGAGCTATGAGTGAATGGTAGTGGCCTGTTGATGGCCTGTTGGAGGGGAGAGGGCGGATCAGCGGCACCGGCCCACTGGGTGTTGACGTTGTAACCACCGTCGTGATTACCATTCTCGGGATAGTCGCTTACAGTTTGGGCTTAAGCAACAACTCAATCAATATTTCCGGCTAGCGGATACAACTAGCGACCATGAAGGTTATGTCGGTATCCTGTGCAGTTAGCCCGGTATACCGTTGTTGTTCATGAGCCGTCAGTTAACTAAGCCCCCAGCGGCTTCAGCCTTCGTCCAACCTCCCTTGGTTTGTACAGTACACTCGAACGACGATACGCCAGGCAGTACTTCGAGACATACCATTGCCAACAATGCACTTCCACTAGTAGCAGGATTGCCGGCTGTTACCATCAGCCCAGAAGCCCTCTCCACGGGACGCCCGAGAGTATCCAACGGTTTCAGTACATCATTACCTGAGCTACGAAAACACCTACTAGCTCGCCAATCCACGAGCACTACGCATGCTATCAGCCCACCCCAAAGTCCCTAACCGCTTCAGCTTGCATACGCCAGCACTTCCGCCCTCCCGCCTGCACCCAACACCGGTCCATCCACCGAACCGTACTTCACTGCTGCATGCGCTGCTGCATGCGTAAGTCCCTTGGCAACCCCCGCGGTCCCGCTCACCCCCGCCTCCCCCATGACGTCAGACCTTGCCCCATGCGACTCATCATCATCATCGCCGCCGCAGGACTCAGCGCGGACTGACAGCTGTGACACAAGGGCCCCGAGCTCAGAGCTATTGGAGCGCTTCGGCGTCTCAACGCCGGGGCTGTTGCGCCCAGCATCCTCACAATCCGCTCCGTTGCTGCTGGTGGTGCAGCAAGCCACTAGTGTCGGGTGCGGCTGCGCCACTTGCTCCGGCATCACGCACGCAACGGCATCTGCTTTCTGAGCCTCAGGCTGCCCTGCCTGCAACCCTTCATGCGCCGGAGCTGCAGCATCAGCCCCGTTTCTTCCCGGTTCCAAGCTGCTGCAGCTCGTCGTCGCGTGTAAAGCGGCTGCATCCTTTCCTGATGGCACTCTCCCCGCCAGGCCCTGCGCCTGCACCTGCACCCCATCGCCCTTTGGGGCCTCAGTCGGCACCCCTAGCAGCCGCATACTAGCTGTTGCGGCTGCTGTTGTCTCAACCTCCCTTTGCGGCTCATGCTTCTGATGCGGGCCTGCACCATTGTGCTGCTGTCGGGCCTCCGCCGCTAGCGTGTTGAGGACAGGGCGGAAGCTGAGGTGCATGTCGCTGTGCAGCCGCCACCGCCCGATGGCACTGCGCAGGCTGTGGTTGGGGCTGGTGCTCAAGCGGCGGAGGGGCACACCTGCGCATGGTGGGGGAGACACGAAAGGAGAGGAACGTACCGCTAAGTGGCGGAAGAGGCGCTTACCGTGCCATTAAGGGGCGATCCATGCGCAAGTAAGGCAAAGCAAGTAAGGCCACTGACCCATGGTTCATCATGCCCACTGGGAGTGCTTCGCACAGCTGTTACGCAACAACACATGGGCCTCCCCAACGCGCGGCCACGCACCTGTGCGTGGGCAGAAGTGATGCCCCTTAGCCCACCACTCCTCCAGGGCCTTGCGTTCGTAGCTGTGCCCCGTGTCGTGCAGGAGCACCGGGTCCTGCGAACGGAGGACAGCGACGAAACACGTGAGACAGGTGATACAACAACACCCAGCACGCCGCAAGCGCCACACTTGCGGCCCTTCAGGTATTCGCATGGAAGATGTTGAATTGCACTTAAAGCCCGGTCTAACAGGCGTAACAGCACTATGCCTGCTCGGCTTCTCCATACCAGCTCTCGGCTTTCTACAACAGCCGCCCACGTTCCAGCACTGTTGCCGTACCTCCGACTCACCCGCCCCAGCCCCCGCCCACACCCCCGCTCCTCACCTGTATGACCTGGTGCGTGAGGGGGCAGATGAACTCCAGCGGCGCCTCGCACTCCACATTCACATGCTGCGCCCTCAGAAGGTCCATCAGCATGCGCAGGTGGTGCTGCTGCCGCCGACACTGCTGCACCTGCGTCAGCCTTACCGGTAACCGACTGTGAGGCAGCGGAGAGTGAGGCGGCGTCGGCTGGCGACTGCGGCTGGCGCCCGCGGCGCAGGCAGACGGCTCGCCGTCGGGTAGGGTGCCAGGGCCGAGGCTGAGGCTGGGCTCCGCTTGTAGCAGTAGCAGCAGCTGTTGCTGCAGCTCCACTTCCTGCTGGAGCTCGGCAATGGCAGCTGCAAAGTCCTGCGGGTGGGTGGACGGCAGCGCGGGATATAGGTGAGTAAGCAGCGGCGGGTGCTGGCTGTCCCTAAGGCTGGGCGTCTGCAAGGAGGTTTGCGTAGGTTGCAGGAGCTGGGTAGCAGCACGCAATGCATTCGGCTGGGCGTTACCGGTGCGCCACCTGACTGGTTCGCATGATCGCATCCCATGTCCACATCCTCCACCGCCTCAAACTAGCGCACATGCAGCCTTAGCACTTGCAATGCCATGGTGCTGAGAGAGACGGTTGCTGACCGCTCGAGCTACTGCTACCGGTACCCGCCCGCCCACAGCCTACCTCCTGGCTCAGCTGCCTCGCATGTGCCGTGGCCTCCAGCATTTCACCACAGGACTTCTGCATGGCTTGGAAGTGTGCTTGCAAGCTGTCGCACTGCAGGAATACGCGGAAAGAAAAGGGCGCACCACGTTATGAGATGCCGTACAAGAAAGCGGCGCAACCATCCCTGCAATCATGCATCCTACTATAAAGCCCTTGCACAGATGTGACGGGATACGAGCCCATGACAGGCTTGCGGCGACAAAGCCATGCCATGCCATGCCTTGCCCCATGCGGCAATCAGCACCGGTATGCTATACACGCTCCCATCATCGCAGCCTCGTTCTCCGGGTTGCGCCCATAACGTCGCTTTCCAGCTTGCCACACCATGCAGTATGCCGTACTCCGTAGCCATAGCTCAACTACTCCAACGACCATATCGGTACATTCCCCGGCTTTCCCCTTGGCTCCTTACCGCATGGCGATAACGCAACAGGTTGGCTCTGTGCGCCACTGGTAGGTCAAAGCACGTGCTCCGCAGCTGCTCCCGCACGCCCAGGAGCTCCTCCTGCACCTCCTCAGGCACCTTTCCTGGCTGCCTGTCCCCAAGTCCAGCTCCGGAACTACTGCTGTTGCTGCTGCTGCTGCTGATTTGCGTGCTGCTGCAGCTATCCCGGTCTGCCGCTTCATCACTATTACTGGCAATGTCACTGCAGTTGCAACAAGAAGCGCTGAGAGAGTTGGAGCCTGACAGGGAAGCAGTTGAGGCTTTGCACGCCTCCTCCTGTAATTGCGCGAGCGCCGCGTCCAGCTGTGCCGCTGCTGCCGAGAAACGTGATGTCGTGTGGTCGGCTTGCAAGTACGACACAAGTGGGCCTTTTGCGCCCGCCTCTGATAAGACCTGGAGAACCGTCACCAGCGTTCCCTCCACCTCCTGTAATCGTTGAGGATGGGGTGATGCGTGGAAAGGGAATGGGGTTGAGGTGCGCGAGGTCATGATCCCGGGATTCGTGGGTTGCTGTCAACAGGCTTTGAACGGGTCGGGAGAGGTGCGCAAGGTGTGAGGTGCTAAGCAAGTGCCTCGATCTTTGCAATGGTGTGTTTGCCATATGCACTAGTGCTTGTACCAATGCCAATGCAGCTCGCTCGGCATAGGCCTACAGCTTCAGGCGGAATGGCGAGAGCCGGCGGCACACGTCGAGACTTAGGGTTCATAGCTGGCATTGCTTGGCGCATAATAGCTGGAGCATCATGGAACCACATTGATCAGGTACGATAAGAAAGTAACCACCGTAAGCAAACAATTATTTCTTCACACTGCTCAGCAGTGCGCTGGGTCGGACGCACGCACCCGAAGGCTGCTCCAGACGCGAACTCCATTGAGGTACGGTTCCACCGTCGACACCAACGCTTGTATTCGCCGAAGGATTCGTTGCAATTCTCGGGCTTCGTTGTAGAACCCACACTGTTCGCCCAATGCCGCGACAGCCTCCGTAATTGAGTAGTTCAGTCCGTAAATGGAATTGCAGACTTCAGAAATGCTCGTCATTCGGGTGTTAGTTCTTTGTGCACGGTGGTATTGCAGCTGTAGCGTCTGGATGAATAACAGTGTTAGAGCAAGCGCTTTACGGAAAGTTCTGTTGACTTGTATAATAATGGTTGAAGTGAAGTGTAACTGCCGGCACAGCGGAAATGAGCCAAGTGCACATTTCTGTCAATGACAGTTCTCGGTTGGGACTCGAAGATTGAGTACTTACGCCGAGTCCCTTTTGCCTGAGGCTCTGGGCCCTTACAACTACTATGAAACCTACTACCCCTTCCGCCAAGTAGCCATATCTGTACCCGTCTCCGTCTAAGCAGCGTGTTCGTCGACAAGCTTATCGGAAGGGCTGACTCGTCGCTGCAGTTCACCTTAAGATTGCAAAGACTTGGAATGTGTTACACCATTAATTCAGTTCGAAGTATGCTTGGGTTCACCTTGGTGCCAACATGGACGGTGTTGCAATGCCTTGCATTCGCCTACAGCGATGTCGCCACCACCTATATCACCGGCAGCGAACGTCCGATGATGCCCTGTTCACCAGCCCCTGCAGCTGCTTGCCCCCGTTATGCTGTGACTGTTACTCAGGGACTCCAATCCCTCCTAGGGCTGCCGGGCCCCGCCACGCCCGCTTGCCGCACACATCAAGCGTATCCATCTAGGGATGCGAAGTGTGCGTGCATGCATTCGGGCAACGGTTTACAGCGGATTTGCCCTTGCTTTGTCGGCTACCTTTGGCTGAACCCCCACTCATGTGGTGGGTTGTGGATGGGTGGCAGTGCATGTAATTCACATTCCATTGACAGGGCACATGTGCGCCAGCCGAACACTACTGATATCTGCACACGAAGCCAGGCGGGTTCCATGGCTACTCCACAAACGGCATACCCGGGGCTCCACTAAGAATGTGCATGCGAATGGGTCGCGTTTACGGTGTCAGAACACAGACCACAATTTGCAACAATTTCGGTCCTGACACCTTCGTTATGGCCTCGCTAAGCTAGCCTGAGATGGTATTGTCCAGTCCCATCGGCGTGCCAGCAAATGCCATTTTGCGGGCGCAAGGATACAAATGATAAAACATTAGAGCTTACTGGATTCTTACATATGCACCTTCGAGAGAAATATCCCAAATATCTTACGCGCCAACGGGCAATAGTACGTTACTACTACTGATAGTAGTCCAGTGCGTGCCGCACTGCGACACAGCATACATTGTAGGCCATAAACATATACGCCTTACTACTGGAGCGTAGGAGGAAGAGGCAAGAGGATGCGGCCGGCCGTACCAGACGTTTCCGTTGTAGGAAAAAGCGACCACACGCTTAGGAAGAACTGTACGGCAAACCGCTTTCGCCACTCATTCGCCTAGCTGGCCCTATAATTTGCGACTTACCCCTATCTAGGTCGTGAAGCTATCTCGCAAGCCACAGGCACTGTCACAGACACTTCCCGGGTTTCCTGTCAGTCATCTGCTGCTGCAACCATGAAGATGGCACTCAAGTTCGCTCCGGCTCGTGGCGTCCGCGTCAACACTGTTCGGGTGAATGCCGCTCAAGCTAAGGTGGCTCCAAAGGTATGCGCGTGCCTCTACTCTGCATGCATTCGTCCAGAATGTCCTTTACATGCCACCCCAATGTATCTTTATCTCTGCAGCATTTCACGCACACAATACAGTACACCTACTCGTTAGCGAATATCTTCAACAGTTTCTACTAACATTCTGTGATTTGCTCACCTAATACTGTATCCTGCAGATTGCCACCAAGGGTGATAGCAATCGCTTCCAACAAGCCACCGGCCTGCCCGCTCCAGCCGTTAACGGCCGGCAGTTCCCCATCAAGCTGGGCTTCACCAAGACCAACGAACTGTTCGTTGGCCGCCTGGCCATGTTGGGCTTCGCCTCCTCCCTCATCGGTGAAATCCTGACGGGCAAGGGCCCGCTGGCTCAGTTTGGCTACGAAACCGGGCTCAACGGCATCGAGGTGGATGGCTTCGTGGTGGCCCTGATCGCCTTCAACCTCATCGCTGCCGTACTGCCCACCAGCCAGACGTTTGTGCCAGAGGAGCAGGAGGTGGGGGCTCGGGGCAGTGGTGTGGACCGCCTTTGAACTTCTAAGGGAATGCGTATGCAAGGGCTGGCCTGGTACCGGTATGTAGGGTAGGACAGCACCCAGCTCCTGCTGGGCTCCTGTCTAGCGACAGCGCAGCGTTCGCCCCAGTCCGACCCAGTCCGAACCCCCCTTTACATGCCATCTGCATTGTTACTGAAGTGTATGCGGCTGAAGTATATGTCGTCCTCCCTCCATCATCCTTGCCCCCACGCAGTCCATCAAGGAGCGACCCGCGGGTCCACTCCAGGACCCACGCATTACGCTGCTGGAGCCCAAGCGCTTCTTTGGCGTCAAGGGCTTCGGCTTCACCAAGGAGAATGAGCTGTTCGTGGGGCGCATGGCTCAGCTAGGGTTCGCCTTCTCATTGATTGGGGAGGCTGTCACCGGCAAGGGAGCTCTGGCACAGTTTGACATCGGTGAGTGGCTGGTTGGCAAATTGCGGGTACATGATTGCAACGGCCTTCCTTGGTGCGGAAGCAGGGCTGCGTGGGAGGTGACCCTTGGGTCGTTTCAAGGGCTGTTACCTGCCTTCATAAGTGGGTTACGCGATACCGGTGCGCATATCCATTACATGCTACATGTGCACATTGCGGAAGGCACTGGATGATGGGCACCCAATCTGGATGACTGATAGACCTCTTCGGCTCCCTCCCATTGCCCTTCATACCTGTCGACAGAGACCGGACTGTCCCTTCGAGACACGGAGTTTGGCCTGCTGGTGTTCATCCTCTTCCTGCTGTTCGCGGCCGTGAACGAGGGCTCCGGCAAGTTCGTGGACGATGACGCTTGATATGTAGAGGGTAGTGTGTGAGGGCTGGTAGGCAGGTGCAGCCTTCCCAAAGCTGACATGTACTGCTGCGGTCCCGTCCTGCCTTCGGTTGAGTCAGGATTGTGTTCGATAGTGAGCCGGAGGTCGCCAAAGCCTTGAAGATGTAGAATTTAAATGGCGTGCAGTTGAGCGTAAGTGAGAGAGTGAGAGGTGTACCGTGTACGATGAGTAGAGGCGGTGAAGGGAAAGAGAGATTGTAAGGAGAGTTGAGAGCTGAGAGAGCAATCCAAATTCATTTTGTTATTTGTTTGGAGATGTGGAGGTGGAGTAAAGACGAGAACTGGGGATGTATATATAGCAGGCGAGCAAAAAGGATGGAGATAGAGGAGTGAACATATGCCGTACGAATCTGGCAAATCAGATATATACCTTGCCGGATAAAGAGAATGTGTACCACCGTACACGTCCTAACCTTGTAACCATGAGTACAACTCCATCCATTTATCCGGAGGAAAGTAGGTGGTCGGCTTGAAAGCAGGAGGGCAAACGCCGGATATCACCGGTCAGAAAGTACTGGTACTGCAGGCTGGGTACTGAGAGAAACATAATCTTCGTGTTGTGGGTTGGGGAACAACATGACGCGTACAAAACTCCCTTCTACTAGATGATCCATTAGGGGAAGGGTAGGGGGAGGGGTGGGATTGCGCACCTTTCCGTACCGTACTTCAGCCATAGGCCGAAGGCAGCACCGAAGGCAGCAGGAGGAGACAAACAACCGTTATCCAGGCATGCAGGAACGGAACAGTGCAAGATGAGGGTAAGAAAGGTGGGATTCGCTCGGAGTAAGTGGGGCGTTCTCATGCGCGGCAGGAGTACGGCTTGCCCTCCAATTGGAAGCTGCTCGCGGACAAAGTACGCGTTGTACGTCTTAACATAGGCACGTCACGAAGCCTTGGGACCAGTCATCTTCGTATCCTACTGTGTTCCCCTGCCATGTTCCCGCCAGTTTCCTGTCTTTGCTCCACCGACTAACTGGAAGAACTCAGATCACTTTGGCAGCGCTATCTATTAAGTGCTTAGCTATATATTCTACATGTATATGAGTGGCTTACAGTGATACGTGTATGTAAGGAAGGCTTCATAACAGTCTTAGGGTCAATGCCCACGGTTGGCAAACAGCCAGAACATGACATCGGCAGGTAAAAAGCTTTCAGATCGATTCCTTATAGGCGAGGAGTTGGGACGCGGCGCCTATGGGCAAGTATACAAAGGCATCGACTACACGAATGGCGATACAGTGGCCATCAAGCAGATATCCTTGGCGGGCATCCCGTCTGATAACCTTCAGAGTGTTATGGGCGAGATTGACCTTTTGAAGACCCTCAACCACAAGAATATCGTCAAGTATATAGGGTCCTTCAAGACCCGCTCCCACCTTTACATTATCCTCGAGTTTATGGAAAATGGCTCTCTCGCGAGCATCATCAAGCCAACAAAGTTTGGGACATTCCCGGAGAGCCTGGTAGCGCTGTACATCGCCCAGGTCTTGCAAGGCCTCCAGTACCTGCACGAGCAGGGTGTTGTACACCGTGACATCAAAGGTGCCAACATCCTTACCACCAAGGATGTAGGTGCTTGCTCGGGGCTGGAGGAGAGGCGGGGGCCGGGCTACAGCACTCTCGGGACTTCCAATAGGGGGACGAGGCGGGTTGGGGACGGGTGCATGCATCTCACGACCTCCCTTGTGCTGCTGGTCAACCGGGATCCTGTCCATGTCTTCACTAAGCCCTCAATCGCTTCCGGCAATCTTCTTATTGCACCAGGGCCTCGTCAAACTGGCTGACTTCGGTGTCGCAGCCAAGCTTGGGGAGGTGGAGGAGCGGCGGGACGTGGTGGGAACACCCTACTGGATGGCTCCTGAGGTGGGCCTGACACACGGGGCACCCCAACTCCTGAGAGCCCTTCCGCATCCCACTGCCCGCGTTCCACTGCCGGGCTTTGCTCCCTGCTTACTGGGAAAGCACCCGTCTCACCGCCACCCTCCTCCGCTCCCTGTCCCTTTCTCCTCCTTCCTCCCCCCACACCACACATTGGAACTTCTTTTTTCCTCCCCCCCGCTGCTGCCAGGTGATCGAGATGACGCAGGTGACCAGCAGCAGCGACATCTGGTCGGTGGGCTGCCTCATCGTGGAGCTGCTCACCGGCTACCCGCCCTACTTTGACCTCAACGCCTGCTCAGCCATGTTCCGCATTGTCCAGGTGGGCACTCGGAAGACGGCCATGTCCCATGTGGTGGTGGAAAGGCAGGGGGGGCTGCGGCCGCCCATCTGGGTCATCGGGAGAGCCGGGAAAGTCAGGCGCCAGAGGAGAAGCAGTCTACCGGACGGGATGCATGAGGCGCACATTGGGTGCACCGTCGGCATTGGGAGATGGGAGAATGGAAATTGCATGCTGCAGGCGGTTGGTTGGCATCCATGGGAAAGGATGTAGGGTACTTGTGCGGGTGCTGTCAGGCTGAAAACATGTGTCCGTGTCTTTTGACACTACTAACACTACTAGCCCTCCCACCGGGTTTTCCACCGACGCCCCCGCCCCCCGCTGCATGCGCCGCAGGACGCCATGCCGCCGCTGCCGGAGGACATCAGCCCCCTGCTGAGGGACTTCCTGTCGCGCTGCTTCCTAAAGGTAGGTGTCGCATGGGGAGTCAGACACCATAGGAAACCACAAGAATGGAAAGGCGGGAAGAAGAGCAGGACCCAGATGGTAACGAGTTAGGGGAAGGGAGACGCGGGCGTGCCCTTGCGTCCAGGCGCACACTGCGAACGGCTGCCCTGTGGAGCACACTGGGGTGCCTTTCAAGCGGCTTGCTACGCGAGTGCATGCTTGTTACCGGTAGTGGCCTTTGGAGGCCGCCATGTCCATGTCCTGTACCATACGGGCCCACACCCCACACGCGGCTCAGTTTATCTAATACCCCACACGCCCGCCCCGCCCCACCACCACCAGGACGCCAAGCTGCGCCCGGACGCGCGGACGCTGCTGCAGCACGAGTGGCTGCAGCACAACCGCCGTACACTGCGCATGAGCTGGCGCCGCGACCAGGGCCTCGCCATCCGCACCCTCGTTAAAACACGCGCCGCCAAGCAGTCCGCAGACGCGCATGAAACCATTAACAGCGTGCTAGCGCGCATGGCAGCTGTGGATAACGAGGAGGACAGCACGGGCCGCACCGCAGCGGATTCCTCGGCGCATGCAGCAATGGCGGAAGGGCCGCTGGGTTCGGGTGCTAGGCCGGCGCCTGGCGATGGCTTCAGGGAGGGCGCGGGAGGCGCTGCTGGTGGCAGTGCCGGTGCGGAGCAGGTGGTGAGCGGCGAGGATGTGAGGGTTGCGTTGATACCCGAGGGTACGGCACAGTCCTCAGCCCCGCAGTACAGCTCATCGTCGCACCCCGCTGCTGGCGGCGGGGTGGTGGGATCCACGTTGCCGTACATGCCGGTCGCCGGCGCCTCCCAACAGCAGCAGTCGCAACAGCAACAACAGCAGCAGCAGCAGCCTATGCTGTTGGGGCAGCAGAGCTTGCAAGCGAGCAACGTGATGCCGGCTGGGGTGCTCGCGCCGCAGACCTCTGGGGCGGCTGATGGCATGCCCCCCTTATCCATGACCACCTCGCCTGTCGCCTTGGCCCAAATGGCCATGTCGGGGGTAGATCCAGGGCAGCAGCAAGCGTTGTTAGCAGCGGCAGGGCAGCCGCCCTCTGGGCTCAGCAACCTCATACAGCGGCTTCAAAGAGACGACGCCTTGTTGTATCAACAACAGCAGCAGCAGCCAGCGTTGATATCGGATGGTGGGTCAGCTGGGTTTGGCGGCCGACCCACGGTTCGTAACCTTGCAGCATGGACGGAGGGTGGCGGCCAGTCGTACGATGCGCTGCGGATACCCTCGCGGCACTTGGCCGGCGCGCATGGCTACGGGTACCTGCCTGGGGAAGGAGGTGGGTGATTGTAACCCAACTCTGGGCTGTTGGGAGGGATCAAGGAAGTGGGTCACACCAGGCCGCAAGGTTGGGGGCGTACTCTTTAGGCCAGTAGTTTCCCAAGAGACAACCTACCTGGGATTTTGCATCTGCGTTATGGTGCTTGGACGATGTTTAACATGCATGCCCAGACGAACTGTTTGTTCCTATCCCTTCTTCGTCTGAGGGCGTGCTGATGCCCCCGTCACAGGCCTCTTCTTCGACGGCGCCATGTACGGCGTCCTGGAGGCTGAGTCCATGGGTAGCACCTTCACCACGCAGGCTACTGAGCTGCGCAGGACGGTAAGCGCTGCCCATAACTGAGCGATAGACGGGAGCGATAACTAGTGATGGCTGAGTTGGGAGTTGAGCCGTCCGCAAAAGGTTTCCGGGGAATCAAAAGCCACGCGTGCCTGCTGCATCCACGGGGTCGCAGCCTTTTCCTGTTAGCCTCCCAGCCGGTTCCCGTCCCGCTGTCCCTGCCCCTGTCCAGGTTCGTGATTTGGTCCGCAACCTGCGTCCCGGCACACGCCAGGACGCGGCCGCCACCAGTTCAGCTCGCGCCGCCAGCACTCTGGAGCAAATGATAGCTCCTCCCACCACCTCAACAACAGCAGCGCAGCAGCAGCAACCACAATCACAACGACAACCCGGTGCAGGGGGTACCGCGGCAGGGGAGCAGGCGCCCGCCGAAGGTTCGGGAGCTGCAGCCCCGCCGCAGTACGCGCCGGCTGAGGTCAAGTCGTTGTTCCTGAGCGAGGGCGGCGTGCTGGTGCTGATGGAGCTGCTGGACACGGACAGCCAGAAAGTGGGTTGGCTGTGGGCCGACCCGTGGGTCTCTCGGGGTCAGGAAACACCGTGTTGAGGCTTGCAAGCGGTGCCGATGCGCTACAGCAGCAAGGCTCGACCAAGACACCCCTATGATTTACCTTGAAGGGTTTTCTGCTTGGTCCGCGCAACTCGTCTTCATTCAACCTTACACGTTTTAAGCGTTTCCAACCCGCCGAAGGAAGCTTTAACGCTAGAAACCCTATAATCCTTCCTTCCCCGCCCATTCTTCCTCCTTCAGGCCGTGGAGGCGGCTCTCGACCTGCTCTCCGCACTCGTCCGCGACGACGTCCGGCTGCTTGAGAGCCTGTGTCTGGTGGGTGTGGTGCCCGCCGTGGCCCGCTTCACGCAGCAGCCCTGGCCCGCGGGTCTGCGGCTCAAGGCGGCGGCGTTCGTACACTCGCTGTGCTTCCAGCGCGACTCCACGCTGCAGCTCTTCATCGCCGCGGGCGGCCTGAAGCAGCTGTGCTCCATGGTGGCCGACAGCGTGGCTTCGGAGCCCTCGCCGCTCAGCCATGTGGCCATACAGTGCCTGCTGCAGGTGGGGGGCGGAGGGGAAGCGGGAGGGGGTGCTGGAGAGGACGGTGATGTGTATGCAGGTTCTCGCCTATCCCTCTTTGTCCCTGCCCGGTTCCCGGCACCTAACGCATGCACACACCCCTTCCAGCAATCACAGTACGTTCCGTCTCGCGGCCAGTTTTCTTAACGCACACCCCATCTGCCCCCTCACCGCCCCCCACCCTGCCCCTCAGGTGCTGCAGTGCTACGCCACCCTGCCGCTCAACTACATCTGTCGCATCCTGGCGCACTGCGGCCTGGTGCCCCGACTGTACAAGCTGCTCAAGGAGGTCATCGTCGCACGCAGACGCATGGCGCCGCAGCACCAGGCAGCCGCACAGGCAGCCGCCGCTGCAGCCACCAAGGCGCCGGCTCCTGCTGCTGCGGGGGGCGCTGGGAACGGCGCCGCTGCAGGAGGGGGTTCAGGTGCGCTTCACGGTAGGTCGGTCTCCAGCGCTGCAGTGTTGTCTGGGAACGGCTCCCCGCCGCAAGCGAACGGGGTACATGACGGAGCAGCAGCAGCAGCAGGAGGAGGGGGCGGTGCGGCGACGCAGGCGGCGGAGGCGGCGGGCGGAGGCAGCAGCAGCCGGCCGCACCGGGCGATGTCGCTGCCGGCGGGCGGTGCGGCAACAGGGGGGGCAGTGACGGCTGGGAGCATTCCTGGCGCAACGTTGACGTATGACCAGGTAAGGAGATAAGGGCGGAGGGGTCGGCGTCGAGGGTCTGCCGATGACACCACGCGCGGTGCTTGTGGACGCCTAACCTCGACGTTGTCCAACCCAGTTGCCGCATGCAACATCCTACCATTCGTGCATGCTTATGTCCCACATGCCTGCCTTCCTATGTCTGCTCTCCTTCTCGTGACTTCTCCTGACCACCTGAGCCGCTGAGCTGACACGGACCATGGCTGTCCCTTCCTCCCTCCCGCCTCCTATCCCAATTGCTTTGCCCTAACCTGTGGCTTCCTATGGTTTGGTATTCTTCTTTTCCCTCCCCCCTTTCTGCTACTAACTATGCAACAACTACAATTATATGCTAACCCAACTATCCAGCCTAATGCGGATTCTGTTTCCAAATTACCCCCTTTCCGCCTAATGCGGAACCTTCATCCCTATTACCCCCCTTTCCGCCCCCCTTCCCAGGTGACCTACCTGCTGGACAAGTCTGTGTACCTGCTGGTGGTGCTGAGCAATGCGGACGGCGCCGTGAAGGCCGCCATGTGCAGCCACGAAAACCTGCTGCAGCACCTGGACTGCCTGGTGCGACTGCAGCCGCCGCATCTGGTGGAGGTAAGTGGGGGGCGAGCAGGGATGGGGACAAGAGTAAGGAAACTGACGAACTGAATGACGAGGCTTCACCATGGAGCAGGGAGGGGCGGGCGGGGGGTAGCAGCTGTGGAGAGGTGGGGATGGAGGAGAAGAGAAGGGCATGTGTGGAATGGTAGTGGTCTACGAGGCGAGAGGGAGGGGAGGGAGGAGAAGAGAAGGGCATGTGTGGAATGGTAGTGGTCTACGAGGCGAGAGGGAGGGATGATGGATGTTCCGTACAAGACAGGCGGGGAGGCAAATGAGGGGGAAACTGAGGGGATGGAAAACTCATGTGAACCACTCCCCTGTCCCTCTCGCCCCTGCAGCTGCTGCGCTGCCTGCGCAACCTCACCAGCGACCCCTCCGTGCTGCCTGCCATCAAAGACTCGGGAGCCATTGCCTGCCTGGTGCCCATGCTGGGGGCACCCGCAACGGGAGTTGCCGCCGCGTCATCCACCGTGGCCGCCGTCTTCAACCCCGGTGGCGCCGCCGGGGGTGCTGCGGGGGGCGGTGCTGCTGGTGCTGCCTCGGCCGCTGCGGGCCCCAACCCGCTTAATACGGCGGTTGTGCTGCCCAAGAGCGAGGTGCAGATGGAGGCCCTGAATGCGTTGTACAATCTGTGCATGTTCAATAAGAAGGTAAGGTGGCGGAGCCAGAGGGCTGCGGGTGAGGAAAGGTGGGGTAAACATTAAGGAAAACTGACGAACTGGATGGCGGGGCTTCTTCATGGGTTGCTAATGGAACCGGCCCATGAAAGGGAAGGGGGGAGGGTAGGGATTCCAAGGAGTAAGGAAGGGAGGGGAGTGGTTCGATGTTTCTTTGCATGCCCTTGGCATGTGGGGCGCGCTTGCCCATCGGCCTGTCCCGGTTCTCCTAGGCTAGGAATGCTACGCTTACCGGTACATCCTTCTATGTTCCTTTCACCTATGTGTGGTACCCCCGCACCTCCCTCCATACCACCCAGGTCCACCTAGAGGCCGCTGCATCTGCTGGCATCATCCCCCACCTCTGCTCCTTCGCCGCACAAGCCTGCGCAGCTGTAGCCGCCACTCGCTCCCAGCGCCAAGCCTCGTCGGGCTCCGCCCAGGCCCCTTCCACCGCCGCCTCGTCCACGCCTGCTCAGCCTGCCGCGGCAGTTGACGTCTCGGGAATGACCCCTGGGTCACCAGCCGCCATCCAGGCCGCAGCGGCGCAGTGGCCCACGGTTCGCGGCTTCGTGGTGCCGCTGCTGCTGGGCATGGTGGTGTGCAGCAGCGCCACTCGCAACAAGCTGTACGGCAACCACGGCCTGGACATCTTCCTGCACCTGCTGTCGGATGAGGTAGGGGGCCTCTCGGAGGAGCCGCGCTGTGCCGTGCCGTGCCACTCGAGATTGCCCGCTTGTAGATATTGCCACGTGAATGCTCGCCAGCCAGCAACACTTGCAGGGGGTTCTGCGTCCCTTGGCATCCAACCAACCTACCATTCAGAAGGTACCGTACGGGCCGTGTACCGTTATACCTACCTTGCCCTCCCCCGCCCCGTCCCCCTGCACCCACGCCCCGAGCAGGACAGTCGCAGCGTGCTGGGTGTGCTTCAGGCGGTTGACAGCTGGCTGGCTGAGGACCACAGCCGGGTGGAGGTGCGCATCACGCAGCGCGACGCGGTGGCGCACCTGGTGCAGCTGTACGCCAGGAGCTGTGCGGCGCAGGTGGGAGGGCGGCGGCGGGGCTTGTGTGGGTACGGTAGCAGCTAGGGGGGTGGCGGTGGCGGTGGTGGTGGTGGTGGTGGTGGTGAAGGGGAGGTCGCCCAGCTATGATACCGGTAATACGGTAATACCGGTAATACCGGTAATACTTCTTCCTTCTGGCGCCATTCCCCCGCAGCCGCTTCCCCCCCTCCCCCAGGACAATGTTACTGGTTGCTGCTACTGTACTATGTACGTAACAACTACACTTATATGCTAAGTTGCTAACCCAACCATTAAGCCTAATGCGGAATGTGTATCCCTATTAATCCCCCAGCCCCGTCATTCAGCTCGTTAATTTCCTTATTTCCCATCCCCCCCAACCCTTTCTTTCCGCCTCCCCAGGACATGCAGTCCAAGCTGGAGGCGCTGCGCACCATGCTGGGCCGCTCCTCCAAGCTGGCGGTGGCGCTGGCCATGGGCGGGCTGGTGCCCTGGCTGCTGGCCATGATTCAGCACGCGGCGCCCATCAACCGAGTCAAGATCCTGGACATCGTGCGGTGGGTAGCGTGTTAGGGGGTAGGGGGTAAAAGAAGAATACCCAACGTGAGTATTAGGGGGTGAAAGAAGGGTACCCAATGTGGTAATTAAGGGGTAGCGGGTAGAGGGTACTAGGACTACATAGGACGGTACTACGGGGCGTAGGTTGAAGGGGGAAAGAAGAGTACCCAATGTGTAGGGTCAAGGTGTAGGGCCCTAACCCGGACTGACTGCATGCACTCAATGCACTGCAGGATTCTGTACGAGCACTACCCTCGTCCCAAGGAGTTCATTCTGATGTACAAGATCCAAGATGTGCTGGCCATGCTGGTGCGCACGCATGGTCGCGACGCGGACGCTGTCATCCAGCAGGCGCAGCGCCTGCTCTCGGCATTTGACATCAACGTGCTGTTATGAGGAAGCCAGGCAGCGGAGGGGGAGCACGGGGTTCTAGGGAAGGGAAGGAGGGGAAGGAGGCTGGCAGGCTGCTGCTGCTTGGGAAGTCTGGGCATGGCTTTTGGAGGGAGGCCAGTGCTTAGTGAGGTCGTGAGCCCTAACATCCTTGGATGGGTATTCAGGTGTTGAAGGGCTTAAGCTGAGGGCTGTGTGTAGCGTGTGAATGTGAGGGGAGCGAGGAAAGGCTCATGGCGAGGTGTGAGGATGGGATGGCAGACAGCGGCGCTTGCAGAAGGACGGCACTGTAGAACGGCTGTATGGCAGATACTCGTGTTCTGGGAAGAGGGAGATCTCGGTGATGGTTACTTGCTGAGAGCTGGGGCAGTTTCGTGGTGTCGCGGCTCGTTTGAAGGCTCCCGCTGCTCGCTTTGTGCTTCCCATCCTGGGGTACTATCGTACTGGTTCAGCAATGCCGGTGACGTGATTCGTTCAAGGGCCAAGCCGTTCAAGCGCAGTAGCAAACTTGGGATGCAGGGCTTGAACCCCCTGAAGTGTGAAGCGTGGAAGCCTGAGTAGCCCGTACAGCATAAAGTACAATGGATCTGTAACGATTCAGTGCTGCCGATAACCCATGGCCGTGTGTGGCATGTGTTACTGTACCGACCTGCTCTTGCAGAAGGTCAGACTGTTACCCGTCGAGTGCTTGCCATGCATCCGCATACCTGGGGCTTGCGCGTAGGGGAACAAAACTCGCAATCCACAGGGACATTCATTCGCTCTGAGACAGTAAGCTGGAGTAGGTTATAACCCCGCCGTGTCCGCTGTACACCCCCACGCCGTGTGCGCTGAAGTTCCGTGAATGGGTGGACTATCGGGGTTCCTCGCAGCCGTCCTTGCAAGTCTCGTCCCTGATACTCCTGAGATCTAGCAGGGCTTCAGCGTCAAGGCATGCACGCACATTCCGGTATGTGTACGGCATGAGACGTCTTCGCACTTAACTTTGTACTCAATCGCATTTTGCAAATTTTAATCACGGCCACACGCTTGGCACAAATGTTTGTTTAGTATTGGAAACGACATCCTTGTTAGACTGCCGACACCAACTCGTCTATGCGCTGAGCTGCCTTACTTCATTACAGCCAAATTCTATTACTCTTTTAAGGTCCATTACAGAAGGAGATCGTAACTTATCGGTAAGCGCAACTGCGCTTTCGTGTCCCTTTCTTTTCTGTCAGAAATGCCCTTCAGCTCAACTATTTACTTATAAATATTGTTGAACATACTGCCTCGGTCAGCAGGACCCTGCGATTGAGGGAGAAAGGAGTTTGCCCCGCTGCCGCCCTTGCGGCTTGGGATAGCCCTTGCCCAGCGGCTGGTGGGGCTTAACCAGCTAAGCCAGTTATATTAGTATCTCAGAGTACTTCAGGAACAATGGCAAACCGGCCAGAAGCCTGGAGGGTCCCTCCTCCGCCTGGGCGCCAGGAGGCACAGGACCTGGTCACGGACTCGGAGTCGGAGGAGTCAGAGGACGCCTCTGGATCGGATCAGGAGGAGCCAAGCTGGTAGGCATTTTAGGAGGCTTGCAGCGTGGAACTTTGTCCGATGCAGAACATGAACCTCTTCCTGGTGTCGGAACTCCCTTCAATATGCGAATTGCCTGCAGGATCTCATGGTTTTGCAGTCTCCGCGGGAATGAGTTTTTCTGCGAGGTGGACGAGGAGTACATAGAAGATGACTTCAACTTGTCGGGTCTCAGCTCGCAAGTCCCATACTACGAGTACGCCCTTGACATGATTCTTGACAACGAGCCCCCGCACGACGTCATGTTGACGGATCAGCAGCACGAGCTGCTAGAGAGCGCGGCAGAGATGTTGTATGGGCTCATACATGCGAGGTGCGATAATTTTACCAGCGTGCTATTGCTTCCGATGCGTAAGAAGCATGGGAGTGATGGCGGCGATTTGGCAACATCGCAGGTACATCGTCACGGCGCGGGGGTTGGCGTGTATGCTGGAAAAGTTTAAGAACTACGAGTTTGGCAGGTGCCCGCGCTTCTACTGTGAGGGGCAAGCCTGCCTACCCGTTGGCACGTCGGACGTGCCGGGCCAGTCCACTGTCAAGATTTTCTGCCCCAAATGCGAGGTGGGCATCCTGGTTGAGGGGTTCATGCCAGTTTTGGGTGGCATGCATGCGCTGATGTGCACCCGTATCTCATGCCTAGGGGCCCTAAACAATCAGGGTCACTCTGAGCGGGGCAGCTATACCGCATGCAGCCAAAGTTAGCGAATGCCTGGTCCGCTTCGGGCTAGTTGGGTGTTGGCGTGCTCGGGTACATGCTGTTTATAGCAGGCCGCCCTGCCATGTGTTTCGGACTACCACAGGACATCTTCTACCCGCGCTCGGAGTACCAGTGCAGCATTGACGGCGCCTACTTCGGCACGACTTTCCCTCACCTGCTGCTGATGACGTACCCCATGTACAGGTGCGTGCAGATATTGCATGCTGGCAACTGCGCACAGCAGGATTCGATTGACGCGGTTTCCCAGCCCCAGCATCGGCTAAACAGCCGCTGCTCATGTTGCACTGTGGGACCTGCCCGAAACATGTTTGGGCAGAAAAAGATGGCTACTGTGCCGGTAAACGGTGATTGTGTGCTTAACCCCTGTCGCCGCCTTTGCTATACCTAAACTTGCCTCAGGCCGCCCAAGAGCGCGGAGCAGTACGTGCCCCGCGTCTTCGGTTTCAAGCTGCACCCCACAGCATACGGCAACCGGGAGCCAGCGCCGCCGCGGAACAGCCAGCGCAGGATAGCAGCTCGGGAAACAGCCGCCAAGGATGGGCAGCAGCAGAAGCAGGAAGACGACAGCTTGTAGTCGAGCTGCTGAGACGAGGAGGGAAAAGCTGTGGGCAGTGGTGGAGGGGGATCGGGTCTTCTTGCCTTCCCAAAGCCAGGCGTCTTTGGCTGAACAAACTGTGGTGTCCCATGTGGGAGTGGGGCATGTAAGCATGCGCTAGGATGCGTGTGCTGGTGCGTTCATGCCCTTGCCTGGCTGTTTGTGTGTTAAGGTTTTAAAGGCGTATGGCTGGTGGCACTGCCGTGTGCACGGACATGCATATGTGTCGTTGGGGGGCACGACGGCCATGGCATAGGTGCTCTGGGCACTTGGGATTGTGCCTTGCCTTGCCTAACCGTTGGACACGAGGTCTGGCTTTATTACCGTGTTTTTTAACTCTTGTACCTGTGCTTGTGTGGTGCCACTGGCTGTGTACCTATTGGCAAGAAGCCTTAGCAGTCTGGGGTACTGGGTGTCAAAACACCCTTTCTTATGTGGGCCGTTTGGAGGGACATGCGTGTTTTCTGTTTGGCGTGCGACCGGAGAAGAAGCCCTGATTACCGTCATGCATGTCATAGGAGTGGAGGAATTGTACGTTTGCGTGTGGTGTCGCTCTGTTTGTCTTGTAAACCATGGTACGCTTGTGTTGCATCTATAGCATGTTTGTGCAGTCGTTTACGGTGCAAGCTGCCGTAACCAGCTGCTGAGCAGGCGTGCTTGCGTAGGACGTTTAGCCCATTGGCTTTACAAGCCCTTGTTGGGTGGCAGGCCACGTGCCAATCTTCACCCATTCAGTGGCTTTGTACGCTACCTAGTATAATTACTGCTGTGTCCTTGGGGTGAATACACTGTGTGGGTTGCTTTGCATGGAGCTGGGAGCCATGTCCGATTGGGAGGTATGTTGGGACGACTAGCATCATGCTTATCCGTGCCCCTGTCGGTTTCGGTGCGGACCTTCATTGCTGAGCGGTTGTGTGGGGCCCATGCAGTAGTAGGGAGGGAATGCCCCCGATGTAGGGAGGGAATACGTGGCGAAGGTCTCTTCGTTGCCGTAGCGAAGGTCTCGTCGTTACCATTCATCCCGTGCGAGTTGCGTCAAGGCCGCATATAGTATCAAAGGCGTCAAACGCAGCTCTTCAGCTCAAGCGCTGTGGCGTGCAGCCAAAATGCTTGGGCATTAGCAACCCCGGAAGAATTGCAGCACGGCTTAACGCAGCTTGCCTGCTATCATCAAGACTGTCCTCGCAGATGCGCACATGTGGGCAACTCCTGCGGTTCACTACCCTTTCTAGCCCACGCCCCACAGCATCCACGCAGCAACGCCATTTTGCCGCCGCTGCCCACACGCCACATCGTGGCCAGTTTTCTCAACACTGCAAAGCCGCCTCTTTACAAAACCCCTTGCTCACGACCCTACACTGCTTCTCATACTTACCACACTGCCACTCACAGCCTCTTACAGACACCGCCCCTACAGCACATGCACCCTAATGCTGATGCAGGCACCTGCTTGCCATTCTCCCCCCCCCCTTCACTGCAGCAGCTCCTGCATGGACTTGATGACGCGGAAGCCGTGTCCCTCCGGCACCGCCTTGTTGCCCGGCCGCTCCACCAGCACTGCCCGCCAGCCGGCCGCAGCAGCCGCCTGCGCCTCCGCCAGCACATCCGTTGCGAACAGGATGTCGGACGACACGTCGGTGCCCAACGAGAGGGCAATGTTGGAGTAGCTGGCCGCCTCCACCTTGGGTCCCGAGGTGGTGTCGAAGAAGCCGCAGAGGTAGGGCCGCAGGTCGCCAACCTGGGGGGGAGGGGCACATGAAGGTAGGTTCGTAATACACTGACAATGGTGGGCGGGCGGTGCGAGGGTAAAATATAGGTGTGAAGCCGCCCCCTATCAGGGGTATCAACCCGCCACACTAGAAACAAACCAAGAGCATGGCCTGAGCATAACCTAGCACTGCTACGGGACTATGGTCACAACCTCCTCCAAACCCACTCACCTTGGAGTAGCCAAAGAACAGGCGCTGCGCCTCCCGACTGCCCGAGGAGTAGATGTAGGTCTTGATGCCCGCGGCCCGCCACTCCACCAGCGCGTCCGGCACGTCCCGGAACAGCTCCGACTGCATGGCGCCGCTGCGGAAACCGGAGCGCCAGATGTGGCCCTGTGTTGGGAGCAGGAGGCAGGGGGGCTGTGAGAAAGGGAGAGAGACGGGAAGCAGCGGCGGGGGCCGGCGAGAGGGGAAGGTGGCCGAGGGCTCGCTGGGTAGCAGCTGCATGTGTAGTCCCCCCTTTGATGTCCCCTTCTCCTGATGACCTAGCCCAGGTGTGCTGCATATCCCATGCTTGCATCACCTCCTCTGAGTCAACGCGCGATCAAGTCGCCTAGGGCGAAACCAAGGGCGATCCAGGTAAAGCTTAAAAGCGCCACGTGACACCGCTCGCTCGCACCTGCAGATTCTTGAGCGCCGTCACCTTTCGGTCCGCCTGGATGGCCGCCTGCACCCACCCCTCCACCGCATCCACCACCTCCGCCTGGCTGGAGCCGGCAGGGGGAATGACGCTGACGCCCGGCACACCATCAGCCACGTCAGCATCCGCCTGCAACCCCGAGCGGGAGGGGTGGGAACGGGAGAGGTCAAGTCGGCGTCGGGGTACGGTGGCGGCGATCCATTCACGTACAATAATACCCCCGGGGCTCCCCCGGCGTTTCCTCCAGCTCCCTTTCCGATCCTTCCTCGCCACTGCCAAGTGCCAACCCGTCCGCTGAATTCCCCGCCCCCCAGTTTCCAGCTTGTGCGGAACATCCACCTAGTACGGTAACCGTCCCCGCTTCCCACCTGCTCCCGGATCAGCTGAATGTCCGCCTGCGTCTCCGGCTGCTGGAAGGTCGACTCCAGGAAGGCCCGGCAGTGCTGGCGCGCGTAGGGGAACATCACGTCCGCCACGAAGCTGATGGGAGCCACCGTGCCCTCGATGTCCAGCACGATGCAGCTGGGCAGGCTGTGGCAGGATGGGCGGGGGGGCATCGAAGACCATGGGAGGAGAAAGGAGCGGTGTGGCTAAGCAGGGGAGGTGAGAGGAGGGAGGGGTGAGACACAGCAGTTTGCCTTCCCTGCCTATTGTGTATAATATAGGTATAATTTGTACGACCAGCCGGATATGCACTGCCATCCCAAGCAACCCAAACCCCCCGCCCAACCGCGCAACCCCGCCGCAAGTACGGTACTCACGCCGCGCCATGCTTCGTCTTGGCCTTCTTCGCCGCAGGGCCCGCCTCCCCCTCGCTGTGCCCGTTAGCAGCTCCTACGTCCACCGGCGGGCGGCGGTAGTCGATGCCCATGGCGTTCATTCGCACCGCGGCCTCGAACAGATAGTCGTAGCACTCCGCCTGCGTCTTGGCGTGGATCCAGTCCTTGCCCCACACGTACACACCTGTGGGTATGGGCGCATGTGGGAAGGGCATGGGGATGGGGCAGCAGCAGGGGGACAGGGGGCAGGGTGAAGGAGAAGGGGCGCCAGAGGTCATGGGATGAGTAAGAGCTAAGAGGGCAAGGGGCGATGAGGTAACCGGATGACACCCCGCAGCTTACCGACAGTTGTGCCTGTTTATCGTTCCGACCCAGATGGCATACCGTCCGCAGGCCCCGCTACGGTACCCCTCCTCCCTGAGGTTGCGACGCATGGCAGGCACGAGGTACGCTCCTCTTCACAACCCAAATCCCCGACCTGTCCGACCCACCCCATCTCGACCCCCCACCTCACCGTGTCTGCGCACCAGCACCGCGTTCGCCTGTGGGTAGGCCGCAATGGCCGCCCGCAGTCGATCCGTCAGCTCGCACTCGCGTGCCGTGTTCTCGATGATGGGTACAACGCAGCGCCCGTAGAAGCCGTGGCCCTCAATGCCCTTCGGTGGAAGGTAAAGGGGGCAGGCTTAGGGATGGTGGAAACAAGAAGGCAAGCTGGGAAGGCGCCTAGCCAGCCACTACACGTTAATGTGGTATCTTAGGGGCCCTTCCTGGCTACCTCACTTGATGGCGTGTGTCCTACCTTAATCATCTCAACGTGTGTGATGACAAACTCGGAGGACGCGGGGTCAAGCATGGTCGCTAGCACCGAGTTCATGGAATGGCTGTGGATAACCGCGCCCGCACCACGCATCTCGTACGCCTGGTGAAAGGGGAGCCAAAAGGGGAGGGACATGTCAACTGGAGGGAATCTAGAGCTGATGAGGTTGCGCAGGGTTATGCAGTACTGGGAAGGCAGCGGGATGCGTAACAAGGATGGACACCTTGATGGACCCACCGCCATGAACAGCGGCGAGCATTCGCTGAGCTTGGGTGGCCTGTTAGGGGGCGGCTTGGCCGCAGGCGTGTGTATAATGTCGCCCTTGCCATCAAGGATGAACATGTCATCGGGCTGCATGCGCTCCTTCTGCACGCCCGAAGGTGCCATGACAATTTGCTCGCCGGCTTTCATGGAGATGCCACCTCCAGTGCCAGATACCCATCCTTGATCATAAAAGAGCCGGCAAAGCTCGCAAATTAGGGATTTGGCCTCATCAACGGAAATTGACATTCCTCCAACGCACGTTGGGAGACTACTTGCAGTCAACGAAAAATGTCTTGTGCTAAGGGTTTGAGGATGGCCTCTGTAAGGAACTTTACGCTCTAACCGCGATAGCAGGGCGACAGGCGATGATGGCGGCGATGTTTGAGGGCCGCGAGGCCAAGAAGCGATACAACGTAGGCCGCTCAGTAAACGACGCGCTAGGCTTGGATACATTAGCCTCTTTGGGTATGATTTTGGAAGCGACGCAATGAGTTCCAACCGCCGTACAAGCTAACAGATAGGAGCAGACCCAAGGCTGGAAGAGGGCAAGCCAAGCCGCACCGAACCATGGCCTTACCACCACGTGGTTAGAGCACAAACAACTGTCACCCACATCACATCGGTTATTGCTTATCTTTCGCGGCTGACCATCCATGCAGGGTTGTGCTTCCTGCCAAGAGACCGAGCTCCAGGGTCAAGTCTACTGGGAAAGCATGCAGTGCATCATTGTGGAAGGTAGTGAGGTTTGCATGTTTGCACATCACGCGAACAGAAGGAGTTATGCTTGTGGCTACACCGGTCCCATGGATGGTACCTTGTGTTTCTCACCTTGTGGTGCCAGGGGCGCTGTGGCGGGCAGGGTTGCACACCTGCAACCTAGGCCAGTAGGCGATTAGCTAGGGTTCTTCCACTACTGCACAATTTCCTGTTCCCTTGCATGCCTTCCCATCCACTCCCTGTCCACTTCCACCTGTCTTCCTTGCCGGTTTCGGGGGAGGTTCATTTCTGGACTACCTTGGAATTAAATGGGATTGAACGCCAACGTGAAGAGCGTAACAGCAGCGGCGGAACGGACGGTTGGCCTTTGTCGCAGTTCTTACGCATTCGAGATTGCGTTAGGGACAAGAAATGTACATCCACGACACGATATAAGAAGACGTTGAGTAGCTTTCCACCCACTATATGCTGCAAGCGCAGATATCCTAATATCCTAAATGTCGCGTGGACGTGCACCCCATCACTCGCCATGCAAAAAGCAACCTTAAAAGCTGCCATGCTATGCTTTGTCAGCGGCGCTATGCAGCGCTACGCAAGGAATACTGCAAAGCGATTGTGCGTGTCGCCCCCAGGAACAGTAGGCATGAACTCGCAGTTAGACAACAGACGCGTCTAATCGTCTTAACGCATTTAGTAACGGAAAGCCTTTAGTACTATCCAGGGCTATCCTAGACACGGAAAGCGCAAGAAAGCTGTACGGCAAAGTCCTGCGATCCAAAACACCCGACGCGTGCGTTAAGTAACAGCGTGGCTTCCTCCTGTTGGAAGGCAAGTAAGCAAAGATGTTCGCCATCGTTGGTGCCCCACAGCAGCGTCTGGCGCTCGGCGCCAAGCAAGCGACTTCGGGGCCTGCATCCTTTGTTCGCCCAGCACAGGCAGCTACCAATGCCAAAAGAAATGCATACAACATAGCTGATGCAACGCAGCACTGCGTACCAGCCCTTGCTGGCGTTCGGAGGTGGGGGTGTTGTAAGGATAACGATAAGACGAGTCAGCATGTCTAGGGCGCCAAGCCAAACGCCTGATTTGGGTCGGTCCCCCACATGCAGGTCTATTGTTTCTCGTCAAACGCGTCAGGTTCGGGCGGCAGCTGCTACCCAGGCGTCTTCGGGCGAGAAGTTCGATTATGATCTTGTCATCATCGGCTGTGGTGTGGGTGGTCACGGGGCTGCCTTGCACGCCGTCGAATGCGTAAGTCTAGGTTGCACTTGTGAAGACCTTCCTAGATGTTTTCGTTGTGCAAATTGCTACCGCCCGAGTCCTAACCCCAGTGTAACGCTCTCGCGCCTTCCTAAAGCGACGGTGGTGTTAAGTTTAATTCCATCCGCAGTTGCTGGGACGTCGTAAATTACAAAAATATACCTTCATTTATGTTGCAGCATGTAACTGACCTGTTTTTGCTATCCTAGGGATGTGGCACTCACTGGACAACACCCAGTTAGTCCTTCTCTGACTTGCCGTCCTTCCGCCTCACCGCAACAAAGGCCCACCACGACTGCACCCAAAGCGAGCGGCTATTTCCCGACAATTGCCTGTACCTGGGCTCCGTAGCATACACGTTACTAATCCGCGCACGTCCTCACATGTTTCCCCCAGGCTTACCCAACGCTCACAACCTTACCGCCTTTGCCACCTATACTCCCTGCCCCATCGCCACTACCCACACTAACCACCCCCCTACCACCCCACACCATTACCCCACACCCTAGCATCCGCGCATCCCCAGCATCCTTCTTTGTTCCCTTGCCAAACCTCGCTCCCTGCTCCCAGCCTCAACCCTCAACCTCCTGCCTCTCTCCTGCACCCTCCCTCACCCTCCCTCCCTCCCCCCTCCCTCACCCTCCCTCCCTCCCGCAGGGTCTCAAGGTGGCTGTGATCGAGGGCCACGACGTGGGCGGCACCTGCGTCAACCGCGGCTGCGTGCCCTCCAAGGCGCTGCTGGCCGCCTCGGGCCGGGTGCGCGAGATGCGCGACAAGGCCCACCTGGCAGCCATGGGAGTGCAGGTGGGGCTGGGGGGCAGGGCAGGGCAGGGGATGGGAGGGGCAGGGGATGTGTGTGTTCCAAGGAAAATGGCGGCCATCATGGGAGTGCAGGTGGGGCGGCGGGGCAGCAGGGCAGGCATGCGTGGTGCAGGGGAGGGCGCCTGAGGGAGCGGGGTATAGGTAAACTGAGCCGCGAGGAAACACTGACTGAGAGGGGTGGGGGGAGAAGAGGAAGAAGCTGTAGGTAAAGGTAAAAAGACGCCACCGTGTGGGAAGGCTTCACCCACTGTGGGGGCACGGGGTATGGGGCGGGTGGCCCCGGCGAGACGGATTCGTAGAGGAGAGTGATTCCAAGAACGTGCATAAGGCGGCGTGTGGTGGCTGCTTCCCATTATGCACACCCAAGTTTACAAATAAGCCGGTTCGTGCGCATGTTCACACACCTCCTCACCCTCACCTCCTCTCCCTCTCTCCCCCTCCCTCTCCCCCTCTCCTCCTCCTTCATTGCCGCTGCTGCTGCTCTGCCGCGCACAGGTGGGCGCAGTTGACTTCGACCGGCAGGGTATCGCCAACCACGCGCGCGACCTGGCCTCCACCATCCAGGGCAACCTGCGCCGCAGTCTGGAGGCGCTCGGAGTGGTGAGGCATGGGCCGGGGGGGGGGGAATTATATAAGAAATGCAAACAACTAAAGTCCCAATCCCATATCCCGACTCATGCAGTGAGTACGGGGGGGGGAGGAGGAGGAGGGTGGGGCAGGGGGGGGTCAGGGAGGGTATGGGTTGTGGCCCCTTGTGGAAGTGTGGAAAGGGGCAGCAAGGAACTAACCATGTGACAGGGACTAACCGTGAGCCGTAACCCTCCCTTCTCGCTGTTAACTTCTAGCTCTGTTGTTCCCCTCCCCCTCCCCCTCTCCCCCCAGGACATCCTGGTGGGGGCTGCCAAGCTGGCGGGCAACCAGCGAGTGCGCTACGGGCTGCCTGGGCGGGTGGATGTGGGCGGGGAAGTGAGCGCGAGGGACATCATCATCGCCACCGGCTCCGTGCCCTTCGTGCCGCCCGGTGAGGAGGGGGTGCAGGGGTGGGGTGAGGTTGGGAGAGGGGGGTGAAGAGCAGGGGGCGGAGAGGGTGAGGAGGGGGTGAGGGTTGAGAGGAGGCGAGGGATGGCAGGGAAGGGAAGAGGGTGTCTGCGGGTTCTCTTAATTGCATGAACGCTGTATCCCGGGGGCTACTTTACTCCTTTTTTCGTCCCGCCAGTGATTCACCTCTCAACCTTGTAAAACATGCACCCCCCCCCTGCCCACCACCCCCCCAGGCATCCCCATCGACGGCAAGACGGTGTTCACCTCCGACCACGCACTCAAGCTGGAGTGGCTGCCCTCCTGGCTGGCCATCATCGGGTCGGGCTACATCGGGCTGGAGTTCAGTGACGTGTACACCGCACTGGGCACCGAGGTGACGTTCATCGAGGTGAGGAAGGGAGGGGGAGGGGGGGAGAAAAGAAGAATCCCAAGGTGTTGAATGATGATAACGACAAACAAGCCGACGAGGGAGGGGGAGGAATAGAAGTAAGGAAAGGCTGTCGAGGCAACTGACGAGGTGAGGGAGGGGGAATGACGGGGGGCCGGGGGCGGGTTGCGTGTGGCGGGTAATACTCCCGGGGGGTGGCTTCCTCATCCCGCACCTGTCCCAAGGAGGGGGGATCAGGCGTCGATCTGCCGCCTCCACCTCCCGCCCCTCACAGCCTTGCCACCGTCGTTATGGTACCCACCTGCCCGTGCCGTACTCTCCTCCCCCACCCCCCACTCCCTCACCTTTCCCCCTGCAGGCTGTCGACAACCTGATGCCGGGTTTCGACCGAGAGATCGCCCGGCTGGCTCAGCGGCTGCTCATCCAGGGCCGACCCATCGACTACCACACCGGGGTGATTGCCAGCAAGGTCACGCCAGGGGTGCCGGGTAGGTGGGGGCTGGCGGGGTGGGGGCACGTGGGGAGCGCATGCGTGGGGGGATAAAAAATATATATATGCGTGGGGGGAGGGGGGCTGCGGTGGGTGGGGGTTTGTACCCCGTACCGTCCTCCCTTCGGCCTTGGCTTTGGGTCCCTTCGGCCCTAGAATTGGGGTATTACAGTGCTTAGCCGTTCCTTCTTTTTCTTAACCGTTACCCTGTCTCCCTCTCCTGCCTCTGCCCCCAGGCGTGAAGCCCGTTGTGATCGAGCTGACGGACTTCAAGACCAAGCAGCTAGTGGACACGCTGGAGGTGGATGCGGTGCTGGTGGCCACCGGCCGGGCGCCCTACACCAACGGACTCAACCTGGCCGCGCTGGGGGCGGCCACTGACAGGCGCGGGTTCGTGCCCGTGAACGACAAGATGCAGGTGTGTGTGGGGAATAAGTGATAAGTGCAGGGATGACAAGTGGGGGGGAGGTGGGGAGGGATGGAGAAAGAAACTATACAACCGTGTGATAGAAAGAAATGAAGTACGGTAACGTCGTGTGACAGGACCATCCACCTTCACCTCCTCGCCCACTCCTCTTCCCCCACCCACCCCCCAGGTCCTGGACACCAAGGGTGCTGTCGTACCGCACGTGTACTGCATCGGCGACGCCAACGGCAAGTACATGCTGGCCCACGCAGCCAGCGCGCAGGGCATCAGCGCGGTGGAGAACATATGCGGGCGGCCGCACGTGCTGAACCACCTGTCCGTACCCGCCGCCTGCTTCACACACCCGGAGGTGTCGTTTGTGGGCGTGACGCAGGTAGGGGGAGGCAGATGCCGTAACCCCCTGCAGGTGCCGTACGCGCCTGCATGTGCTGTACCTTGCGGTGCCGTACCCCCTGCATGCGCCGTAACCTTGGCTGTCCCTAACCTGCGGTCCTTCTGCCTGGTGCCGGGTTTACTGCTGTGAAGACGGCGCGCAGTATGTGGCTGTCCTCTCACCTCCTCGGGGTCGCATGCAGCCCTCCTCCCGGCCCCCCGAAAGAACCCACATGCCCCTCCGCCACCCCAATCGGGACCTGGGGACTCTGCTTCACTTCTTCTTTCTTTTACTCCCCCACCTCCTGCCCCTACCTCCTGCCCCCCCCCTAACAGGAGAAGGCGGAGGAAATGGCCCGGGAACAGGGCTTCAAGCTGGGCATCTCCAAGACCTCCTTCAAGGGGAACAGCAAGGTACGGATGTTGACAAGCGATGACAAGCAACATGGGCCTACACCGCAATATGTTTGTTGCTCATGTACGGTATATCCTATGCGATGTCTCCCAACTCTGCTAGCTGTCTAACTCCCCATGCAAGCACGACACGACACGACACGTCACTCCCCACCTTGTACCGTACCAATACCAGGCTCTTGCCGAGAAGGAGGGTGACGGTATGGCCAAGCTGCTGTACCGCAAAGACAGCGGGGAGATCCTGGGGGTGCACATCATCGGGCTGCACGCGGCGGACCTCATCCACGAGGCATCCAACGCCATCGCAACCGGGCAGCGATTGCAGGTGGGGGTGGGGGAAGGGGGTGGGGGAAAAGAAGAATAATACCCTATGTGTTGAATGAGAATGGCAAACCAGACAACAAGCTCATTGCGAATGAAATTAGAGGGGGATGGCGGCTGCTGGATGCTGGCCGGGTCTGGACGAGCATGGCGGGTCCCCCCTCCTTCTCCTTCTGCTCGTCCTAACCCATTCCCCAAACCCCAAACCCAATGCGGGGGTATCCTAACCCTAAACTCCACCTTTCTAACCCTAACCAATTTTCCTAACCCACTCACCTCCCTAACCCCCTCCCCACCCCTCCCTCTTTCAGGACATCAAGTTCAACGTGCACGCACACCCCACGCTGTCTGAGGTGCTGGACGAGCTGTTCAAGGGGGCGCACGTGGACGCACCCGCCGCCTCCTCATCCGCCTCCGCTGCTGCTGCTGACAAGGGCCGCGCACCCGCTGCCGCCGCCACCGCTGCTCCCGCGGCTAAGAAGCCAGCCGTGGCCGCCGCCTGACGGGACACGCCTCCAGCGGTGGCTGCACCCGCCGCCGCCGTCGCTGCCGCGTCCGCTGCTCCTGTAGCGGCGCCGGAAACCGCCGCCGCCGCCGCCGCTGTCGCGGCGACGGCAGCAACCGGCGGTGACGGAGGTAGCGGCGGCGGTGGCGGTGGCGGTGATGTTGCAGAGCGCGAGCAGGATGTGTACGGCAGGGGCTTTCGCCGCTTGGAGGCGTCGAGCAGTGGCTGTACGACAGAAGGGGACACTGACGAGGGTGGCGGGGTTGTTGATATATCAGTTGGAGAAGAGAAGGAGGAGCTCGAAGGATTGCATGAGAGCAGTACGAACAGCAGTTGTAACAATAGCAGTAGCGAGAGAGGGAGAGAGAAACCAGAGAAAATACCATTGGTGGCGGCAGATGGAGAGCGCGGGGCGGCAACGGCAGGCGAGGGAGGAGGAATGGGTGTTGACGTGGCGGCGCCGCTACCTCCTCCGGAACCACCGTCGTCGGCGGCGGCAGGGCAGCAGGAGGCCTCCCTTGGCGGCAGCACGGAGGGATGCGGCGCCTCTGCATGCGACAACAAGCCAAGAGACTGGCTTGGGCTTGAGACGGCGGCTGCGGTGCCCTCCGTGATCCAAGACGACGGTATGCAACAACAGCAGCCGCAGCTGGTGGCGGCAGGCATGGCGGAGTCGCCGTCGTCGCTGCCGCCAACGGCAGCAACCCTAGCAGCCGAGGATACCGTCAAAGGCTCGGCTGATCAGCCACACGCCGCAGCTGCCACCGAGACCGAGGCCGAGCCGGTGCAGGAGCAGGAGCCGCGGCCCTCACGTCCGGTGCAAGCGGGGCTGCCTGTGCGGGTTCGACCGGTGGGCTTGACACAAGTCGGTGGTGGCGGCGACGGCAGCGGCAGCGGAGGAGGCATCCAACAAGGGGCGCATGAGGAGGCTGCGGCGGCAGTTCACACCAGCAGCAGCACCGTCGTGGCCCGGGGAAAGGAGGTTGAGGGTGAGGGGCGGGGGAATAAAGGAGGAGGTGCCCAGGGGGAGATCCCGGAGGGGGGCGCTGCGGACTCGGTGCGGTGGGTGCAGCAGGGCGGCGGTGCAGCTGCTGTCGCCTGCGGTGCTGACACGGCACTGGGACCTGCTGGCGAGGAGCCGCCTGCCGCTGCTAGCGCTGCTGCTGCTGCCGCCCTGGCTGGTGCTGCTGCTGCGGCTGATGGCGTTGCTGCGGCTGATGGCGTTGGCGATGCCGGCACAGCACCGGGTGATGTCCAGCTGGCCGACCCAGTATACACTTCCCCGCCGTCCGCTCCTCATCCGCAGACTTCTGATAGTCCTGAAGGTGGCGACTCGGGGCCGGAGCCGTCTGCGGTGGAGGCAGGTGCTCCTGGCCTTGATGATGCTGCGACCGTTGCGGCGGAGGAGGTGGAGGAGGGTGTGGAAGCCGGAGGCGCTGGAGCAGGCGCAGGTGTTGCTGTGACTGGGGTTGATGCATGCGTGGGGGCAGTTGACGTTGTGGGGGCTTCCGGTGATGCTGCTGGGCTGGCTGCTGCCGTCGCTGGCAACGGGGATGCGGCTAGGTCCAGGGGGATTGAAGGTGCTGGGGGAAAGCAGCAGCCGGAAGGTTTAATAAAGGGTGGCACAGTTGCAGGCGTTGCTGAGGCGTTGTGGCTGGTGTCGAAGGCGTTTGTAGATATGGCAAAGCGGTTCCAGGGACGGCGGTAGAGTTCTTTTTATTCGGAGTCTGGTGGGTAGTCCCTAGCTACCCTATGTCGTACGTGTGGGATTCGCTGATTAAATTCGTACTTCCTCGTATCACTAAGACTGTTGGTATCGCTGTATAAGATCGGAGAACTGTCAAGCGTGTGTTGCTTGTCGCTGTCGAGCCATGTTGACATCCCTCCAAGGGGCGCACACAAAAGAGGTAAAAAAAATACGCAACGGGAAGACATTATCTACCTGTAAAACAAGTGTAACGTCGACTGAATGATGGTTCCGTTTTCTCGCGACTGATCTAGCAATGACCGCATGGCTAAAGCTCGTCTGTGCGCTTCAGTGGCGTACATTCAGCAGTGTACATGGAGGCCACGATACAGCTCTGAGTAAGTGAATACTGTTTCCTTATGAACGTCAGCGTCGGCGTGAATGGTTGACAAGACGGATTGCCATGTATACGATGGTCCATGCGAGCTTGCGAGGGTCTGTCGACTCGGGCCGCAGCGCTGCGGTAAGGCATTGTCATGAAACGCCCGCAAATGCTGCGCTACACGAAAAAGATTGAGAAAAGGTGCTCCCAGGGTTGGATGTTGTCCATACTGGGACATGGCATTGGTTCCTGTTGGCTGGGACATGGCATTGGTTCCTGTTGGTCCACGAAATAACAAAATGGTTGACGCACTGTCGGACCAAGGGGACCAAGACGGCCCTTACTTGGATTGGCTGCACTGTTGCAAATCTGTTGTATGTACGGTACTTACGAATGCCGTAGATCGGCTCCGGTTCCCGCTGCACAATGCCATGCCGCGCATTGAGCCGGGACGGCATTCCCCGTTGCTCCATAATGCCACAAAATTGCAAAATGCAACTAGGACCAAGCAAAAGCCGCTGTCCACAGGATTCGAACCTGCGCGGGAAAACCCAGTGGATTTCAAGTCCACCCCCTTAACCACTCGGGCAAGACAGCTTGTCTTATGCTTTGCCTATAAGTAATATAAAGTATGGAAACAAGCAACGCCTGCCAAGCCTGGCAGGCCTACACCTACACACTTATTGCTGATTCACTGCTTGCTGACCACAGACTGACTTCTGGCCAGCCTGTGGCCCGTGGGCCCCTGCCTCTTACCGACACCAAGAGCACGCATATAGACTGCAACTCTGTGGACTGTATCTGGTTGCAGTGGGAAACAGCTCGGGCGCTTGACTTCGTTTCCGCGGGACGTAGGACGCGACTATGCCATGGATAGCCGAAGGTAAGCCAAAGCCCCCGGCTGCTGGCCTCTTGGACGACAAGGGGGCAGATGCCAGGCACTTGCGCCTGCACGCAACACAGGGCTAGGAGCCCTGAACCTTTCCCTGCTGTCATGCCGGGGGTATAATCGAGTGTCTCAAAGAGCCACATCTTGATGCCTGACGTGGCTTGCCCGCTTGGCCGTACTGTACGGCACCGTCTTACTACTAGCCGTACCTACTATGGACAGCACCGCGCAATCGTTATGCGACTTCAGTTTTGTAAGCTAATTTATTGGTTCGATACGGTCCGCGAATTCTCGTCAAAGCCGTAACTTCGAGAAGGCCGCGACCAATACTGCATCGGCAGCCCGAAAGGCAATGAAGTGCTCTTCCTGTAATCATAGCGTCATTTCCTAGACCTCAACGCTGTTATTCTCGATCTCCACAGCAATGGATTTCAGCGATTCCGAATTGCGCGATGGTTTCGCGGTACGCCATGCGCCCGGCAAAGGCCGCCACCTCATCGCAGCGCGCTCCTTCTCACCTGGCGCCGTTATCCTACAGCAAGCACCCTACGCTGCAGTCCTAACCGACAATCATACGCCAGGCTATTGCGACTACTGCTTCCGCTACTGCGAGCGGCCGCTGCGATGCAGCCGCTCCAAGCTAGCTCGTTACTGCTGCAAGGAGCACCAGCGAGCGGCCTGGGTGGCGGGATACAAGACGGAGTGCGAGGCGTTGGTGCGCTGCGCTCCCCGCGTTCCGCCGCCCACAGTACGTCTTGCAGCGCGTATCCTATGGCGCCGCGCGAGGTGGGTTGGGCACAGTGCACTGGTGTTAACGGTAGTGGAAAGAATGATGGTCTGGTAGGGAGTGGGCGAGGTGTTACATTCCACAGGTTCGGCAGCCCTGGATGGGGTTTAGCACAACCCAAGCCAACATAAACACAGAAAAAGTCCCGACAAGACACGTCATTCCAATGACCTCCAGACCTCCTCTGCCCTGCCTCTGCCATGCCCTTGTCCCGCCTCAACATGCAGGGCGCTAGCACACCAACAGCAGCAACCCCAACAACAACAACAACAACAACAACGCGAGCAGCAGCAGCAGCATCCCTCCAGCGTCCCCAGCCCTTCCTCCTCAGCCCTCCCGCAGCAGCTGCCGCCGCCTCACGTGCACCACCAGGCCCCCCTGGACTCCGAGCATGAGGCGCTGTGGCTGCTGGAGCATCACTGGGATCAGCTGGACGACCGGCGCAAGAGCATGTTTGCGCAAATGGCGGTGGTCACATGGTGGGGGCGGGGAGTGGGTTGCATGGGCGGTGATTGGAGTGGCTGGGCTGCTGGGTAGGTGAAGCGCGATAGGGTAGAGTACAACGGGGTGTGTTGGCTGACAGTATTGGCCAGTCAAAGTTGATGTTCATGTCCACCGCATGCACCCGCAAAGCTACGACTGCTCCTGCCTATAAACCCATCACACGTGCTCGCTATCCCCACCACCTACCCCCTCTTCTCCTCCTTCTCCCCATTCCTCCCCCCCGCAGGCAGTACATGTACGGCTCCCCAGACGGCTGCTGCCCCACCCCCGATGACCCCGACGACAACAGCACCAACACCCCCAACAACACCTCCACCACACCTCTCACTGCTGGCGCCACTGCCGCCGCCGCTGCTGCCGCTGCTGCCGCACCCTCCGCCGCCGCTGCTGCCGCACCCACCGCACCCCCCGCCGCTGCTGCCTGGCCGGGCTTCCGTTCTGTCGCCCAGCTGCTGGCGCGTCTGTCGTGCAACTGCCACAGCGTGTGCGAGCAGGAGCTGCGGCCGGTGGGGCTGGCGCTGTACCCCACGGGGGCGCTGGTGAACCACAGCTGCCGACCCAGCGCCGTACAGGGCTTCCGGGGGAGCAGCCTGGTGCTCAGGTGGGGCTGCGGGGGGTGGGACGGGTGGGCGGGTGAGCGGAAAGGGGTAAAAATAAGGAAACCTGACTGAAAGGGGTGGGGGTCACCGGGTCATTGCACGTCATTTACACGCACAGACGTCAGTCGTGTTGGGTATATGCGCGACTTGCCGGCGTCCTGTCAGCTACCGTATTCCCCCTCTACATACCTACCATCATAGCATACCATCTTGGCTGCCTCCGCCCCGCTCCCACCCACCCCTTGCAGGGCCCTGCGGCCGCTAGCCCCGGGCGATGAGATCACCATCTCCTACACCGAGCTAGCCGCCACGCGCCAAGAGCGGCGGGAGACGCTGGCTGACTCGTACTTCTTTGACATCAACGCTAGCGCTGCTGCCGTACCACCTCCTGCCGTACAGCCGTCTGCTGCCGTACTGCTGCCGCCGGTCGCTGTTGCCTCGGCGAGGCTAACAACAACACCCGCAGCAGCGACGGGAGCAGCTGCAAGGGACGCCAGGGGGCCTTCGGGCATGGAGGTTGATGGCGGTGCAAACCGAGGCGGCGGCAGCGGCAGCGGCAGCGGCAGCGGCAGCGGCAGCGGCAGCTGTGATGACGCCTTAGTAAGGCCTTCCACGGCTTCTGGCAGTCAGCACGCAAGCGGCAGCGAGACCAGCAGCAGTTCCCCCGCAGGCCCGCTTGTCGTACGGCCGCCGCCTCTGCTGACGCTGGATTTGGCGCCTCATGCGCAGCTGCTGCTGTACTCTCCCTCCTCAGAAGCACCGCCCTGGCCTGTGGATGCGGATGTGGACGGGGAACTAACGAGGGTCTTACTCTTTCCTTCGGGATACACCGCCCCCGGTACGGTAACGTTGGCGGCAGGCAGCGTTAGTAACGGCGGTAGCAGCAGCAGCAGCGGTGGGGGCAGCAGCGGGGTGGTAGTACTGGGTGGGTTGCAAGCGCGGCTGGTGCCGAGGCGTCCCAACGAACCAGAGGAGGAGGAAGAGGCAGAGGAGGCGGATAGTGGGGATGATGAGTTGGCGGAGGCGGAGGTGGCGGCGGAACAGGGGTTGCGGGACAGCATGGATTTGGATGCGGTGCCAGCTGCGGGCCGTGAGAAGGTCGCACAAGAGGGGCCGCAGCAGCAGCAGCAGCAGCCCCAGCGCACCACCAACCCGCAAAGCTGCGGGGCTCTCAGCGCGGGCACATCCCGCTCGCCCCGGCTGCAGCTGCCATCAGCAGGTGCTGCGGGTGCTGCGGGTGCTGGGGGCAAGGGGCCACGCATCGAGGTTCTTGCCTGGGGCCCCTGGGTGGCGGATCTGTTGCGGGTGTACGAAAAGAGAGCCGGTGCCGTACATGTTACCGAAGCAGCGGCAGGAGCAACGGAAGCCTCGTCAGCGGCCGCAGCCCAGCAGATGGGGTCTCTGCAGGAGCAGCAGCAGGCCGAGCTGGCAGCCGCTGCGGCGGGTGCGGCGGATGCAGCAATTCAACCTCAATCTCAACCCCAACACCCGGCCCCGCCGCATGCCGCGGTGGCGAGCCTGCTGCGGCGCTGCGTGCGGGCGCTGCAGCTGTCACACCAGGCGGCTTCGGAAAGCGGTGACGGAAACCATGGGGAGGTGAGAAAGCTGTGCCTGCCAGCCATGCTTCTCAGCTTTTTACGTTGTTAGGAGAGTTATCTAGTACGGAACACCTTGCGTTAGCCTTACCATGTCCGATGTCCCCTCCTTGCAGGCCGTCGCGTTGTTGCGTCAAGCACTTCAGCTCCTGCACCCACCCTCGCCAGCCGCAACCCACGAGCCGCCTTCAACCAACCCCGACTGCGTACCCTCCCTGGTTCTCGGCCCCAACCACATCCTGTCCACCCGGCTGCGAGCACAACTGCTCAAGGCCGCCATAGATTCCGCGAGCAACAACAGCAGCAGCAACAGCAACAACAACGCTAACAGCAGTACTAGCAGCAGCATGGACGGCGAACCGGCCGAGGCTGCCTGGCACATCGCGCTGCAGGCTGCTCGTGAGCTGGTATCGCCGTACATGCTGGTCTACCCGCACCCTGCATGGCCCAACCTCAGCCTGCATTTCGCAACGCTCGCGAAACTGGAATCTTGGCTGGGCCGACCGCGTAGGGCCCTCATGGCGGCCGCTAGAGCGCTTGAGGGGCTGAGGCTGACGCATGATAGCAGCAGCAGCAGCAGCGAAGGAGGAGGGGGAGGGGGAGGAGGAGAGGGAGTGGTTGCGCAGGTGGTGCGGTTAGCGAGGGAGGCGGAGGCGGAGGTGCAGGCGGGAGGAATGGCAGGGGGGCAGTGGCCGGGTGGGGGTGGAGGTGGAGACTCTGATGAGGAGTATTAGGAGTAATGGGTGGTTGCAACGATGCACGGAGAGGGTGTGATGGATGGACTCATGAGTGGAGGGTCGAGGGGGACTGCCTGCATGGAGAATTGGGCGAAGGAGGACAAGATGGGGTTAGGGACGGCACTGTTTGGCGGGTGCTCATGTTGCTAAGGTGGCCATGCGGGCAACATCGTGTTGTCGTGTGCCTATGGCGCTCCCTGGAACGGAGCCCTCTTTTCCCCTCCCAAGCACGCATAACAGACGTACGCGGCAAGCAGGCTGACGTACAAAAGGTTACATCAATGACAGTAAAAGCTTGGTGCTCAATGGCCCCAGGGAATAGCCACGTTTCGACCGAGGGGTTGTGTTCGACCTCGGTCATGAAGATTGAAAGCAGGAGAAATACAAATAACATGGACCCGCCGATGAAGCTGTAACACACAGGATACATGAATACCTTCAAACCACTACCTACATACAACGGTAAAAGCCACACGCACTTGCGGCAATACTAACTATTCACGCGCCCGTTCGGGGAGGGATGCCTCACCACATGGCCCGTGGGTCGCAAGGTTTTGACAGCCTTGGCTTCCATCTCAGTAACGTCAAGCACATCGTCACGAGAAGGATTGTTCTGCCCGGATGAATGCACCAATCCAAGTATCCAACACTCACCGGGGCCCCTACTCTTGCACTGTGCCGCATTTGTCCATCTACGGGTACTCCCCAAACACCGCTCAAACCTGCATCGCAGCGCTTGCTGGTATCCTGCATCACACCCAAGAAACCGACACCCGGAAAGCCGTTTGCGACGACGAACCGGTAAGGGACCGCACGTCGCCACATGCCGACCAGTTCCCGTATGCAGCTGTAGCCCTCCGTAGAACACAAACTTGCATGAATACCTACTTATCCTGAGAACCATCGCCCTCACCATCCTGCTGCAGCTTGCAGCGTGCAAGTGGCAGGAGAAAGAAGCACACAGCGACCCTACTATATCCCTAGCACATACATGAACATACAACACAGTCACCATTGGGTACAAAGCACAGTCACCCACTCCTGCTCATAAAGACTTTCCTGACCATAACCTGAGGATTGGAATCGCGGCATCACCATAAATAACCAGGCGAACACATCTGTATACACCCCCTGCTCCAATTCCCCATCACAGCATGGGAGCGAGCGGACGGGACGACCTACGCACTGCTCCACCGGCTGGCGTCCTTCTTCAAGAGCCCTCCCACAAAACCCGCATCCAAACGCTGACTGTGCACCCCTCTCACGCAATGATGCAGTGCTTAGTTAGCCACCCAATCGCCCCCAGGACGCTACGCAACCGTGGCTGGTCGCCGGCTGTAGTCTTTGTGCTCGGATTGGTAAATGGTGCGCCACTGCCGCACGTGCGGGTTGGTTGCGACCAGCTCATCGCGGATCTTCAGCGTCCGGTCGCTCTCGTAAATCAGAGGCTTGTTCCGGAGCAGGATCTGTGACCGCGGGTCTGCATGGGCAAAGCGGCAGTGGGAGTTGGAGCATTGCGTGCGTCAGAGACGAGCCGCAGCCAGAACGGTCCTCATGAGACGTATGGAGTATGACCGTTGGGTGGAATGCCGTGCGCACAAGTTACGCAGCGTGGCAGCTGTGTTGCCCTTTGGGGTACTTCCAGTACCGCACCTTCCGATGGACACCGCCGCTGGAACTCCAAGGGCTCCTTACGCATGGTGCTGTGGGTGATGGTGTCGTGCTCGCTAGGCGCCGCGGTGCCCACCCAGAAGTTGCCCCTGCAGGCGGAATACAGGTTGGACACAGGTGAGCAGCCGCGTTACGAAGCAATTCAAGCCGTTTTAGGTAACGATATGCTGTCTTATAAGCCAGCTACCACTATATGCAACTATGGCAGCCTCGTTTTAGCCCGGTGACTGGTTTAGTACCCAGCTCTTTGTCGACTAAAGCGTTAGCGCTTTCAGCAATTGCCGACCCATGGGTCACATGCCGCTTACTTCTTCGTGTCGACGGTGTGATCCTGGAAGGGCGTGCCTCCGAAACCGTCCTTAACGTAGAATATGTGTTCACCGCTGGTTTCGTACGCTTTGCTGGGGAAAATGGGGTCGGCAATGCCGGTAGGGCCCATGCGCGCCAGGCCCTGGAAACGCGACGCTGAGTTGTAGGTGGATGTCACCCGGTGTACATACTCGTCAGAGCTGGGCTTGAACCGCGCGCTGTACTCGGTGTCGAAGCGATTCGAGTGGCGAATCTCCTTGGGCAAAAAGCCTGCCAGGGAGACGAGGAAGGGTCGCTCTTGTGGACAAGGGAAAGCAGTGCAGCGTGTACAACGCCAGCGGGCCGCAATGCGTAGGGTACATGACAGGCTGCAGCTGGCGGCGTGAACAGCACGACGTTCTGGCTACCATACGGTGTCATGCGCTGTACGCAGGCTGGCTTGGGCTTCTGTGTAGTGCACGCTCGGTACTGCATCTCTGCTTCCAAAACAGTTCACGCTTACCCGACTTGTAGTTCTTGTCGCGGCGCTCCTGCACCCAGTTGTTGATGCAGACCTCATCGTTGTACTTGGGGCCGCCGTCGTACGGCGTGCTGCTTACGTAATCGGTGTCCCGTTTGTATCTGACGTACAAACGGAGGGCAACAAAACGGAGGGCGGCAGCATGCACACTGGTCACCAGGTGTGTGCAATTCGCTATGCTTCACAATGTGAAACCAAACGCTACCCAAGGCCTGAAACGTGGAAGACCTCGTTGCCGAACCGCTCGGAGGGGCAGATGCTGAGTAGTGGCAGTGATTGTGCCATCTTCGCATCAGGCATGGGTGCATGGCCCGTCAGGAGGCCTTTCCAGTATGCTACTTCACGCAGCATAGCCACGCAGCAGTGACGTGCGGTACATCGCATGGCAAGACACCTACGGCACTAGGGGATGCAGTCGCCCGCTTCCTAAGGGCTTTCTTTTCCAGGCTTGGGCACTAAGCACTGAGCAGCACATGGATAGCCCTATGGTATGGATAGAAGTGTTGCCTCACCTCAGCTAATCGACTCGTACTCGTACTCTTTCAGCCAACTGCCTTACCTGAGGATGTTTACGTTGATCCTTGCCCCACCGTCCGGGACGTTCGTGGGTAGGGACCGCCGGGTGCCCGCAATAGCTGCCCAGTCCTGCACCTTGGGATCCTGCAGCAGCCTTGTGTGGTCGAGTGGACGACTCCGCGCGCGGTATGTTGAGACCTGGGACATATAGCTGAATCGTAGCATGGGAAGGAGCATTTGCGATGGCCACATGTCAATACCCCAAAGGCAGGGCAGTAACTGGCAGGGCTGTTCATAGGTCTAGATGTGCGCTTATTCAGCTGTCCACAAACAGCATTGCATAGTGCATACAGCATACTATACAGCCAGGGAAAGATAGCAGAAGTTTTGCTTCCCAAGCAACAGTCGACTGTAGGTAGGGCGAAGCGTTTAACTTACGGTGAAACAGATTGCTCCGAGCTATTTCGCACAATCGAGTCGATTCGAGCTCTTTCATCTCGTACCGCGTTGGTGGCTGTGGGAAGGCAAACAATAGGGGTTGAAAAGAAAGCCGTCCATGCCAACGGCGTCCACTAAGCAATGGCGCCGAAGTCCGCAAGGTATAGTAAGGATAGGGATAACACGCTGTGTCATGAAAACAAGCTTGCAAAGGAAAATGCGTCCCTATCCTCGAGTCCACCAATGATACAGAAACTAAGAAGCATATCCCATATTGATAACAAACAAGACGGTCGAGTAACGCCATACCACGTAAGTTTTCCTTTGCGTCCGCCATGTTGCTGGTTGTCATTTAGAGGAAATGATGGCAAGGCGATGGCAAGCTCTCTTAAGCCCTCAGGAAGACTCGATGCCTAACTATGGCTAAGACATAAACATCGTTTTCGACATGTTCCTTATAGGCCCTTCGACGATCATCTAAGGCCAGGACGGACAACTCCGAAACCGCTGAAAACGTTAATAAATGATAAAGCGTGCACGCACATACGCATGTACATGCAACAACTTAGATTCTGTTCAGGTTATAATGCACTACCTTTCACAGGGGGCTTGCAGTAACACAGAGAGGCGGACTCTTCCCCTATATGCGATGGCAAGCCCGAGTCCTTCCGCTGGCTTCGGCAGGCTCATAGAAGCAAATCAATTTACTCCCCTGCCCGGCCATGTGCTCTGTTGAACTTGACTGATGGGGTCCAGTCGTCCACGCCGTTGGCTTACCTGAAACGGGAAGGCGGGCGGGAGAGGCGGAGATCAATACTAAGCTGTGCACCCAACTCGAGTCCAGCATAAACAAGATAGATGACGGCTTCGTCACTAGAAGGCGCATGTCTGTGCTTAGTTACAAGGGAATTGCCGAAAACACAAAGCCGTGCCCGTGATGTATCAGTTGTTACCCCCCTTTGGCGGGCTCTCTCCGCCCTTGGCCATGTCTTTGCTGTACATGACGACCGCCACAACCATTGTTAACATCATGTGGGGGACTGTACCTTTCCTTTCCGCGACGGCAGCCCTTCATACAGACTTCATAACAGGTTTCAAACTTGGTGTCGATGCCACAACAATGCCTCACCCCCGTACCTACGCGCTGCGTGGCTCAGCTATAGGGATGGGTGAGGCAGTCAATGAATAATAACACCACTTCGCTTAGGAGCACCCCGTCTTTACGTGTCGTCCGCGAACTCCCGGCAACGCACGGGTTGTACTGGGTATGGACAACGTCTACCCGCAGCCCCACGAGTAAAATTACTGCGGTAGTTGGAAGGGGCGTGAAGGGTCCAGGTCCTAGATGCAAGGTACGGGGACGTGTCGTATTTATGCTGGGAGCCGCCATGTCCCTTTAACATAGCCAACGGCATATTTGTACGTATAACCTTGCTACTATTACTTGTCACGCCACATGCCAAAGACAGCAATATGGGGCTTAAGGAGGCTTGGGCAAGCATGGGCAAATGGGAACGTTACTCCGCCATACTAGGTGGCGTCCTAATTGCTGCAGCTGCGGGCATGTATGTAAGTATGATTGCATAAAAATGCTTCCCGCAAGTATGAATGTTACGGTATGTTGCAAGCTGAGTTCCTGGTCTGCAGATTGACACCGAGTTCATCAGGCCGGAGCATTATAGAACATTGTGGCAGGAGGAAAAGGATAGGAAGTGGGCTAAGGACGTGCACGACCTCCTCCGTCCGCCGACAAAGAGCTGAAGAGAAGCAAGGGGTACGACGCCGGGCGTGCCATGATGTTCGCCTATCTTAGACTCATGTGCGCGCTGTTAACTGTTTCCATTCAGATCACCTGTCGTCTTGAGCGGGAGCCTGTCCAGTTCCCAAACTTGGCGCCTAGGACTTCCACGTCACGAAGGGAACCTCGACATAGCGCGTTACTGCTCTACTGGTGGTAGCGAAAATGCTTCAGGGAAAGACGTGTGTGATCTCTGCGCCTGCGAGGCGTCGTTGTATCGGTACCTGCCCCATGCGCCGAGGCGCGCTCGTCGTCGTGGCGTATCAAAAGCTACAAAAGCGCCTCAAGTACTCAGGCGGACAGAAACGAGACTCACCGCTCGTGGTCACGGTCGCGCCAGATGGCAGCAACGCCTGGCGGTTGAATGAGGTCGTCGACATGTTAAAGGATGGCGCAGTTGGGGTCATCCCCACGGACACTCTCCCGGCTATCGTGTGTGATCTGCACAATAAAGACGCCGTTCTGCGGATGTATACCGTTAAGGAGATGGATGCAAAGAAGCCCCTGTCAATCCTGTGCCCAAACCTCTCGTCAGTTACCCAGTACACGACGGGCTTCCCAACCTCCAACACGCCTGGCGAGCCCAACTGGTTTAACGTTGTTCGGCGCTTGCTGCCGGGTCCGGTGAGTTAGCTGGCTTAGGGTGAGTAGGCAGAACAGGGTTTGCGGGGCGTCTGTACTTTGTAGACAAGTCCTGCGGGTCTGGTTGAAGCTGGTGTGCAAGGGCTGCACTTCTACCGGTATGCGTGTTTCGCAGCCCCTGCTTTTGCCGCTCTTGATTCTGTGCCATTTCGGTCTTTGGCTTGTCAGACCAGTGCTTACCGTCGTTGGCCGCGTCCAGCACGTAGTAACTGCGCCCAGGGTTCCTTGTAAAGCGTGCCATCCGCCGTCACTAACCTGCATACAGTACATTCCGGTATGGCACGAACAGCACTGTCACCCTGGTCAGTTACCCCAATCGTTACTTTGGTTTCCGCGTGACCCCGCTGCAGTACACATTTGTGCTGCCGGCCACCAAGAACCTGCCGTCACAGTGCATTGACTTTATGTCGGGCAAGAACATCCACCGCAAGAGCGTTGGTGTGCGGCTTCCGGCGGACCCCGTTTGCCAGGTGGGAGGGGAGGGCAGCGGCGGTCTGGAGCCTACCGTTGCTATTCAGAAGGCATCCGTCTCAGAGGAGCCGAGGGACGGCCCGAGGCCTGGACGCAACCTCATCTGCGGGCACATGCAGCCTTAGGATGTGACCATGTCGGCGACACGCTGGCCGTTTTGCCGTTATCATGATCCTCGTAACCGCAAGCCCGCCTCCTTTCTTCTGTCGCATGGAGCATCTGTCCGACGTTGCGTCAGCAGCTGAGCGTATCTTACTGTTACCCTAACCGTCGCTACCCCGCAACCGCAACCTGCCACAGGCGGTGTTGGACGCGCTGGGTGGGCCGCTGCTGTGCACCAGTGTGCACGTGCCCGAGGTGCTGTCAGAGGATACGGAGGTGCCGGACGTGGGATCCATTCTGGAGGCGTACGGCAACAAGGGGCTGGATTTCGTGGTGGACGTGGGGCGGCGCGTGGTGGCGGAAAGCAGCGTAAGTACCAGTTAGGGGTGCTGTGAAGCCAGCCTGGTGGCTGAGGGGTGCTGGTGAGTTAGGACATGACGCCAGTGACACAACCGACATGCTTGCTTCACCCGACTCGTGCTAATGTGGTGAGGAAGCACTCTCCAGTGCTTCGGATCACGGAGGCAAACCGTTATTCCCAGGGTACATTGCTTGGGAGATCAATTGCAGTACCGGGGCTAATGCTCTCATGTGTTCTGCCCCATGTTTCGCACGCTACAGGTGGTGGACTTCACCGGGGGCGATCCCGTGGTGCTGCGCCGGGGCCAGGGTGACGTCAGCGCGTTTGAGTGACGGGGTGGCGTGGTAGCAGTCAACGCTGCATGAAGGGAGTTTCGTCGTACATAATGCTGTAATTCGCTGTTTGGGAGGGGGGTTGGAGGTCCTTTGGTTCAGTCAACACTCTGTTTTTTTGTAACTGTGCATGCGTGGTTGGTCCAGATACCGCTTGGCTCGCCGTTTCTGAAAACTGTTGTTGGTGTTGTTCAGGTCAGTTGGTACTTTTCAGTTGCATGTTGCGTGCTGGACTGCAAAGTTACAATGAGGAGAAGTACATATCGCCACGGTTTGTTTGACCTACACGCCTATAGTGGTATTCAGCACGCCGTTGGAAGGAACTCATTCCTACGTTCAACAGTACACAGGAGCCTGCCATAGTTGTACGGTTCTATTGAACATGCAGCGCAACACGATGTCCCCCAAATTGTAATGTACCGGTACTTGTGTATGGCTACTCAACATTACCATGCTTGACCGCCCTTCACTTCATACCACGCACGCCAAAGAGCCAAAGGGGCTACACCTCACGCATGGAATCATGAACAACACGCTCAACCCGTTGGCGCAGCTGCCAGCAAGGTCGCTCTCCAGTTCTCCGGCAGCGCCCACTGCTGCCCAGGCGGCAAGTCCAGCAGCACGGCACGTGCGCGTTGCGACAGCTCCCCCGCTCGCGCTGTAACAGCCTCCGCGCACCTGCAGGGCACACCGGGCGCCAGCAAACTATTTACAACTAGCCAGCATTTGCAGCACCATCAGAGCTTGCATGTTAGTACCGCATGTGGCATGTTTGCATGCACCGCTGCATACATGCAGCCATAAGCGTGGACGCACATGGCAAACCTGATGCAAAGCCAGTACCACGATATTCATGCGCGCTCAGCATTAATGTCGCTGTCCCTACAAGGCTTGACAGTAGCAAAGTGCACAGCTTACCGTTGCAAGTGCCCAGACAGCGGATGGCTTGGCAGCACCGCCACGCCCGCCACGCCAGCAACCAAGCGCGCCAGGTCATCCGCAGGAGTGACCCGCGGGTCGCTCGGGTCCAACCGCGCCATACACAACTCCAGCGTTCCCATCAGCATGGGCGCCATCGCAAAATGCTGGTGTCCAGATGTCGCGGCGGTGTAAAACGACAGATACGCAAGCGCCAACTTCACAGCCGCCCCCGGAGGCAGACTGCCCGCAGCACCCTCCGCGCTGTCGCCACCCACGCCTGCAGCTGCAGCCGGATGCGTGCCGCTGCTGCTGCTGCCGCTGCCGTCACCGCTACGATTTGCTCCCAGTAGCGCCATCACCGAGGGCTCGGCGTCCAGCAGCATGCGTAGCAGCCGCGAGGAGCCGAGGCCGGGTCGGCCCACAGCAGCCATGCGGTCCGCGTCGTTGAGTCGCCGGAGCGCCCCCAGCAGCTCCACCAGGTCCTCAGGCGGCAGCTGGGACCAGCGGGACTGGAGGGCCTTATGCAGCTCCTCCAAGCAGTCGCGGTTCACCACCTTTGAGGGGCAAATGGTGGACGCGGATGGTAACGGGATGGGACGGGGCGGCGATGCATGGAAGTGCACCGTAATACGGGCATGGCTTGGTGATGGTTTAACTAGAACCGTTTGCATACTTCGCATCACGCCAACCCACATCAGAACGCCTCCGCCGTACCTGTGCATCCCCTAGAAACACCGCAAGCGACTTGCACGCCGACACGTCAAACGCTGCCAGGTCCAGGCTCCCTCGCTGCGCCGCAGCCGCCACGTAGGCAGCCACCGCATGCGGCAGCTGGGTGCTGAACCGCAGCCGTGACGAGGCGCGCTGGAACACACGGATTACGTCAGGCAGCAGCTTGGGGTCGAAACGGGGCTGGCGGCGGCTGTCGGGGCCTCCCGGGTGGGAGGGCTGCTTGGAGCCAAGCGGCCGGAGCCCTCCCTGGGCTTGCTGGGGCTGGAGGATGCTGGAGATGGCGTCGGCTGAGTTCATGCGGCCGAGGGAGTAGTAGTAGTCGCTGTTGGACATGGTGGTCGCAGTGGGCTGCGGGTTGCGGGGGTCGCATAGGCACGGGACATGCAGCAGGGGTTTGTTGTCATAGGGGTAGTGCCCATACCGGACGCATGTTAGGTAGTGTGCGTTCTACCGAAGCGGGGTAGGATGTCTCTAGTGAGCGGTGGCTGTAGCCCTGTGAAACGGCAAACATGGAGGGTGCCCCTGCATCAAAGAGCCTTGTGTGATCGTGCACGGAAGCCGGTGTTCATGAACCCACACGGTACCCCGACCACCACCGCCAACAACAACAGCAGTACACCCTGTCCGCGGCTTTGGCCGACCCCCGTACCTGTCGCCGAGCGGCCTCCAGGTCGTCCCTCATCCTGGATGGGACGCGGCATTGGAAGCGCGGGGCAGGGTGCGGCATTGGCGTCCATGCTTGGGCGGCTAGCCCGTGACCCCATGCTATGCAAGGCACACACGACACGGACTTGTGTCTCAACCCACCTCAGTAACCATCCTGCTAAGTTTCGCCGGTAATAATGCTCGGCCTCTCGGTAGAAATGCTCGGCCTCGAAACCCCCTGCTGCTTGGCTTCCGCCCGCTGCAAACTGCTGGAGTTCGGGATCAATGACAGCTGCCGTTGTGGCTGGCGCCTGCTTTCGCTGCTGCTCCTCTCCCTGCCGCCGGCTGCCCCAGTCCTGCTGCTTCTTATACGTACTCCAGTTTCCTTTGCGGTAGTAGTGCCCCTGGTCTACAACTCCTTTGCCCCCTGCCGGGGAGCCGGGTCCCTGCTTGGCGTGAGAGCCATTGCTCTTTGTGTACGCTTTCCAGCTAAAGACTCGTTGGGCGTGACTTGGGTGGCTAGGCGCCTTCGCAGGCCTATGCTGGGGGCCTAGGGATTGCGTTGCTTGGCAAGGCAGCGCAGCATCGGGCAGGCTGCTGACGCTGCATACGCGTCGCTCCTGGGTTTTCTGGATACTTTCGAGACGATTGCCTACGATGCTCACATAGGGGACCGTCGACGACTGGATGGCAAGCGTAGCACACCTCGTGAGCAAAGGAAGCCCGGCAAAGAATGGTAGCGTACTGAACATGATTGGTGTGCGCAAATGTTTCTCCTTCCAGTTCAGCGGGTGGCGTGGAGCAATGCTGAGCAAGACATGTACGGCATGCGCGCGATTTTCTGGGAATAACGTTGTCGCAGCTTTACATACGAAGCAAGCTGCAGATCGCTAGGAGTATATTTTGTTGTGCTTACAGGCGGGCAGCAGAGCGCCCGCAAACTTCTTTTCGTCAAGAGCTAAAAAAGACTATACTGCAGGGCTTACATAGAAAGCTACTTTCGCTATGGAGGGTGGCGGGCCACCCCCACCGCCACCACCTCCTTCGGGCGGCTTTAGGCCCCCGGGAGGAATGTTTCCTACTCCTGGACTTGGTCCTGGTATGATGCGCCCACCGATGGTTCTACCACAGCAAACGCGCTATTTCAATCAGCCTGGAGTTCCATCGCAGCCGGGCGGGATGGCTCAGCCCCAGGCGCAGGCTCCTCGGCCGCCGGCCGTCCCAGTGCTTTCGGAGGAGCAGCAGCAGCAGCTCCTTGAGGAGAAGGTACGCATATATTTAAGGGCGATGTGGTAGACTAATTACTATCGTTGCGCTATCGTGAAGTTTAGGAGCTCATTCTTTATGGATCTGGTCACAACGTGGCGCATACTTGGAAGGCAGCGAGTCGAATTTTGTCCTATTGGTGCTAGTGGAAGCCGTGTTGGTGGCCAGGATGCAAACGCGGCTGGGTGGCTAGGGCAGTTTGGCTGAGCTGCTAGCGCTGACCGAGTTCAGTTGGGGCCTGGGAACTGACTGACCCGGGCTTCGTTGGGGTTTCGCTTATGTTGCGGGGCGAGGACGTTTAAAGACCTTACCGCTGACCGCTGCTTGTCCTGGATGAAAGGGTGAAAATGGCTTTCACTATCTCGGGGAGCTGGGTATTTTGCGTCGTGCCGTCGGCCACGTCGCTCCACCCTACGTGCGCCCTCTCCACCCTAGCGCTGCCTTCAGTGCTACACCGTTTCTGGCGCGCTCGCACATGTCTGAGCAAGAAGGGAAAACCGCTTTTGGTGGATCTGTAGTTTCTAACTGGGTACTGTGTGCGCCTGACCTCAGGCCAAGAAGTGGCTCCAGCTCAACTCCAAGCGGTACGGCGACAAGCGGAAGTTCGGCTTTGTGGAGGCGCCGAAGGAGGACATGCCGCCCGAGCACGTGCGGAAGATCATTCGGGTATGTCGTCAGCCAACATGCGGGATTACGGAGGTTGGGGTTAGGGCTACTGGCCATCGGCAAATACGTGCCTTACAGACGCCTGCTATCGTTCCCCGCGAGTTGCACGCATACAGCTGTGGTGTATGGCCCCATATAGCCTATAGGCTATATACCTAAAGGTACCACCGTCTTCTCCGGGACTGCACCTTGCTTGTCTGCATGTGCACATGCTGTCGCGGGATTCAGCATGACCTTCTCCTCCTGGACAATTGCTTGGAGGGCTACTGCACCTGCATGTGCGACTTACCGTTGCACCCTGCACCCTGTCACCCCCCTGCATTCCTCTGCAGGACCATGGCGACATGTCGTCCCGCAAGTTCCGGCACGACAAGCGCGTGTACCTGGGCGCGCTCAAGTTCGTGCCGCACGCCGTGTTTAAGCTGCTGGAGAACATGCCCATGCCCTGGGAGCAGGTACGATGCCCGGGGGATCTGGGTCGGGCGCCACAGCATCACCTGATGACGCTGATGTACTTTCGGGGGGGGGAGGATAATGGGCGGGCCCTTTGCAACACATTGCGGTCCCAACAGCTGGACAGAGGGGGGTTCTGAGTCTTGAAGTGGGTGAATGGATTGCAGCAGTTTGGGCGGGTCAAGGTTGGTACTGTGTTTTAACGTCGGGGACTAGCGTGGTGAGCCCCGTTGCCCGTGGTCTGCTGTGGGCATGACGTGACACACCGTCCGTAGGCATGTGCTGGGCTTGGGGACTGAGCACAACTGCATAAGTGCACGCTCCAATCCTTAGCAAGGTGTATTGGATTGGAATAGTATAATAATATTGGATTGGAATAAGCAAGGTGTAGCTTCTGTCACATGACATAAGGCGTGCTTCACAGGGAGCACCAAAGCACTGTTACCTGGTTAATAGGGCATCATGGCCGCAAAGTCAATGCCGATCTCACGTCCCTCACCGCACCCCCTGCTCTGCCGTCTGTCGCCCCATCACACTCCCTCGCCGCACACAGGTCCGCCACGTGAAGGTCATTTACCACATCACGGGTGCCATCACCTTCATCAACGAGATCCCCTGGGTCATTGAGCCGGTATACACGGCGCAGTGGGGCAGCATGTGGATCATGATGCGCCGTGAGAAGCGTGACCGCCGGCACTTCAAGCGCATGCGCTTCCCGCCCTTTGATGATGAGGAGCCGCCGCTGGACTATGCGGTAGGTGGTGGCGTGGAGAGGGAAAGGGCAAGATCCCAGATGGAGTGGCAGCACTTGGTACCGCTCAGCGTCCTAGCTGATGCTCCGGCTTCACATCCTCTGGAACCCATTTGTCGCATAGTCATCCAGTTCCCTTGCCCTGACTGCCATACGCCTCCAAAGCTGTAACCTTGCTCGACCCTCCTCACGCCCCCTTGCTTGCAGGACAACTTGCTAGACGTGGAGCCGCTGGAGGCCATTGAGATGGAGCTTGACGAGGACGAGGACGCCGCCGTGTACGAGTGGCTGTACGACCACCAGCCGCTCAAGTACACCAAGTTTGTGAACGGCCCCAGCTACAAGCGCTGGAAGCTGCCGCTGCCCGTCATGTCCACGCTGTACCGCCTGGCGGGGCAGCTGCTGACGGACTTCCCGGACCGCAACTACTTCTACCTGTTCGAGCCGCAGGTAGGGTGGAAGTAAATCAGAGGTTGTGAAAGTGAATGAAAAGTGGAGCACTGGGAGTAGGCTATGGGGGCGGCAGGGCGACTGGAAGGGGTGTGCGTGAGCTGGTAAAGACCATGGCAGGGTAAATGCGGCTGTAATCGCCGGGCACGGCGTGCTTGAACCTCAGCGAGCATTTGCTCTCCCATGGATCGTTCCCCACAGGCGTTTGTCACCGCCAAGAGCCTCAACATGTGCATCCCCGGCGGTCCCAAGTTCGAGCCGCTCTTCCGCGACATGGACACGCGCGACGAGGACTGGAACGAGTTTAACGACATTAACAAGCTCATCATCCGCTCGCCCATCCGCACCGAGTACAAGGTACGGCACCCCCACACGCAGGCTTTTTCCGTAACTAGGACCTCGCCTTTTGGCATCTGCCTGGACCTCACCCCAAGCGCCACTTGTCCTCTTCTGGGATACTTCCATAATTGCATTTACCAACAGCATACAGACATGAGAAAACATGTGTTACCTCCTCTCCTCGACGTCCCTCCAGGTGGCCTTCCCGTACCTGTACAACAACCGGCCGCGCAAGGTGCGGCTCAGCGTGTACCACCACCCCATGTCCATGTACATTAAGACGGAGGATCCCGACCTGCCGGCCTACTACTACGACCCGCTCATCCACCCCATCGCCGCGTACCGCTCGGCGGCTGGGGGGCGCCGCGCGCAGGTGAGCAGCTGCGCCTTTTGCTGTTTCCCCTAGCAGAAGGGCGACCGCTCTTTGAGACATGGGTGGACGTGATGTTACCGGTAATACCTGCTTGCGCATGCATGCCGTAAGTGCACGTGTGTGTGCATGTGAGCAGCAACCGCTTGCTAACCGCGTGCGTTTCCTCGACCCTTTCTCGCGCAGCTGGAGGAGGAGGTTGGCGGCGACGACGACGAGTGGGCGCTGCCGGACGGTGTGGACCCGCTGCTGGGCGAGCAGCCGCTCTACACGGACAACACGGCGTCCGGCATTGCGCTGCTGTGGGCTCCCAAGCCCTTCAACCAGCGCTCCGGCCACACGCGCCGCGCGTTCGACGTGCCGCTGGTCAACCAGTGGTTTCAGGAGCACTGCCCGCCGACGTACCCCGTCAAGGTGGGTAAAGAAGAAGGAGAAAACGAATGCCCGAAGCCCTTTCCAGGCATCACCGATGAAGGTTGGGGCGTCTTGACGCTGCCATCTGTACGACCGCCTTTCCATTGTGTGCGCATGAGCATGGTGCATGAGCAGACCCGGTTTGATGGGCCTGGATGAATCACGAGCGGGATCCCAAGCTTGTGCCAATGGGTACATCTCCTTCCGCCCTGCCATGGCGTCACAGTATGCTCATCATGCAATCCAGTGGCACAGGTGCACCAAACACTGACGTGTGTTTCCTGCTGCTTCCTCCCTCGGCTTCCTTCCTTTGCGTCTTCCTTTCCTCCTGCAGGTCCGCGTCAGCTACCAGAAGCTGCTGAAGAACTACGTGCTCAACGTCCTGCACCACCGGCAGCCCAAGAGCGTCAAGAAGAAGTACCTGCTGCGCGCGCTCAAGGCCACCAAGTTCTTCCAGTCTACGGAGCTGGACTGGGTGGAGGTCGGCCTGCAGGTGAGAAAACGCGGGTGGTTTCCTGTGTCGCATTGGAATGCGCTTTCCCGGTGTAATAGCCTTGGCTTGTAAGTGGAGTCATCGTTACTCTTGGCACGGCCATATAAGCTGCTGACATGTGCCTATCCTTTTGCCGTATCCTTTTGCTCCTCCGTACACAGGTTTGCCGGCAGGGCTACAACATGCTCAACCTGCTGATTCACCGCAAGAACCTCAACTACCTGCACCTTGACTACAACTTCAACCTGAAGCCCGTCAAGACGCTGACCACCAAGGAGCGCAAGAAGAGCCGCTTCGGCAATGCGTTCCACCTGTGCCGTGAGATTCTGCGCCTGACCAAGCTGGTCGTGGATGCCAACGTGCAGTTCAGGTGAGAGCCGAGCTTTTGGGTTTACGTGTTTGTGGTAACATTGACATTGGAGAGTACATTAGAGGTGGCTCTCGTACAAGTCTGCACCTTGCAATCACTTCCCGCGTCATCACTTTCCATCTGTGCCCGTGTGCCACCAGGCTCGGCAACGTCGACGCCTACCAGCTCGCGGACGGTCTGCAGTACATTTTCTCGCACGTTGGCCAGCTGACGGGCATGTACCGCTACAAGTACCGCCTGATGCGGCAGATCCGCGTGTGCAAGGACCTGAAGCACCTCATCTACTACCGCTTCAACACCGGCCCCGTGGGCAAGGGCCCGGGTGTGGGCTTCTGGGCGCCCATGTGGCGCGTGTGGCTCTTCTTCCTGCGCGGTAGGTAGTGGCTTGGGCTTTACATGCGCTTCTTCAACAATTAGGCCACCGCCCACTTTATGAAGATGCTCATGTGCGTTTGTGCAAAGCAAATCTTCCTAAAGCGACGGCCTGCTGTTAGCTTTCTTGGCGACTTTGTGACAGTGTTGTCCCCTGTTGCGCTGCGCGCGCAGGTATCGTGCCGCTGCTGGAGCGCTGGCTGGGTAACCTGCTGGCGCGCCAGTTCGAGGGCCGCCAGTCCAAGGGCATCGCCAAGACGGTCACCAAGCAGCGCATCGAGTCGCACTTTGACCTGGAGCTGCGCGCGGCGGTGAGTTGGTGGTGGTGGGGGGGGCTGTTTAAGTGCAACATGCATGTAACAGCATGTAACAGACTGAATGGAAGGAACCCTGATATAATCCGTGTGAACCCGGAAACTCTGGTGTAACAGGTGATGCACGACATCCTGGACATGATGCCCGAGGGCGTCAAGCAGAACAAGGCGCGCACCATCCTGCAGCACCTGTCGGAGGCGTGGCGCTGCTGGAAGGCCAACATCCCCTGGAAGGTGCCCGGCCTGCCGGCGCCGGTGGAGAACATGATCCTCCGGTGAGTGTGCCCCTCTGCTGTACATGTGGCATACAGCGGGTGCTCCTCCACTTACAATTCTCATGAGGAACATGTACCGATGCGAAGGACCAAAGGGCTTTGGTTGTCAAAGCGACCCGCCAGTGTGGCTTATGTGTACAAAACACAATGCCCGCTTACTTACCGCCTTGTTTCCCTCGCCTGCCCTTCCCCCCCAGCTACGTGAAGCAGAAGGCGGACTGGTGGACCAACGTGGCGCACTACAACCGCGAGCGCATCCGCCGAGGCGCCACCGTCGACAAGACGGTGTGCCGCAAGAACCTGGGCCGCCTGACGCGCCTGTACCTCAAGGCGGAGCAGGAGCGGCAGCACAACTACCTCAAGGCAAGAAGGGCTTGAAGCTGTTGTTGGGTCGCATAGTAAAGCAGCATGTGCATGGTCTTCAGGACCACTAATGCCATGTAGTGTAGTACCCGCCTGCAACATGAGAGACATGGCGATAATACCCTGCTGATAGCCTTTAGCCTTTCCTGTTACCAGTATGAACAACTTTCTTTGCTTTCCATCCTTCCTGCCGTACAGGACGGTCCCTACGTGACGCCTGAGGAGGCGGTGGCCATCTTCACCACCACCGTGCACTGGCTGGAGAGCCGCAAGTACAGCTGCATCCCCTTCCCGCCGCTCAACTACAAGCACGACACCAAGCTGCTCATCCTGGCGCTGGAGCGGCTGAAGGAGCAGTATGTGGTGGCGGTGCGCCTGAACAGCCAGCAGCGTGAGGAGCTGGGTCTGGTGGAGCAGGCGTACGACAACCCGCACGAGGCGCTGCAGCGCATCAAGCGGCACCTGCTGACGCAGCGCTCGTTCAAGGAGGTGGCGATTGAGTTTATGGATCTGTACAGCCATCTAATCCCGGTGTACGAGATTGAGCCGCTGGAGAAGATTACGGGTGAGCGTTGGCAGCTGATTGTGGATTTGCAGCAGCTTGTATGTACAAGGGTGAATGCCCTTGGCCCCCCATCGCATTGGATGGCTTGGCATATTGTTCCTTGAAACAACAGTCATTTACCCGTGTTTCTACATTAACCCACGCCTTCCTCGCATGGTTGCCTGTTGCAGACTGCTACCTGGACCAGTATCTGTGGTTCGAGGCGGACAACCGGCACCTCTTCCCTAACTGGGTCAAGCCCGCCGACACGGAGCCGCCGCCGCTGCTGGTGTACAAGTGGTGCCACGGCATCAACAACCTCACCAACGTGTGGGACACCGGCAACGGCGAGTGCGTGGTCATGATGCAGAGCGACTTTGAGAAGATGTACGACAAGATCGACCTCACGCTCATGAACAGGTGTGTCAAGGTTTAGGGCATAGCTGCAGATTTCAGGATCGGCAATGCGGCTAGTTGACAGTGGCGCATCCCGCGGCTAGTTCATTGGTGCTTCGGCAGCTTACTGCTGGCGCTTAGTGGGGCACATGCTGGGTTTCGTCGCTGACGCACTCTCGTCGCCTTCATTCATATATCACGTTCCCTGCAGGCTTCTGCGCCTGATCGTGGACCACAACATTGCGGACTACATCACGGCCAAGAACAACGTGGTCATTGCCTACAAGGACATGAGCCACACCAACTCGTACGGCCTCATCCGCGGGTTGCAGTTCGCGTCCTTCATCATCCAGGTAGGCCTCCCCTTTCGTGCGGTTGATGCATGCCAAACTTTGCGATGAGAAGCGAAGTCCCTACGTTGTAAACACGTTATTGTGCCCCGGCAGCTTACCTACCATTTGTTTCCATCTAACATTGAAAGCTGAAACGGTGAACCCCATGGCTAAAACTGTGATGCAGTACTACGGCCTGATCCTGGACCTGCTGCTGCTGGGTCTGACGCGTGCAACGGAGATCGCTGGGCCGCCCCAATGCCCCAACGAGTTCCTGACCTTCCGGGACGTCAAGACGGAGTCGCGGCACCCCATCCGCCTGTACAGCCGGTACCTGAACAAGGTCCACATCCTCTTCAGGTGCGCCTTGCTTGTAAAAACGCAGCGACCCATGGGTCGGAATTTGGAACAAAGGTTGTCAATTATCGTGAATGACGCTAGGTAGTAGTATTTGTTCAGGCCATGCGTGCCGCAGTTGTTCACCTTGTCACGAAGCCTTAAATCTGTCGTTTGACCGCCCCGCTGCTCGCTACGCCCTCCTCCCATCCCAGGTTCAATGCCGATGAGGCCAAGGACCTCATCCAGCGCTACCTCACGGAGCACCCCGACCCCAACAACGAGAACATCGTGGGCTACAACAACAAGAAATGCTGGCCGCGCGACGCGCGCATGCGGCTCATGAAGCACGACGTCAACCTGGGCCGCGCCGTGTTCTGGGACATGAAGAACCGCCTGCCGCGCTCGCTGACCACCTTTGAGTGGGACAACAGCTTCGTGTCCGTGTACAGCCGTGACAACCCCAACCTGCTGTTCTCCATGGCGGGCTTCGAGGTGCGCATCCTGCCCAAGATCCGCATGGCCGCCGAGTCGTTCGCCAACAAGGACGGAGTGTGGGCGCTGCAGAACGTGCACACCAAGGAGCGCACGGCGCAGGTACGAGCGAAGTCCGGATTGCATGGGATCATGTGGAATTATATTGCATACAAAGTAACCACAACCACGTAATGGGATTGCACTCCGATGCGAACATACGATGTCTGGGAGAGAAGGGGCATGGAGGGGTTGTTTGCATCTTGGACTTGTGTGCATGGCTGGCTTGCTTAAGGGTGCGCTGGCCCCTGTGATGGACTGGTGGTATCTGACCAGCTGAGAGTATCGTGTGGCTTCCTCTTTGCCGCACAGGCCTTCCTGCGCGTGGACGACGAGGGCCTCAAGGCCTTTGAGAACCGCGTGCGCCAGGTGCTCATGTCGTCGGGCAGCACCACCTTCACCAAGATCGCCAACAAGTGGTGGGTAGGGTGGCCATGTAGTTCGCCTGCTATCTGATGGGGTATACATTGCGATAAACAATTGTAGAGCGGGATCTGCAACTATGCCTCCACTAACGGATTCGAGTGCGTTTCTAGTTACCTCGGAATCAGACAGCCCACCCATTACCGTAATCCTCCAGAGGAACCTTTCATTCCCCGCCCTCGCCTTGCCCACCTGCCCTCAGGAACACCGCGCTGATCGGGCTGATGACCTACTACCGCGAGGCCGTGCTGCACACCCAGGAGCTGCTGGACTTGCTGGTCAAGTGCGAGAACAAGATCCAGACGCGCATCAAGATCGGCCTCAACTCCAAGATGCCCAGCCGCTTCCCGCCCGTGGTCTTCTACAGCCCCAAGGAGGTGGGCGGCCTGGGCATGCTGTCCATGGGCCACATCCTCATCCCGCAGTCGGATCTGCGCTACAGCCAGCAGACGGACCTGGGCGTGACGCACTTCCGCGCGGGCATGTCGCATGAGGAGGACCAGCTCATCCCCAACCTCTACCGCTACATCCAGCCCTGGGAGAGCGAGTTCATGGACAGCGAGCGCGTGTGGAGCGAGTACGCGTTGAAGAAGGAGGAGGCCAAGGCGCAGAACCGGCGGCTGACGCTGGACGACCTGGACGACAGCTGGGACCGCGGTATCCCGCGCATCAACACGCTGTTCCAGAAGGTTGGTTGGGCGGTGGTTGGGTGGTGGTTGCGGGGCATGGGCGGGTTACGAGGGTGGCTGGGGTGTAGGGGTTGCGCCATGTATGCCCTGTTGGGAGGAAGGGAGCCACAACAGATGTGTCATGTACAGGTGTATCATAGATGTCATAACTGATGTCTTGCTGCCATGATGGCCCTGGCGATGTCGTAACTGCTTGTCCTTGCACCCTTGTCGCACCGCAGGACCGTCACACGCTGGCGTATGACCGCGGGTGGCGCGTGCGGCAGGAGATGAAGCAGTTCCAGGTCACCAAGATGAACCCCTTCTGGTGGACGCACCAAAAGCACGACGGCAAGCTGTGGAACCTCAACAACTACCGCACCGATGTCATCCAGGCGCTGGGCGGTGTGGAGGGCATCCTGGAGCACACGCTGTTCAAGGGCACGTACTTCCCCACCTGGGAGGGTCTGTTCTGGGAGAAGGTGGGTCCGGGGGGCTTGCTGGCGTTGGGAGCCCATTGTTGTAGGGCATCATCATTTGCAATTCTTGCGCAAGGGCGACAGGCTTTCATGAAATGAAGTGGTGGCACGGGTAGCACCTCGTGCTTAAGGCATCAGTTGTGACTATACCGGAACCAAGTGCCTTGTGTCTTTTCCTGCTACATGGCCCTGTGCTAACACGCCCCACATCCATGCTTCACCATGCCTGCAGGCGTCGGGCTTCGAGGAGTCAATGAAGTACAAGAAGCTCACGAACGCGCAACGCTCGGGTCTTAACCAGATCCCCAACCGCCGCTTCACGCTGTGGTGGTCGCCCACCATCAACCGCGCCAACGTGTATGTGGGCTTCCAGGTGCAGCTGGACCTCACCGGCATCTTCATGCACGGCAAGATCCCCACGCTCAAGATCTCGCTCATCCAGATCTTCCGCGCGCACTTGTGGCAGAAGGTCCACGAGAGCGTGGTAGGTGTCTATAGAGGGTGGCGTAGTTCCCTTCTTGCCTATCGGGACCATGCAGAGGCAGCAGAAGTAAAGCGTGTTGGCACCGGTTTGCATCTCAACATCCACTTGATCCTTCATGATTTGACGCTGCTGCGCCGGTTGCTTCCATCGCTCGGTTCGATGTACGATGTACGAAAATCATATAGAAAATCATATTCCCTACCGCTTGCTTCTGGCTTTGCGTCCTCCGCAGGTGATGGACCTGTGCCAGGTGTTTGACCAGGAGCTGGACGCGCTGGAGATCGAGACGGTGCAGAAGGAGACCATCCACCCGCGCAAGAGCTACAAGATGAACTCCTCCTGCGCCGACGTGCTGCTGTTCGCGGCGTACAAGTGGAACATGAGCAAGCCCTCGCTCATGGCGGACACCAACGACGTGTAAGTGGGCTGGGCGGGCGGGTGACGGGCTGGGGAGCATAGGCGAGGGGCATGACAGCCATACCCAGCGGAACACTTTTACGCCTTTTACGCTAACATGAGCATTCGATTGTATTTGTACGGCTTCCAGCTCCATGCCTGTCGTGTGCTCTTGTAGTTGGTTCTCATTTTCCTTCCGTTTGGGTGAAGCGTCACTCCTTGACATGGTGCCAACCATTCATCACCGTTGCAATTTTCCCGGGCCCCCGCAGGTACGACCAGAAGCCCTCGAACAAGTACTGGGTGGACGTGCAGCTGCGCTGGGGCGACTACGACTCGCACGACATCGAGCGCTACACGCGCGCCAAATTCCTAGACTACACCACCGACAACATGTCCATCTACCCCTCGCCCACCGGTAGGGCTGGGTGGTGGGTGCGTGCGCTGCCCCTGTTGCCTCTTGCCTCTTTACCGGTAGCATCCCCAACATGCAGTCTCCCGCCATTTGCATTAACAGCGCCTGCTATGCTGCACTCAGCCGCCCTGTGACTCTCTCTTAACACCACCACCCTCACCAACTCCCAACACCACCTCAGGCGTCATGATCGGCGTCGACCTGGCGTACAACCTGCACAGCGCGTACGGCAACTGGTTCCCCGGCATCAAGCCACTGGTCATCCAGGCCCTGGCCAAGATCATGAAATCCAACCCCGCGCTGTACGTGCTGCGCGAGCGCATCCGCAAGGGCCTGCAGCTGTACAGCTCTGAGCCCACGGAGCCCTACCTCAGCAGCCAGGTACGGTAAAGCAGCAGCAGGTCGGCGGGGGTACTGTAACTTAATAAGGGACCGTTAATGAGGGAAATGTAGCCGGAAGGGTTAGGTGTTGTTGGGGGGTGGTGGCGTATGCTGTTGCTGCTGCTGCCACCCAACGTGCGCATTGGCATCCTTATTGTTTGCTGTTGTTGTTGGCTTGTCCTCATCTTCCTCTCCTTGCTCCCACCCCACTTTGCAGAACTACGGCGAGCTGTTCTCCAACCAGACGGTGTGGTTCGTGGACGACACCAACGTCTACCGCGTGACCATCCACAAGACCTTTGAGGGCAACCTCACCACCAAGCCCATCAACGGCGCCATCTTCATCTTCAACCCGCGCACCGGGCAGCTCTTCCTCAAGATCATCCACACCAGCGTGTGGGCGGGGCAGAAGCGCCTGTCGCAGCTGGCCAAGTGGAAGACGGCGGAGGAGGTGGCGGCGCTGGTGCGCTCGCTGCCGGTGGAGGAGCAGCCCAAGCGCATCATCGTGACGCGCAAGGGCATGTTGGACCCTCTGGAGGTGCACCTGCTGGACTTCCCCAACATTGTCATCACGGGATCCGAGCTGCAGCTGCCCTTCCAGGTCGGCCGGGGTTACAGGTTGCAGCCGAGAAAGAGTGTGCGCCTGGGGTTTGGGGAGGGTACATTCTAGGTTCTTGTGGGCGCTTTTGGGATGCTGGCAGCTCACACACAAAGTGTGTCATGCCACTGATGTATACTTAATCTTTAAACCACCAATCAATTCCCGATCCTCCGCAGGCGGCCATCAAGCTGGAGAAGTTCGGCGACCTCATCCTCAAGGCCACCGAGCCGCAGATGGTGCTCTTCAACATCTACGACGACTGGCTGAAGACCATCTCCTCCTACACCGCCTTCTCGCGCCTCATCCTCATCCTGCGCGCGCTGCACGTCAACCCCGAGAAGGCGCGCATGATCCTGCGGCCCGACAAGTCCATTGTAACGCAGCCGCACCACGTGTGGCCCAGCCTCACGGACGAGCAGTGGATCAAGGTGGAGGTCGCGCTCAAGGACCTGATCCTGGCGGACTACGGCAAGAAGAACAACGTCAACACGCAGGCGCTCACGCAGAGTGAGATCCGCGATATCATTCTGGGCGCGGAGATCACGCCGCCCTCGCAGCAGCGGCAGCAGATTGCGGAGATTGAGAAGCAGGCGCGCGAGGGCGGGCACATGACGGCTGTCACGACCAAGACCACCAACGTGCACGGCGACGACCTCATCGTGACCACCACTTCGCCGTACGAGCAGGTGGGTTGGAGGGAATGGATTGGAAAGGTTTAGGGCTATATACCGTGGGCCGTGACATTTACTACCGTCTTCTGTATCTTCCGCATCAGGGCACACGAGCTGGACTTGTGTGGACTGTTAGTTGTATACGTATTTTCACACAATGCTTACATGCGTTGCTGCTGGGGGCTTTTTCGTGACCCGCAGGCCGCCTTCGGCTCCAAGACGGAGTGGCGTGTGCGCGCCATTTCCGCCGCCAACCTGCATCTGCGCGTCAACCACATCTACGTCAACAGCGACGATATCCGCGAGACCGGCTACACCTACGTGCTGCCCAAGAACCTGCTCAAGAAGTTCATCTGCATCGCGGACCTGCGCACGCAGATTGCGGGCTTCATGTACGGCGTCTCCCCGCCGGACAACAGCCAGGTACGGCGGCGGATTGGCGACCGTTTATTGTCAAGGATGGTTTTATTTGGCTGCACTTCCCCACGCATGAAGTAACACCCTGTCTGAAGTAACGGTAGCATGCTGATGCAGCTCCTATAATCGGTACGGATGCAAGTTATTTGTCGATTATGTACAATCCTTAACACCTATATACCTTCTTGCCGTCCCTCGGCGGTGGCCTCTGCTGCTTTCCCGCGCAGGTGAAGGAGGTGCGCGCCATCGTGATGCCGCCGCAGTGGGGCAACCACCAGCTGGTCAACCTGCCCGCCAACATGCCGGAGCACGACTACCTGAAGGACCTGGAGCCGCTGGGCTGGATCCACACGCAGCCCAACGAGCTGCCGCAGATGGCGCCGCAGGTGCGTGCTCTGCATGCGTGGTGGGCATGCCAAGTACTGGAGCATGAAATATGCATGTTGAGGCTTCCTCTTGCGAAATCCTGACCCGTATGGCCTCCCGATCTGATCTGAAACTCACAGGATGTGATGTCGCACGCCAAGATGCTGGAGGCGCACCGCAGCTGGGACGGCGAGCGCTGCGTGCTAGTGACGGTGTCCTTCACGCCCGGCTCCTGCTCGCTGACGGCGTACAAGCTGACGCCGGGCGGCTACGAGTGGGGCCGCAGCAACAAGGACGTGTCGGCCAACCCGCAGGTAGGGAGTTTGGGCCGACCAGGACTTGGTAGCGCGCGTCAGTCATTTGCTTGTTCTATACTCCATGGCGGGATAGGGTTGATTGCTGAATGCTGATTGGCTTGTAAGAATTTTAGTCAAGCTTCCTTTGATGAGCGATGAGCCTGGATGGTAATATGTGTTTTCTCTTCCTTCCCTCGCCGCTTGCCGCAGGGCTACAAGCCGGACTTCTACGAGAAGGTGCAGCTGCTGCTGTCGGACCGCTTCATGGGCTTCTACATGGTGCCCGACACTGGCTCCTGGAACTACAACTTCATGGGCGTCAAGCACAGCCCCTCCATGAAGTACGGCCTGCGGCTGGCCAACCCCAAGGAGTTCTACCACGAGGTGCACAGGTGAGCTGATGAGGAGGAGAGGAAGCGTGTGCGGGGCTGCTGGGTAGGGTAGCCGTGCTTTTGAAAGAGGGGTAAGGATTATCCATTGGTAAGCGGCATAATACGGAGGCTACTTCTGAGCTTCTGGCTTACCTCTTGAATGCGACATGCATTACTTCATTATTCATTGGTCTTCGCCGTTTTTTACCGGGGTCCGTAGCTAACCTTTTGGACTTGCTTGCGCTCTGTCCCTTCCTCAGGCCGACGCACTTCCTGGAGTTCTCGACGCTGGAGGACGCCGACCCAGGGGTCGACGTGGAGAACCACTTCGCGTAGTACTGCGGGGTCGACAGCACCGCGGAGGGCTGCCGCGAGGGCAGCGCCATGCTTTGCAGGCGCATGGACTAGGGGAGGGGCTGAACCCTTGGGTACAGTGGAGACGGGCTGGGCGAGTTGTTTAGTTGCGCCTTGGGCTTTGTGATTGGCTTAGTGTTTAGACACTTCTGCGTGTTGTGTTTACTGTTTAGGCCGGATGTACGTAGCGGTTCCAAGTACATACTATGTTGGCGTTTCGTACTTTTGGCGGGCATGCCTGTCCAATCTACTGACAAAGACGGGAAGTATCGAGGTTCGGTGAATGCAACGGCTGGCGTATTGCAGTTTTTGCATGGGGCCTGTTACCTGGTAATGGCAGAGGTTATCAGAGCAAGCACCGTACATGTACGACGACAGTAGCATTCTATAGGATAGATGACAGTTACCGGACCCTGCATTAGGTAGGAGTGTGACGTACGAAGTTGCTTTGTGTGCAGTGCCAGGTCTTTAGGTAGGCAACTGGCTATGCATAATTCTTCGCAAGAGCAAGTGGAGAGGAGGTTAAGCGAGATGATGTGCCGTGCGCCGACCTGCTCACGGATTTTGGTTGTTATTGGCGGGATATCGGCGTTGCCTAGAGCAAGGTATTAGCCGGGAACTTGGGCGCATTGCGCGCAATGGAAATTACGTTGAAAATGGGCTGGTTGCGCGCAACGGTCCCGCGCGACACGCCCATGTTCCTGGCCTGACAAATCTGCCTCACTTTAATCTGCAGTATGTATTTATGGGCATAGCGCCATACTCTCTATGTGAAGCGTTCACCGGCGTCGCGAAAGGTGCAAGAAACGTTGTTGACCATGTATGGGCTGGTTGCGCGCAACGGTCCCGCGGGACACGCCCAATTTCCTGGCCCGACAAATTTGTCTCGGTTTTAACTGCAGTATGTATTTATGGGCATAGCGCCATACTCTCTATCTGCAGCGTTCACCGGCGTTTCGAAAGATGCAAGAAACGGTGTCGACTATGTACGGGCTGGTTGCGCGCAACGGTCCCGCGCGACACGCCCAATTTCCTGGCCTGACAATTCCGTCTCGTTTTAAAGCACAGTATGTATTTAGGTGTAGCACCGTATTCTCTGATTGCATTTGCATCGAGTGTATAGCCCTAGTGCGTGCGATACTGGGATTCCACATATGCTGGTTATCCCAGGTATCGCTACGCTGGCCCGACCTGCTGATCTTAGTACTGTGTTCCTCATAGAGTGTCACAATGTCGCCCTTTCCCGAAGTCAGGGAGCATGGCGAAAGTCGTTGACAGAGCTGCCCTTCAAGCATACGTCTTTGCGACAAATGCACCGTTCTACCTAACATAAACTGTAAAATAATTTATAAGAAAGCCACAGAAAACGCTGGAGGTGCATTCTGCTGGAGGCCATGCCGGTCAATTGACCAAGCTGAACCTTCTCTCGCGAACATTGCTAACCGCCAGGACAGGACTAAACAAACCATCAGCTAAAGCTTGAAGGCGCGACTTTAACAGGGAAGTCTTGCCATGGGCAACTTACGGGCCCACGGGACCGCACGACGTTAGGAAACCGCATAAGCCTCAAGATATACACAGGATAGGCTCGTTACGGCATAAGGCAACACACAAAGCATGTAAGCAAGCGTAATGCTGAAGTGGTTGCGGCGTGCGCGCATGGTTGGGGCGGTATACTTGTCTTTGATCAGGGACCTAATTAATTCCAGGGTTTGGGGCACGTATCCGACCGTGCGAGCGGCACCTGAGCCCGCCGTCACACCTACAGACTCCTTAGACATATAGTATCATGTGGCCAAGCATGGGGCTCGATTGGTTACGCCGTGCGAGTGTGGTTGGGCAGGATGTGCCGTTCAGACCGGGTGCATGGTGGGGGGCCTAGTCAAACCCAGGGTTTGGGGCACTTATCCGACCGTGCGAGCGGTACCTGAGCCCGCCGTCACACCTACAGACTCCTTAGACATATAGTATCATGTGGCCAAGCGTGGGGCTTGATTGGTTACGCCATGCGAGTGTGGTTGGGCAGGATGTGCCGTTCAGACCGGGTGCATGGTGGGGGGCCTAGTCAAACCCAGGGTTTGGGGCACTTATCCGACCGTGCGAGCGGTACCTGAGCCCGCCGTCACACCTACAGACTCCTTAGACATATAGTGTCATGTGGCCAAGCGTGGGGCTTGATTGGTTACGCCATGCGAGTGTGGTTGGGCAGGATGTGCCGTTCAGACCGGGTGCATGGTGGGGGGCCTAGTCAAACCCAGGGTTTGGGGCACTTATCCGACCGTGCGAGCGGTACCTGAGCCCGCCGTCACACCTACAGACTCCTTAGACATATAGTATCATGTGGCCAAGCGTGGGGCTCGATTGGTTACGCCATGCGAGTGTGGTTGGGCAGGATGTGCCGTTCAGACCGGGTGCATGGTGGGGGGCCTAGTCAAACCCAGGGTTTGGGGCACTTATCCGACCGTGCGAGCGGTACCTGAGCCCGCCGTCACACCTACAGACTCCTTAGACATATAGTGTCATGTGGCCAAGCGTGGGGCTCGATTGGTTACGCCATGCGAGTGTGGTTGGGCAGGATGTGCCGTTCAGACCGGGTGCATGGTGGGGGGCCTAGTCAAACCCAGGGTTTTGGGGCACTTATCCGACCGTGCGAGCGGTACCTGAGCCCGCCGTCACACCTACAGACTCCTTAGACATATAGTGTCATGTGGCCAAGCGTGGGGCTTGATTGGTTACGCCATGCGAGTGTGGTTGGGCAGGATGTGCCGTTCAGACCGGGTGCATGGTGGGGGGCCTAGTCAAACCCAGGGTTTGGGGCACTTATCCGACCGTGCGAGCGGTACCTGAGCCCGCCGTCACACCTACAGACTCCTTAGACATATAGTATCATGTGGCCAAGCGTGGGGCTCGATTGGTTACGCCATGCGAGTGTGGTTGGGCAGGATGTGCCGTTCAGACCGGGTGCATGGTGGGGGGCCTAGTCAAACCCAGGGTTTGGGGCACTTATCCGACCGTGCGAGCGGTACCTGAGCCCGCCGTCACACCTACAGACTCCCTAGACATATAGTGTCATGTGGCCAAGCGTGGGGCTCGATTGGTTACGCCGTGCGAGTGTGGTTGGGCATGCATGTAGGTTTCCCACATCTCTTGGACCCGCGGGACCCTGGTCCTCGTTTTTATCCTTAACACCTTGAAACCAGGCAACCTGACCCTCTATGCATCCTGTTTGTTCTAGGTGAATGCGAGTCAACAGGCGGGCAGCGCTCAAGCAAGGCATTCCAATGGATGCCGTCGCTCGCGCGCCTTGTAGCCCATAAAGTATGCAGGTTAAGCCATACAAACTGCACATTATCTTCTTAGCTTTAGTATGATTATAGCCCAGCATCTCTGCTGTAAAGATAGTCCCAGGAATTCGGCCACCAAACATTGACCTTCGTTTCATTCCCTGCCTTCACGAGAGGTTGGATAACAACGGCATACTAAAAACGCTCAGTGTGGACAGCGCAATACCCGGTTCACCAGGCTATGTTTGGCAATTCGCGAGGCCATACCGGTATATGGAATACCATCATAAGTTGTAACCACCACAAATGGTATGGCTGTATGAGCAGTATCCCACTATTTCTGGGATTACGCAATTGGTCAAGCTTGGGCGTCTTTACGCACAATCCTTTATAAGGGCTAAAGTATGATCCCAGCATTCCACCTCAACTATGACAAATTACCGGGAGACTTTGGGGTTTGCTGCGGGAGATCATTGTGCCGTTGTCAAAGTTACAAACTGCGGCTTCATTTTATGATAGCCAGGCAGAGCCTGGCAAATGGGCTGGCTGCGCGGGACCATTGCGCGCAACCAGCCCATGTGCACTCTCTAACCGTTTCTTACATTTCTCAATGTCCCATTAAACGCTACAAGAAGAGGACACCATATTATGCCCAAAAATACGCTCTGCGGTGTAAAACGAGGCGAATTTGTTAAGCCAGGAACATGGGCGTGTCGCGCGGGGCCGTTGCGCGCAACCAACCCATACATGGTCGGCAACCTTTTCTTACATCTTCTGTGACGCCGGTGGACTCTGCTAATAGATAATACAGCGCTATTTTCATAAATGCATACTGCGGTTTGAAACGAGGCAGGTTTGTGAGGCCAGGAACATGGGCGTGTTGCGCGGGACCGTTGCGCGCAACCAGCCCATTTTCAGCGTAATTTCCATTGCGCGCAATGCGCCCAAGTTCATGGCGGGTGCCTTACTGTTGCCTAGGCATCGGCGACGCGGGCGGCTTCCTTACTGTTTTCCTGCCTGCCTGTAACCATGAGCAAGGAACCGTGGCTGGTAATGCCAAGCTCTTATGATTTCCTGCCTCCTGTAACTGTCTTGACAACGCCGAGACATGTGCCAGATAAATGTGCAAGGATGACAAGGCACAGCTAACCGAAACCCACCAAACTAACAGACACATGCTACACTTACTTAGGACTATGCCCGGCAATGGGAAGGAGGAACGCAAAACGACGAAGGATGCAGCAAGGTTTTGTCCTAGCCAATACCGGTATCCAGGAAACGCAAAGGCGCCGGACATTAGAAACTGCAGTGATTATTGCTATATAAGAAGCATCCGATTAAGTTGCCGGTCAGGGCCACGCGTTGCATCCTGTTAAGTTGCAGGACAAAAGTCACAGGTTGCCTAATACCCTCAACACACAAGTCATCCACTGCCCAATACCCCAAGACAGAGTACGACGGAAACACGGTCAATAACCGAAAACCCTGAACAAGGAACGAGGCGACAGGTGGGCGACAGGTGGGCCACATGAATCTACTTGGCCCGTATGTATTTATGAATGCATAGGATTAACGACGAATAGAAAACGCGCGCGGGCCTAGACAGGGTGCCCAGGCTCGTCCTCTCCTTGCCGGCCACGAGCTGCTGCTGGGCTCGAGGTTTCACCCACGCCGCCAGCGCTCGTTTGTGCTCTTGCTGCCGTAGCCCGCTGGCGTTCCAGTGCCTTCCTGCATGTGACATTGCAATCCGGGTGTTAGCGTAAAGACGGGCGTAAAGCAAACACAATTCCCTCCTCCCTCCAACCTACTTGTACATGCTATGCAGCATCACTTGCATGGCATCCGGATCCCGCGTGTACGACGCTCCGCTCATGGTGCGGCTGGTGTCCGTCACGCCGCTGGGCAGGCTGCTCAGGGCCGCACTGGGATGCTCCTGCAGCTGCACACCCACCACCCCGGCAGCAGCAGCTGCTGAGGAGGAACTGCTTGCATCGCCGCCGCTGCCGCCGCCTACAGCATGTCCGGAGGCCTGAGGTGTGGCGCCATGCGGCATGAATCCAGCCGCGTCGCCGCCTAGCCTGCTGCGGGGATGAGGGCCGGCGGCAGTGGCGGTGGTTGCGGAGGAGGGGCCGCCGCCGCCGCCGCTCCGCTCGCCCGCCGCGGCAGAGCTGTTTTGCATGCGGCCCAGCCCTGGCTGCCGTCCCGAACTTCCCGCCACCGCCGCCGCCTGGCCGGAGCTCTGCGGGGGGTCCTGCCGCCCGTTGAGTCCCGCAGACCCCTGCCTCCCCTCCAGGTACCGGCGCCATGCAGCCATGTCCGTCAGGCTGCTCAACTGAGTTCCCTGCTGAGCCCTCGCCGGCTGCTGTCCGCTGTGGCCACGGCGTGTTGCCAGCAGGATTGCGGTGCTGAGGCGGGAGAAGAAGCCGCTGGGCTTCGCCGGGGGCGGTGGGTTCCTGCGGGTATGGATGGGCGGGGAACTTTGTTCGCAGGTCCGACGGGATGGCATCAGGCTCCAAGGACAGCTAACGCTTTGCCATAACGTACAAGGTACACCTAAACATCTAAATGTGCGAAGGTCCGTCCCATCCTCCGAAATTAGTTCCACCACGCCCTCTCCCCAATTTGCCCCACCGCTTCCGCCCCACTCACACAGGAGGGTCGTATCTGTCGAGCAAGCGCTGAACACGCTTGTACTGCTTGGGGTTGTAGTGTTTCTTCATAAACTTTTCGAGCCACTTCGACGGGCAGTGGCTGCCCAGCGGCTGAATGAGCGCGTACAGCGGTAGTACGTTGAAGCTCACCTGCGCGACGGCGGGAGCGGCAGCAGCAGCGGTAGTGAGATGTAAGTATGCTGGCGGCAGCAGCAGCAGGAGCAACAGGGCCAGCAGCCAAAGCTCGCTCTTGCTGTAGCTATGCTCGCGACAGCATCATTGGGAAGAGACACTAAAACGAAGGTTACAAGTATGCACAGTAACATGCAACAAACGTCCCTCACACCTCGGTCCTGGAACCTAGGCACACTACGCCGCGCCGAAAAGCACCTTGTCCTTCCCATCCAACCTGGCTGCCCTGGCCCTGCCCTCCCGTGGTGCCTTTTCCTGTTGTGTCCTGTAGCCCCCCCATGCCGCTTCCTATCCCCATTGCCTTGCCCCAACCTGTGGTTTCCTATGCTTCAGTATGATGGTGTTTGACCCCCCCCCCTCCATGCATACCTGCGGCATCAGCAGGATGTCCAGCACCAGCTGCAGTACGACGGCGAACAAGGGAACTCCCTCCCAGGTGCCCGCGGACCGATACGTCTGGCGGGGGATAGGGATGTGGGGGCGGCCGGGCGGGGTCGGAAGGGACAGCAGGTAGGGCTGGGTTCATCACCCGTGCTCCCTTGTAGGGAACCATTGTAACGGTCATTCATTCAGGTAGAGACAGGAGCAACCAAGAGACCGGGAGGCCATGGCGACAACAAGCATATCGTCGGCTTTGGCATACCGGTATCATGTTAAAGGTAAGTATACAAAGCAAATATGCATGTTATGGGAACAGAGGCCACTCTTTTTCCCGCCACCATTGCCTCCCACCCTCCATTCCGCTGTCACCATCACGTCCTTACCCCAGCCAGGGTAAAGATACAGATGGCAATGGAGAGCGAGTTCTCGAAGTAGGCGAGCGTGAAGAGGATGGTCATCAACTTGGGCTTTCCAAACCAGAAGAACTCTGCGGCGTCCATTTCGTGCTCTCCCCGTTCCTTCCGATCCTTCAGCAAACCCCGTACGAACTGCCACAGGGAGGGGGCGGAGGGGCGGAAAAAAAGTGAAGCAACTGGGGGCGGAGGGTCGGGCAGGCTGCATGTGGCACATGTGTTTTCCGTACCTTCCGTACGGTATGCGATAGCAGCAGCAGGTGTTCAAGTACCGGTAGTTGCATGCATGTACGTATACGATATCACTGACCCCCATCATACCATGTGCGCACGGCAGCAACAGCAGCCTACCCATTGCTGTTCCCTCCCTCCCGGCCTTAGCTGTGAACACACACGCCAAACACATAAACACAACTACACACACGCGCACGCACCTGATTCGAGGATGTCATGTGCGTCACGCCGCAAAAACACGGCCGCAGCACCAGCGGCACATGCCGGCGCCCCGAGGCCGTTCGCATGTTCACGGCGAACAACGGCGCACGGACGCCGCCGCCACCTTTACCACGCTTACCGCCCCTACCGCCAACCTTGCCGCCTCTAGCTGCTGCGCGCCCGCCCGCACGGCTTTTGCCCGACTCCGTCCGGTTCTCATCCCCGCCGGCCACAACCACGCTATCGGACGTGACGGGGTACGACAGGCCGCTGGCCAGCCCCGAGGGGCTGCGGTCAGACAGGCGGCTCTGGCTGCGGCTGCCTCCTGCGGCCACCTGCTGGCCTTGCGCCTGCGGCAGCACAGGTGTTGATCCGGGGAGCAGCTCCTTGCTCCCAGCCGCCGCAGGCTGGGCTGCATGGCTGCCTCGGTGGTCCTGGGTGCCGTTCAGGCCGGGCACGTGCACGACAGCTGTGCCGTTGACCGGAGATGCATGTTGCGCACCATGTGCTGCTGTTTCTTCACCTGCTGCCGTACCTGCCGACGCACCCACCGCGATCGCACTTGGTGTGCCTGCTCCTGGCTCATTGTCCCCCGCTTGGTGTTCGGCAGGAGGCTCCTCGCCCCCCGCAGGGTGATGGGTACCGGCATGGCGGATGGCGCTCCACACCAGTGCCAGTGACGAGTGTCCGTGCTGCTGGTGGTGCTGGCGCTGGAAGAGCTCAAACACGGAGCGTTTTCCGCTCAGTGAGCGCTTCTCTCCAGCGTTGCTGCTGCTGCTGTTGGCTTCGTTGTTGACGTTGGTGCTGGCGTTGGTGTTGGTGTTGGCGTCGTTATCGCCTGCTGCTTGCTGCTGTTGTTGCTGTTGTTGCTGCTCCCGATGAAGGCCCAGTTGGGCACCTGCTGCTGCTGCGCCGCCGTAATGGACGGACTGCCCCTCCACAATCACGCTCAAGTTGCGTGGGCGTGGAAAAGCAGCAACGTCGGCGTCCGTCACACCCTCGACGCCGTCATCCCCATCGCGACCTTCACCTCCACCACCAGCACCTCCTCCTCCTCCTTCTGCTCCCTCCGTACCCGCCAGCTCCGCTGCCCCGTCATCAGCCTCTTCTCGCGGCAACGTCGCGGCGGCAGCCAGCCCTCCTCCCCATGCACTACCCTCGCCCGCACCCTTCGCCACCTCGCACCCACCTCCCTGCCCCGCCCCATCCCCAGCGCCCGCCCCTCCCGCACCGCTCCCATGCACCGCCGCCGCCGCCGCCGTCTCCCTGTCCCCTGCCGCCCCGCTCCGCTCCGAAGCCCACGACCGCAACATCTGCACCGCCTCCTCCCGAGACGACAGCTGCCGTAACACCAGATCCGCACGCGCTCGTCGCAAACCAAGAGCCTCTCCTGCTGCTGCTGTTCCCGCCGCTGCCGCCGCTCCGTCACGTCTGCCTGCAGCCCCTCCAACCAGCGCTTTCCGCACGCGACTTAGCTCCTCCCGGCGCTGCGGGGTAGGGTTCTCCCGCAGCGAGGAACGGCCCAGGGACTGGAAGGCGCGGGAGGCGAGCGGGTCATCGTCCATGCGGCCGTACAACACACTGCCTCGGTACTTGATGGCAAGCTGGTGGGATGAGAGGTGGGAAGGAAGAGGTGGGCAGGATGAGGTGGGCAGGATGAGGTGGGCATGATGAGGGAAAGGGGCAGGGCATGGAGGCATCTCGTGGTTGGACCAGGAGCAAAGGATGCTGGAAAGGCCGACTACAAGACCTGGAAACCCAAACGCAAGCACAAAAGGGGCCTCAGATAGTGTGGCATGTCTAAGGAGTTGTGTACAAACATGTGAAAGAAGGCTTTGCGGATGCTAGCCCTGCCGCTGCCGCTGCATACGTCGTACAGCACCGTACCATACGGCACCGTACCGTGCCGTACCTGTACGGAAATGTGCATCAGGATGTCTACCAGCTTGCTGCCTATCGCCAGCAGCACTACCAACGCTATGCCGTACATCCAAAAGCTGATGTAGGCTGGCGGCGGTACGGCATACCACACCACTGCGATCAACCACATGTGCCATTCGGGGCGCAGCTGCGGGCATGCGTGTGGGGGCAGGTGCCGTACAAGGGTGTCGGTGAGGCGAGGTAGGGTGCAGGGCGGGGGCGGGAGGGGCGCAAGAGCTTGCATTGGTACATCCCATACCAATACACCTCCACCGTCTCGCGGGCAGTTTTCTTTCACACCAAAACACGCGGCGTGGGGAGACAGTCCGACAGTGTACGGTACGTGTCACACGGTCTGACAGTGTCTGACACTCGCTGTCCATGCAGACTTCAATGCTGCAAGCAGCACCCAGAGAGGCCCCCTTGCTGAGAGCTTCCAGGTGTTCCAACAACCAGTCCCCAACGTGCCGGCATCCGAGGCTGTGTCCTTACATGCTCCTACAGGGTGCCTCCATCCAGGTGCCACCCCAACCTAGACCAGCGGCTGCTGTCCGCCCAAGCACCCTCCCCTCCTCTCCGCCCTACCGTGCGCATGAGCTCCATCTCCAGGCTTCGAACGACCAGGGCTGTGGTCAGGAGGGCCGGGGAGTGAGAGGAGAGGCGGGAGTGAGGGGGAAGACAGGGGTAAAAGGCAGAAAGAAGACTCCGAGGGCGGCAGGCATGCCTTGAGCAAAAGAGAATCACATATACCCGCAAGAAGGGAGCAAGAGCTCCTCAGTCAATTGGCTGCGTCAATGTTGCTGTTGGTTAACTGCCAGCTGTGTGCAAACAGCAGCGCACACACACTGGCCAGTTATTATAACACACTGGCGCCTCAACGGCCGTGTTGCTTGCGCCCTCGCCCCGCGGCCCGCACACACATTCAAGCACATGTTGTTATGTCGTACAAACACGTACACTGTCGTGTCGTACAAGCACACGCATTGCCGTACCGTGGAAGTCGAAGTCATACGACAGTCTCATCTTTTCAATAAACACGAGCCGCGCATTGTGGTACAGCGTTTGATCCACTGAGATGTGCCACTGTCGTACGAACATCAGCAACCAGTGTGCTACGGGGTTGCTGCCCACGTTCCAGTATAGCCACCTGCAAGGAGCGAACGCGGAGTAGCGCATGAGCTGACCCAAAAGCAGCAGCAGCAAGTGCCTGCGCATGGTGTCTTCCACCCATGCAGGTACCCGCATGGCGGCGGTCGTGACACAGCACACAGGCAAAAGAAGCTTCAAACAGCAGGTAGGGGTGACAACGTGACATGGTGTGCTTCGTTTGCCGGTGTGCGAAATACCGGTACTCACTTCGCAGACACCTGCATTACATTGACATCGCCGTATTCACGTCGCTGCGCTTGCGCCTCTAGCTCCCATTTGCGCCACGTCTTGACCTGCGGTTGGCAGGGAGCCGACCCACGGGTCAGGGTGCTCTCGATTGGCATACGCAGCTTAAGCGAGAGTGCTACTATTTCGATCATTTAACACGACAAAGGCCCCATGCGACATGCAGAGCAGGGGTGGGACACGTCCGCAGCTGGGATATGTATGGTGCCAAAGCAGGCAGTGGCCTTGACCTAATTGGACAGGGTGGGTGGATCTCAGCACTGGGGCCTCCAGAGATCAATCGAGAGGGATAGTTGGGAAGCTCACCCGGAATAGCGTCGTGTAGACGGTGATGGTGCCGTACACGATGTGGGTGCATGCAACCACAAAGATGAAGATCTGGACAGCAGGTGGGCAGGAGTTCGTTGGGTTAAGCCTCCAGCGCAAACGCGTTCCAATCCAGCAGTCTATCCGCCCAAACCCGCAGGTGCTATCGTACATGGGCGTCGTGTTGGAGAGACACCGGCCACAAGCTCTCCTTGGAGTCCCCACAGTAGTTGACGTTACCGCCCGCAAGGAGCTGCCGACCAGTCGCCAGAAGGCGCCGGGCATGATCGACTGGAGACAGGTAGGCTTCACCAAGGTTCTTGGGAATGCAGATCTTGGCAAGGTCGTTCTTCGGTGGGCATCACATGAGAGCGAGCGGGATAAACGGTTACATGTGGCAGTGAACGGGCAAGACGGCGGTCAAATTCGAAGGTTTCGCTAGGCCCTCCCTAGAATTTGGGTCCGCATTTTGCAGGACTTGGAATGCTTGGACTTACTTGGAAGGCGCTGAGAAGCAGGGAGATGGAGCCCACGAAGAGCAATTCGTTCTTCACGTGACTTAGCGCCGTTGACAAGCCGTGACGGCTCTTTAACAGCTTATGAAGCCCCTCAAAGGACCTTTCCAAAATAACTGCAGCAGCGGAAGGTTCTGGTTGTCGGCCATTGCCTCGTCCAAATAGGTCTTTAGGTCATTGAATTTGACACCTTACCCGTCACAGTTGCAAACCCAATTAGCAAGAGGGCCAGACGCCATCCTTGAACATCGGCAATTTTGGGCGCGCTTGTCGCGCTCGTCTCTTGGGCCATTGCAGCGCCTTGCAACTGAAAAGCATCAAGGCGCAGCAAAACTTCAACGGCAATGCTTTGAACTTGAACTACATGAACACCGCATTTCATATGATGGCATAGCAGCAATTAGGTTCAGGAGGTGGGCTCCAAGTATCAGAAGTCAGACTGGGCTTGTGCACCAAGCCTAACCAACGGGGCCCTTCACCAAGTAAGCCACGCTTACTATTCATTCTCCGCGCCTCCCAGCGCTGAAGCTTCTTTGTGAGTACGCGCATTACCGTAATTAACCATCAACCGCTGATCCTCTGATTAGGCACCTAGCAGAATCATGCACGAAATCCTAGAAAGGCTCTAGGACAGAAACAAGAGATGGTCGTGTTCGTGCGGCCGTGTAAAACGTGTGCTATAGTGGACATAGTCGCCCCGCCATCGTCGCGTTGATTTGGTTCGTTAAGTCGCCAATTTAGGGAACTTTGCCAAGGAAACAACAGATGCCCCAATCTGTTTCTCCGTTACTTGCTACAATCGAGCAAAATGGCGCCTTCACGCCAGCGATTTGGACTGTAGCCCAATAAATGGAGGCCCCTCAAGCCTGCGGTTTCCCGTACAGGCCGAGCTTACTGACGTCCAATGAGTGCGCTATGGCTTGTGTGGGTTTGGGAGTGATCTGCTCTGAATGCTTTCGACATAGCATCTAGACACGTCAGCATCTCCAACTCTACAGCCTCGCCCCCTTCGGCTCGTTGTTCTGGCAGGGACATACAAGGATGCTGAGGTGGCCTGTGCGGGGCTGTGGGCTACGTGGGGCGAATCCCATGATGGTTGGGATTGGGTCGGCTTTTGAGTCGGCCATGTGACAACAGGAGTAGGTCACGAGAAGAAGAAGCTGATGATTATGATGGTGTCGATTTGGTGGTGATGGTGGTATCGTGGTAATCCTGAAGCTCGTTACTAGTACAGCAGTTGCTGCTCTTTCATGTGCTTTGCTGAATGGACAAGCCGGAGGTAAGAACCGAATGGACAAACCAGCAAGCGTGCAGGACAAACGTACTGACGACTGCGGCAGGGATGCACCGGTAGTGCCCTGTCTGTCGTGAAGGTGACTTGCTGAGCGAACAGTGCAAAAACACATTGGTCGCATTATCGGTTGTCTTGCAGCGCCCGCCACCACCACTGCGACCACGTAGGGGGCGGTTTGTACGGCTACCAATAAGAACCGTAGGCAACAGCCCCGACAAGGATTGACACAGACAGGTCGAAGCACACGGCATCATCACGGCATCATCAGCACGGGCCAGGTTCCGCGTTCTACATGGCAGCCGTACATGATTTCAACTGTCATTTCTTGTCAGGCAGCTTGTGTTATGTCGCGCTGACTACGCGTAAGACTTCTTGATAAGTGCCCTTGTGTTACTTATGCCTACCGGTATGACGCAAACAGGCCTTCAGGAACAAAGGCCACCTGGCAATGACATCATTCTCGCGTGCGTTAGTACGGCACCTTGGGCCATGATCTTTGACCGCTTATATCCCTTGGCCCTTTTGCCGTTTTGCGGTCTCACAAGCCACACAAATTGCATACGGTGACTTAAGGCACCGGCGCGGTACAAGCGAAGCCACTGTGATAGCTTGCAGTAAGCACATAAGGTTACCAACTCAGCATTATTACGCACTCACATCGCGCAAATATGAAGCTAACGAGTTGCAGTATGCGGGCGACGACTAGACCAATAGCGGTTCCCTCGCGTAAAGTGCTGGTCGCTCATCTACCATGTCATAGAATAGTGCAATGCAAAGCTACTGGTGGGCCCGACCCAAAGGAAAATGGCGTCAAGAAGGAGAGCGGCTTGGAGTTGACCGGCAAGCTTAATGAGCTCCTCGATGACTTGCAAAAGCAAGGGATGGACTCGAAAAAGGTATCGCTTGACCGCATGGTAGAAGCATAGAATTTGGTGCTTTAGATCTTCCTGGGATCTCACTCACTAGTTGCGCAGGAGGGCATGCTGGGACCACAAGTTTCATTATAGCAAGGAGGTGGCAACCGTACGTTGTGTTGAGTGACCAAGATGATATACATACTGCACTTGGATTGATGCCGCAGGCAAAGGTCGTCTTGAAGAAATGGAAGGAGATGGGCGTCCAGGACCCGGAACAGCTGCGGAAGCTTCTGATTAGGCGAAGCCTTAAGCCCGCTGGCACTGTTGGTGAGCCCATCCTTCGCCGTGCGGGCCGCCATCCTTTCCGCATCACCACAGTGCCGCATATCTGCAACAGCCTTACCTGCAAACTGGCCCACCTGCCATCCTTCCGTTCGTCCGTGTGTCGTTAAACACATAGGCATTATGCTTTAAATACCGGACCGTTTGTTTCTTTTTTGTCTTATCGTCCTGTCGCACCTCAAACCATCAGCTGCTTCTGGTCAGAGCCGTAATCACCGCAACCATACCTTTGCTCCTCCTCTCTCCCGCCCATCCACCGCCTTCCGCCCTCCCCTCCCTCCCCCCTCCTCTTCGTCATACCCCACCCCATTACGCCCGCCAGCTTTCCAGGCGTTCCTAGACGGCCTGGCCTGCTGGGGCGGCTTCTACACGGCTGGTCTCATCTCCGACTCTCCGCCCTTCACCGGCCAATTTCCGCTGCAGTTGGTCGCCTCCTTCTTCGGCTTTTTCTACGTGCTGCAGGCGCTGCTGAACCTGTCGGTAGCCGGCACGCTGGCCCTCACAGCTTACAAGTAAGGAGGGGGTTGTGGAGAAAATGTGAGAGGGGCAGCGGTGGAGCGAACAAGTGCGGGAAAGGCAGGGAGCGGAGGAGACGTAGGAGGAAGCGACCGTGGGCTGGGGTTTTAGGTTATTACAAATGGCCGTTACTTAAGGCATCTCCACGCCCCTACTGCGCCCCGAAAACCACCCTACCCTCACAACACCACCTGGCATCACCTCCGTACGACAACCCGTACGACACAGGTACGGCACCAACTCCGTGGAGCTGCTGGCTGCCGTACAGCAACTGGCTGGCCCCGCCACCGGGCTCAACGTGCTTGACAAGGCGCAGGTGGCGGCCAACACGCTCAAGGTGCTGGCAACATTGGATGAGATTGCGGAGCTGCTCAAGGTGGGTGAAGAGCGGAAGAGGAGGTGGTTATCCTGGTGTATTTGTGTCCCGCACTGGGCTAGGCTGAGGTTTTGGAGTGCGTAAACATTGCGCATTATAGGGTTCCTTACAGGGTTGGTAGGATAAGATGAGTACGGGTACGGTAACTGTGGGAGTAATAATTAACCGGACGGCATGGAGCAAGAGGGAGCTGCAGCCCGGAGACAGGTGGAGGAAGGGGTAGCACCGGTAGTCAACAGCCCGGACGCCCGGTTCCGTTTTCACTCCAACTCACCTTTCCGACCTCCCCCCCCCAATCCCTCTCTCCCACCACCGTTCCGACCACCATCCTGCCTGCGCCCTGCAGAACATCCCCAGCACCTCCCCGCGCCGCTCCACGCTCCAGAACCTCTCCGCCTACCTCACCCTGGCTCACGCCAAGGAGCGGTTCGGCTTCGACCCGGCGCGCTACGGCCTGAGCGAGGCGGAGGCGGGCGAGATCGCCTACGTCTTCTCCACATACGACGTGAACGATGACTACCGACTTGAGCTGTCGGAGGTCAAGCGGCTGTGGTGGGTTCCAGAGGAGGGGGTAAAAATAAAAAAAACTGACAAACTGGATGACGAGGCTCCTCCATGGGTTGCTAATTGGCCCATCCCGTATTAAGGGGGGGAGCCCGACGGGATCGGCCGTTCGGGCTCAAGGAGTTAGTCTAGGTATAGGTAGACGTATGAGTAGGACTCCCAGGTGGTTACCCGAGCCGTGTGCAGCAGGCTGGGGTGGGTGCCGCGACTATCTGTGTTCTATTACTCCTTACTAGCCAGCCCGCACCCCCTCCTCTGTCCATGTCCACCCATCAGCGCCCACGCAATGTCAAAACGTCGAGAGACCTCTCTCACCACAACTCCACCTCCCCTCCACCCCTCCTGCCTATGTTTCCTCGCCTCCCCTAACCGCAGCCAGGACCTGGGCAAGGAGTTGAGCGAGGAGGAGAGTCGCGAGGCGCTGCGGCTGCTGGACACCTCGGGCAGCGGATACGTGGAGTTAGACGAGTTCTGCGCATGGTGAGAGAGGGCGGCCTGGGGACGTTCGGGTCACGGAGAGGCAGGCCTGTGCTTGCATGGCGGAGTTGGGTTAGGGATCTATGTGGGACGGTGTTCTTACCGGTACTGCTGCGCGCATGGCCTTAGCCTCCCTGTGCTTTTCTGCAATCATATGCTGCTGGGACTGCTCTCTCAGTCCCGCACCCCCGCTTCCTGTTGGCCGCCAGGTGGACTAAGACCAAGAGCAGCAAGCCCGTCGTACCCTCACTGTGAGCAGCAGGTGGTGCGACAGCGGTAGCGGTAGTGGGTGGAGCAGCAGCAGCAGCAGCAGGAGGGGCGACAGCAGTGGGAGAGCAGCAGCAGCAGGAATGGATGCTATTTTGCGTGGAGGGACTGCACCACTCTGATCCGCCCAGTTGGCACGTATGAAGAGGTGTGGTAGCGCCGAAGCAGTTATGACTTACGCTTGCAGCTATGACATAAGCTTGCAGTAACGGCAGATCCTGGCATATGTGTGCATGCTTGTGGGGTGTGGCTAAGCGGCTTGTATGCATGCGTGTTCGTTTCATGCAAGTATGTTGCCGCATGGGGCGGAGTTTCCTTGTTGCTTCTTTGGGTCAGAAATGCTGATGACTGCTGGCGTGTTGTAAGGGTTGGTTGGATGGTTATGTTGTTACTGTTGTTACGACGCGTGCTTTGTGTGCATGGAGGGTGCACGAAAGGGGCAGAATTCGCGCACGTGCACGTGTTTGGCTGTGCTAAGTGGCCATGCACCGAAACATGATGCGGCGAAGTAAAAGCTGTTGGTGCAGGGCTGGCGAGTATTTGTTTCATACTATCAGGTACAGCCAATGAATCAGGCGGGGGGGTGAGGCATCATGATTTAGACACGTTTGGTCTGGCGGATAGTTGGTCCTCCACCCAACACACGAGCTTCTGGACGAATGCTTGTTCATCCATTGTGCACAATTGTTACACAGTACCATTAACGTGCAAGTAGTACTTGGACAAGGAAGACGCCAAGCACTCCGCAATCTTTAGCGACGCCCGAACCATTCATTCTACCGGCGGTGCCGTACACCAAACGCTTGAGTTGAACATGTGCGCATTTTGTCGGCAGGTATTCCTACAAATACTTTAAGACTCCTAGCTACAAGTGCCGTGAGATGCAAGGATGGAGCGCCCCCGGGACATAGAGCTGGGCATGGGCTGCGATGCCCATCGACGTGACGTGCCTGCGTCGGGAACCAACCAATCTAAGTGACCGCCAGTCTCCGGTCATTGCCAGAAAGGTTCTTGAATGATCTTCGCGAGGGCGCCAAGTTCTGTTTGTTGGAAGTAACGCAGGCCTTGCAACTCCGATTATACGTATCGGAGATGTACGAAGGCAGTCTTACCAAAAAGGCTCATAATCAGAAATGTACGCCATAGACCTTGACTTGTTAGGTTGGACGTCCTTTCCCAGACGTACGTGACTAATATCAAGCTCCAGGAAAGGCGTCCAGTGGACGTAACTTCACAACTTTCGCATTGTGTCAGGACTTGTCAGCAGAATTTATCCGTCAATAACACCAGACAGCAGTCGCGGGCCAGGCCCTTCTCTGCTTCTCCGACCTATGTTCTCTGCCCCTACGTCCGTGTTAGGGCCATGGCAATGATACTTAGCTAGCGTATGTGGCTGGCTCTCTCCGACCATTGAGCCCCCGTGCTACTTTTAGCAACTGGCGTCTATCCCGAACGGCACCTGGGAATGGACAGCACGCGCGGTGAAGCAGGAGTACTAACAGTAAGTGAGCAGAAAGGCATTACGGGTTTGGTGGCTAGGATAGTTACAGTTCTCAACGATTCCATGGATGGCCCTACTTACTGTCTTTCCTTGTACGCGGTAGCAACCAGTAGCTTTTGTATGATGTGTATTTTTTCGCTATTGGGTAGTCGCCTCCATTTGCGAAGATCTGCTGGGTGCGTATTTTGTTGCTATCTATACATGTATGTCGTCAAAGCGAAGGCCCGGAGACCGTCCAATACGAATGGCGTGTTGCCATTTACAAGGTTTCTGTGACTTCTTCTATCACTTCATACAGTTTATTAAGTCCTGCGTTGCCTTCCCTCCTTCGCCCGTCGCGCAGATGATGCCTTACGTCGGGCTTGTACCGCCTGCAGAAGGTGTTCGACGCATCAACTGACTAAAACATCTGTATGTTTATGCTTGTCTCTGGTCTTACACATTTGACTTATACCCGCTTCGCAGGCTCCGATGTAACTACGCCTCTGTCCACGATTTTATCCCCGTACATTCTTCCTGGCGCCTGGGCTTTGGGAGAAGGCCTGGTACGTGAAATCTTCGCAAGAGCTATGTAGCAGATAATCGCTAGCGACCCATGTTGCCTCGGAACCTTAACGTTGGCGCACTTCCTGCCCGCAGCACGACTTCATAGGACCTTCACCTGGGAAACTTCATCCCCGTGCCTTGGGCGAGGAGTACGCACCATCTGTGTGGCTCCAGCTGCTAGGGACATTGGGAAGCGTCCTGGACCTGGTTGGCTGGGACGGGGGTGAAAGAAGGTGAGTAGGCGGAGGGTATAGTCTCTGTATTATGACAGGTGGCACTTGGCAGTGCACTGTTAATCACGTGGGGTTGGGGGACTAGCAACCAGGCACGAAAGCCTGCCAGCGGCAAGAGGAACAGGAGTTGTAGCAGTGTTGAGGGTTGATAGCTCAGAATAAAGCCCATTGGATTGAGGCTGAGCTGTTACTGCCGCCAACCTGAGCGAGGTACCGCCAATTTGTGCTAGCGGTTTTCAGAGGGCATCCGTGGTAAATCCTGGTTACACAGTCCAAAAGGATTAATAGCGGGATGCTAGTGCCTTGCATTAACCCTCGTGTCGCCGCCCCACCCCTTCGCGCTGCCGTACGTGACGTACAGCCAAGCGGCCTGCTACAGTCATGGAGGCACTAATGACCAGGAGGCCCATAGCTCAGCAGGCAGCATATCCTCAGCTTCCAGTCGGTTATCTCCACGACCATCATCCGTCGCATCGACCAGCCGGTTACACTGCAAGGACAAGGAAGATTGACCTGGGGGAAAGGCCCAGTCTGCACAAGACGGTCTGCTTTATGGATGGACCCATGGGTCATCCCTCCAACATATACAGTTAGTTGGGTTTGGCTATGGCTATGAACACACAACTAGTGGCGTGTTGTGTTCGTATCAACGGGCGTGCACAGGATCTAAGATGCTTGCCACAGTGACTAGGCTGCACGGAGGGGCCGTGCAGGCACTCGGCAAGCTGATACCGCCGCTGATGGGCAGTGGCTAGTGGTGAACGAAGAGCCGTACATGTTTCCATGCCCGAAGATTTAAGTCTTAGTTGAGTCATTTGTTCATCGGCAACTTATGCGGATTTTTTTACGGTCGGAACATGAGCGATTTTACGATCTGCCCACGCGTGAGAGAATGCGGGTTTTCTCATGCTTGGTTCATAGGCTTCGTACCCTTTATTCTGTAAGTTGTATCCATGTGAATTTATTTGACCGGGTGGGCGTTAAGGTCAGACTTACCTTCACAGGTGTTCAGGTAAGTTGGCTTGAACGGTACCTATAATGGATGGGCCGAATTTGGATGTGTTGCACTGCACACGATGTGAACGTGCAATCTGTACATGTACTTCACAGACAATGAACGACTGCGTCATAATGCATATGCCGCGATGTCGTTTGAGGCGGGATGTGACCTGTTTGCCTTTGTATGCATGGTGCCTATTGGCTTCAATTAATATGGCGTAACCACAAACGCCAAATGTTTGCCAAATTGTGCAATGGTAATCGGGCTGTGAAGGGCGTTGAACACGAGGTTTTGGTGATGATGAGTGGTGGGGTTTCAGCTGCTGGTCGCTATTGGGCATCATTTGGAAGAGGTTGGATTTGGCAAGGTGCAGCAGGTTGATGCAGGTTAATCCTATCGTGATATGCCTCCCTGAGAAGTGGCTGCACCTTGGTTGGCCAACCCTCAAGCGTTACCAATCTCTGTAAAACGTATGCACTTTTGTTCAAATGCGCTGCTTCCAGCTGTAAGCCAAAGTGAGGCATTCAGCGAACGAACCCGCCATAAAACCAAGATCAAAATGGCACTGACTTGTAAAGCCCATGTAGCCACCGCCGCATTTATGAAGACGACAAGTAATCTCCTATCTAAAAGGTCGGCTTTAATAGTCTGGGCGAGTTCAGAGGGGTCTTATGGACGATCCCAACCGCCTTTGCATTGCAGTACACCAACTTCCGGCCGTGCATGCCCGTTGCAAAACCATGAAAAACTTTGCATATTTCTCTGGTAAAGCAGTTGTATCCCGGTATCGACCTTACTTCCCCACAGGCTGACTTTCGATTCAAATTATCAAGTGTAATCGCGGCCAACCGAGGCCAGCATAAAAATGCATCTAGCAAAAAGCCAAACTGTATCTGGCCAGCCTGTCGTCTACAGGGCAGCCCGCGAGGATTTCGGTGCGGCGTGCGATGAGAGCCAGCAGACTTCCCTAAGGACGCTTTCAGTGGTGATTCCAGAACACCGCCAAAAGGTAATATGCAGTAGAGAAGCCAGTCCATTGCACTATCTTCTAACTCTTCCTGGGTATTGCGTTTCTGTTTGGCGCGTCAGGTTGCAACCATGATGAGTCTTTCCGAGGCCGAAATCAGAAGTAAGCATACCCCTGCTCTGGCTGCTGCATATGATTATAGCTTACGTTTGTACCATTGCAATTTTGCAGCCCCTGGCTGTGGCGCTGACCAAAGTCTACAGCCTAGCCGACCGACTATCATGCTGCCAGGGGCTTGGGCTATGGGCGACGGTCTTATCCTGGTGAGGCCGTCGCCCTGTTCTGACAAAATTTTGTCTTGCCTTGTTTACAACCGTGAGAGGCTGACGGAAAGCGTTGGGCCAATGCTGCAGGAGGCGGACGAAGACTTACCCTGGAGCTACGATGAAGCACCGGACACGGAAGACTTGGAGAGCTTAGGGACAAGTATCGCCCGTGCTGCTGGAAGCTTCAGTGCCAGCGTGAGGGGCTACCTGCAAGACCTTGCCAGCGCCCTGACCAGCAGCGACGCTAACGTTACCTCGCCAACCGCTTGCACGCAACCGTGAGTTTTCCCAAAGCAAGCGGACAAGGTGTTTGTGCATGGTTGCTGGCGGGACCCTTCATCATTCCTGCTTGAGCACAGGAGACGATCCCTTGCTTTCTCCACTTTAGCTCCATCGTTGCCTGATTTGTAAACCACGACCACCCATGAACACGCCACCTCCACATTCCCTTTCTCATGCAGAATGGACGCTGAGGGCATTACCGGCGAATTTTCATGCTACAAGACGCAAGAGACTCGCAAGCACTGCAGGTACACCCGAGGCGCCGTTCGAGGTCTCAAGCCCCATGCTTAACGGCACGATGGCACACCTTGCTCCGCAACACCAGCGAGCGAGCACCGGTACGACACTGCTGCTTGGTTGCAATAATAGCGGTGAATGGAGGGTGCAGTCGTAGGTGCCGGTATAGCAGAAGGCTGTGGTGCTGCTGCCGTACGGTAATAATATGACCGTCCGTATGCATGTCCAAGCGTGCTTTCGTGCGGCAATCGCACGCATTGGAAAACCAGCCGGTGTGCTTAGCATCCGAGCTTCCGTAGGGAGTCGTGCTGGATGGTATGGCAGTGTACGACAGCATTAAAGGATTGGGTGGGTGACTCGCGTAATAGTCATTTTTCGTGGGGTTTTACTTTCTATGTCCAGGTGCCTATTACCCAAGGCTGCAGCTATGCAGAACTTGTCTGGCCAGTAAAGTTACTGATGACTGAGTGTATAGATCTCTGGAGACAATAGCAGAGGGGAGGGGCTTGGTTGTGCTTGAAGAGCACAAGCAATTCATACCATTGGCTGGCTTATGGTATTAGCGTTAGATGCCATAGACAGTAGGCTCTGTTCTTTAATGATGGTACTCGGTAAAAGCACGTGAACGGATGCGTTCCTGGGGCGTATGTCTCGCTCGATGCTAGCGCGGGAGGGGTATACGAAATTTATCCTGAATTGTGTTTTTTGTCAACATAGTTCGTACGATGCTTGCCAAATGAAGTGATCGAAAAGGACATTCAGTAACCTTGTTAAGCTTGTTGTGAGGGGTGTGTGATTCAATGTTATGAACAAAGCGTTTACCTATTTATGACGGGCTTGCACCCGACATGTACAACGAGGGGGTACCGTAGTTCGTTTAGTGGGTGGCTATAACAAACACGGGGGATAGCAGGGTTGCATGCCGTTAGCATCGTCGGTTAATTGGTTTGCTTCAGTGTTTCTATCCACCAGGTACCTTGGTTGTCTACTTGTGTTCTTGGACTTGGTCTCCGGGGCGCATCTTGGGTCACATGGGCTGATGGGCCCTGTGCTTACGTCGCCGCCCTTGTTCTCAGTAGGTGCGGTACACTGCTTTGCACTACCGTGTAATTGAGGTTTTGTCGAGGCTCCGCTGTGAAGGATAGCCGTGAGCTGGGGCGAAGGCCGATCTGTCGGATGAGCGTCAGCAAGTAGCCGCGACAGGGGAAGCAAGGCAGGATCACCAGAAGCGTGCTAGGTGCGCGGGTTGGACCTTGTTTGTGCCTTACGCCATGGACTAGGTAGCCCTAATAAGCACAGTGGATGTTTGTTATTTAATGGTCGAACGGGCTGCTTTCGCCGATGGCTTCATATAGCAAGGAGGGATACAGTCACGGCCACTGATAGGCGGTTGACATTGCGGAAACTACCATTGATAATTGAGCAACACTCCGATGCCACGTATATTCAGTCGGGCAAGGGGTATACAAACTGATCCTAAGGGCATCCGATCCAGCAACTTAAACTATGACGTCTTAAGATTATACATGCTACCCTTTCAACCCAAAGTCATAATGCCAACAATATAACAAAATACTGGAAAGCGACAACGATATCACAGTACCTTTAATGATTGACCGGAGATGCTGACATGGAGCCGTACTGCCAGGCCATCCGCGGTCGGTAGGGCGCTAGGGCCCGCAGGCCACCCCACTGACCACGACCAGGCCGAGGACCATCTGTAACGTTTCATAGTCTTACACGGCAAATTATCTGGGTGTGCCTTGCGTTCTACCAGATAGCAAGATAGGAGGTGTTCCTTTCGTGCCCACTCGAGCGACGCTCCACAAGAATGGTAGCAATGCAGGATTCAGCCTTTATATTGCATAATGAACATAGCAGTTGTGTAGGCGATGCAAGATATCTCTTGTCGCGTGGACATGCGGTTCAGCCGTCGCAATGCCGGGGTGCCGATAACGCAGGCGACAATTTACAGCAATGTAAGTCGCAATCGCGTGGGTCTGCAAACACCATGTAAGCACTTCATCGGTGGACTAGGTAGAACTATCTGCTGTCGCGTCCCGCCGAACGCAGACGTGGACCACGTCGGCGAGCTCGACTTACCCATATGTGTGGCTCTAGGAGCATGGCCCATGGGCGATGGTGTTATCGTGGTAAGCGCGCGCTACCAAGCTTAGTGGCGACCCAAATAGTGCTGACGTAATTCACCCTCATTTACTCGAGGACGCTGCTCTTTCCCTGAAGCCATCCGTCCGTGGCTCGGCAATGTTGGTTATAACTTGTGTTGTTATGCTGCTAAACTGCAGGTATCTTCATCATCTTCGCGCGCGGAGCCATGCAAGGATGACTCTGACACCCTTGGCACAACCCTGCTCCGCTTTGCCGATTGCATAAGCTCAAGCGTAAGCCGCTGCTTGGCGAGCCTGACCAGCGCTCTGTCTGCTGCCGAAACCGGACAACTTGAGTAAGTGTTAGCACATAATTCTGTGTGCTAATGGGGAGACATAATTCTGTGTGCTAATGGGGAGAGGCTCTTTTCCTTCTAGAAGTTATCAGGGCCACACGTTTGTGCCCCGAGAAGCGCCCTGGCATTTATGGGACGGGATGGACTAGTGCACCATTACTGAGTGCACCTCACCTTTGATCCACCCTTAATGCCACCTTTGGGGGAACGTTGCACTCCACACTGCATGTACCATGGATTGGGCACTGCTCTGGGCAACTCACGATTACCGAATGCGTACATGCCTTTGTTGCCCCGCAGATCCGGCATTGAGGGCGATGGCTCGGATCTGCTGTTCTTCACAACCGGGCTAGTTCAGTGGACTGCCTCGGAACACAATCCTCGTGCCGCCGCTGTTGCTGCTGCTGCCAGCAAGAAGCATCAGTGAAGGGGTGCAAATGCGAGTCGAGGGTTGTGCCTTGACGACTTCGTCTGGCTTGTGGGATTCTGTACAATTATTGCTGCAAACACGTCAGAATGCTGGCAGCAAAGTACGGCACGGCAGCTACTACGTGCCGTACAGCGCCTTGCATTGGAGGGGAGAAGTGCATGCTTAACACTGCACAAGCTATGCCTTCAAAGGACTAACTGTATAGTGTATACAATGAACTGCCCAACCACAGTGGTTCGTAGAGAGATATGATTTCCCATGTCAAGTGGCTTAGTCATTTAGCATATGTAAGCAAGCTGCGGCGCAGCACCGCTGTGTTGCCCGTTTGTATGCTTCGACTGAAACTTGGATATGCGCAGTTGTTGATGACCTTATGCATTTTATGGCTTGATTTTTATATATGGACTTTGAAAGGCGAGGCTGGGGGAGGGATCCAACATCTGGCATGCCCATTCGATGGGCGGCCTAGCTAACCGCAACTGACGTTAAGACACGTGCACTCTTGATGTCCACACAAGCCAAGTCTTGTGTCGCATGTCGGCGAGTGGAGATGCAGTTTATTATATCGTGGTGGTGCTTTCGCACCCAATGCTGGTCTACGCCTATAGTCCTTAGCGGTGTGGATCCATGTGACGTACCTGTACGTGGCATGTGATGAGTATCCACCGGTAGGTTACGTACGGTCCAGGAATAAGGATTGTTCTCGGGGTTGTTCTTGGAGCAACGTCGTTGGTGCGCGTGTGGTGGCGGCAACATGCCGTGTATGGGTTTGGCTGCAATCGGCTGGCGGATGCTTCTCCGTGCAATACACTGCAGTACGGCAGCCCCACTGCCGTACAACGGGCTATCCGGTGGTTTGCAATAGTTTGAAATCGTACATGGAATGATGTGGAAGCCCCACACGGCGCCTGTGCTGTAAATGAGATGCACCGGTACGGTTTTGGTCTTAAGAAGCAAAGTTTTGTCAGGTACCGGTAATGCCTTCATTTTCCTCCTTACAATTACTGCCCTCAGGAGGATAAACGGAACGCTAGCAATAAAAGGAGACACGGAGCAGCCGGGCTAGAGTCAAGAGCCTGACTGCTGTAGCTGCATGTGCCTGCAATCCTGCTACGCCTTCCTGCAAGCCTGCCAATCTCTCCTCAACCCTCCACCCTTTTACCTTCCACGCCTCAATCAGCTAAAACGAAACCATGTCTTCCCCAATGGCACCCAAAAACTCCTCCGCTTGCTCATCTTCCAAGTACGGCGCAAGCATCCAAACGGAAATGTATGTCGTACACAAGTCCGACAGGCGTTTCGCATCGCCGGTTTTTCCCCCACCGGCTCCTCCTTTCCCGACCACTGCCAGCGCAGCAACGCCCCTTGGATCCGCTCGTCTACCCACACTACCAGCTCCACCCACGCCAAACTCCTCCTGAGCCTCCGCAGCAGCAGCCTCCGCCGCCTCAATCGGCGCGGCAAACAACCCGGCAAACGCCGCCGCCACTGCTGCCTTGCTGTCGTACTCCAAACGGTGCATGTCGTACACATGGGTAAGCAGTTGCCGTACTTTCGGAAGGGGCATGGTGTGAAACACAGGGGTGCTGCGCATCCAAGGTTCGTCCTGCGGAGGGAAATTTTGAAAAGGGGATACCGTACGCTCTTTCAGTCTGTTGAGATGCCGACCATCCAACCGAATCACTCTCTACCCCAACAACCCCGCCCCTTGCTCCTCTTTAGTGACCCCGTGCGCCTCCTCCCTCCCCACTCAATGTTTCCGCGGCTCAGTTACCTAATTCCCCACCTGCGCCACACCCTCCAGCGAGCCCACTGCCGCCCCCAGCGCCGCCACGCACCCCTCCAGCTGCCGTACACGCTCCTGCGGGGGGCAAGTAGCAGGGGCAGCGATAACAACAGCAGTAGCAGGGGCAGCGATAGCAGCAGAAGCAGCAGGGGCAGCAGCAGCAGCAGCAGCAGCAGCAGCAGGGGCAGCAGCAGTGGCGGTAGCGTGTGTGTGGCTCTCAAGTCCATCCCAGCCAGGGTTTGGGCCGCATGTGTTCACTTCCTCCCCTCCCTCCTCCCCTCCCTCCTCCCCTCCCTCCTCCCCTGCCTCCCTCGCACCTGCAGCTCCCCCAGCATGCCCACCAGCTGCCGTACCAGCTTGCCCGCCGCCGCCGCCCGCAGCTCGGGTCTCAGTGTCGCCAGGGCGGGCGGCAGGCGGGTGGCGGGCAGGTGCGCCAGCTGCAGCCCGGTGTTGGCCAGGGAGGAGAGCGCGGAGTCGCCCGCGTCACTCAGCTCCTGAGGGGTGCGGGAGGGAGGGGGAGAGGGAGAGGGAAGGGAAGAGGGAGGGAGTTCTTTGGAGGAGTTTAGTAAGCCAGCCCTAGCGTTCTCCTCCCCCTTCCCATATCCCCATCGTTTCGACCCAACCTGTGGTTTCCTTTTGTTCGGTATGGTCTTTACCCCCCCTATCGCACCTGGAAGCGGCTGCGCGCCTCCCGCACCGCCGTCATGGCGCTGCGTACGGCACTCTGCGCCCGCTGCCGCCACTGCCGCTGAGCCAGTGAGGACATCTAGCCGTGTGCGCTTCCCCCGGCCTATCTTACCCGGCACTCCTTTCCTTTCCTCTCCCCTCCTCTCCTTTCCTCTCTGCGTTCCTGGTGCACACCACCCACGTCGTCTCGCAGCTGCGAGCTACTGCTATACCACCACTACTGCTGCTTGCTGCTTGCTGCTACTGTTGCTTGCTGCTGTCTTCTAGGACCAGTGCAACCAAGCTCGACCGTCCTTCCTCAGGCTGCGTTACCGGCTGCCCTCCCTCCCTCCTCAGGCTACCGCCCCCCAGGCTGCCCTCCTCACGCCGCCGCGCACGCTGCCCGGATGGCTGCCGCACAGGCCTCCGTGGCCCCCACCGCCGCCGGCAGCGGCAGCGAGCGGTCGAATGTCACCGCCGCCACCCCCTGCGGCAGCAGGCACAGCGCCAGCCCCACCAGCCGGCGGGGGCCCAGCGCGAAGACGGAGCCCTCGCCCTGCTGCACCACCTGCAGCTTGGTGCCTGGGGGGAGGGGAGAGGGACGGCGGGGTGGGAGGGAGGGAGCGGTTTGGGTGGGAGCCTGGGGGGGAGACGCTTGACGGGGGGGTGGAGCTGGAGGATGGGTCTGGTGAGGAGGGCTGACAGGGAGGGGGCTAGGGCACACGGCTCTGCGTGCGCAGCGAAAGTGGGATGCCGGGGGCTTGCTAGGTGAGGTAGGGTTGCGGTGTGCAAGCAGCAGCAGCAGCAGCGGCGGCAGCGGCAGCCAATTGTCGTACCTAGGGCGGTGAAGCTGACGGTGGGCTGCAGCGAGTTGAAGGGGCGCAGGAACTGAGTGACGCTGGGCGGGGGCGGCTGGGGAGATAGCAAGGGGCTGGGGCCAAGGTCGCCGCTGCTGCCGTACGCAGAGTTCTGCGTGAGGGAGGAGGAGGGGAGGAAGGGAGAAGGGGAGATGATTCGAGGGAGGGAAAGCCGTTGGTTACTGACTACCTGAGCCAGGTTGCGGCAGAAGGCTGATGAGGGTCGTAAAGGTATGAATCTTGTAGTCTAAAGGACGGAGTATCCTGAGTCCTGTACAAGACTTCCTTCTGCCCATGGTAACCAGCCAGGCCATCTTCGGCATCACCCCATCCAGGCAGGAGTACCCCAGACGTGTCCTACCAAGTCGGCTCCAAGTTCGTCAGCAAGTGGGCCTCTAGCTGGATTGCACACGTGGCCGTCAGTCTGAAGGTCGGATCGGTGGAAAGGAAGACGGGTTAACGGAATCGACAGCTCGCAGCTCTGGCCCAGGCTTTATACAATTAATTAGCCGCTTACAGTAATAAGACAGTATCCAGTTATGCCCTGAGTTTTGTTTAGTCTCTCAAGATGTTCAATAGCGACAGATACGAAGCCCGGAAAGCCAACCATGGACACTGGCCTTTGTTATGGCGGTATTGTTATTTTAATTTGGCGTAGCCAGATCACCTTGTAAGGGGCCACCTAAAGCGCTACAATGCTAAGTATTGCAACCAAATCGGCGTCCTTGGTGCTTGACAAACGCTCCGTACGGACGTGCTATGACACGGATGCGACGATGAAGCATTAAGGTATTGCGCTGGAAAGCCCCTAAGCCGGTTACATCAGTGGAGACTGTAGCAACGTCTACGTATTTCTGATCACACATGCACTATAGCGCGAATTGGAGGAACGGCCTGCTTGCAAAGGCAACGTGAAGAATCCTCTTGAACCATCGCGCGTCTTCTAGTCTTACGCTTACCCTGATAATCGCATGCAAGTACTTGCTGCCCCCTGCCCCGCGCGGGTTGCACGAGCTCCATGCGTCAGTAGGGTCTCACGGCCGAGGCGTTTGCGCGTCGCTTGCTCTGTGACGACGCCACACAGCGGCTATCACTTCGATGGTACAGGACGGCGCTTCTTTGAGGGCTGGTATTGGAAGGTGTGACAGTGAGGGCCAACCATCCATCCACACATTCGCTCTTTGCCGCGCAAGCTTTTGTATTCCAATCCGAGCGAACTCCTTTACATCATGTTGTTAAAGTAATATTTACTCCTCCAACTGAAGCCAGGCATCACTGCATTCGACCGTCCGCAAGTAATCATCCCCACCATTCATTCCTCGTTCACCACTTGTCAGGTGGTCATGCCTGACACCGGTCAAAGCTTCGCGCTCATCTACTCCGTAGAGGACCCACTGGGCAACACGCCGCAAGCGGGTGTGGGGCTGCAGGTGATGGGCCCCGACGATGGCTACATCTGCCAATTCAGTCCTCGCGTGGACGGCTTCTGGGCTGCTCCGCACCGTCTAGAGCTGGGAGCCACCTTCACACCGGCGCCAGCAGCGGCAGCGGCAACGGGATCCAATACACACACGGGTTCCCCCAGGGGCCCGCCCCGGGGAATGCTGGGACAGGTAAGGGCGGGCCATGGGAGGAATGACTCGTCCCCATGACCCCTGGGTTGGATGGGGTGGGACACTTGGGGCTGCATGATGGCCTTGTGAAGATGGAAGCTACCGGTTGCAAGGCCTCTGGTGCCCGAAGCTACATGCAAACAACCCTGCATGCTGGCCTCCCTGCCTCCCTCACTTCTTTCCTCCCTCCCTGCTTTCCTCCCGTCAGGACCAGTTTTTCCAGCAGGTTTCGGAGGGCTTCCAGGCCTCCCAGCGGCTGCAGCAGGGGCGCATGGTGGCGCGGGAGGAGGGCGCCGCGGGTGGGGATGGGGCTGTGGGCTGGGGACGGGGACGGAGCTGTGGGCGGAGGATGGAAGTGGGCGGGAAAGTGATAAACTGAGTCGCGGAAACACTGACCCTGACTAACTGGGTGGGAACAGGTGTACACGTGCCTAAAGGAGGAGGGGAGCGAGGGTATCTGGGTGTAAGCGTTCTTACTCGCCCCAACACGCCTCTTCCCTCCCCTGCAGGCCCCCCCATGTCAACCGTCTCTAGTGCCTCCTGGTGCCTCTCCATCACTCCCAGGGTGGGAGCGGGGGAAGCGGGGAGGCGGGGAGGCGGGGAGGGGCGGTGGGTTTGATTAAGGAAGGGTTAAAGGACGAGAGCCCGGTGCTCCATGCCAGGTGCCGGCCACGCATCTGGGGCCAGAAGGGGGGGTCAAAGGGACAAAGACCATACCTAACCCTGGGAAACCACAGGTTAGGGCAAAGCAATGGGGTGAGGGGTGAGGGATGGGGAGCAAGGTTTGTCTTGTGCCTTTACCTATCCACGCACCCTGCACCTACCCGCACCCTCCGCGCCCTGCACCTACCTATCTACCCCCGCATCCCTTCACCCCGCTACCGCACCTACACCCCCCCGCACCCTCCGCACCCGCACCCTCACCCCCACAGGCCGGCTGGGGCTCCCCCTCCGCCCGCCACCAGCAAGCCACCGCGGGCTGGCTGTCCGCGCTGCCCGTGTTCGAGCCGCACTGGCAGGTGCTGATGGCGCACGGCGAGGCGAGCGGTTGGCTGCAGTGGGGCGAGCGACGGTTCAGCTTCTCCGGCGCGCCCGCGTACGCGGAGAAGAACTGGGGCGGCGGCTTCCCGTCTAAGTGGGCGTGGGTGCAGTGCAACTCGTTTGAGGGGTGAGTTGGGAGGGGGAAAAGGGGGGATTAGGTAAACTGAGCCGCAAGGAAACACTGACCGTGACCATAGGAAGAAACATTGATGATGGAGGGGAAAGAGGGAGGGGAGCGGGGGAGGGGTTGGGGCGCTGCTGCTGGGGAGGGCCTAGCAGTGTAGGGGTTACGAGGAGGACGCACTGCCCCACCCGCTCACCTGACCCCCTACACCGCATTATGGCAGCGAGGGGACCGCATATAAGCTGATGCTCCTCACCACCTCCCTCCCTCTCCTTCCTTTCCTCCCTCCCTCTCCTTTCCTCTCCCTCCCTTCCCACTCCCCAGCCAGCCGGGTCTGAGTGTGACCTCAGTGGGTGCTCGGCGGGGTCTGCTGGTTGGGCTGCCCGGGGTGGAGGAGGACGTGGGGCTGCTGGGGCTGCACCTGCCGCCGCACCTGGCGGGGGGCGGGGGGGAGTTCGTGGAGCTGGTGCCGTGGAACAGGTGGGTGGGGGGAATTAAATAAGTGAAACAACGAGTCCCAATCCCATATCCCGACTCATGCAGTGAGCGCATTCGGAGACACTATCCTAGAAGCACGCATCTCAAATTACTTACCGAATCGTTGGGGGGGGGGAGGCGGGGGGAAGGGGTGGACAGGGAGAGGGAGAGGGAGGGGGGAAGGGAAGAGTACCCAGCCCGGCACCCTTGCCTCCCCTACCCTCTCGCCTTCCCGTTTGAAGTAATCCTTTGCACATCCCCCCCAATGGCTTCCCTCGTTCCCCATTGCTTTGCCCTAACCATTGGTTTCGGTATATCTCTGACCCCCCCCTCCCTTGCATGCCAGCGAGTTGGAGTGGGAGGTTTCCCCCTGGGGCAGCTGGCGGCTGCGGGGGGCCAACAGCCGCTGGGAGGCGCTGCTGGAGGCGGAGTGCGAGGCGGGGGCGGGGGCGGTGCTCAGGTGGGGAGCGGGGTGGGGGAGTGGGTAAAAGAGGGGTTATACGCGGGGGCGGGGCGGGGCCGGGGGCGGCGGGGGTGCTCAGGTGGAAGGGGTGGGTAAGGAGAAAAAAGCTGACGACGAGCTGAATGAAAAGACGAGGCTTCGCCAGCGGCTGCTGCTTTGGACCCTGTGTCGTGCCCCAACGCTGGTTTGGGGTTTGGCCAACGCTAGCGCCACCGGGGTCCGTATGCCTTCCGAGTGTGCGCACTGGTTGCATGGATGCCCTCTCCTCTCTGCATGGCTTGCTGTACCCTCTGACCTGTCTGCCGGCTCTCTCCCCCTTGTGTCTTATCCCTCTCCGCACCACCTTCTCCCTCTCCCTCCCTCTCCCTCTCCCTCTCCCTCCCCCTCCCCCTCCCGCCCCCCACAGGGCGCCCACCACGGCGCAGGGACTTGCTCCCTTCTGCAAGGACACCTTCTTCGGGCGCTGCCGCCTCAGGCTGTGGCGGCGCGGAGGCGGGGGAGGCGGGCGGGGCGGCAGCGGTGGCGGCGGGGGAGGCGGGCGGGGGGAGCTGGTGCTGGACGCACATAGCAGCACGGCAGCGCTGGAGGTGGGGTGGGCGAGTGGGCGCCGGTTGGGGGCGGGGTTGGGGTGGGGGCGGGGGGGCGGGGGCGGGGTTGGGGTTGCGGATGGGAACTCAGTGGTTGGCGGCTGCCCGCGATGCTACGGTGTGTCCCTCCTTTGCCCGCCTGTACCCACCCCCCACTTGCCGCCTCTCCCTGACCTTTCCTTTTCATCCCCCTTTTGTTTCGCTCTCCCCCCCCCCCCACCAGGTGGGCGGCGGCCCCTGGTGGGGTCCCTGGCGTGCGCGCGCGGAGATGCGGGAGCCGCTGCGCTCGCTGGTGCGGCTGCCGCTGGACGTGGGGGCGCTGGGGAGCTGCCTGCCGGAGGGGGTCAGGCCGCCGGGGCTGTGAGGGGGTGAGGAGGGGGTGGGGGTCAAAGAGGAGCCAAACCTGTGAGAGGAGGAGGGGCTGTTGGGCAGAGCAGGGTTGCCAGCAGCAGCAGCAGTGTCCGCTTGCGGGTTGTGGTGTTGTCTGGATGCTCGCTTGCATGCTCGCATGTGCATATCGTGTATGTGATACTATAGGCAATGAGCGATGAGACGTGCATGGACTGTAGGAGCAAGTTGCGACTGCAATAGCCGTGGGTGTTGGTGTGGTACGTCCTGTGCCCCCCTGGAAGAAATTGGGTTATTGATTTGACGGCCGGGAAGAGAATGGAAGGCCGAGAGGGGAAGAGAGGAATGTGTGTCTTCTCCCGCTGGTAGTGCATGGCTGGTTGACTGGGAGTTGGAATGTACATCCATGTTTGCGTTGAAGTGTATGTTATTGTTAGTTGCTATGCCATGTACTAATCCATATGCACCTTATTTGACAAGGTGTATGATGTAAGGGGAAGCAGTAAGGGGAAGCAATTAGCTCGTTTCGGACACCAACAAACCAAGGGGGAGCGTGAATGCAAGGCCGTGGTTGCTGTGCACGACTAATATCTTAGATACATGGGTTGTGTGCAGCCAGGACCAAGGAAGGACCAGGGGCCATCCGCATGGGTGGTGCCACACAACCATGCGTCGCATCTCTGCGGGGACGGCACACGACGCAGAGGAAATATCCACCAGCCTACGACGGTTAAGTTACTTTTATACCTTTTGAAAAGGATTGATATGACCAGGACAGCGGCTTCTAGCTTGGCTAGTTCGGCTTGGTTAGTGATCAAGCAAACCACAGCAGGCTGTCACTCAATAGCGCCGCCCCTACCTTCTGCAGGTCTTCTTATCGACCGACGGCTCGCAGACTTCCCAACATTTTGCCTGGACAGCTACCTGGCGCCTAGCACCGGGAATGTGCCGTACGGATCCGAACTCCAGGGCGTCGCGCCGTCGCCGCACCTTGACGCATCCTAAAAGCCGGCACCAAGGCATTCTTGATAGTCATACCGTGGTCAGATGTATCGGCGTTGGCAGAAAGATGCGGTCGACAAGTATCACAGCCTTGAATCCTTTAATACTTTTCTTGGGCGCCTGACTCCGCTTACTGGTCCGAACGTACTGGCCGTCTGCGATACGGCGGATCTTTACTCCGTGCTAAGCGTGCTTCATAGCAAGGGCCGCAATCCTGAGGTCAAAGTTAATACCAACCCAGGCTTCTATTATTTTCTGGCCAATGCTGTCCAGCCCGAAGCAAGCGATGCCGGGCTCGTGGCGGACGTAAGCACAGGCACCGCCGATAGTGCGGCAGTGACGGCTGGCGATGGCGTGCGGCGTGAGGCCGTTGTCCCGATCAGCAGCAAGAGCACAGCGCTGACATCGGAAATGTTCGCGAAGTTCTTCATGCTTGAGGCCCATCCAAACGTGTCGCATATCTTGCTTGCGATCATCGACGACGATGGCTCCGTCTCCCTGACCCGCGTCTTCAACTATGTGCAACCACCGTTTGAGGGGCCGGAAACCCTACCTCCACTAGAAGCTGCTGAAGGTGGTGCGGGAGGCGAAAGCGACGATGAAGGCTCCTGAGGCAGTCCCAAGTTCTGATACCCTCCTTGTTGCACAGCTTGGAACCCGGACGCAGGGTAAGTGGTGGGTGACGGCCTGTTTCCCACCCAGTGCAACAACCTCCCACGAGAGTGATATTAAACCTTTTTGCCAATCAACCTGAGCCTCTATTGCACCACGCATGTTGCATGTACCATCCACCGATGGACGAACGATGTTGTAGTGTGCTGCGCACTATCTGACAGCACCTTTACATGCCTTGTGCAGGTTTCGTCCGACAAGACTGGCCTTGATCCCTTGACCCCTGGAATGCGGCGAGGGGGGCCTTGCGCCGCTGTACATCCCCAAGATACCCGCCCTCCCCCTCCTTCATATGCAAGGCGGCTTCTTCCCCAAGTCATCTCTGTTTCTGGTAAGCAATTGGTAAGTCTCTGAGATGCGTGTTTCTAGATTAGTGTCTCCGAATGCGCTCACTGCATGAGTCGGGATTCGGGATTGGGATTGCGTTGTTGCACTTATTTATAATTTTCCCCCTCCTGGTACGTCTTTACGCATGTGTACCCTCTAGCATTCAGTAGTAGCTAGACAAGCAACCTTATAGAGCAAGAGCCAGACAAACAACCTTGTGCTGACATGCCTGCTGCTGTATCCTTCCTCTTCATAGGTGGCTGTTTGGAGCGGCTACACCACTTACCAGGAGAGCATCCAGCTTGCTGAGTCGGAGCTGGCTCCGGAGCTCGAGCTGGGGCCAATTGAATGCTTACGACGCCTAGTGGCGTCGTGAAATGCCCTTTCTTAAGGCAACAATCTGTAACGAGAGAATCATACTGTTCCAAGGGGCACTGAACTCGAGTGAAGACACTTGAAATTAGACAGAATGTCTGGGACAGCTCCTAATTGATATCAAAGCAGCTTTTGCATTGCTTTACATGCTATTCATGAAAAGTTGAAGACGTCGTATCAGAGCCAGTTGCTACATCAGAAACACCTACCTCGGCGGCTTATGCAAGCCATACCCAAGATGCTGCAGCACCCTATCGACGCCTAGCATATCAGTTTGTAACCCATCCTGCAGCTGTACTGCCATGCCGCTCACGAGGCGTGGGTGCCAGACATTTTACATCTGTCGCTCATGGCTCCACCTCCGTACTCTTTAAGCCTTGCTCATGGCTCCACCTCCGTCCTCTTTAAGCCCCGTCTTCTTGCTCTCCACACCTGCGCTCCTTACATCTCACTGCACCTCCTCCCCCGTGCCCACCGCTAGCACTTAATACTCCTCCCCAGCAAACAGGTCCTCATCCGTCAGCTTCTGCAGCCGCCGCAGGAACGACTCCGTCAGCGTCTGCCGCGCCACCGCCGCCGGCCCCGCCGCCAGGTACCTCTGCGCCACCTCCAACCCAGCCTCCACCCGCAGCAGCTTCTGCAGCGCCGCCTCCGCAGTCGACCGTGTGATGCCCGACACATTGCCGCCCGCCAGTACGGCACACATGGAGGGCACCAGCGCCGGCAGGTGCGGCTCCAGCAGCCCCTCCCCGCCCTCCCCGCGTGACGCCACCTCGATAGCTAGGCCGCGTACGGCAAGCAGCGCCACACGCACTACCTCCGAGCCCTGGTCGGGACCCAGCAGCGCTTGCAGTACAGCAACGCACACCTGCAGTACGGCAGCCGCGGAGGCGGCCGGAGCAGCGGGGTTGGTGACGGCGGCGGCCAGGCGTGCGGCGGCGCGTGAAGCCGCGGTCTTCACGCCGACGTCCTCGTCCCTCGCGGCGACACGAATCGCGTCCTGGAAGGGCTTCAGCACGCCCGCCTCATCCAGCCTCCCGCCGGCGTAGCGAGCGGTGGTGGCGAGGATGATGCCGTTTAGCTGACGAGCGGCGGCGGAGGCGGGCTGCGAGGCCGCCAGCGGGCCGGCTGCAAGCACGGAACGCAGGACGTCGGGTTGTGCCACGCGGCACAGGGCGCCCAGGCAGCTGCCCACGTAGACTCGGTACTCGTCGTCGTCTCCCGCAGCGGCACGCATGGTGTCACGCAGGATGTCGGCCACGGCCACCACAGCGGTGGGTGCGAGCCGCTCCCCGGCAGCAAGTATCGCACCGCGGAGGGCGCGCAGGTGGGCGTCGCGGACCTGAGCAGTGGCGGGCGGGGGGATAAGGTACCGGTAATAATAAAGTGAAGCAACAGAGTCCCAACACCGGCCACCTTCCAAACCCTCCGCATGCTCTCCTCCCCCCCTTCCTTCTCCGTCCCCTCCCACCTGCGGCTCCGCAGTCCTGCCGCTGGTGGCCAGGTCCTGCACCAACTGCTCCAGGCGCGCGCTCATGCGGGTGAGCTCACCCAGGTTGTCCGCGGCGCGCGTGCGAACCACCTGGGGGGCAAACGAAAGTACCAAGCCACACGTCAGGACAAAAGACGAAGGGGATGAAGAAAGACAGAAGACTGAGACAAAGGAGGCGGCAGGGTGGGGGGGATGGACGATTCGGGATGAGGGACATAGGGAGATGAGCAGGGGTTGCAGAAGTAGCAGGGTAGGGTTGAAGGGTTGTCAAGGATGCAAGCCATACACACGGGATGAGCCACCCCTGCAACCTACTCCATACGCAACCCCTCCCCTTCCCTTCCCCTTCCGTTCCCTCCCTCCGCCGGCCCTTTTCCCTCGTGCTGCCACTCACATCGCTCTGGTCGTTGAGGCACTTGAGGAAGGTGGTCTGCAGCTGCGGCACAAAGGGTTTCAGCCCGGGTCCCGCCTTGCCGATCAGCAGCCCCAGCGTGCCCAGAATCGCCGCCTTGATGGGCGAGGGGAAGCGGTCGCCGATGATGCGGATGAGCGGGCCGGTGATGGACACCACGAAGGGCTTCAGCGCCTCCTCGCTCGTCGCGCCCACCAGCTCACCCAGCCCCTCCGCAGCCGCCTCGCGCACCTCCGCACTGCTGCCCTGCAGCACTCCCTGCAGGTAGATGGGCAGCAGCGGCGCTAGCGCCTTGGGAGGCTGGCACAGACCCGCCAGCAGCTGTGGGCCGCCGCGACGCTTGCGGCGCTCCTTCTCGCGCGCATCCGCCACGGCAGACTGGGTGTGGGAGGTGCATGGTGGTGGTGAGGGAGGGGAGGAGATTAGGTAAACTGAGCCTCGGTGGGAGGGAGGAGAAAAGAAGTATGTGAGGAAAGGAGTATGTGAGAAATGGAGTACCGGTATATGGAGGGGAGGAGTGCGGCAGAGGAGGGGCGAGAGAAAGTTGATTGGAGAATGGGTGCAAACATGGTGAAGGAGGGATTGAGGTGGGTGACGAGATGGCCAGGGAGTGCGGTGAGCAGTTGATTAGGGATTTTGTGTTGGGATGCTCAGATATATGCTTGTCTTCTGTGTCTAGAGTCATCATGGGATGTGATGGTCAGGACGAGGAATGAAGCTATCATCAATGCAACACACATGAGGTACTACCGGCAGCCCCGCGAGCCGCAACTATGCCACAGCTTTAAGGGAACCCGCCTGCCCTCCAGCCCAAGGTCACAGACTCACGCGACAGCCCCCCTCCCATGCAGCTAGTGCCGTGCAGGGGGCGTCACACGATGCAGCAGCCCCGGCGGCAGCATCCCTGCTGCGACTGCGCCCCCCCCCGATGCTTTTAAGAGGTTGCAGAAACAAGTTGCTCAGATATATGCTTGTCTTCTATGTTGGTACTCATCACAATTGGATGATCAGGACGAGGAATGGGTTATCCTCAAGGCAACCATGTGCGCACATAGTGTTCCCTCTCACATGCTGCAATTCCCTCCCCTCTCCCGAACGGGTGAATACAAGGTAGCCATGCTCTGATGAAGGGCCCTCGGGGGAAGAGCATCCACGTGTACCCCGCATTGTGCCCTCACGTGTTGTTTGGTACCTCTTTAGCCCCGCATTATGCCCGGTCCCAGACGAAAGGAGACCCAGCAGCAACCAAGTAGCGCAACCCAGCTGCAGCCCAGCAGCTCAGTTGCCCCCAACGCACCCACCCACCCAGCCCGGACCCACCCGTCATGCAACTCGGCTGTTTCCTCTTTTCACCCCGGACCCACCTTGAGGCAGTAGACGTACTCCGGCAGTGCGTCCTTGGGGATGGCGCCGCACACCGCCTCCAGCGCCTTCCAGATGGTCATCAGCTCCGGCAGCGGCGCGTCCTCCGCCAGCAGCAGCACCAGCGACTGAGGAGGGTGGGGGGGGGGGGGAGAAATATATGAAAAGTGAAGAAGGAGGAGGGGACGGCAGTGATAGGAGGAGGCGCAGAAGGCGGCAGATTTAAGAGCATGGGTAAGGAACCTATCGTTTACATTTGTTACTTAGAAGCGTCAGGAGAGCAGCGACTATAGCTCTCTAAGTTAGGTTCTATACGGCAGTCGTACAGCTCGTCCTACTCGCTGTATATCATTGCTTGTTTGCTCCGTAGTTCGGCATTCTGCCTTCACTATTGGAGCTTTTGTTGCTCGTAACTCCCCTCCGCCCGCCCTGGCCAGTGCCTTCCGCGACACAGCAGGGCTCGGCCCAGGTTCCGGGTTCGTTTGGGTTCTGCAATAGTGTGTAAGGCCCAATCCAATCCATTGCCGTGCTTCAACGTCTGCCACCGCCGTTTCACGCACTTTCCGAGCCCAGTCGGCCTGCTTTACGAGCTGTTAAGACTACAGTGTAGAATGGCTAGGAAAGCGAGGGCTTCTGAAAGAAGCTCTTAACCCTTCACTTTCATCTTCTTTCCAACCCGTCCAATTCTCCTCCCAGCCGCAAAAGTTGCCGCCGCTATTGTTCGGGGGCATTGTTTCCTTCTTCCCATCCCCCCCCCCGCCCACACATTGGATTTTCTTCTTCCCGCCCCAGCCGCCCACCCAACCCACCTGCACCAGCTGCGGCACGTGCTCCTGGAAGTCGTGTTTGGAGGAGCCGGCGAAGGCGGTGATGAGCTGCGCGGCACCCTGGCGGGTGGCGGCCTCGTCCAGACCCTGCGGAGGGGGACGGGGGGCGATAAGATGGATGGGGCGTTATGAGGGGATGGGAGGAGGAGTACCGTAGGAGGGAGAGAGGGCAGAGGACAGGCACCAAGAGAGGGAGGAGGACAGGTATGTCAGGCACTTTGTCCGTCTCGCTCAGGCGCCCCCTAACCTACCGTCCCTCGCAGGTAGGTGCGCCCCTCAGCCCTCACCACCAAGCCCCTGCCCGCATCCCCCCCACCCACCTTGACCAGCTGCGGCACCAGCAGGTGCAGCCCCTCCTCGTCCACCGCCGCCGCCACCGCCACCGCCGCCTCCGCCGCCGCCTCGCGACCCGCCGCCGCCACCTCCGCAAGGTCATGTCCATCCGCCGCCACCACCGGCCGCGACCCGGACGCCGCCGCCAGCAGCGCCGGCATGATGGCATCCAAGTGATTATTCAGGTGCACGTCCGCAGCGGCCGCTAGCTCGCCCAATGCACGTACGTTGTTCAGCTGCAGCGGCTTGTGCAGCAGCTTGGGGCACACGAAGTGGAAGATCTGCGGTCGGACCTGCAGGATAACCCGCAGACCCTCCAGGCTCTCCCGATAGCGCCGGTCGTGCTCCAGGCCTGCCAGCATGGAGGGAACGACACCATCCACCGCGGAACCCCCGCCGCCGGAGCCCTTGAACAGGATGCCGAAGGCAGCACCCGCGGCCTCACGCACACCCCCATCCGCATCTGTTAGCGCGGTTTGCACCGTGGGGAGCACCTCCGCAAGGTGCTCTTGCAGCTGGTGACGTCCCATGTTGTCCAGTACCTCCTTCAGGCCCAGGCACACGCCCTGCCTGGTAGCTGCGCTCTCCGAGCTTATCCCCTCCCGCAGGATGGGGACGATACGTGCCAGCACCCGCTCGCCCATCTTCCGTACCAGTTCTCCCAGGCACCGCGCCGCCGCCTGCCGCCGGTCCTCGCCCTCATCCGCCAGGCTCTCAATCACCAGCTGCATGAGGTTTGGCAGGATCTGACCCAGCGTCTTGGGCGTGTTGACCACCACCGTCTTCCATACATGCAGCGCCTCCTGCCGTACAGTGTACTGCACGTCCGTACGAATGATGTACAGCCGTGCGAGGACCTCGTTACGGCGCTCCATGCCCAGGGCGGCGATGATGGCCTCGCCGTACGACTCCTCCGCAACACCCTCCTCGTCCTCGTGGCCCTCCAGAACCACATTGCCGCTGGCGCCAGCGATCTGAGGTTGGGGGAGAGGAGGGGTGAGGTGAGGACAGTGAGGGTGCGGAGAAAGAGAAGAGGAGTGTTTACGAGGATTATGACAAAGGCTCCCCACATGGATGGGCCGGGTCCAACCCAAGCAACCCATGGTGAAGCCCTCGTCAGTTACAGCTCGTCAGGTTCCCTATGTTTACCCCCTACCCCATCCACCTTGAACAGCTTCCTTACGTTTACCCCACCCCCCCACCCACCTTGAACAGCAGCTTGCCCAGCAGCTTTGCGGACGACTGCCGGATGCGCCAGTTGTCGTGGAAGACGCCCTCCTCCACGGCGGGCAGCAGCAGCGGCAGCGCGGAGTGAGCGTAGTGGTCCACCAGGATGCGCCCTGGAGGGGGGGTGGAGCAGGGGGGAGAGGAGGAGGATTAGATAAACTGAGCCGTGGAAACACTGAGAAGGAGAAGGAGGAGCAGAAGGAGGAGGGGGAGGAGGGGAAGGAGGGGAAGGAGGGAGGGGTGAGACTTGAAAGAAAACCACAACCACAAGCGAGGGCATAGGGAAATAGAGAAAGGTGGAAGAGATGGAAGCAAGGGGGAAACGAGGAATATGCCCAGCGTGTTCATTGAGAATAGCAAAAAAGGAGGTGGGTTTTGGGGTATAGTGGAGAAATCATGAAAGGAGAGGTGCCATGTGGGTTCGCAGTGGTAAAGCAGCAAGTACCCAGTAACCCCAGACTCGTTTCTCTCCGCCCCCCTCTCCCGCCCTCGCCCCCCCCCCGCCCGCCCCCGCCCTCGCTTTCCCCGCACCTGCCGCCAGTGCCGCGTCGCGCACCCCCTCCGCCTCGTCGCTCAGGCCGTCCAGAATGGCGGGCAGCACCCGCGGCAGGTGGACCTGGGGGGGTGAGAGGAGGAGAGGGGGAGATGGGGGGTCAGTGGGATACATCTCGTCAGTTTTCTTATTCTTTCCCATCCCCCCCCCCCAAATGCAGAATATTTCTCCCTATTATCCCTTTCCCCACCTGCAGCGCCTCCGGCATGGTGTGCGGCAGGTACTGGAACAGCGTGAGCGCCCCCTCGCGCTGCGCGGGCCGGGAGCGGGCGGCCGCGGAGGCCAGCACGTCGGGCAGCAGCGCGTCCAGGTGGCCGGAGCCCAGCACCGCCAGCACCTCCGCTAGACCCTGCGGAGGAGGGGGGTTAAGGGGAGAGGGGAGAAAATTTATATAAGAAATGCAAACAACTAAAGTCCCAATCCCATATCCCGACTCATGCAGTGAGTGCATTCGGAGAGGGGAGAGGGGAGAGGGAGGGTAAAGAATAAGGAATGGCGAAGTCCTAAATGCACCAAGTCCGATCCAGGAGCCAGGGACATAGCGAGTAGGGAAGGGGGACATGGGTTAGGGAGGGGCCACAGCATGCGCGGAGTGCAAAAGAGGCTAGCGTCACAAAAGGACGACGAGCATCCCCGCACCAGGAGCCCCTCCTCTTCCCCCCTCTCCCCTCGCCACCCCTCCCGCACCCCCACCTGCGCCGCCCCGCTTCGCTCCACGCTGCTGCTCTCGCTGGACAGCGTGTCCAGCAGCCAGGGCACCAGGTGGCCGAACGCGTCCTGGCCCATGCCCTGTACGGCAGGAAGGAGGAGGAGGAGGATGGAGGAAGTTAAGGACCCATGTAGAAGGAGGAGGATGGAGGAGGAGGAAGTCAAGGACGCAGGGGGAAGAAGGATGAGGGAGCTGCAGGATATGGCAACGGGAGATGGGAGGGAAGGCGTGTATGGGCTCCCCACGGCCACAGCTGCACATCCACCCTATATTCTCTCCCCCCTTCCCATCCCTCCTCCTCCTCCCCAGTTTGCCACTCACAGTCCACACACCTTGTGTCTCCCCTCCCCTCCCCTCTCCCCCCCTTCCCTACCTTCATGAGCGAGCCGATGGCCCGCGCCGACACCGCCCGCACCTCCGGCAGCGGGTCCACCAGCGACTTCTGCAGCTCCGGCAGCAGCAGCGGCACGTAGGGGCCCATGTCCTGGGGGGAGAGGAGGAGGGAGGAGGTGGGGAGGCGGGAAATTGATGAGAAGTGAAGCAACGGAGTCTCAATCCCAAATCCCTCCAAACCCCTCTCCTCTCCTCTCCTCAATCCCACCACCCAACCACCCCCGCCCACCATCCCTCCCCTCCCACCTTGGCATCGTTCACCAGCGAGCACATCGACCCCACCGTCCGCGCCGCGCGCTTCTTGGTATCTCCCGACCTGTCGCGCAGCCCGCGGTGCACCACCGGCACGATGAGCGCCAGGGAGGGGGCGTCGATGGTGTTGATGAACACCGTGTCCAGCAGCACGTCCAGGCAGGCGCGCGTGGCGGCGTTGGGGTCGGCGATGGCGGAGAGCAGTGCGGGCACCAGGCGCTGGACCTCGGGGTTGCGGATGACGCTGCCGATCTGGAGGGGTAAAAGGGGGGGGGGGAGGAGAAAAATAAATGACAAGTGAAGCAACTGGAGTCCTGACTGGAGAGTGACGAGGGGTCGTGTGGGGTTGGATGCTGGGTTGGGGGTTGCTGAACTGGGTGAGGAAAAGGAAGGGCGTCAAAAGGAAGGGCGCCGAGGACATGACAGGCAAACCGTACCTCGAACCCATCGTATGTCCTAAACAAGGACGTACCCTTCCCCCTCCCCGCTTCCTCACCTCGTTGAGCGCCTCCTGCGCCGCCGCCTGCACCTTGGGGTGCGGGTCGCTGAGCACCTCGCCCAGCTTGGGCACGATGGTGGGCAGGCAGGTGCCCAGCTGCTTGGGCGCGCAGTGCGCCATGGCTCCCAGCAGCTGCACGCTGCCCTGCTTGGTGCGCCACACCTTGTCCTCAAGGCCGCGGAGCAGCGCGGGGAGCACCAGCTTCACACCTGGGGGCCGGGGGGGGAGAAGGGGCAGGCAGGAGAGGGGGCATGATGGATAATGTGTAAGGGGTAATTCGCAACGGGCGGTACATGTTGCATAGGGCTGGTGAGGGAGGTAAAATAAACAGTTACCGTACTCGCAATAGCATCAGGGAGGGGCACAAAGAAGAGATGGGCAGGATGGCAAGAGAAGGTCTTTACACGCAAGCGATAACAACTACCCAACACCAACACCCAACACCGCATGCGCTATTGGCCCCCACCACCATCGCATCCACACGCACGCACGCACGCACCTGAGGCGGTGAGCTGCCCCATGATCATGCGCGCAGCATCCTCCGTGGTTTGACGGACCTGTTTACGACAAATGGTTAGGACTTAGCAGCGTACGGCAACGCAGCAGGAGCTTAGGAGTGAGGCTTCCACCGTGCAGCAGGTGACGAGGGGCCCAACTGCTCTACCTCAACCCTCCCATTGCGCATGCCAACCTCCTTGCTAGCCTCCCCCTAACCCTACCTGCGGGCTGGGGTCCCCGAAGCAGTTGAGCAGCATGGGCAGCACGTGGATGACGTACGGCTCGAACAGCTTGCCCAGCTTGTCGGACAGGCACTCGAACGCAAGCAGCCCGCCCTCGCGAACAACAGGGTCCTTCTTGTCCTGCAGAGGGGTATGTGAAAAATGAGATGGGCGGGCGGGAAGAGAAGAGAACAGGGGTAACTAGAGTTCATTACCGTTAAGAGTCATGCCCGAACAAACGAAAAAACAATGAAGACAAACGCAAGGGTGAACAAAGGGGCGACGATGACGGAAAGTCGCAGCTTCCCTTACTACCTTCTCCGGACAACCCCCTCCCCCCATCATATATATTTCCCCCCCCCAGCTCACCTCCACCGCCGCCTTGAGGCTCTCCATGATGTTGAAGTTCCGCATGGCGCTGATGCCCAGACCCTTCACCACACCCGCGATGCCGAACGCAGCGCCGCGCCGCTCGCCGTAGGAGCCGCCGGACGTGAGCTGCTTCAGCAGCCGGTCCACCAGACCCTGTTGTTGGGGTGGGGGGGGGGGACGGATGCAGGGGGGAATTAATAGGGATACATAGTCCGCATGGGGGGGGGGGGCGCAGAACGGGATATGTGTGGACAAAGAAGGTAGCTCAACACGGAATCCAGTTTCCAGTGTGTGGAAAAGGTAACGGGACTTTATCCCGACGGTAACGGGACATCCCGACTCGTGGCCCATTTCTTTCCCAACACCCGCCTCTATTCTGGTCTCTGCCACGGTCAAACCACCAATCAGTATTTACCCTCGGCTCAGTTTAACTAACCCCGCCCCACCCCCCAGGCTCCCTCCCCATCCCCACCCTACCCCCGCCCCCCACCTGCGTGTACTCCGTGTTGGCTGCCAGCGGCGCCACCAGCGGCGGCAGGCAGTTGGCCACCGAGCGCTGCACCGACTCGGAGGGGGTGCCCAGCACGCCCAGCAGCAGGTCCAGTGCGGCGGAGCGCTTGGGGTCGGCGGGGGGCAGGTGGCGGGCGATGGTGCCCAGCAGGACGACAACACCTGGGGGGGGGAGGGGAGGGGGAGGGGAGGAGGGCATGGCAGATGGGGGTCAGGGAGAAGGAAAATAGGGGGTTTAATCGCGAAGTACTACCATACGAGCGCGCCACCTGCCTAACCGCTTTCCCCTCGACCCCCCGCTCGTCAGTTTTCTCTTCATGACCTCCCCCCACCGGCCCGCTCTCACCCTCCCTGACCAGGTCGAAGCGCTCCTCCTCCTCGCGCACACCCCCCTTGCGGTCCAGGTGGCTCTCGAACAGCGGCAGCAGCCGGGGCGCGTGCACGGCGCCATGGCAGTCCAGGATGGACATACCTGGGGGGGGCGGGGTGGCGGGGGGGAGGAAGGATACCCAATGTGTTAGGAGGGTGGAAAGGCGGAGAGATAGGGGCGGCAAGTGGCAGTCCAGGATGGACACACCTGCGGCCGCAGCAGGCGGGCAGCGGGTAGCAGCCAGCAGCAAACAGCCCCTCAGAAAACACGTGGTGGCTGACTAAGTAAATGTATTGCCAATCTAGGACGCCGGGCAGTCAGTCGGCAAGCGCTTCCCTAGGCTTCACAGTCCACCCAACCCTTACTGTCCCTCCCATTCCCTCCTCCGACACCACCCAACGCCCCTCTTCATCTTCCCTCCACCCTCTTCCCTCCCAAACACCCATACCCACACGCGCTCGCACCACTCACCCGCCGCCACCATCTCCTCCCGGACCTTCTCCTCCTCGTCCGCCAGCCCCCGCCCGATCAGGAAGTCCAGCGCGGGGCTGACCTCCGCGTCACCCAGCCGGGGGGCAATGGAGCGTAGCGCAGCAGCCACACCCACACGCGTGAAGAAGCTGGCGTCTGCATGCATGGTGGATGGGTGGATGGGGGGATGGTTGCGAGGGTTTTAGACCAGGTAAAGCCTTGAGATTGGCGGAGGGAGGAAGTACGTACGTGAGGAAGCAGCAGAAGGGATCGGGAGGGACAGCTACATCCAAACGGCAATGGCAGAAGGCCCCTCCCTCTCACCTCCCCTCCCTCCATCCCCGTTCCCCGTTGCTGCAACCTCTCATTCTTTTCTTCCCCTCCCTCCCCCCCTACCCGGCTGGTACAGCTCCACCACCGCCCCCAGCAGCGCCGCCACCTGCTCCGGAAGCACTGCCAGGCCCGCAGCCAGGCCCGCAGCGGCACCCGACTGCACGTCGCGAGACTCGGAGGGAAGCACTGCAAGAGGGGGGGGGGGGGGAGGGGAGGATCGGAGTGAGAAGGTGGAAAACAAATATAAGCATGTGGGATGCGACTCAAAAAGACTGGCACTCGGAACGACAAGCCTAGCAGGCAATACCTTCCCAAACAGCCCCTCTTCTCTCTCCTCCCCTCCTTCCTTCCTTCCTTCCTTCATTTTTACCCCTCCATTCGACCCCATCCCCCTCCAACTCACACTCGACCAGGCGGAACAGCGACCCACGGGTCAGCTCCGCGCCGCACGCCTCCCACAGCGCCGTCGCCGCCGCCGCATTCGCCTCACTCGCCACGTCATGTCGCGCCAGCCACAGCAGCGCCGCCGTACCGTCATCTCCCGCCGGGAAGAGTCCCTCCGCTAGCAGCGGTACGGCAGGCAGGGCGGCCAGGGCGGCGGCGCGCACGTGGGGTGCGGGGTGGGTGAGGCCGGCGGTGGCTGCGGGGAGGTCCTCCTCCAGGCACCCAGCGCACAGGGAGCGGAGCAGCGGGATGATGCGGTCCCTGGGGGGTGAGGGGAAGGAGGGTGGGGAGGGGGAGCAGAGGAGGTGGGGGCAGAGGAGGGGGCAATGCAGTGCAGTGTCAACTACGGTCACGGCCACACACCGGCTCCCCTGACCACCATTCACCGCCCTTACACTCACCACCCCCGGTTTCGTTTCTCTCTAACAACACCCTCTCCGCCACCTCCCCATCTGCACACCGGAATAATCCCCCCCCTCCGCCCCCCTTCCCCTCCCCTCTCTCCCCTCCCCGCACCTGTACGCCGGAATGACCCCCAGCAGGTGGTACAGCAGCTCCAGGGAGGCCCGGCGGGGGATGTCCAGCCCCGGGGCCACATGCAGCGACAGCACCGCCACGCACTCGTCGTGCAGCCGCGTGTGGATGGGGCTCAGCAACACAGCCTGGGGAGGGGGGGTAAAAATATATAATGAGAGGGGAGGGGGAAGGAGGAGCAGGGGGGTGCAGTGGCGGGGAGATGAGGACGACAGGGCGGAAAGGGATGGGGAGTGGAAGCAGGATGCCCAGGGGCTTGGGAGTTACGAAGCAACAAGCTTCGTAACCCGCGGCTCATGAGGTTTATCTAGGTCCTCATGGGGGTTTCTAGTCTCATAGGAAGCAACAAAGGAAACTGTTGATCACACGCACCCTCTCACCCCTCCCGCACCCCCACAGCACCCACCTGCAGCACCGGGAACACGTAGCAGTAGGAGCTGGGCGGCAGCTGCTGCCCCACCACCGCCGTAACCGCCGCAAGCGCATGTACGACAGACGCCACGGCGGGGCGCGAGGCCACGTCACGGTACGACAGTCCCCGGCCGCTCTGCGCCTGTGAGACGAGGCGCAGGCAGGCGGTGAGGGTGGTGGCGGAGGCACCCAGGCGACCGGGCATGCAGGTGCTCAGGGCGCGGACGGAATCGAAGGCAGCCTCGCCTGCGGAGGGTAGTAGTGGGGAGGGAAGGGGAGGGGGGTGGGGTGAGGAAGGGGGAGGAGGAAGGGGAGAAGAGGATGTTGAGGGGGTGTGGATGGGGAGGAGTAGAAGGGCGGCGATGACACTGCATTGAGGCCGCACGCCATGGCAGCATTGCGCTGTGTTGCAACCATGACTTTGGTAGTTAACAGTTGCAGCACAGTGTTCGGTAGTTGTGCAGGGGCATGTGTCCTATGTGGTGGCTCAGAGTCCTGCATTGCTCTCGTCAGCTGGTCCCCACGCGGGACACGCAAATGTGCGTGGGGTCAGAGCCCTTGCGCAATGTGGTATCATCATCGCCACCACCGCCAACCAGCTGCGTTAGATACGTAGGTTAGACACTCCTTCATGCATCTGCATGCTGACGAGGGGCAGCAACGCAGCATGCACCCCCTCCCCATGCTGCCCCTCGTCTCCCAAGCCCGCTCCCATAGGCACCCCCCACTGCATGCAACCTTTCCCTATACCTTACACCCCCCCACATTTCTTCGCTCCCCTCCACCTCCCCACTCCCCACCCTCGCGGCTGACTTAAACTAACCCCCTCCCCCTCCCCTCCCCCATGCACTCACCCACGAGCCAGCTGCTCATCAGCGGCAGACACAGCTCCTGGTACTCCTCCAGGTGCTGCGAGGCATCCCGCGGAGCAGCCTCCACCACCGACCCAAGCGCCCTCAACCCAAGCTCCAACCGCGCCCGAAGCGCCCTAATCCGAGCCCGCAGCGCACTCTCAGCCGCCAGCTTGTTGCGCCTGAACTCCTCCTGACGCGCAGCGGCGTCCTTCTTGCCGGGACCGGGCTTGGGCCCGGTCGGCGCAGCCGACCGGGCCGGCGGCGGCGCCGGCTTCGCCGGCGCCGCCGGCTCATCATCCTCGTCATCGTCATCCGCAAAGGCGCGGTTGTCCATCTTGAAGCGGCCTCGCGGCTTCTTGACGTTCTTGTTGACCACCACCTCGGGTACGTACACGCCGGCGGGGATGCGCTCGGAGGAGAGGATGCCCTCTGGGGTGTCGTACACCTCCTTGTCGGCCTCGGTGAGTGCGTCGTGCTCGGAGCGAACCAGCAGCGAGCGAAGCACCGCCTGAGGAGGGCGGGAGGGGTGCATGGGGGGGGGAGCTGGACGGTTGCAACACGGTTGCCACAGGGTGTGGGCGGGTGGTTCCTTACACATCACATCCAAGCCATCGAACCCGATGTGCACGCCCCAAGGCCCCCCGCACACACACCCACCTCCCCTGCTCCCCACACCCCACCTCTCCTGCTCCCTTGTCCCCCACCCCACTCCACCTACCTGCACGTGTCCGTACATGGCAGTGGGCGCGCAGCTCATTGCGGCCCCCAGCGCGCCACACGCAGCCGCCTGCTCCTCGCGGCTCTCCGAGCCCAGCCCCTGCGGCCCCGCAAGCACCTCACACACGGTCGCAGCGCAGCCGTGCACGCGCGCGTCCAAACGGGCGCCCAGCCGGCGGGAAACCTGGAGGGCAGCAGCCGCGGGCGGGCAAAAAGAGAGGTAACTGACGAGCTGTAACTAACGAGGCTTCACCATGGGGTGCATGGGTTGGACCCGGCCCATCCCACCCCACCAGCCGCGGGCGGGAGGTGCAGGGGCAATACCGCTACAACAGCATGAATAAAGCGCTTGCAAAGAGGAAGTTAGGCGGGCATGGGAATAGCAGCCCCTCCTCTCCATTGCTCCAAGCCCCCACCTCCCCTGCACCCCCACCTCCCGCCCCACCTGCTTCCAGGGATGCGGCGCCCGGCGCATGGGCGCATCCAGTGCTGGGTGGTGCCCCGCCAGCAGCAGCGCAGCCACCGCGGGACCGTCCAGCGGCAGCGGCTCCTCCGTGCCCGCAGCAGCAGCAGGAGCAGCGGCTCCGGAACCCTGCTGCGGGGCAGCTGGCTCCATGCAGGCCAGTGCGCGGAGCACCTCCCCGAAGCGCATGGCGAGGCTGCCGGCGGAGGGAGTGGCGTCCTCGCCCGTGGCGGCGGGGTCCTGCGGGGTGGAGGGGCGGGAGGGGCGGGGTGGTAAGGCAGGTGAAAAGGGGTGTCAGACTCAGCGCGAGTGCTGGCGCGAGGCAACGCTGCGGCCTACGCATAACCAGCTAGCATGCTGGATGTCGTATTGTCGTTGCTGCTGCCCCTATGATCCTGACAAGGACAGTACGAGCAAGGGACAGCCGTACTACCAGAATCAAATCCCGAACCCGAACCCCGACACCCACCACCGCCACCGGCAGTGCGGCCCGGTTGTTCATCCAGTAGCGCAGCGCAGTGGCCAGCGGCAGCACCAGTCGGGCGGGCTGGGCGGGGGGGGGGAGGAAGAGAGGAGAGGAGAGGAGGGGGCCAAGCAGCAGCAGAGGGAGTTCGTCGCAGACGGTGGGGTCGGTAAGCGATTGCTAACGAATGCACGTTTCAATAATGTGAGCAGCCACCCAATAGGGTGAATGCGGGTGACGTTGTAAGCCCTCCTTCTCAGTCTTTTGTGTGCGTGCATGCAAGCCAGGCGCCAGCACCCAACCCGCTGTCCTCCCGCCGCAGGCCCCCCCCCTCACCTGCGCCGCCACCAGCCGCCTGCACGCCGCCTGCGCCGCCACCCGAGTGTCCCGCGAGTGGTGCGCTGCCGCACACACCAGCAGCCGGCACAGCGCGTCTAGCGAGCCTGGGAGCAGCAGAGGGGAGCGGCACGACCGGTGAGAAGGTCAACCGCGCATTAAACATGTAACAATTGACAGGACGTGTTCCGTAGCAGGAAAGAAGACACAGCCCTCGACTCTGCTCCATGCGGCTCCAAGCCCGCTCTAGTATTGCTTCGTCCGGACCCCTATCCCAGGACTCCCCAATACCCCCAAAAAACACAGCTCCCGCCCCACGCCCCTCTCCCGTGCCCCTCCCTCCCCCTGGCGCCTCCCCCCACCGCCTCCCCACTCACCCTCCGTCGCATCCACCGCCGCCCTCAGCGCCCCCTGCTGCTGCCCCAGCACCACCTCCGCCAGCTCCGCCACCCGCGGGCAGTCACCCGCCGGCAGCTTGGCCGCGTTGGCCGGCGCCAGCAGCGCCGAGTCGGGCTTCAGCGCCGACGCCCACGTCTTATCCCCCGCAGGCACCACCACCACTGCAGCAACACCCGCAGCAGCATCCGCCGCCTGCAGAGCGCGGGCTACCAGTAACGCACCCAACACGCCGTCCAGCCTCATGGCGGGCCGGGCTAGGCCGTCCGCAACCCACTTGAGGGCTACCTCCGCGGGACCGGCTCCGGAACCGCCCGCAGCAGGTGGCAGCAGCAGCGCGGGGCCTAGTGAGGCCGGCGCGGCGCGCACCGCCTGCAGGATGGTGCGTGCGGCCGCGCGGCGGAGGTTCTCGCGGGAGGTGTCCCGCAGGCAGAGGAGCAGCTGGGCGAGCACCGCGGCAGGGAGGGTGGCGGGGGTGGAGGAGGAGGAGGGGGCACAGCGTGGCAGCCAGGCGGCTAGGGTGGCGAGCAGGGAGATCTTGACGTCCTCAGACACTGCGGCCCACACATGGCATGGCATAGGGGGGGAGGGAGGGAGGGAGGAAAGGTAAGCGAGAGGGAGGTAATACCGGTACCACGCGGTGTGCCAGCCTGAACACAACGGCCCTGGCCGCAGCCAAGCAAGGTATTCATTGCCGGTGACATGGACTGCCGCCTCCCCGTCTTCCCGCTCTCGCCCCCACTCACGCTCGTCCTTGACGGCGGTGGCCAGGAACGCCACCACCTCCTGCGCAAGTGCCTCCTCCGCCGCTGCAGCGGGCGCCTCCGCCCCCAGCGCCCCCAGCGCCGCCGCCAGCACGGAGCGCTCCGCCGCCACCTTCACCTTGCCCTCCGCGCTACCGTCCAGGATCTGAGGGAGGCAGAGGGAGGGAGAGGAAGGCAGAGGGAAGTAGCAGTGTTGGCAGGATGGGCACAGGAGGGGTCAAGTAGGCGGGCGGCAGGGAACCGTTAGCCCATGACCCACATCCTCCAGTCGCTCCTCCACACCATCTGCGCACACTCCACTAACAACCCACATCGTTCGACCCCTCTTGCGTTCCCCAGTGCCCCTCCTAACTCCTTTATTCCTCCTTCCCTTCCCCCACCGACAAGAGACAACCTGCACCCCCGCCCCTCTCCGCCCCACCTTCCTCAGCCCCGCCACCAGCTCCCGCAGCACGCCCGCCTGCCCGCAGCGCCCCGCTAGCGCCCGCACCGCCTCCAGCGCCGCACCCCGAACGCTCTCCTTCAGCCGCGCCTGCTGCACCAACAGCGGCACCAGCTCCCCTGCCGCACGGCTCATGTCCAGCGCAGCCGGCGCCGCGCCCGCCAGCGCGACAACCGCACCCAGCGCAACATCCGGCACGCGGCGCAGCGCCTTAGACACCGCCGGCAGCACCCGGCTGGTGAGGTCGGCCTCGCTTAGCCGGGCTAGCAGCGGCCGGTAGGCGGCGGCAGCTTCAGGGCTCAGTCGCTCGCGCGCGCCTGCTAGGGCCTTATCCAGGTAGATCGCCAGCAGCTGCTCGTACAGAGCAGGCGGAGCGGCTGAGGAGGCGGTAGGGGAGTCGAGGAGGGCGCGTACGGCACCGCCGCCGTTGGCGGCGGCCTTGGCTGCTGCTAGGAAGTCGGCTTCGAGCGCGGGTTTGCGGCGCAGCAGGCCGCGAACCAGGCGCGCCACAGACGGCCAGGCTGCGGCGTCCAGAGCAGGGGAGAGCTGGTCGAGCAGGGCGACCAGGATTTCCAGCAGCTTGGTAACCGCCTTCTTGGCGGATTCTGGATCCAGGTTTAGGAGTACGGCACGGATCCAGTGCAGCAACACCAGCGCCTCGCTGCGGCTGGGGGGCGGCTTGGAGGAGGCGGCCTTGACGGCTACTGCTGCCAGGGCGCGTACGAAGGCATCGGAGCGGCTGCAGGCTGTGTTGACGAAGGCGCGGACCAGGCGCTGAGAGGCGAGGTCCTCGTACTGGGAGAGAGTGGAGGCCACCAAAGCTGCCAAGGCGGGGGCATTGGAGTCCAGAAAGTCTGTGTAGGGATTGGGATGAGAAGGGAATAGGGGAGGGCGATGTGGGTTTGTCGAGAGGAAGGGTTAATGTGGACAGGGTTCGGTGTCCGCATTGTCCTACGAGAAGGTTACAGAACCGCGAGCAGCATTTTCCGAATGACCCTCCAACAGCTTCAAATGATCACTTCTGTCTTTCTGTAGCGGCGTAAGCATAAAGTGGAAACAATCGGAACATGGCTGGACCCTGCCCCGCAAACCATGACAAAAGGTTGCAGAACAAAAGTCCCAGGGTCAACCACAAGCTTCTGCTATAAGTATCGATGTTTTCACTAGTACCTAAGTAAGCCCCATGATCTACATTCATATCGCTGTTGGCCGCTGCATGCGCGGCGGCTACGCGATCGGCTAGGCAGGTTAACAAGGGCAGACTTAAGAACCCCATATGTGAGCAGGCTAAGCATAATCGTTTATATAGCACGGAAGTGATCAATAGGAAGCGCAAGCGTGTCAGAGCGCCGCCCAATAAGGAATGGAAAGCCGGTGAACACCTACCTTTATCGACGATTTCGCCCGCTAGCTTGTCCGCCCATATCTGAGCACGCACTTTGTAACTGGGCAGGGCAAGACGCCTCTCGGCGTCCGCCAGCACCCCTGCCATTCTGATCGAACTGCTCTCCCTATATGGACTAGCCTATTTACGCTACAGCGTAGTCGAGGTTCAAGGGAGTATGAGTTGTAATTTTTCTTCAGCGGCTTGTTAAGCCTTCCTGGCTCGTACTGGCGAAGCAGCAACTGCCGTACATCTGGAGCTGCAGCCAATACTCACGGCCAAGACCGGAGCCGACGCCACCTCGCTCCACCCGACCCGAACTTTCATTTTCGCCGGCTGCCCCTTAGAGACACCAATTACAGTACGATCTTGTGTGACGTCTATCAGTCTATGCAGTAGCAACTTGCCACGCCCCGCCGTGCTGGGTATCTGCCGAGGGTGCCGACTTCCTATCATCCCCGACCCCGACCAATTTTAGCAGACACGCCAGTGCTCCGAATTGCCGTACAAGCTGGTATCATGCACCGGTACATGTAACGCATACAAGTTGAAGCAAAGAGCGGCGAAGATCCCTGTGTAAACGTCCGTCGTCTGGCATCACCCCCGGGCAGCTGCATTGACTAGCTTTGAAGTCCCGTGGGCCCGCCGCCCTTCGACATCACCAGCCATTTGGGTCGGGGCTGGCATACAAGGAACCAGCAAATACATAGGCGCTATGCTATTATATTAAGAACCTGCATAGCAGCAGATCTGGGACTACCGCGTCGGAAGTACGGCCAAAAGGCCTTGTTTTTGCGCAATCAGCGGCACGCAGCATGACTCCCGCCGCCGTAGTGACCCTAGTGAGGGTGGCAGGGCCTCTAGGCGACACCGTGCTTTCCTACACTGCCCACATGGGGGGCAAAGGCTCACGTGGCTTTAAAACCAGCGGAAGGTAACAGCGCTTGGGAGCGTGTAACAGGGCTCAAGAAGCGTAGGCTGAGTAGGCTGCGCAGCATAATAACTACCGTACGGCAATGCACTACCGTCTACTCGACAGCCCAGCTCGCCAAAGTCAGCATTCATCGTAAACTGCTCCAGAGGTCACGCTGTACGTCGAAGTATTGGCTATACACCATTCCTCCTAGCCCCCATGCATCACTGCCGAGTGCACACGTACACAAAGTGCGAGTACACCTGCCTCGGGTACGTCGCCAGCTCCTCTGCCGTACCTTCCCGTACCGCCACCGGCCCCTCCCGCCGGCCCTGCTGCCCCACCTCGTAAAACGACACATCCCAGTCCAGCCCAGGCCGCTGCAGATAGCGTAACCGCGTGCGTGGGGGCGCGTAGGTAACGCAGATGTAAGGTGACCCATGGGTCAGCACCCGGTGGCATTCTTTCAGCATGGCCAGCGAATCCGCTTCATCGCTGTCGCCGCACAGCAGCGCATCCAGTGTGCCCTTGTCCAGCACGCCTCCAAAGCTGCCGTCGCCGTACTGCGGCATTGTACGGCAATCTGCGACTTCGTACGACAGACCGGGCAGGCCGGCGTGCAGGGCTGCGAGCTGTTGGATGCAGGAGGGCGCGTAGTCCACATTGACGATGTCCCGGTACCCGTCGTGGTGCCTGTTTAAGAGGGAAAGCATTGTGTGGCGTGCCCGCATGGGGATACCAGGGGGTTTAGAGCTTTAGGCTCGGGGGGTGGAGCTGGGGTGTATCCTATCCTGGTGGTGGCGGGTAAAGTAAGACTAGATAGGAAGTTGACAAGGTGTATGACACGGCGGTGGGGGCGGTGCGGAGGGCTGGCAAGGCAAGGGCATCCGCAGCTACTACGGAGTTACAGTGCATGGGAGGAGCGCGGTGGTGAGCCCGGTGAGCAGGGGACCCCGACCCTGGGAGGAGGAGGGAGAAGGAGAAGGAAACAGGGAGTGCAACAAAGCAGTGACGCGATGGGCAGGTCAGCAAGCGAGGGAATGGTACCGGTAACCGCTGTTTGCCAGCATTCACTCCCAGCGAGGCTCTCTCCGTAGGGGCGAGACTGCTGTCTGACGGTTTGACACCCAAGACCCGACCCACATTTGGAACTGGATGCGCGAAGTGCCCACTCCCACATGCAGCAGCCGCTGCGACTTGTCCAGGTGCCTGCGTGCATGCAGCGGGTCACATCCTTATACCGGAATACGCGCGGTGGTAGGCGTGTGGGTACGGGTGTGGGGTGCAGGCGCCCCCATCCAAGACAGGCTGTCCCACGAGGTGGATGCGGTGGACACGAACTGCACACCGCCCTGAACACGTTTGCGTTAGGCCCTGCTTACAGGGCTGCTGGGACATTGCAGGGGTCCAGGCACCAGGCCTCCCTAAGCCATGCACGCTACCGGCTACCACAACACCGTACTACACTACCCGCAGCCGTGCTAGTCCTGTGGCCCCCTGCGTGCCTCTCCCTGCTTCCCCAGCCCACTCGGGCATGGGATTGAGGTTACAGTGCTTCAGCTCTTTTCCTTTCCCCCAGCCCAAGCCCAGGGGCCCCACCTGCTGAGTACGGGCTCTAGGCTGCCGTAGTCTCGGTACCACTCGAAGGGCGCGCCGCCCTCACGCAGGTAGCGAGCATCCCAGTAGGTGGAAAGGGAGAACTGCGGGCCGGGGAAATGTGGGGGCGCGCGAGTGTTGACAATTGTGAAGGAGTGAGGCGGGTAAAGGTGGACGGAGGTGCAGATGAGGTATATCCTAGAAAAAGGTGGGCTACAAATTGCACAACCCATGTTGAGGTGGACTGGATTCACAGCAGCTAGGTGGCGCCGTACGTGTACCCCTACCGCATCATCGCTGGTGTATAATGCCGGATTGCTATATGGGTCTGCTTCAGCACTGCATGCTATCGGTGCTCGCGGCTGAAATGTAGGGTGGTTTGGAGGTAAGCGTCGTCGATTCTTAGCACCAAGGATACGTGGGAGGACGCAGTAGCTGTTGGATGCCCCCCTAGTTACAGAATGTTGCATAGCCCTTAAAAGCATTTTGGTACTGCTGTAAAGAGGAATGCCGGTTGCGTATGTGGACGTGCAAGCGTGGGCTAGGGTCGGCCTCGACCCGTACGGTATCGGAGCCCGGTCTGAAAGTATAGTGCGGTTCTTGTCCAATTAGCCTAAGGTGTATAACAATGCATGGCCATGGCCTGTGAAGTCAACTGGCAGGGCTTTAGTCACCTCGACGCTGTCCAAGATATCCTTGAGCGCAACAAACTTTTGATTAGCGAAATTAATCACAATCACGAGTTGCGAACGCCAGAAGCCTTGCTCCGAAATGTTACCCTTATTCGTGAATTGAACGGCAATATGGCCGTTGTCGTGGAGGCATATCGACAGCTTACTGCTCTTGTAGAAGCACCTAACTCTGGACCAGCATCGACACCTACTCCGATTAATTAGTCCCATTAGATCTTGTAACGCTTAGAGTCTATCAACATGTTTGTGCGCATCATCCGCCGGTCAGCGCCGGCCCTAGTTGGCCGGGGCTTTGCCACCACATCAGAGGCAGCAGCTCACGGCCTTATCGAAATCAGGGAGTATACAGTAAAGCCGGAGGGCTTTGCTCAGTTCATGAAGGTCGCATCGGAGTATGTTGGCGTCCGCAAGGAGCTCTTGCGTGAGTAATTGCCGACCGTTAGGATTGATGCCGTAGACCCCATGTGAAGGAAACTGTCTTCTGGGACGCGGCTGGAATTGGGTTTGCACGGGTGTATAGTAGCCGATACACGAACCTCGCTGCCAAGATTCCAACCACTAGTCAGGGCCTGTCTTTCATACAATTCCCCTCCATCACGCACCACTACACTACAAAGGTGTATCATCATCGATGGTGCCTCCATTCCAATTCCCGACTGCTCCAAGGCGCCTCCCTACCCCACCTCCTGTGTCGCACCGGTGCCTCCAACCTATCCGTCTCACCCAATCCTAATCCCTATTTTCCCAACCGCCTTACATTCCCAAGTCCCATGCTTCCCTCTGGACAACCTCCTGCCCCGCCAACCCCTCGCCTTCCCCTTCACCCTCTCTCTGAACCCTCTGACCCCACTTCCCTCTCCCCACCGCAGCCCTCCTGGGTATGTTCACATGCGACATGGGCTCCTGCCTGCACCGCATGACCCACATGTACTCGTACGACAGCCTGGAGCAGCGCGATGCGGCGCGATCCGCGGCGGTTCGCGACCCGCGCTGGAAGACCTTTTTGGAGCTGTCCCGACCGCACATGCAGTACCAGGTGGGTGGGGGACGCTAGCTAGGTGGGTACGGCACTAGGTGGGTGGGTACGGCACTCTAGCTAGGTGGGGCACTAGTTAGGGGACATCACGGTTTGCCAGTACTTCAACAGCAAGGGCAGTGTAAGGGACAGAGGATATGCAGCGGCTAAGAGTAACGAAGTGTGGGTGGTACCTTGCCTTGCCTGCGGCCAGCGCCTAATGGATGCCAGCCATGCCCCTCTGTGCCCCTCTTTTACCTCGTCCCATCTGCCTCCTCCTCTCTTTCCCCCCTTTCCCCCCTTGGCTCCTCCCTCTTCCCCCCTTCCTCCAGGAGAACAAGATCCTGTCCGAGGCGCGGCCCATCTACCAGGCGCTGCAGCTGCAACCCACCGCGCTATTCCGCTCGCCACCCAAGCCGGCCGCACCAGCAAAGGTGCGTGTCCGGGGTTTCCGCCCGGGGGGGGGGGTGCAACACACGCCGGCAGCCACCCCCATGTGTGGCTGCGTTCGGGTTGTAGGGTGTATGTCCTCCTGCGCAAGAAGGCACGCCACCGTCCTTTCCTTGTAGCTTCGGTTGCCCCCATGCCTCCTACTACCCTATTAGTCCTTTACTTCCATGTAACCTCCGCCCCCGGTACCCATCTGCGGTGCCCCCGTACAAAACCCCGGTATCAAACCCCCTCCCCGCACGTACGGCAGGTTGTGTACGAGCTGCGGACGTACCAGCTGAAGCCGGGGTACGGCTCCGTGCCCGCTCTGGTGGAGGCGTTCAGCAAGGGGTGAGCGCGCTGGGGGGACGCACCTGGGGGTCTTGAAGGGACGCCCGGGGTTGGGTTGGGGTCTTGGGAGGGTCAAAGGCCATACCAAACCATAGGAATCCACAGGTTAGGGTAAAGCAATGGGGGTAGGAGCCGGCAGGGTGCCACAAGTGGTGGTTAGTACTCCCTATCGATACCGAGTCCGCGGTGATGATGAACTGTTGACTCTCCAGCGAGCGGGCGGAAGAAAGCTGGCTGTTCTAGTTGTCTACTGCTTGTGTTGCTGTCAGAAATCCGGTCACCGAGGCCCCACATGTGCTGGGGTCTTGGGGGGGGATGTGGTCGGGGACAGGCGAGTGCAGGAACTGGCGGGGGATGGTACTCTACGCACCTAGGACCTATAGGTTTCTAATCAGCCATCTGGAGCATACCGTTGTCGACACGGTGTTGTGGGCAGGCGCGGAAGGAAACGTCATGCCAACCAGCCCCTTGCCGCCCTTCACCCCCCTGAGGCGCCCTTACCCTCCCTGACCCTCCTCTTTCCTTTTTTGCCCCCTCAGCCTGCCCGCCAAGGTGGCTGCGGACCCCGAGGGCCAGCTGGTGTTCTTCGGACACACGGTGAGGGGCGCCCGGGAGTACCCTGCTTTGCCCTGATCTGGACATGCTTTGACTGTTAAGAAAGAGACCGGCTAGCACGGTGGTTCCCGACACGGTGGTTTGCCACTAACATTCACGCATGGGTCTTCTTCGTTTCCCGCTTCCGCTTCCCGCTTTCCGCCCCACCTCCCGCCGCACACCACCCAGGAGGTGGGCATGCTGAACAATGTGGTGGAGCTGTGGAGGTACCCCTCCGCGCAGGCCTGCATACAGTGAGCGGGGGCGGGGTGCAGGGGCTGAGAGCAGGGGCTGGCGCTTGCAGGACGGTGCAGACACCACACCATGGTTGCCATCTTGGGACTGTCTCTCGTTGCTGGTTTTCTCCCCATCCTCGTCTATCACGCACTACCACCGGTAGCGTCTTAGCCCCTCAGCACGGCACATCCCGCAAGCTCACTTGCCGCCTCCCTATACCCTATTGCCTTGCCCGAACTTGCAAAGCTTTCAATCCTAGCTTTGGTTTCTCCCTCTGAAACCCCCCCTTGCTTGCCCGCGTGTGCCTGCGCAGGGCCCGTCAAGCCGCTCGCGAGGTGCCCCAGTGGCGCGAGGCCATCGCCGCCATCGCTCCCGGGGTGCAGCACTTCTCCTCCGCCTTCCTCAACCCCACGCCCTTCTCGCCCTGGCAGTGAGCGCGCGCGTCACAGCGGCGAGGGTTTGGAGGCGTGTTAGGGAAAGAGGGCTGCTGCGGCGGGCAGGAGGGCTGCGGTGGCGGTCCAAACGGCCCATGGGACCAACTGATGACTTTGGGGAAGGGAGGATTGGACCGCCGTGCCCATGGTTGCACGGGGGGGAGGGTAGCGCGCAAGGGGTGGAGCTGGGGTTCAGCATCAGGGAGGTTACCGTATGCCACGGTGTATTGTGGTTGCAGATAGGGTGTGTTCCGCAGGTCCTGAGAGCGATTAGTTGGATGTAAGAGTTAGACAGTGGATTATATATGCAGTGGAAAGCTCCGACGAGCTTGGCTTTCTGTTCTGCTGGAGCTGGCTGGAGTGGGGGTAAATGACTGAGCGGTCAGGAGCGGTGTTGAGTTCCTTTACGGCAGTGTTCTTGCCACGCAAAGTGCACCTTGCAAAGCAGCTCGTTAACAGGCTGCCTAGTGGGCAACCTCGACGGTCATCAGTCATACAATCTGTAAAGCGCAAGGCCCTTGCTCTCGGCTCCTATATGTCCCAGACGTTTCCAGTGTGTCTATTGGGGATTTCATTGCAACTGCCAGGGACCGTATGAGACGAAGGTTCTAGCTGCTAGGATATAGCTCCGATATAGCTACCTGGTACTTCGGGGTTGCCTAATCTAGGCGTTCGCGTTCTGTGCTTAACTATCCAGGCTCCACCAACAACTACTGGCATACCCTATTATAGAGGCAAACTTCGCTCTGGGTTGCAAACAGGTTCCGCCATCTGCTGCCCGTGCTGTACGGTAGCTCCCGTCGGCACGTCATTGCAAAACGAACTTTAAAATAATACATACCAATACTATCATCTGAACCTAAATTACAGATAGCTCATATATTCGCGTCGCACCACTGCTGACGGTACTCTAGAATTGAGTATGGCGCTCCAAGCGGGGACAATAAGCGTAACTGTGCATTATGCTAAGGACATCAAGGACTGTGACTGGTTTGGCCGTCAAGATCCGTATGTCAAGTACGTGAGCCCTGGGCTATGCCTACTCCGCGGCAACGTTGCACGCGGTCCGACCTCCTATCCTTTTTAGTCATATATGTTGCTGGCCCATGTCTGCGCCAAGGACTGACCGACAGTAGTTTAGCAGCGCCCGCCTGCCGCGGCGAGGCGGACTAGCCAGCTTGCTTGCATACGTCGTTCGTTGTGGTCCACATGAACCATGGACACACAAATGATTTAAAACACAAGTCTGAAGTGCTCGCATCCTGAGAAAGCTTTTAACGGCCATTCTTCGCGGTCATTCAACCGCTAACCGCTTTGCTTTGCTTTCCATGCCCCCGCCCCTGCCTCAGGTTGCGTATTGGAGACTTGGAGCGAAGGTCACGCACATGCCGAGACGGAGGCCGGAACCCAGTTTGGAACGAAACATTTGAGTTCAACGTAATAAACGAGAACACGCTGGAGCTCGTCCTCATGGACGAGGACACACTGAAGCGCGACGACCTCATCGGCAGCTGCTCCATCAGCTTAGCGCGTGCTCGCCAACAAGGCCAGGAAGTGATCCAAGCAGCCGTCAGCAGCGGTCACAAGCTCCACAAGCAAAAGGGCTTCATCCAGGTCACCATATCATTCTTCCCCAACACCAAGCTGCAGCCCAGCCCATCCTACGCCTACGCTCCCCCGCCCGCGCCCGCGCCTGCCATGCCTCGTCCCCAAGCGCCACCCGCAGCCTACGGCTACCCAGCACCACCGCCGCCCCCCGTAGCCACCCCCATGCCCAGCCAAAGCGCTCTTGCCACATGTAACTCGTGTGGGTCAACAAGGCCAGCGGCTCCTCCTCAGCCGCCGCCGCCGCAGCAGCAGCCTCCGTACGGAAGCTACCCATACGCATTTCCTCCAGCCGCAGCAGGGCCGCCACCACCTTCGTACAACGCGCCACCCGGGGGTTACTACCAGCCGGAAGTTAGTTCGCCGTACAATGCTACAACCGCACCGCCGCCGCCTTCGGCGTCATCTGCTTCTGCCTCTGCGCAGCCGCCGATCCCGTCAGCCCCTGGCTGGCCGGTTGCGCAAGCACCAGCGTACGGCGTGCCTGCGTACGGAGCTGCGCCAGCACCGTCGTACTATCCACCGCCGTCCGTGCCTCCGTACGGATCTGTGCCGTACTATCGTAGTTAGGGAGCTGGGGCAAGGCGCCAAGGGTGTCGTGGGGGTGTACGAACTGGGGTTTCTGAAACCTTTCTAAACGAGGCGCCTTCATTGATAGTTTATTAATTGTCAAACCCCTCCATGTATCTTTACATGGACGTGGTCTGCAACCGATGTTATCCGAACCCGAGATTAGGTCCTCAAGTGTTATTAGTGACACCGGACGCCGTAGAGCGTGTTGCGGATTCATAAAGTGATGTCAGTTACCGTTATTACTTTGCTCTGCCTGCGAAAGGCAGCGTGACGTAAGGGGTTGCGCAGTAGCGGACGTTGGCAAATTTCGTGCATACAATCGTGCATGCACGGCCTCATGTTCTCTAATAACCTGCCGTACCTGCCGTATATACTATAAGACTCCTCAGGAGTTTAGCATGCATTCATGGCTTGTGTATTGTGACGGTGATGGCACTGATCGGACATCTTGTTGGCGCCCAGGTCCTAACACAACACAACAAAAGGATGGTATCTTTGATATCTCTGCAATGTCAGCTGCTGTGGCCTGACCGAAGAGGGTGATGCCACTGATGTGAGCGTTCGTTATGATGTCATGTGCGCTCGCAAAGTAGCGGCGTGTGTGCAAGGATTGGTTACAAGGTTCCATTGAAGAGATCTGTGTTGAAGTCCCTTCCCTTGTAAGGATTATGGCTGTCGTAGCAGCATATTCTTTGCTATTACGCAAACAGCACGTGCAGTGGTGCCTATCATGTGAACTGTGACTCAGCGAACCCTTGCGCGGTCAAACCACTGGACGTCCCCTCAACGACTGACAGCAACGGTTGCCAGATTATTCCAGCCTGGCCCACCTGCCATAGCTAGCAGGGCCTATAGACCTAATATACAAAATAGACCCAGGAGATCTGGAAGAGAATCCATTATTTAAGTTAGAACCCTGGGAACATTCCGGTTCCTCGCCTCCCCTCCTTCATCTTTACCCCTTGCGACTCAGGCTCCTGGCCCCCTCTCAAAGCCATCCTCTCGCGCCCGACCGTCATGTACACTCCAGATCTCCGCAATCGGCTTGCCTCTCAAGTCAGATTAGTAGCACACGGAAGCACCAAATAGTGCCAAGTAAACGGGAATTTATATCTTCTCAACGCCACAACGACATGTTTCAACTGCCGCTGCATATGCCAACTGCCGCCGCTTAAGCCAGCGGGAAAACTCAGGAGGTCAGGACCCATCAGTGACAAGCAATATCCGCCGTACATGCTGGCAAAATGTACGGCAGGACGCCTGTCAGTCTACACTATCCAATGGTGCCATGTCCTACAGGGTTACCTCGAACGCCAGCCGGATACTGCCAGGCAAAAACCCGCGGGGTTAATTTCTCATTTTTAGGGCCAGATCCTAGTATGCGCAAACCTCCGTTCGCCCTTTGTTTCCTTTGTTCTTACGAGCTCCTGTGCCACCGGACGTGCCAATTGGCTATCATATACATGTTAGCCCGTTCCCAACCCATACACATGTAATGATTGTAACCCGTAAACCCCGCCGGCTTGCGAAGGGCCTAGGCTGCAGCAGCACGTGGGGATGTGTCCAAAATTGCTGCGATATAATTGGGACAAAGGGTGAGCCCTTTCCTAGCCTAGCTGGCACCTCTTATATTAGTTTCGGTGCATTGCGTGCGCTCCATTAGGTAGCTCCCCAGCATACACGTCCCCGGCATGAGTGTACGGCACCTTCAAAACCCCGGTAGTAGCCCCCGCAGCCCGCCGAAGCCGCCCTTCCGCTCGTTCTTTCCCTTACTGCTGCTGCCGCGGCTGCTGCCGTTGTTACCGCCACTGCTGCTGCCGTTGCCGCCTCCTCGACCGCCCCCGGGGCTCAAACCGCCACCGCCACCGCCGCCACCACTGCTGCTGCCGCCCATACCATCCTCCATGTCGAGACGCGCCTGGCAACGATAAGGAGAAAGCAGGGGCGCCGCAACGCCTTCCGTGAGTGACCCATATCGTTACAGGTACGATAGCCATGACAATGCTGGCCCAGAACCACAACCGCTCCAATAGAGTGTGCCCTTCGGACGGGAGACCTCTCGTCGCCTGTCGTCGAGACCTCCCCACCTCCTTTCCTGCCCCTCCTATCCTCCCTTCTCCTCCCTCTTCCGCCCGCTTCCCTCCCGCTCCCCACCTCAATGCTCTTGAGCGTGTAGCCCACCGCCATGAGCCAGAACAGCACCTTGCTCAGCTCCACTGAGCTGAACTCGCTGTTGAGCTTGGTGAGGGCCTGGCAGGGTGTAGGGGGATGGGGAAATATAAATGAGGAAGTGCAGCAACTGGGGCGCCGGGGAGGGTAGATAAAGCTAAAAGCCGAGAGGAAACACTGGTAGGCGGCATACTGGTGGATAGTGGGTGGGTAGCAAGGTCATAAGCAACCCTTGTAGGCATGTAAGGAGAAGGGACGGTTAAAAGCAGGCGGAACCTCCAGAGAGGAAGGGGTCCCTCTCCACACAGGCCCCTGTTCCTCCCTCCTCGCTCCCTCCTCGGTACCCCCACTCCCCGCTGCCTCCCCCAGCTACTAGCCCCCCTACCTCCGGGTCCGCTGTGCCCATGAGTCTCGCCACGAAGAGCTCCATGGCCTCCTTCACCGCCTGCCCGCTGGAGGTGGAGGGCGAGCAGGCCAGCTCCTTGAAACTGCCGGAGCCGCCGGCCTGGGAGGCAGGTGGGGGTGAGGGGAAAAGGACTTCCTCAGCATTTCCAGCGGCTCAATACCTACCGGTAATCCCCTTCCCTCAGTGCGGAGCATCCCCATACCCTCTTCGCCCCAACTCCCCTCCCCCCCTAATCACACGGTTAGTTAGTGGTTTCCTCTTTACCCCACCTGCAGCCCATGCAGATAGTCCAGCAGCTCATTGCGCGGCAGCCCCAACGGCGACCCAACCACCAACGGAATGCCGCCGCAACCCATGGTAGCAGGGGCAGCAGCGCTGTTGGCAGCAGGGGAGGGAGCTAGCGCCCCGCTCATCCCGCTGATGCTGCCGTCGCTGGCAGTGCTAATGTACGGCACTCCGGGCCCGTCGCGCTCTCCGAAACCCGGCAGCGGGCTGACACACACGAGTTCCTGGCTGGGGGGCCCTGATAGCGAAGAGGAGGAGGAGGAGGAGGAGGATTTGTATGACGAGGAGGGTGAAGGGTAGGGCCCCAGGACTTCTACGGTGCCGGCTGGGGTGGAGGCGGAGGGTGGCGGAGGGGGCGGAGGAGGAGGCGGCATGGGTGCGGAGGCGGCGGCAGGTGTCCCTGGTGGGAAGGCGCCACTGGAGACCTGCGAGCAGTGGGGATGGGGGGAGGGCTTGGAGCTGTGGGACGGATACAGCCCCGGGCTTCGGTCGCCGTCGGTTCTTCTTACTCCCTCTCAGCCCCACCGCACCCCGATGCGGCAGTCCGGATTTCCGGACCCGCTGGATCCCCGCATTCCCCCTCCCTCCCTCCCTCCTTTCCCTCCCTCGTCAGTTTCCGCGTTTTTGTCCCCCACCTGCGCTCTGAGCGCCTGCAGCTCCCTTCCCCTCCCTTCCCTCCCTCCCCCACCTGCGCTCTAAGCGCCGCCAGCTCCCGCTCCAGCATCTCGATGTACTCTCCCGCCCCCAGCCGCTCCACCTCGCCCCGCCCCAGATGCCACCTCAGCACCTCACCCGCCAGCCCCTTCTTCTGCACGCCCGGGGCGTAGGGGGAGCCCTCACCGTCGTGCAGGAAGGATGCAGATGCGGAGGAGGAGGCGGTGGTGCCGGTGGTGGTGGTGCTGCTGTTGCTGGCGTCGTCGAAGGTGGTGAGAGGGGAGGAAGGCGGGGAGGCGGCTGTGCTGCTGCTGCTGCTGCTGGTGTAAGCGGCGGTTGTTGTTGTGGCGATGGCGGGGATGGAGATCGCTGGGGGTTCTATAATAGCAGCGGGTTCCGCCGAAGGGGCGGATGAGACGGAGGAGAGCTGCTTCAGCGACTTTTGCAGCTCTAGTCGGAACTGCAAGCCGGGGGCCACGACAGTGCCCGGGTGGAGGGAAGAAGAGAATAGGGAAAGGCGAATGTGAAAGCAAGCAGGCACGGTAAAATTATGCGGCGTAGCCGGCGAGACCCAGCCCCCGTCATCCCCTCCCTCCCTCTCTTCCTCTTCCGCCAAGGCCCTCCCCCCTTCACTTTAACCCCCTCCCGCCTCTCCCCCCGCCCCACCTGCGCCGACCGCAGCATGTAGCCGGTGGTCATGATGGACAGCATCAGCTGCGCCAGGCTCTCCGCCATGGTGCTGATGCGCACGTCAAAGTACTGAGGAGGCAGGCTGCCCACCACGTTGAGCACGGTTTGGCGCATGGCCTGCACCACCTGTGATGGGGGCGAGAGTTTGGGATGGCACGCGGGATGCTTAAATTTCACGGGTGAAGATCGTGGCGAAGTCCGCAGTAGTCGGGCAGCATGAGTTCGTAGAAGGGAAGCAGGTGGGTGTAAGCGAGCCCGCTCGAGCGTTCATCAGTTTCCCGGGTGAACAGGATGGTGAGGCTACTTACCACGGGGTGGGTCTGCTCGGCGAACTGGGCAACGGACTGCGGTTGGACTTCACGAACATAGTTCAGAAGCGCTTGGCGCCGCTCCTCCTCCTATGAGGGGGAAAGGGGTGCGGTCGGGATGCACATGGTGTGCCGGAGCCTAGGGAAGAACCAGCAAAGAACACTTCTGGTGGTGCGACTGTATAACCGCAGGTATCTTGTGCAAGATTGAAAGGTATTCATGGAAGATTTTCGTGCAACGCAGGCTCCAGAAGGCCTGTGGCCTAGCCTGCGCATACCAGCTGGCCGAAATCTCAGCCCTTACAACCGTTCCCACAGCTAGACATGGATGTAGTCATGCGTGATTTTCGTAGAAGGTCACTGGGACCAGGAAACGCAAGAATTGCACGTTGCATGACATGGACAAGCGGGACGTACCCGCCATGGGTCATGCAGTTCGCCAGCACCACGTTTACCAGAGCGAGCTGAGCAATGCACTTGTGAGCGGCGGCGCTCGCAACCCCATGTCCGGTGACTTCGCCGAACGTGAATAACGACCCAACCACGCGTGGATAAGGCGGTTTGACCTAGGATGTTGGAATTAGATATAAACATTGTAGCTACTGCCCGGGACCCAACTTAAATGGAATTACTCGGAAGGTGGGTAGGCTTGGGAATGGGCTACCCGGCCCACGGGGCCCTGCCGAGGCCGCTGTTAAGGCCGCTGCGGTATTATTAAGCTCAGAAGCGCAAACATATGCTAATATTGCAAGTCATTTGGGCCGATAGCCTTCGTAGCTTCTGCCGTGTACGATATGGATCCAAGTGGATTACAAATGCGTGGCAAGAATCACGACGCTATCATTACAACCCAGCACCAGCACCCAGCTCCAGCTTTCCCCCGCCTACGGCGACCTGCATGTTCGGCATTCCGCCTTCATGGCCAAGGCCTGTGGTCACACCGCCGCCCCCCCTGGCGTGCTCGCACGCTTCCGGTCTACCTTGTCCCGGCTGTGGCGGCTACGCTGGGGGCATCGTCACAAGGAGGCACTGTGGCGGCTTGCGCTGAACGGCTTCGCTGGGTTCCCCATGCATGCTAGCCAGGCGGCCCGTGCCAGTGTACAGGGCCGTCCTTGTCCCTTGTCCTGCCCCTGTGGAGCGCCGCTGGTCGTCGATGGTGTCGCTAGGGATCGACTGCATTTGTTTTGGGAGTGTTTCGTGGTGAGTCAAGGATAGGGCCGGGACAACTTAAGGCCGATGTTTGCGGCGGTGCGGCACCCCTTTGTGTGATTGAAGCGGGGTGTCGGTGTGCCCGCTGGGGGCACCAGGCGTGGGGCGTAGCTGGAATGCGGCAGTTGTGGCAGTCATTGCATGGCGTGTGTTAAAATAACTGGCGTGTGGTGTGTGGGCCGGTTACAGGGAGCTCCATCGTTCCTAATGACAAAAATGTCGCCTGAGAAAAGTGGCAACTTGTTGTGTAATGTGAGCAGATGGTATGTGGGGAGCTAGGGGCCCGAAGCTTGTTTGGCCCCAGGCAGGCGTCCGCGTGGTCATTGCTTCGGAACTTCCAGTATGCTTGAAGCAGAAATTGTAGCAGCTTACAGCACGCCCGTATGTGGCATCTAATGCGACGACCCTAAATGGTACCAGGATCCAAAGTCGGACGAGCTCGTAGCGAGGACGTTTTCAACACAAAGTAGCGCATCTTGTCAAGATTTAAACACCACTAGACAGGAGGTATGACAATTTAATAGAAAAACGTTGAGCGCCTGTCACGACTAGTGGCCGTGGAGACTCACTCTGGTCCAAGGCGCTGACAGCTGCAGGCAAAAAGCTGAGTGTGGACCCGGCGTCGATTCACGTACATGGGGTCCAACTCAGCGGCGGGCGCCTCATAAACAAGGATGATGCGTCGAGCATGACTCTACAAGAGGTATGCATCCAATGCCTTGATTGTGTGCACCATATAATAAGAAACAATCTGTGTGCGCGTGTTAATTGTAGCATGCAGCTTGCGGATAAGGATAAATGCAGCTTGCGGATAAGGAGGCCGCGGTGATTGTGGAGGTGAGTGAAGCCGCACAGTCCACGAGCAACGCCAAAACCGCTGCGCTGGAGAAGCAGGTGCGAGAGCTGCGAAAGGAGCTGGCGAACGTGAAGGAGGCTGCGGTTCGGCCCCAGCAACTGCAACGCAAAATGGCTCTCCTGCGCCTGCTCGACGCCGCGCGGTCGGCGCTGGCTGGGCACACGCTCAGCGACGCGGAGCGAGGCCAGCCGTGGAACGACGTACTGGGCGCGATCCAGGACTTCAAGGGCCTTTCCAAGGAGGCGGCCATGCTGACCAAATTCGGGTCGGGCACGCAGCAGTGGCTTAGCAGCCAAGCCGCGCACAACTTTGACGAGGTCACTATCGCGGAGGCCGTAACCGCGGTCACCAAGAATCGCCACCTGTACGGCGCTCTCTTCACGTTCGTGTACAAGAAGGACGCGGGAGAGCTGATGTTCTCCGTGCTGCAGGATGACGATTAGTGGTGCAGCACGTAGCTGCGAAGCTGCCGCTGATGGTGCCGCTGGCGTGATGCCGCTGGTGCACGTGCCACTGTAGAGGAAGTGGGGACGGGTCAGGCGACAGATGCGAATGAGGCGCTCTGGTCCACAATTGGCGTTTGATCCATAGTGGTGGCGGTCAGGGCAAGGAGGAGGAAGCGTCACAGTGCATGCGTTTTTGTTGAGCGTGTAGCTTTGGGCGCAGCGGACCATAGTTGGCACCCTGGGTATGAAAGCGTGGACGGGTAAGCGAGTGGCACAACAGCTGGCTCACTGGAGCCCATACACGGGCGCATTGCCTTAACATACTCATAGCCCTTTGTTGTCAGGCAACGTAGCTAGGAGTTTGAGGGTCTAACCGGCAGTCACTTGTACAGAGAGACATGAGGATGTATGTACTGCTGGAGTAGGCGGTGTCTCATTTTCAATGGACATGCATACGGGGAGTGTGGCACATTGTACGGTACACCTATAAGCGGTGTGAACGTTACCGAAATGCTCGGACAAACGTTTTGTCGTACAGTCCTCAGAATACAGGGATCCGCCTAAGGCCTGTCCATGCGGTGTTGCCATGTCGGGTGGTGGGCAGTGTTGGGTGCGCCGGCATTTGTTCTGGGACTGCTGTGTTGCTAGGAACCTCCGTGAGGCTATGGGTGCGGGTATGGGGGTTGCGGAGGGGCCTCACAGTGTTGCGTTTTCACGGTCCCAGCTGTGGCTTTTTTTGCCCCCACGTGGGATTCAGCCCGTCGTTTGGGATGTTGTGGCTTTGGCTGCTCTGGCGGCACTGGAGAGAGGTCGCCAGTACTTGTATCGTGACTGGGATTCAGATACACCTGTTTCCCCTGGTCGTCTGCGACACATCAGCGCCGAGGTGGTTGTTGATTTCTGGGCTAGGATATCCTCGTTCGCCAGTTTAGGTATCATCCCCCGGGGCTGGGCCTCGGTCCCGTCGGACCACCCGTTCCTTGCCCGTCAGGGTGGCCGTGTTGTGTTTTATGGGCCGCCTTATGGGCCGCCTTTATGGGCCGCCACCATTCCGGTTCTCCCCCTAGTTCTCCATGATTGTGACCCTGGTTGGTCTACTTCTGGCCTAGGGGCCTAGTTTGGCTTTTCCTCGGTCTGCGGCCATGTGTGTTTGGTGTTGGTGACACATGGTCTGTCACTTAGACATCGGCTCCCTCCTCAGTGCGGGATGTCCCCCTTCGGATATGTTCCCTTCAGTTCATTCGTGGGCCCTGTGGCTCTCTGTACTAGGTACTTCGGCTGTCCGTGCTTGGTGTAGGTGGTTTGCGGCCTTTCTATCGGGCCTGGTGTGCCCCCTGGGGTAGGGCGGTCAACGCTCTGTTGGAATGTACGTCTAACGATTGGCCAGTACGGATTCCTTACTGGTTGGTCCTCCAGTGTAATCCTCGCTTCCTAAGGCCTGGGCGACTTCAGATGGGCCCGATATTCCTTTGTCCAAGACGCTTAGCTACCAAGATCTGTCTCATCCATTGTAATTATAAGCATAAGAAGGTATGAAGCCCAGAAAGAGAGCGGAAATGGTGGTGTTCAGTCCCTGCGATTCACGAAGTGCCTTCACACCGTTGCTACCTTCGGCAGTGTCCTTGTTAGTGTTTACCCTCTGTAACTGTTACTCGTAGGCTTGCAACCAAAGAGCTACCCCAGAACGGCGTCTAACCCTGGTCCAAGGCGGTTTGACTTCCAAAACAACAACGATGCGACCAGTTTTCATCATGCCGCTACGATTGGTATGGCCAGTTTAGAGTGTCAACACCATTAGGTCCCACAACCTAGCGGTTGGCGAGTTCGTGGCGGGTGCTAGGTCGGCGGGTGCTAGGTCAGCGGGTGCCAGGTCGGCGGGTGCCAGGTCGGCGGGTGCTAGGTGGGCGGGGGCTAGGTCGGCGGGTGCCAGGTCGGCGGGGGCTAGGTCGGCGGGTGCTAGGTCGGCGGGAGCTAGGTCGGCGGGTGCTAGGTCGGCGGGGGCTAGGTTGGTGGGTGCTAGGTCGGCGCGTGCTAGGTCGGTGCGTGCTAGGTCGGTGCGTGCTATGTCGGCGGGTGCTAGGTCGGCGGTCGCTAGGTCGGCGGGTGCTAGGTCGGCGGGTGCTAGGTCGGCGGTCGCTAGGTCGGCGGGTGCTAGGTCGGCGGGTGCTAGGTCGGCGGGTGCTAGGTCGCCGGGTGCTAGGTCGCCGGGTGCCAGGTCGGCGGGTGCTAGGTCGGTGGGTGCTAGGTCGGCGGGTGCCAGGTCGGCGGGTGCTAGGTCGGCGGGTGCCAGGTCGGCGGGTGCTAGGTCGGCGGATGCTAGGTCGCCGGGTGCTAGGTCGCCGGGTGCCAGGTCGGCGGGTGCTAGGTCGGCGGTCGCTAGGTCGGCGGGTGCTAGGTCGGCGGGTGCTAGGTCGGCGGGTGCTAGGTCGCCGGGTGCTAGGTCGCCGGGTGCCAGGTCAGCGGGTGCTAGGTCGGTGGGTGCTAGGTCGGCGGGTGCCAGGTCGGCGGGTGCTAGGTCGGCGGGTGCCAGGTCGGCGGGTGCTAGGTCGATGAGTGCTAGGTCGGCGGGTGCTAGGTCGATGAGGGCTAGGTCGGCGGGGGCTAGGTCGGCGGGGGCCAGGTCGGCGGGGGCTAGGTCGGCGGGGTCTAGGTCGGTGCGTGCTAGGTCGGTGCGTGCTAGGTCGGCGGCGGGTGCTAGGTCGGTGCGTGCTAGGTCGGCGGGTGCTGGGTCGGCGGGTGCTGGGTCGGCGGGTGCTAGGTCGGCGGGTGCCAGGTCGGCGGGTGCTAGGTCGGTGCGTGCTAGGTCGGCGGCGGTCGCTAGGTCGGTGCGTGCTAGGTCGGTGCGTGCTATGTCGGCGGGTGCTAGGTCGGCGGTCGCTAGGTCGGCGGGTGCTAGGTCGGCGGGTGCTAGGTCGGCGGCTGCTAGGTCGGCGGGTGCTAGGTCGCCGGGTGCCAGGTCGGCGGGTGCTAGGTCGGTGGGTGCTAGGTCGGCGGGTGCCAGGTCGGCGGGTGCTAGGTTGGTGGGTGCTAGGTCGGCGGGTGCTAGGTTGGTGGGTGCTAGGTCGGCGGGTGCTAGGTCGGTGGGTGCTAGGTCGGCGGGTGCTAGGTCAGCGGGTGCCAGGTCGGCGGGTGCCAGGTCGGCGGGTGCTAGGTGGGCGGGGGCTAGGTGGGCGGGTGCCAGGTCGGCGGGGGCTAGGTCGGCGGGTGCTAGGTCGGCGGGAGCTAGGTCGGCGGGTGCTAGGTCGGCGGGTGCTAGGTCGGCGGGGGCTAGGTCGGCGGGGGCTAGGTCGGTGGGTGCTAGGTCGGCGCGTGCTAGGTCGGCGGGTGCTAGGTCGGTGGGTGCTAGGTCGGTGGGTGCTAGGTCGGCGGGTGCTAGGTCGGCGGGTGCTAGGTCGGCGGGTGCCAGGTCGGCGGGTGCTAGGTCGGTGGGTGCTAGGTCGGCGGGTGATAGGTCGGTGGGTGCTAGGTCGGTGGGTGCTAGGTCGGCGGGTGCTAGGTCGGCGGGTGCTAGGTCGGCGGGTGCCAGGTCGGCGGGTGCTAGGTCGGCGGGTGCTAGGTCGGCGGGTGCTAGGTCGGTGGGTGCTAGGTCGGTGCGTGCTAGGTCGGCGGCGGGTGCTAGGTCGGTGCGTGCTAGGTCGGCGGCGGGTGCTAGGTCGGTGCGTGCTAGGTCGGTGCGTGCTATGTCGGCGGGTGCTAGGTCGGCGGTCGCTAGGTCGGCGGGTGCTAGGTCGGCGGGTGCTAGGTCGGCGGGTGCTAGGTCGGCGGGTGCTAGGTCGGCGGGTGCTAGGTCGGCGGGTGCCAGGTCGGTGGGTGCTAGGTCGGCGGGTGCTAGGTCGGCGGGTGCCAGGTCGGCGGGTGCTAGGTCGGCGGGTGCTAGGTCGGCGGGTGCTAGGTCGGGGGGTGCTAGGTCGGCGGGGGCTAGGTCGGCGGGTGCTAGGTCGGCGGGGGCTAGGTCGGTGGGTGCTAGGTCGGCGGGGGCTAGGTTGGTGGGTGCTGGGTCGGCGGGTGCTAGGTCGGTGGGTGCTAGGTCGGCGGGTGCTAGGTCGGCGGGTGCCAGGTCGGCGGGTGCCAGGACGGCGGGTGCTAGGTCGGCGGGTGCTAGGTCGGCGGGGGCCAGGTCGGCGGGTCCTAGGTCGGCGGTCGCTAGGTCGGCGGGTGCTAGGTCGGCGGGTGCTAGGTCGGCGGTCGCTAGGTCGGCGGGTGCTAGGTCGGCGGGTGCTAGGTCGGCGGGTGCTAGGTCGCCGGGTGCTAGGTCGGCGGGTGCCAGGTCGGCGGGTGCTAGGTCGGTGGGTGCTAGGTCGGCGGGTGCCAGGTCGGCGGGTCCTAGGTCGGCGGTCGCTAGGTCGGCGGGTGCTAGGTCGGCGGGTGCTAGGTCGGCGGTCGCTAGGTCGGCGGGTGCTAGGTCGGCGGGTGCTAGGTCGGCGGGTGCTAGGTCGCCGGGTGCTAGGTCGCCGGGTGCCAGGTCGGCGGGTGCTAGGTCGCCGGGTGCTAGGTCGCCGGGTGCCAGGTCAGCGGGTGCCAGGTCGGCGGGTGCTAGGTCGGCGGGTGCCAGGTCGGCGGGTGCTAGGTCGATGAGGGCTAGGTCGGCGGGGGCTAGGTCGGCGGGGGCCAGGTCGGCGGGGGCTAGGTCGGCGGGGGCTAGGTCGGTGCGTGCTAGGTCGGCGCGTGCTAGGTCGGCGGCGGGTGCTAGGTCGGCGCGTGCTAGGTCGGCGGGTGCTGGGTCGGCGGGTGCTGGGTCGGCGGGTGCTAGGTCGGCGGGTGCCAGGTCGGCGGGTGCTAGGTCGGTGCGTGCTAGGTCGGCGGCGGTCGCTAGGTCGGTGCGTGCTAGGTCGGTGCGTGCTATGTCGGCGGGTGCTAGGTCGGCGGTCGCTAGGTCGGCGGGTGCTAGGTCGGCGGGTGCTAGGTCGGCGGCTGCTAGGTCGGCGGGTGCTAGGTCGCCGGGTGCCAGGTCGGCGGGTGCTAGGTCGGTGGGTGCTAGGTCGGCGGGTGCCAGGTCGGCGGGTGCTAGGTTGGTGGGTGCTAGGTCGGCGGGTGCTAGGTTGGTGGGTGCTAGGTCGGCGGGTGCTAGGTCGGCGGGTGCTAGGTCGGCGGGTGCTAGGTCGGCGGGTGCCAGGTCGGCGGGTGCCAGGTCGGCGGGTGCTAGGTGGGCGGGGGCTAGGTGGGCGGGTGCCAGGTCGGCGGGGGCTAGGTCGGCGGGTGCTAGGTCGGCGGGAGCTAGGTCGGCGGGTGCTAGGTCGGCGGGTGCTAGGTCGGCGGGGGCTAGGTCGGCGGGGGCTAGGTCGGTGGGTGCTAGGTCGGCGCGTGCTAGGTCGGCGGGTGCTAGGTCGGTGGGTGCTAGGTCGGTGGGTGCTAGGTCGGCGGGTGCTAGGTCGGCGGGTGCTAGGTCGGCGGGTGCCAGGTCGGCGGGTGCTAGGTCGGTGGGTGCTAGGTCGGCGGGTGATAGGTCGGTGGGTGCTAGGTCGGTGGGTGCTAGGTCGGCGGGTGCTAGGTCGGCGGGTGCTAGGTCGGCGGGTGCCAGGTCGGCGGGTGCTAGGTCGGCGGGTGCTAGGTCGGCGGGTGCTAGGTCGGTGGGTGCTAGGTCGGTGCGTGCTAGGTCGGCGGCGGGTGCTAGGTCGGTGCGTGCTAGGTCGGCGGCGGGTGCTAGGTCGGTGCGTGCTAGGTCGGTGCGTGCTATGTCGGCGGGTGCTAGGTCGGCGGTCGCTAGGTCGGCGGGTGCTAGGTCGGCGGGTGCTAGGTCGGCGGGTGCTAGGTCGGCGGGTGCTAGGTCGGCGGGTGCTAGGTCGGCGGGTGCCAGGTCGGTGGGTGCTAGGTCGGCGGGTGCTAGGTCGGCGGGTGCCAGGTCGGCGGGTGCTAGGTCGGCGGGTGCTAGGTCGGCGGGTGCTAGGTCGGGGGGTGCTAGGTCGGCGGGGGCTAGGTCGGCGGGTGCTAGGTCGGCGGGGGCTAGGTCGGTGGGTGCTAGGTCGGCGGGGGCTAGGTTGGTGGGTGCTGGGTCGGCGGGTGCTAGGTCGGTGGGTGCTAGGTCGGCGGGTGCTAGGTCGGCGGGTGCCAGGTCGGCGGGTGCCAGGACGGCGGGTGCTAGGTCGGCGGGTGCTAGGTCGGCGGGGGCCAGGTCGGCGGGTCCTAGGTCGGCGGTCGCTAGGTCGGCGGGTGCTAGGTCGGCGGGTGCTAGGTCGGCGGTCGCTAGGTCGGCGGGTGCTAGGTCGGCGGGTGCTAGGTCGGCGGGTGCTAGGTCGCCGGGTGCTAGGTCGCCGGGTGCCAGGTCGGCGGGTGCTAGGTCGGTGGGTGCTAGGTCGGCGGGTGCCAGGTCGGCGGGTGCTAGGTCGGCGGGTGCCAGGTCGGCGGTCGCTAGGTCGGCGGGTGCTAGGTCGCCGGGTGCTAGGTCGCCGGGTGCCAGGTCGGCGGGTGCTAGGTCGGCGGTCG